TAGCTGGCGGCTGCGACCTCCAGAAACCGGGTTCTTCTTCCGACCGTGTTTTGGTCGATGGTGGCAGCTTCCTTCCCTGGAACCGGTCTCCACTCTTTCTTGCTGCGGCAGTCGCGTTTGAAGTGACCCTTCTTGCCGCAATTGTAGCAAGTGATGCCTGATTTGTCCTTGGCACCATCTCTCTTTCCTGCCCATTGTGCCTGGGCAGCGCTGACGTCCATGGGTCCCGAGTGAGTGCCGTACGACGTGCTCTGGTGCTGGCGTTTCTTTTTGTCGTTGGGTTTGTGGTAGCCTGCGGATCGCTGAGTCTCGCTGCCCTTCTTCTGTTGTTTGCGGGCGAACTGTCGGTCGTCAATCTTGACAGCCATGGCGATGTACTCGTCGAGCGTGTCAGGTCGGCTCTCCTTGTAGAGCTCGTCCTTGACCTCCTCCTTCAGTCCTCCGTAGAACAGGTGCATCAGCCCCTCGTCGTCTATCTCTGCCTTCATGGAGTCTTGTCGGAAAATCGTGGCGTAGGCGGTGGCTGACCTAGTCTGCTTCAGCCGTCCTAGCCGTTCCTGGGCGTGCAACTTCTCGTCCTTGTCGCCGAACACCTTCTGAATCTCACTCTCGAACTCGGAGTAGTTCTCGAAGACCTTTTTGGTGAAGGGTTTGTGGATTGCTCCGCCGAGGAAATCACTCAGTGTTCCCGTGAACCACTTGAGGGCCTTGTCCTTGAGTCGGGTGGCGGCGTATCTGGTCTTGGATTCCTCAGTGGCGAACTGGTGCGAGTTGTGGTCGAGATAGTTCCGCATCTCCGTGATCCAACCTGGCAAGGCTTCCTGGTCGCCCCCGTACTTCTCGGGTTGCTCCAATTTGACCTTTGTCTTGGCCGGGTCCTTGGTGTGGACCTCGGTCGCCGCAAGTCGGGCTGCCAATGCCGCGTTGCTGGCCTTGGTCTTCGCAAGCTCTTCTTCAGTTTCATCGAGTCGTTCGGTGACTCTCTGAAGTGCGGCCGTGATCTGGCCCGGCGTCGGTTGAGTTGCCATGTCGTTTTACCTTCGAGCCTGAACTGTAACAGATCAAAGGGAGTTAGCAACGTGTGACGAACCTGTCTCTGGACCCGTCCTGTTAGGGTTCAGTATCGGTCGAAGGTATTCTCTCAAGGGTGCGTAGGTTCGGTGCAGCCAAAGGGTGCACAACAAAGACTTGTCTCAACAGTAGGCTCTCGAGCTTGTAGCGAACTGTAGTTGTGATTGCTAACTGGAGAACTCCCAGAGCTCTCCAGGACGAGTGACTATATACCTGTCTAATTCTTGAGTGCTCAGTGTGCTCAGTTCCTCTGAACACTGATCACACTGATCACTTAGAACGTCCTGTTCATCCTGATTGGTGATTGGGATCGCGGTGCTCACTGTGCTCAGTCTGCTTGGCGACTGAGCTCACTGATCACCCTGCTGCATCCCTGATTGGTTTGACTGGCCCGGGGCGTCCCGTGCCTTGGGCCCCACATGTTGGCATATCCGTGACAAATATTAATAGATAAACTGAGGACTATATAGGGGGTAATGAGCCGAAGGGTATAGAGGAGCAGCTGGAGAATAGGAAGGCTAAGTAAGGGTTTTAGAGATAGGCTATAAGTTTTTTTTCTACCAGCTTTATATTAATACTAGGGTTTATAGTTATAATATACCGAGTTATCTTTACTTCTTCTTATATTATATTAGTTTAGCCGGGGGATATCTGGAATTTTATAGTTTAGTTTAAGGGTAAAGGAAACCCTTTAGAAAAGCGATCTTTTAGATATACCGAGAGATAGGTTACCAGTAGAATTAATAGTTAGTTAATCTACTAAAACTAGTATCCTAGATAGAGTACTAAGTAGCTAAAACATTACTATATAGCTAAGCTATTATAATAAAGACTATAGAAATAGTTAAACTTAAATCTATTAAGTTAAATGTAAAATGTTAGATTCTATCTACCTAGTTAATAGAATTTAGTTAATACTCTAGATATCTCTAGTATATCTATTATTTAATAGGAAATAGTAAATGAAGTCTACCTTAATACCTCTCTTTATTAAGATAGATATTTAGCGGACTAGTATCTATATATTAGAGGGTAATGTAAAAGAATACCCTACCTTAGCCTCTCTACTATATAGAAGTACTAGAGGTTTAAGCGGTTTTACTAAGCTATTTTAGTATTAATAGGATCTATAGACCGGAAAACGGATTTAATAGTATAAAAGCTATATTATACCGGGAGTCTTTCTAATATATAATAATCTTCTTATTAGAATAGGTACTTCTTAAGATAATACTATTACTAATAGAAAATAATTTATTATAAAGGCTTTATTAAGCTTAGAAAATAGTCCTATTAAATTAAAATTTTATTTTAGCTAAAAATATATTTACTAAAATAAAATTAATTAAAATTCAATATATATTTAACAGCAGAAGGTATACTCAATACTCCTATACAATTATATAATAAAGGCTCTTTCATACTATTAATATAAGTCAAGTAGCGATTATACCCAGCATCGTTTTAGTAAAAAGGATGATCCCGGTTTAAGTCGCACTTGGGCTTTTTTACAGTTTCATTGGCGGGAGAATCCCCACAACCGTTTTCACAGTGGAACTCAATCTTCACGGAGGGAAGTCTCATTTACGCCGCAAATAAGTACCCGAGATCATTTTCACGTACAGTGGTGGCGCGCTATGGTACAGGCGTTCAGACATTCGGCAGCCTACCCTCCTCGGCCTTGAACCTCGATGACTATGGAAGCCATAACTAACTAGATAGTAGTTATGCTTGTATAGCATCGGAGGGTTTTCCTGCAATTTCACTTGTGCTCCTGTCAAACTGACGATCGCACACTGCGTTGGATGCACGGCTTGGGGCTAGCTTGACTGGTTAGGGAGAGTTGCAGAGAAACACTATTTTAACCTTTGCGCGGCCGGCGAGAGCAACCGAGTTGAAACATCGTTTCCAATAGAGCCCTGGTTGCCTACGGATCGGGTGCAGTTGAAACAAATCCATCTTGAGGCTCGGTCCTGCAAAACTGGGGCGCAGGCTAACTCACACCTGGCGCTGATGCGAAGTCGAGCCTCAACACCAACGACGACAACGACCCGATGCCCTGGATACCGAAGATAGCCGATGTGAGTGGGCTCTCAGTCGCGGTGCGTTCGAGATAACGTTACCTAGGCAAATAGATTCATACGCCTGGTCAACTCGGGTTTGCAGCGGCCCCGACAGTTATTGACAGCGCGGGGAGTTGGGTGGGGTGAGGATCCGTCGCATCATGAGCGAAGTCTATTCTGGGCTGGTCCCTTTGAGACACCTAATATCCATTGGATGTGTGAATTTACTGGAGCCTGCCCAGTTGGTGGTTGGTGCTCGTATGCAGATTACGTCCAGCCCACGCAAATGGATGCCCGTGCCTCGTTTTCAGTGCCCCTCTTCTCGTGATATGCACAGCCGGAGGGCGCAATTGGCCCACCAGAATCTCACCCGCGGCCTGTGGTTGGAACGAGGGTATTTCCAGTTGACGCATGGAGTGATGGAGTCTTGCTGTTCCGTTGTCTTCCCATTCCATCAGCATCCTCAGGCTGCGATCTTCCCGACCCGGCAAGCCATCCACACCCTGCTGGCGAATCACAGCACCGGGGCTGCCCCAGACCCCAGTCTTTAATCTGTCGCGAGCAGGCCCCTGCGCTCGACTCCCGCAAAGCGTGGGTGCCCAGCGCTGCAACCCCTTTTGCTCAAAGCAGCGGGAGAGCTTAATCTCCCTGTTCGTCGCACCCTAAATTTTTCCCTTCGACGACCGCGACACGTTCACACCTCCCATCCTCCTTCTCGACATTTTCGTCCTTCTCGACACTCTTTTCCTGTCGTACTTGTACGCCCCCAGCGTTACCTTTCAGTGCCACACAGGGCACCTGTTACCTTTTAACACTCCATCCCTCTAGCGCCTCCGAGACGCGACTGCATCGAATCATCGATTTCTGACTCGGTACGTGATGAGATCCCTCCATACCCAGGCCATCCACTGCAGCTTTCGGCCTCCTCCATGATTGCCGGGTCTTCCCAGTTGCTAGAACTCGTTTCTGAATTTCTGCCTGGCTGCCATTCGGTGTCGGATCTTCGTCGGCTCGTCGCATTTTGGGGTGTTCCATTGGAATAGCTCCTGACACGGCGGCCCGTTGAACTTTTGGCTCCATTCCGTCGGATGCACCTGCAAAAGCTGCCCGACCGAGCGCAATCGAGCTTAACTAACGTTCTTGCCATCCTCCAGACTCTTGCACCTTCCTCATTCCTCTTCCCGAAACCCCCTTCGATCGTTCCCTACAGCACTTGTCACAATGGGTAAGCACCTGCTTTCTGTTCCTTTGCTCGTGATGCCTGCGTTTGGAGGACGGATTGCAAACCGAATTCCGCCACGGGAAGTCGACAACCTCGCTCCTTTCCCGCGCTCGATCCCGACCGAGACAAATGACCTCACCCCGTCACTCTCGCGCGTGTGGCTTTCCGCGCGCTCCCTTCAGTACTCGCATCGCTGCCTGTTATCTCGAGACCGCTCGCCGCCGCCGTTTGTTTCCATTTATCGTTTCTTGGGAACCGCCTTTCTTGGACGAGAATCATCATCTGCATTCCATTACGACCAACACTCTTCGCCGAGATGCATTTCTCTACGATGGTCCAAAACGCTACTGCTAGGGTCCGCCCACGGAGTATGCAGTTCGAAAAGAGTTCGGCTGCGCCAGACCCCAAGCCCCGCCGCGCTGCTTCCCGTGATACCGGCACTGGCACGCGTCGGCCGCCCCAGGCGGCTCGGACGAGCAGCCTACCGTTGAGCAGCAGCAAACAGTACATTTACCCGCCGCCAATCCGCCACCATCGGAGTATGCTGGACGTGGAGCGCGTCCCGAAGCTCCCACTGGCCAAGCCGCTGTCCTATGGCGAGCTCTATCCCAGTACAGCTGAGCCGGTCGTGGACATCATGCCGCCGTCGAGGACGCCCGTTGACAGTCAGCCTCCGCGTACTCCCACAACAGGATCTCGTTGCATTGCTAGTCTGCCACTTTGAACACGGAGGATGCTAACTTGTCGTGTCCTTAGCAGCTGCAAACGGTATTCCTACCAATTTCCCATCCCCTACCATGGCGATTCCAATTCCCCATGTTCAGCCTTCGTCGTCTGGATCGGAGGTTTCTCGCCAAGCTCCATCTGACCTTGTGGCCGCAGCTCCTCCAGCTATGAGCGACAATAGGAACATTGTTCGTCGGAAGCTGACGGGCTATGTTGGCTTTGCCAACCTGCCCAATCAGTGGCACCGCAAGAGCGTCCGGAAGGGCTTCAACTTCAACGTCATGGTTGTCGGTAAGTGTTTGGGTGGAAATTCCGAGTCATGACGGTACCGATTCTAACGGTTGAACCCCCACTCGCAGGTGAATCCGGCCTCGGCAAGTCGACTCTCGTCAACACACTCTTTAACACTTCGCTCTACCCCCCCAAGGAGCGCAAGGAGCCCAGCCTGGATATCATCCCGAAGACGGTTACTATCCAGTCTATCAGCGCGGATATTGAGGAGGCGGGCGTGCGCCTGCGGCTGACCGTGGTTGACACACCTGGCTTTGGCGACTTTGTCAACAATGATGAGTCGTGGCGTCCAATCGTCGACAACATTGAGCAGCGCTTCGATGCCTACCTAGATGCCGAGAACAAGGTCAACCGCATGAACATTGTCGACAACCGCATTCACGCGTGTGTCTTCTTCATCCAGCCGACCGGCCACTCTCTGAAGCCTCTGGACATCGAGGTCATGAAGCGCCTGCACACCAAGGTCAACCTAATTCCGGTTATTGCCAAGGCCGATACCCTCACTGACGAGGAGGTCGCTGCCTTCAAGGCCAGAGTACGTTTTTCTTTCCCGGTTTATTATCCGTCCTGCAGAATGCTGATCGCCCCGTCCAGATTCTTGCCGACATCAAGTACCACAAGGTTCAAATCTTCGAGGGGCCGCGCTACGAGCTCGATGACGAGGAGACCATTGCGGAGAACAACGAGATCATGTCCAAGGTCCCCTTCGCCGTTGTTGGCGCTAACAACGAGGTCACCAACGCCGATGGGCGCAAGGTCCGCGGCCGTAGCTATCCTTGGGGTGTCATCGAGGTGGACAACGAGGAGCACTGCGACTTCGTCAAGCTCCGCCAGATGCTCATCCGCACCCACATGGAGGAGCTGAAGGAGCACACCAACAACACCCTCTACGAGAACTACCGGACAGACAAGTTGATCGCTATGGGCGTCTCGCAAGACCCGAGCGTTTTCAAGGAGGTCAACCCTGCCGTCAAGCAGGAGGAGGAGCGCAACCTTCACGAGCAGAAGCTCGCCAAGATGGAGGCCGAGATGAAGATGGTCTTCCAACAGAAGGTGTCTGAGAAGGAATCCAAGCTGAAGCTGAGCGAGGAGGAGCTGTATGCCCGCCATCGGGAGATGAAGGAGCAGCTGGAGCGCCAACGGCTCGAGCTCGAGGAGAAGAAGTCGAGGATCGAGAGCGGACGGCCTCTGGAGAAGGAGCCCAAGAGGAAGGGGTTCTCTCTCCGATAATCTCGCCGACCCTCCCCTTCTCTTTTCCACGACCTGTCTCAGTATCATGATGCCACAACAAATACCAGCTCGCCGCCTCTTTTCTTTTGCCTGTTTTTTTTTTCGGTTTTGTTTCGTCCTGTTTCCCTACTTAATCACATCCCCTTAATACTCACGGAAAAGTTCGCCCGGGAGAGGGCCGAGGACTCTGACAACGGCGGACTCCGGGTGGTGGGGAAGTGCTCTGCTGTCGCCGGGATGGGGTCTACCCGGTCCGCAAAAGGCCCGTGGTCTTCTTGTCGGGAGGCGACGGTCTGATCAACGCTTGTTGAAAATTGTACACGATCTAATTGGCCTGGTCGGGAACTGGAAACGACACCGCGATACCCGACCTTGTTCTGAACAGGATTATCAGCGTTTCCGGTTGGGATGGCGATGCGGGGGGATGTTTTTGTTTCGGGGATGGACATGAGAATCGGATTATTCGGCGGCTGGAGGCATCTAAAGCAAGCCCGGTTCGAGCGGAGTTGACGGCCCCCTGGCTGACTACTCGACCGAAGACGACAAGTTCACCCCCTTTCGACAGTCTCGACCGGCCCAGCCGACCAACCCAAGTAGCCGGAGACTATCTGGCTGCTTCGATATTACGAGAGCCGGAGGGTGGGCCAACATGGTAAAGGGGGACTGGTTATTACGCGAAACGGGACAAGGAGGATTGCTTGGATCAGGGCACCATTATACCCCCAGTTCACCCACCTGTCTTTTTATTCATTCCCCCTCCCTGGATGGTCAACTCCGGTTCTCACACTCGGCTGTCGCCACACCTCTTCATATCATTTTCCTAGTCTTCTCTTCCGCCCAGTTTTAGCTTTACCCTATTTTTCTTGCTGTCGTTGCTTAGCTTAGTGTCTGTCTGGAATAAAAGGATCTCACAGTCTTGATTGCCCTATGCTAGCTATGTCCTAGAGAATGGCGACTGTCCGGTTACTCCTTGATCGCACCAGATTGCGTCGATTACTAAGCAGAGCCTACTTTTTGTTGCTCAAAGACGACTCTCCTTCCTACGCAGTAGTGCTCCAGATTAAACAATTCTCATAATCTCGATATGAATTTCGAGCTCCACATCCCGGCTTGCATTTGCGTACCTGCTCATCCTCTTCATCCCCCACCACTAGAAAAACCGCTGAGAATTCAAATTGAAGGTCCCATCGTTGCCATACAAAAGCTTCTTCCCTGTATATCCTGGCATACTGATGCCTTGTCGCTGGAGTTTCCACAGCCCGCCGGCCCCGAGCTCGCCAAACTAGCATACCAGGTGATATACGGGCGCCATCCTCGTCCGGAGTGCGCAGATGATTTGGTTGTGCGGGATGAATACTTGGGCTGGGTCACGGACGTGAGACCATTCAGGTGCGTACTTTTGTTGTTGTTGGCTATTACTTGGTTGCAATTTGCGGTGGTATTGCAGCATTGTTCAACCTATCCACCTAGGCACATCGACTACTACGGCGTCACATTCGACCACCTGGTCCCCGCCAACGACCCCGATCCGGATGTCCTGCAGATCAACATCCTCGAGCTGGAGACGGCGAGCGGACCGTTTGCCAACGGCGAGGCGTATGCTAACCGGTACCTACGGTTTGCAGTCGACGTGGCGGATTATGTTGGGAAGAAGGTCCTTGCTGTGCCGAGATGCTGTCAGAGGAGGAGGGGGACCCAGGATCGTGCAAGAGTGAACAGCTCGGTGGCTGAGAGGGATGCGGGAGTGGAGGGAGGTGATGCAACGAGCTAGCAAGGAATTGTTCACTTTTCGTGATGAAATGCCCGTCAAATATGTTAGTTCCTTACTCCGGCTACCAACCGGGGTGTCAGAAGAGGCTAGCGGTCGAGTTCGGGTTGTTAGTAGAAGCTTGGTCATCGAACTGTTGCGTAGATGATGGGGTGTTTGGAGAACCCGCCTGCACAGCAAAGTTTCCCGACTGGGAGACATTTCGACGGACACTAGGCGCTGGAGTCCCTGAAACTCTGTGGACGATGATTTTTAGGAGTGAGCGAAGATTGATTCCATCCGGAAGACGTCAAGCCTGAGAGGCTCACAAAATCTAAGCCTAATCACCGTGCCCAAATCCGCCCCCCCTCCTAAGCCAAAAGGAAAAAGAAAAACAGGAAGGCCACCCTCGGCACTATCGACGGGCTAGAGAGCCATACCAGAGTAGTCGACCCGGGCATCCTCAGGACCCAGACGGACGCCATCTCGCCTAATGGCAAACTCGGCATCGGCCCTAATGCCGCCAATCCCAAGGATCTCAAGCTCCATACCCTTGACGCTGCCCACGACTGTGATATCGAACGCGTTGGAAAGAGAGCTTTCTTCAGTGTGCCCCCTTTCAGCATATCGGATCACGAGGAGACGGCCAGTCTGGAGAGGCAGGTCGCCCCGCACGACCGGCGGGCGTGTCGAGATAGCGAAATCGTCGGGATCGAGGGCAATTAGATGCCCGGGCACGGGAGGCTCATCCTATTCGACAGTTGCTGGTTAGAAAGGTTCGAAACGCTGAGGAGGGCGGATTGGAAAATTACATACCATAACAATCATCCACCACATTCGATATTTCCTATTAAGGATACAGTAATAGAGACGGGTCGCGATGCATCCCAGATCGCCCATGTCGCGGCTTTCGCTCTGAGATTCGGGGTCCATTATAACGGCGCCGTGGGCGGCCGCAGACTAGCTTTGGTCAGGACGGGTCAGTACCATGCTACTGGCTCGCGTCGATTATGCACAAAAGGATGTGGCTTACCCAAGATGACTCTATAGCGAGTTATGACAGTGTAGTTGGGCACAGATGGGAAGGTTTTCTTTCAAACTCGCGTGACGATATTCCCAGCCTATAAAGTGGCCAGGTGCCAACAGAATCGAAATGATTTTGCCAGCGCTCCAAGACACGGTCTGGGACTGAATTGTCTCTGCAAAAGAGCTAGAAAGCGACGGGTTTGAATGTGGCCAGATCAGAGACAGCCAGGCTCTTATGTACATAGGTACCTACCTACCCTTGTAGCAGCAGCATGGCCTCCCGCAGACCAGATGACAAGGTTATTTGAATAAGAGGTCTGAACACATGAACTAGACAAGGGCAGTAGGATGTTGTGGCTACAAGCAGTCTCGACTGCCCCAGGCTATTCTTCAAACAGCCCGTTTTCCGGATGACTGATACCGACTGTTTGACTGTCTGATTCAAATGATGAAAAGCCCAGGGGGTTTCTTCGGAGTCACCGATGCTGGCATGGGTGGAGCAGGAAGGGGTTCGAGAGTATAATAGGGATGGCCTGATTACCTAGGTAGCGAATAGTTACGATGTTTTGGAGCTGTGAATGCAAGCCCCCGTCACTTGAAAAAAGAAATGGGGAGTGTGAGAGTCACAGGAAAAATCACAATTCACTGCAGCGATGGGACAGCCAATCGTTCGGGTACTCGACCGAGAAAACTAACAAGTTGATGCTGTACCCGGATTTCAAGTTCAGACAAACGAGCACAGCTTTCTTCACGCCGGTTGATGGATTGTCTGCCACCTGAGATAAAATTACGAGAATCATTTGCTTCGCGGATTTCTTTTCTTCCTCCTTCTTCTTGCTCATCGCTCCCGTCATCTTTCTCCCGCTTCGCACTTTTCGTGATTACCTACCCCCTATTATTTACTACAAGCTTTTTTTCATACTTCTCAAGACACTTACGGTACTTAGGTACTTACTTTCATCATGCCTAGCAGAGGCGGAAAATCGCGTGGCCGTGCGGGCAGCAACACTCACAGCGGACAAGGAAAGCGCGACACTGCCCAGCAGGCAGCCATTCCCACACACCCAGGGGAAGGATCCAAGCCGGGGCTGCATGAGAGTCAGCCAAAGGACGCTGCCTCCAAAACCGACAGAGAGAAACGGGCCAGCCGATATGAACAGGCTCGCGAGCTGCAACTGCGGGAGGATGCGATCACACGCTTGCGTGCGCAACTCGGTCAAAAGGAACGGGAATGCACGCAAATCAGACACCTGCGGGATGAGTTGCAGAGCCGGCTGGGCCGAGCCGAAGAACAAAATGAAGAGCTCAGAGAGCAGGTCAAACAGTATGAGGCGGCGCACTTTCGGCTGGTCGGAGAAGAATCTCTTCAACCGTACCTCCGCAAAATGATCCGGTGGGCGGCTTTGCCCGTTGACTGTACGGACGGTGAGAGACCAGATACTGCGGTCGAATGGTATTGGGATCACATCGACGGGGAAGTCCGTTTCTTGTCCGAATGCTTTTTTCCGTATCCGGCGCCATGGGACAGTTTACCACCCGCTTTGCGAGAGAAGCTGGCTCGCTTGACGCCAAAAGCGCAGGAGTATATCGAGGACAAACACTGCGACGCCGTCTTTCTCTATGAGGCCTGGATTTGGCGCACCCTAGTCGACACACTGTTTCCCGACGTTGGGGCCACCGAGGGACCGCTGGTCGGAGAGCAGAGTGAACACTGGGCAGCCTACGCCCGCCTCCGACGTCTTGCGGCACCACGTAAGTAGCCCCAGATGATCTCTTCCCGGGCCCGGCGAATCGACGGGACAACAAGATCCCAGACTGACGAGTTGGGGCGGACACAGACCTAGCAACTAGTGAAGAAGAAGACACATCTTGGACCGTCCGGTATCGCATCTGGCGCAATCTCACCGTGGGCATCATACAACACGTCACCGGGGACAAGACACGAATCTCTCCTGATTCTGTAGCCAACGCCTTGAAGAACGAACTCGACCCCCTTTTCTGCACCGACCATGGGATGACCCGGGAACGGCTGCACGAAGTCATCCAATGCATCGCCCAATCTGCCGTGAAGATGGATTTGTGCATGGAACTCGACCGGGGGAGCTGAGATGTCATCTCTCGTCACCCGGATACCGGTGCTCTGTCTGGCTTCCCGCTCGAGACCGCCCAGAGGGCCGACGGCTTCCAGATGGCACCAATAGGCTCGAGGCCTCTCGAGGTCCTGTCGTCTTGTAAGCGGCACTGGCGCCCCTTCACTTCCCCTGCGATACTGGCTTGCTGACGCAGTTTAACAGTCGACGGCCGGAACATCCAACTTATCACCACGCCTCAATTGCGAATGCGTGGGAACTACTATGGATGTGCCAACGGCTTACCAATGATCCAGAAGTACCGGATGACGGTCTTGACGGACAAACCTGGTCCCCCTATCCCAGTCGAGAAAGATGGCGGTGTTACTGTTAGTACGGGAACATCGCCAGAAGGTGCATGATTGTATTGGTTGGGGGGTAGGGACGGTGGGACGGGGGGACGGGGGGTGTCTCAAGGCACACAGACGGAGAGGCCGTCAGATGTGGAAGTGGCGGGTTGCTAAAGGCTGCATTTAAACGTACTAGTAGGCGGATGGTCCTGTGAGGTACGAATCGGTACGGTAGAAAATACCAACCACGGTTGTCGCTGCGTGCTGTTACATGAGGGAGCCGCCTCATCACCGTAGTATCAGACTCGGGGAAGGGGCATCTCAAGTTCTGCTGTCGAACCTCGCTTGCTCTACGAGTACTCCGCAATCTCACGCTCCAGGTAATCGTCTCAATCAGCAGAAATAGTACCATATTGTACAAGTTACACCTAGAATACATGCATCATGCTATGCACATCCATGTGCTCTAGTTATTCATGTCCCTCTTCCGATGAGCATGCCCTGCCCATGACCACCACACACCCCCACCCGGCAAATACAACAACACCTGGGTTGTATCCCCCCTGTATCCCCCTATTCGCCGCCACCACCTCGATCGCACGCCAGCAGGCCAACATTCAACCCGCGACCACCTCCCGCCCGAGGCGCTTAGCCTCTCCGCAGGTACCAGTTGAAGGCCAGCTGGGACAGCACGGGGGCGAACGGGGTGGGGACCTCGGACAGGCCCGGGCGGGCGACGGGGTGGCGGAGGTAGACGGCGGCGCAGATGTTCTGGTTGACCTCGAGGTAGCGCGGGATGAAGGCGAAGGGGGACATCCAGTCGCGGGGCTTCCAGGGGGTGGCGTAGGGCTTGGAGTCGTCGCGCGGGTTCTCGGCCTCGCGCCGCATCATCCACAGGAGCACCGTGCGCTGCTGGGCCGTCAGCAGGCCGACCTTGGCCGCCGCGCTGCCGCTGCGGAGCATCTTGGCCACGTCCGGGCCTTGCTGCTCTTGCTGCTTCTTCCACTCGATCGTCGCCTTCTTGGCCTTGGCGGCTTGCTGCGTGTATGAGAGGGACATCTCGGAGAGGAGGTCGGTCAGCTCCCGTTCGGCTTGGTTCATCTCCGCTACGGACGGGTCGTCGGCTTTCCGGCTGCGGTTCATGGTCTCCTTGATCTGCACGAGCAGCTTGCGGAGCGCCTTCTTCTCCTTGGCACGCATGACCTGGTCTTTCATCGACATGACGTTTTGGGCGCGTGTTTTAAGCTCTCTGAGGGTTTTAAAGTGCTTCGACTTGGCGGCGTCCGCATCGACGGTTTCCGCCGCACCCTCTGCCGCACCCTCTGCTGCACCTTCCGCCGCGCCTTCGGCGGTTTCGGTGGCTTCTCCTTCGGCGACCTCGCCTTCTTCCCCTTCGCTCGTCTCGGTGTTTTTGGGTGCTTTTTGATTGCGGTTTGGCCTCTTCGGTTGCCCGGTTGCTGTCATGACCCGCTCGATATCGACTTGGAACATGTCACCCGGGTTGAGGAGGTAGCCGGGGTACGTCATCTGGCGATTCGAGAAAGGTTAGCGAGCTGGAGCGGCCGCCCCGCGCGGGGCTGCGTTGTGTTTTTCAAGGGTAAAAATGCACCTTCTTCCCGTTCACCGTCACGGCTCCGTGCAGCACAAACTGCCGGGCTTGTCTCGCACTGCTAGCAAAGAGGGCGCGGAAGATGGCGATATCGAGTCGGCGTTCCATCGGAGCGAATATCATCTGCATGTACGGCGTCGCTTGATTGAGGTTGCCCCTGTTCCGCGGCCCTGGAATGTCGGAGCCATCCGCCATTTTTCGGCCCGACCCACGGCCGGCGGCTTGCTCGCTGCCATCGTGCTGAGCCATGTAAGCCGGATCCATGTTGATGGCGGCGAGAGAGCGGCGGCTGAACATGCGCTCCCACTGGTATTCCTTGATGTGCTCGCCGTGGTAGCCGCGGGTCAGGGATTTGGACATCCATTTCTGCTGGAAGAAGGTTTTGGACTGGAGGAAGGGCGTTCGGAGGCGAGAGAGGTTAAACAAGTTGTACTTGTTCCATGTTTGGCGCACACGCTGCAAGGGCCAGACGGGGTCAGTCGAGAGGTGGGGGTGGCAGATGCGGTGGTAGAGGGGAAGAGTGAACCCACGGGGCGCTTCAGGCCGTGAAACCTCAACAACCTGCGTTGCTTCATGGTGGTGGGTCTGTCGGCTTGTCGGTGCCGTTTATCTGTCTATTTGTCTATAGGGACTGTGTCGTTGTCGTTGTAGTCGTAGTCGTCGTTGTCGGGCTTGTCCCTACGTTGGGGGAATATAATTGCCGTCGGGTTGGTGTGCCCCCGCCGTGGTTTAGCCCCGGCCTTGCACTGTCATGTGGTGTACCAAGCCGCCAGATAAATCACCAAAAATCCCGACACCTCAATGGTGAGCTAGAGGGGGGTGTATTCGCGGTGTTGCTCTGCCTCGAACAGCTGTAATCGCCCGAAAAAGTTTCCCTCTCTCCAATTCGACCCGACGCGATCGCTCACGTGAGGACCAGGTTCCTGGGTGAAATTTCGCTGAATTTCCGTTCATTGACAACCCAAATGTCCTTCGTGCAGGACTGCGCATACATTACATTCGTTACGCCTTGTATTACGGACCCACTTCATTGCGGCTTTTACCGTTGCGGAGACCATCTTGGCGCTTCTGCAACAAGCTCCTTGGGCGGGCGGTGAGGGGCGGCAAGCGGAAAATCTCCAATTGATGAGCGACAATCGCAGTGTGGGGTTGCCGTCTTGGTTTTTGCAAACGCGCTTGTCAATGGACGGAGCCTCCAAGTCGCGCCAATCGATCCGAGGAATTCAAGAACCAAAAGTAGAGATGGCTCCTTGTGGTTCATGGTCGCGTGCAAAGAGTAGCTGCAATGATGGCGTGCCCCCGCTGAGCCCCCTCAGGCAACAAGATTGAATTTCAATCACCCATGATCCGTTTTGACTCTTTCTGTTCCGGCTCCGGTGACTCTTTTTCGAAGGCGGTACATCCCTGTGACTCTGCTGAACCTCGACGCTACGGTCGCTACCCCACCAACAATTTTGTGCAGCAGCTCTCCCTCCTCCAACAAGGGCACATGCACCCAACTTTCTTCATCTGCTCACAGACTTTTCGCTCTTGCGCAGACTGGCTGACTCTTCTTTCCCTCCAACCACTTTTCCATTCGAGACATTCGGGTAGATCTTTATCGTCTGTCAATTGCTCAATCCCACTTCTCATCTCATTTCGACTACATCTCGTTCGGCGCACAGCCACTCGTCGACATGAGCGACGGTGCCATCAAGGAGCAGGCCGACGCGGCCGCTGCCGCCGTCGAGGTGCAGCCTGTGGAGGAGGCCGCCCCGGCTGTTGAGACCACCGATAACAGTGCTCAAGACACGAAGAATGGCGAGGACAAGAAGCCCGATAACATTCTGAAGACGACTGCCAGAATCAACCACAAGGATTTCAAGCAGAACCGCAAGTACGACCCGACCACTCAGCCCGTGTCAGATGACCCGGCCAAGATCCGCGCCCAGGTATGTGATGCCCCCTACAACGGGAATTCCTTGCGCGACCGTGCACCGACTGACCCCGCCCCCCTAGGTTGAGTTCTACTTCAGCGACAGCAACCTGCCGACCGACAAGTTCATGTGGGAGAGCACCGGTGGCGAGGAGAACAAGCCCATGTCGCTCAAGACCATCGCCAGCTTCAAGCGCATGCGCCAGTTCCAGCCCTACAGCGCCGTCGTTGCCGCCCTGCGCGAGAGCACCTTCCTCGACGTCGAGGGCGAGGAGGGCGAGGAGACGCTCAAGCGCAAGACGCCCTACGTGTCCTCCAACGACGCCCAGCGGGCCCGCGTGGCCGCATCCGTCTACGCCAAGGGCTTCGGCGACGAGGAGGCGTCCACCCAGTTCGACATCGAGGCCTTCTTCTCTACCCACGGTCATGTCAAGCACGTCAAGCTGCGCCGCACCGCCGAGGAGCTCTTCAAGGGCTCCGTCTTCGTCGAGTTCGGGACAGCCGAAGAGGCTGACGCCTTCGTCCAGCTGGACCCCAAGCCCACGTGGAAGGGCCACGATCTGTTGATCATGAAGAAGAAGGACTACCTGGACGAGAAGAACAGGCAGATCAAGGCAGGCGAGATCGAGCCCAACACCAACCGACGCAACGCCTTCTTCGAGGGTAAGGAGCGCGGATCAGATCGTCGCGGGCGTGGAGGCCGCGGAGGCCGGGGACGTGATGACCGCAACGGTCGGGAGGGCAGGTCGGAGGGGGGTGAGAACGGCCACAAGAACGGCTTCAAGGGCGGTCGGGGTCGTGGCAGGGGAGGGAGGGGCGGTCGTGGTTTCCGCGGTGGTCGTGGTGGTCCCCGTGGCCGCGACAACAACAACAGGGATCGTGACGAGAAGAAGAGCGAGGAGACCCGGCAGAACACCAATGAGTATGTCCCCGCACCACCAGTCGTACACTTTGTCATTCTTTACTTACTAACAACCCTTACAGTGTTCAAGTGCCCACTATCCAATCCACCGCTAAGAACGGCGACACTAATGGCAAGCGCGCCCGCGAAGACGACGGCGGCGACGCGCCTCCCGCAAAGAAGGTCGATAGCAAGGCAGCAGCTGTTGCGGCGCAATAGGGGAACGGAGTTCTGGTCTGAGTCATTTGATGGGAACGGCAAACGAAAAGAACACAAAAGCTCAAGGAGGGAGGAGACAGGACGTGGAATGCCTGGCATTTTGCTCCCTCCCTTCCGACACATTCCCTGTGTTGGTTGGGGTATCCGACTGAGCTGATGGGCTGAGTTGTAAATTATCCGATACGGATGGCGTTTTTCGGCTGGTCTGTTTTTAAATTCATTTTCTTTCCCCACTAGACGGTTGTCACTTGCCATATAACATAGCGATAACGTTAAGTCATTTGAGCATGCCGTGTGGTTGTGGTGGGTGATGTTTGTGACGGCATCTGTCCTTCGGCAGCCATGACCCCCACCACTTCGGTATCGCCGCCATGGCTCGTGATATTACAATGGATCTAAACAAACCCCGTTTTCCCGTCCGCCATCTTCCTGGCCTTGAAAGTATTGGGTATCTGAGCTCAAAAAACCAAACCGCGCCGCCTGAATAACCCATGACTAGAAAATCAACCACCAATGCCTCGCACGTCCTCGGCCCTGTCGACGGTTTGCCGTGATTGCCGCTTGCGAGCTATGAAAAGGGGACCCACTTCGCAGAGCATCGCACACACAAACGCATCTATTGAGTCGATTAGCGGTCGGAAGATGGGGTTGAGCGATGGGGTTGGTGGCTCCAACGTACCGAAAACCGGCCGTGCCACCTGTTAAGGCCTCCGGAATAAAGGCACCCCAGCCGCTACGTCGTCGGAGTGTGATTCGATCGAATGAGCGGGCTGAAACGGCTCGTCGCCGTTGGACTCCACGACAGAAGCGAGTTGGCTTAGTGGCGGATGTGAGCAAGACGGGGCTGGTGGGGAGAACCCAAATGTAACTGACTCGCAAGGATCGTTCATAAACCAACAATATAAAACAAGATCAGGAGGGACTTTGGTTGATTGCAGCAGCGAGGTGCAACTGACAGCCCCAGCCCTCCCGGATAACCATTGGCCCAGTGTATGGGCCATGACAGTGGTCCTACACACCCCCTTGGAGGGAAAGGCCGGGCAGCTGGGACCCGAACTAGCGACGGCCAACCCCATGCGCAGGGGCCTTAAATCAGATCGAACCCGACCCTAGATTCTATCCGGCCGGGTTGCTTCTGAGCAGGTCATACAGCGACTGTTCGCCGTCCATGCTGCTGTAGGTGTGGCTCGACAAGTTCATCGACCTTTGTTGCTGCGCTGGGTGACTATGGCTGCCGTGACCCCCGTGCTCGCGCCCATGCGACGTGCCCGCCGCGGCGGAGTAGGAGTTGCTCACGCTGCCCGCGGCCGCCGAGTTGTAGCCAGAAGACGCGCTGTTGGTGGTTGCCCCAAAACCGTATCCCCAGTTCTGGTGGCTGCCACTGGCCTGTTGCTGCGGCTGTTGCTGCTGGCTCATGTTGTTCACATACCCGTTGTAGCTTGGCTGTTGTTGGGATTGTTGGTTGTGCTGCTGCCTTTGCTGTTGTTGCAGTTGTTGGTTATATGCACTCGATGGGCCTCGAGGTTGAGTTGGTGGCGGTCGCACGCTAAAACCTTGTAATGCCTGCGACGGTGGAGGATTGGAAGCTGCGTTGTAGGATGCCGCCCTTGTGGCCGACTGAGTAGCGTTGTACGCATGCGTATTCGCGGATTGAGGAGTCGGCGTTGAGGCTGTCCATTGCGCTGCGCTTGCCGTCGCGGCTGGGTTGGAGGAATACGACGAGGCCACGTTCTGTGATGCTGTCGCTGGGTATGTGGCGGATGCTGTATTCGACATTCGAGCATCATAGTTATCAGTCGAGTACGAGCTCGGCTGATTGGAGGTTTGGTTGGGATATGGTTGGTACGACACGCGCTCGCTAGAGGGCTCAGCTTGAGTGTTGCCATTTTGATATTGGCTATAGCCGTATCCTTGAGCCGGGTTAGGCTGGACCGCCGAGCTGGACTGGGTCGCGGTAGAGGGAGCATGATTATTTTGACGCGACGTGGCGCGAGCAGGTTGAACGGCAGCCTGGATCGGCGAGTTGCGGGCCGGCTGTGTGGCGACGGGCTGGCCAGCATTTCCCCAGCCTGATGCCGGCTGTTGCAGGGAGCCGTCGTGCGCCTTTGATACAGGTGCAGATTTCTTAGCTCTGGCTTGCCTCGGCGAGGTCCTGGTTGCTTGGGAGGGAGTGCTAGACATTGATTGCCAGGCAGCTTGATTGTCCGTCGTGGCGCTCGCGTTACCTCCGTTGGCGGGCTGGCCGACCGGGAGACTACGCCTTGATGCTGTGGCCGGGGTTCCCGAACTTCCACGCCCACCCTGTTCGACGGCAGGAGCTGGCCTTCGATGGGCCGCTGGGGGCTGAGGATGGGTGTACCCGTGCAACGAGGCCTCGGGGGCTTCTGATCCCGAGTTTGGCGTGTAGTCCGGCTCTATTGCGGCCGACGGAATGTTGGATTGGCGAAGTTCCGTGGAAACAGTGGCGCTAACTTGTGGGAAGCTTAGTCCAGAGGGGTGCTGATAAATGCCATGGACCTGGTTGAACACGTCCGACGGGGTCTCAGCCTGATGGGCCGTTGATTCAGAGACCGGCACGTTCACTGCCTGGTCGAGATGACCGTCGTAGTGTTCCTGGGCCGGGGCTGGCTCATGTGGCGGCTGGACAACGGGTGCGATATTTAAACCTGGTGAACCCAAACCATCCGGCTCTTCGACCGGCATTGCTGGCCTGGCCTGCTCGGCGGCTTCTGGAACTGTGTCGGCTGCCTTGCTCTGCCTTGACTTTGAAGCAGGAGGGTAAACGCATGCGACACCATCCCTGACGCACATTGAGCAAGATGGTTTTACTTTGTCGCACTACACTGCTGTTAGTTTTCATATCGATCAGACAAGGAAGCGAACCACCAACCTTGCTCTTGTACTTCTTGATGCGGCAGTTGTCGCAGATGCGCCACTGCCTCCGTTCACCGACCTCGGAGCTCTGTGTCCTACCCGTTCCCGCACCTCCCGTCTCTGGTTTCTTCCGTGATTTCTTCGGGTTCACAGGTTGGGGGACTCCCGTTGCTACCGGGCTAGAGTTGTTCGCATCGGTAGGAGTTGACTGCTCTGCAGAGCTCGACCCATCCTTAGTGGGATGAACTATGCGCAGTCTCTCGGCGCCATACTCGAGCAACATCGCCAGAGAGTCGTTTTGCAGTTCCGGCGACTGGTTGGCAAAGATATTGAACTGTTCGGCCGACAAAGTTTTCGGGTCAAGATTATTGTCACTGAGTAGTTTGATTGCCACCTCCCGCCGCCTTGCGGCCTCTCCTGGAGGCAGATTGAGGATTGAATGAGCATGCACCCCACTATTGATGGATGCCGTGGCCGCATCGTTCGCAGCGCCCACAAGCCCCTCCGGGTAACTGCCCGAACCGCCCGGCTGCGGACCATCGGGGGTTCCTCCTTGGGTGTTGTAAAGCTGGCGTGCTGATGGATCACCCACTGGAAGGGCACCCGGCATTTCCGGGGGCAGAACAGCGCCAGACGGCGCGATCGGAGCGAGAGAGTCCTTCTTCTTGCGGCTCCTTTTCGGTTGTGACCCCTCCCCGACCGTGATGCCGTTCTCTCCTGCCCGCTTTTTCGAGGGCCTCGGCGTCTTCGGCTTAGGTTCCTTCGGTGGCCTCGGCTCCTTTGGCGCCTTTGGCTCCTTGGCCTTCTTCGCTGGGGTCTTGATCACGGGTGCAACCGGTGGCGGCGCAAGTAGTTCCATAAGCTGCGCAACGGTCTTGTGAATTGGGGTATGTTCGTATTTTACATCGATGGTCTTGGTCGATTTGGAGAAGGCGATCTTAACGGAACCCCGGCAATCGAACGCCGGACGAGCTGGGAGGCCCTGGTTAGCAACGATAGATACTCGCATCAAAAGCGCGGGCTCGCGTACCCAAGTGAATCGGATCTTGCCCGCCCTTCTCACTCCATTCTCCAATGACCGTCTTCGCAGGCGTCTTGGAGGCCTGACGGTTCCACGCCTGCCATGAGTCCTTGCAAATGTAGGTAAACGTCCAGCCCTGCTCGCTGCGCGAGACCTGCCGCACCGTCCAATTGCTCGAATCCACCGCTCTCAGCGACATGATGATCTGCCTTGCGATCGTGGTCTGTAGGGCCGGGTCGTCGACCGGCTGGTTGACAAGGGCATCAATGGCATTGACTCTCCTCGCTGGTTGGCCTGGATTTCCGTTTGCAGCGGTCACCGCGCTCGACCGTGCTACTCCCAGTAGCGGGTCGATGTTCGACACGCCCTCGGGAGCCTCATTTTCCGCATCGGTAACGGGAATTTCGAAGGTCGCAGTCGCCCGAATTTCGAACGTCACCGAAGTGTGGTCGGCACGCGTTTCGGTGACGCGGTTGTGAAGCAGATCGCGTAGTTGCGCTTGGAGATCAGCTACAGAGCCGCAGGCCGGGTTCGACTGGCCGGCGCCCAGCAGCGCCTCCATTGTCGGTCGCCTTTTTCGATCAGGTTGTGCAGTGTGTCCTCATCTCTGGGTAAGAAAAAAAAGGGCGGGGCCGGTGAACTTCAATCGAAAACCGATACGGTGTCGGGATCTCGGCCGTGGTGGGGCGTGCGATACGTCGCAGGTGCCGACGGAAATCGAAGTCGCCTTGCAAACGCGGGAATGTTGAAGCTCGGAGCAAAGCAGCCGCGTGCTTGCGTGTGTTGGAGAACCAGTCAGAGCGAGCAGGGGAGTGGTATAGTGGGGTTGGTGGGACCCTCCCCGGGGAAGGCACCCGGCCGCCTCGCTACTTCGGAGGAATCTGGAGATACGGAGGAAAGATTGTACGAAAACAAAAACAATAAATTCAAGATACCTACCAGGTAGTTTGTCGTTTCAAGACGGATCTCACCGACTTCCAGTCCCAATTCCTCAACTTGATTGCGCCAGTCACAGGGGTACTCTCAAAAAACATCACGAGATAATATTCGTGAAGTAGTAGTATAGGTACACTTTAGGTTTCTCCGCTCCGCTATAGCATCATCATTCCAAGCCAACCTAGAAGCAGCTGATACCAAAGAGAAAGATTCTTCCTGCATTCACGCGTTTTCCTCGATCCACTGTTCCAACTTCTCCACCAAGTCCGCCTTCTTACCCACTGCACTGACTCCCTTACTCGCCAACACATCCTTCAGCTCTGCCACCGTCATCTTCTTGAGCGTGTCTTGTTCGAAAGCAACCCTGAGCTGCGCATTGCTCAACTGACCTCCCGCTGCTTTCTTCGGGGCGGGCTTGGTGCGCTTCGCTAGCGGCCGGCTCACTTCCTCGTCCTCCGCCTCACGCTTCATTGCTCTGCTCTTCATGAGCCCCCCAGCCTTCTCGGCGAGTGCTTCCTTCCAGTCGGCTAAATACCCGCCAACCCGCTTGTCGATTTGTTTATACTTTGGGATCGTTGCATCGTCCAAGGTTTCTGGTACGTCCTCTTCGAGTGCCATGGCCTGCAGGATCTTGTAATGCCATTGCAAGGACGGGTTGGGGTATTTTAGCGGGTTGTACATGGCTTTTGGTAGCTGGAGGTTCTGGACGATCTCCCGCATCTTGTCCGTGAGCTCGTCGGCCGGCTTTGGTGGTGCTGACAGATCCACGTTCCTGACATCGTCGGCAAAGGGAAGCGGGTACAGCCATAGTCCCGCCGGGAGATATGGCGTCTCCGATGTCTCATCGTCCATCGCTCTTGAAGGGATGATGGCCACCATGATGGGATTCGCGTTTTCGCGGGCCACAAACCATGCGATTCCGACCTTGTCCGCGTCGAGCAGTTTCTGCCACAACGCAGAGAATACACGGGTGGAGCCGACAAATTGCTCTTCGCTCGGGAAGATGAAGATAGACTTCTTCACCGAAGCCCACGTCGGCAACAGAGAGCGCGGCTTGAACCCGATGACTCGAAGCACCTTTCCCCCGAGGTTCTTTAACGATGCCGCTTCCTCGGGTTTGAAGTGAATGTACTCGCCGCCGAACTTGTACGCCTTCTTCACCTCGGACTTATCGACAGTCCTCGTTGCTGAATCAACTTTGATGGTCTCGGATTGGGCAAGCTGCGCTTGCTCCCCCCCAAGCCAAACGTAGCATGTGCGTGCAGGCTGTTGGCGATGGAGAGGCATGTAGCCCTTTACTGATATTGTGACATTGGGCGCAATTTCGAAGTGCAGGTTCGAGAAATACGCCCGTTTCGGTGTCTGTTTTGAGTTGATGTTGGATATAAGGGAGTTCAGGAGGCTCAGGCCATCGCCCGACTTGGAGGTCTTGACCTCATCTGAAGAACCCGCCTCAGTCGCCGGGTCGCGATAAATGATATCCTAGGCCAAAGTTAGGACGTGTTCAGCCAACCACGAGGGGGAAACCTACGTCATAGAATTTGGACACATCAAAGGCTTTTCCTTCGTGGCTAACGGGGAAAAGTTCGATGACAACACCAAGGTCATAAAGATCCTTCGCGCGTACTGCTGCCGCAGACTTTGCCGCCTTGTCCTTTCCATGTGGACTATCGTTGTCCGTGATAATGAACAGCCGTCGGGAGCCAAAGTTTGCCGCATTGGTGGTGAACACCTGATTGGCGCAAAAGAGCACATTGGCCATAGACGCGGGCTCCTTCGCCGGGACAAGCACTTCGTCTGGGTCTTCCCCTTCCTCCACCAATTCCTTCAGGTTCTTGACGTCCTCAGCAGCGGGGACGTCAAGATCGGTAAAGAGGTAGCAGTGAGGGTACCCAGAGCTGCGGCCGCCAACCTCGTCACGGAACTTTGACTTTTCTGTGCCGAAGAGCAGGATTCCCATCATATCCTTAGGTTGCGCAATGATGCGTTGCTGCATGAATTGATAGGCGCATTTCAGGGCTGCAGCAATAGCCGAGTCCTTGTCCGCCTTCTTCTTGTCCGTAGCCGGGGGCTGTTGAAGCATCGACGAGCTGACATCAATCGCAAACAACACGGCATCTTTTTGTGTCTTGTAATCCTGGTAAATGTCAGCGGAAGAGTCAAGAGGAATGAATGACTGGGGAATCTCACAGTCTCATCCAGCTCTTCCTCTCCCTCATCCGCATCTGGCCGCCTGTCGTCATCACCTCCCCACGCCATTGTCGAGTAATTGGCAATCTAGAAGCCTAATTAATGTGTTGGATGTTTGTGCAATTCAAGTTTGGAGGTTGAACTTGTTTTTTTGGTTTGTTGTCGTGTTGAAAACGAAAGCCGGCGCAAAGTTTGGATGCAAGACGGATAAGTGCAGGTGCGACGCGACGGGATTCTAGGCTGACACGCCTGCCTAACGCCAGAACATGTGACGACCTCTCGAGCAAGTTGTCAGCGCAGCGCAATTGATCAATGCTAATTGGCCGCAATAATCCCCGCGAATCTGCAACGTCATGGCGATGCCAAGAACGCAAGTTGTCGGTCTCTGATCTTGCCGTCGCCGACGGGCCCGGAAAGTACGAGTGGAGAGTGATCTGGCCCTTCCTTCTCCTGCCTTCGCCACCACCGTTCCAAACGGTGTCAGCTTCAATTCGAGAGTCAATTAAAGACTTCCCCGGCCTGGCTGTGTGATTGTCCCCTTTTGTTATTTTTCGCACGTCGACCCCTCCTCCTGATTCCGCCCAAGTCGCCTCGGATTCTCCGTGTCCGCTCCGTTCCAATATGGCCCTCCGACTCCCCGCCGCGATGCGGCCCCTCCGGACCTTCGGACTCGTGAAACCGTCGGCACAACAAGTACGATGGCTTGCGACGCCGGCTCACCCAGTCACTCGGGACTCTGGGCCCGGGACGGCCATGGTCTTCCTCAACATGGGTGGACCATCAACGACCGACGAAGTGGGCGACTTCCTCAGCAGGTTATTCGTGGGTAGACCCCATGTTTTCCAATGCGATTCGCCAGATTCGCGCCGCTAACTGGCACACAGTCCGACGGCGACCTCATCCCCCTTGGCCGGCTCCAAGGCTACATCGGCCCGCTCCTCTCCAACCGGCGCACGCCCAAGATCCAGAAACAATATGCGGCCATCGGCGGCGGTTCACCCATCCGCAAGTGGTCCGAGCATCAATGCGCCGAGATGTGTAAGATCCTCGACAAGATCTGTCCCGAGACGGCGCCGCACAAGCCCTACGTAGCCTTCCGCTACGCGAACCCGCTCACCGAGGACATGTACCGGCAGATGTTGGCCGACGGGTTCGGCAACGGCCGCGGCGGCCGCGCAGTCGCCTTCACACAGTACCCCCAGTACTCGTGTTCGACCACAGGGAGCAGCCTGAACGAGCTGTGGAAGTGGCGGCAGCGGCTGGAGGGCAAGGCCGGGCCGCTGGAGGACGGGAACGATGGGACTATCAAGTGGAGTGTTATTGACCGGTGGCCGGCGCATTCGGGCTTGGTTGAGGCGTTTGCGCAGAACATCGAAGCCAAGTTGCAAGAGTACCCAGCGGAGAAGCGGGACAAGGTCGTGCTGCTCTTCTCGGCGCACAGTTTGCCCATGACAGTGGTGAACAGGGGTAGGCACTCCCCCCCAATCAAGGCCGCTTCACTTTGCACCATTAACAGAATTACAGGTGACCCCTACCCCGCCGAAGTGGCCGCGACCGTCCACGCCGTGATGCAGCGGTTGAACAACGTCAACCCCTATCGGCTGTGCTGGCAATCCCAGGTTGGCCCGCAGCCCTGGCTCGGCCCGCAGACGTCCAGCTCGGTGGAGGACTACATCGCCAAGGGCCAGAAGGACCTCCTGCTGATCCCGATCGCCTTCACGTCCGACCACATCGAGACGCTCTACGAGCTCGACGAAGAAGTCATCGGCGAATCCGGGCACGCCGACACGGTCAAGCGCGTGGAGAGCCTGAACGGCAGCCCGGTGTTCATCCAGGCGCTCGCCGACCTGGCCAAGTCGCACCTCGCCAGCGGGATCGCGTGCTCGACGCAGATGGGCCTGAGGTGTCCGGGCTGCAAGAGCGAGAGGTGTGCCGAGTCGAAGAAGTTCTTTGCGAGCCAGCAGGTATAAGTGGGTCGCTGCAGTCCGGGGGGGGGGGGGTTGTGGTGTATATGCTATTAACGGGGTGTGAAATGTATGTACACTATCGCGGCTCGCTGATGTGTCGACCGCAACTGGGAGAAAATTGCTTGGAAATAAAATAGAACATGCCCCGTTCAGCCTCCATCATACATTCATAAGTTTCTGTCATCGGTTTCGGGTCAAGCTCCGTTACCGCGAAAGCACACATCAAACATGGTGTGGTGCCACAGCACATGGAGAGTTTCCCGTGTACATGGTGTTGCGTCGCCCTCCCCGCGACCCGTCTCACCCCGGAATCGAGCCGAGGTTAAGCCCGCCGTTGGGCTTGTGGCCAAGTATACGAACTGTGGCCCGGAAGTTTGAGCCCCATTGAGGAAATTGACCTCGTAAATGCCAAGATTGCCTCAGCCTGCACGGCATTTATTGCGATGCCAGGGTCTTGCATGACGGAGCTTGGCGGAAATGCTTGACTTGACGTTTTTCTTGACCATTCTCGACTCACAGCTGCAGGCGGCTTGCTGGCAAGACATGGGGGGAGATGTGGAGGAGGTGTTTGGTTCGGGGCAAGTAGCCGACGGCCGGAAACAACGGGAACAAACGGGTCGAGCCGGGCTGATTAATTGGCGATAGCTGGTCTGTCTGTTAGTGATACATTTTGGTCATGTTCCCTTCGCCGGCCCAGGGTGCTGATTCCACACCCTTTGTGGTGAAAGCCCTGCCGGTTTGACTGAGGGTGTGATATCGTCTGGTATGTCCCACCACACGGGCATGACGCAAGAGACATTCTTTTGGTCCCCCAAGGATTAAATATACCTAGAGGTGTATGGGTTCCCTCAAGAAAAGAATATCAACAACATCCCGCAGCCCCTCTTCCCCGACCAACCTAGGGATTTTACTCGGAAGTGGCTTACCGCCGAGCGTGGACCAAAGCCCTAGCATGGGCTTGACCGCTTGGAGCTCCACGTATGGAAGGGGGACGGCCCGATGCCGTTTCCCTAGCGCCCTTCCAGAATGTGTCACCCCCGATGACGACGAGGGGCAGCTAGTGGGTGGCCAATCCGGGCTCCCCGTGTAACAAGCGTCGCTGTAACCGTAGCGACTATCGGAGGAGCGGTAGCGGCTCGAGCAGCAAGGCTAGGTCCGGATCAGTCGGCAGCCTATGTCGGCAGCCGCCGTCGAGGTAGCATTCGCTGTGGCATCCGTGCCAGTCACGGCAAGAGAGAAGATGACTGCATCCATCCTATAACCGCCGGCATGCCAGTCGCAGGAGCAGTCATGGTAATTGCTGCACGAGTGAGCATAATAAGACTGGTTGCAGTTGTGGTGCTATGAGGAGGGAATATCGTAGGTTCCAGACCGGTTGGGGGTTTGGATGGACTGCCGTTACTGCCGTAGCTACCGTGCTTGCCTGCGGGAAACCCCATAGAGCCCTCCCTTACGAGGGCGGGTTTGTAATCCCACCTAGCGACACCCAACTCCCCAATGCCTCCCTCTCTCGACTGAGCGCCACTTCGGCATGGTCGCTGTTGCGGGCGCAAACAAGTTAACTCAACCGATAAAAGTTGGTGAGTTGGAGCTATCTTATTTCGGACGGCTATCGAGACAGAGAGCTAGTGATAGCAGAGCATATGCCGTAGCTTGCCTCTGCAGAGCCCACGTTGGATAACGTAGGGCCCATAAGTCTGGTTGAGGTCGTGCGACTGGCCGCCAAAGATATCTAAGCAGAGTGAGCGCATGTTGAATTAATTATCTGGAAGTGAACGCGCAAGTGGGGGGTTGCAGAGACCACGGCGGCAGGAACAGGGAGTCGCCGCAGTATGCCCGGGTTGAGCACGGAGCGGCAACAAGAAAGTGTGTTGAAATTATCACCCTTTCCGACCTTAGCAATTCGTTTTGGTCAGAGATCGAATTGGACCAGTGTATCAACCTCCCCACAGGGTGGAAACCACAGGATTCGGCATCTTGATCGTTTCGTGGCTGTAGTGCCTCGAATCCTGACCATGATGGTGACCTTTGGCGGTGCTCGACTCGGTAGCTGGGCAGGTGGGAGTGCTCTGGACATTCTGTATGTACCCTACCTATCGAAGGTACCTATGTACGAAGAGAATGCGATATGCCAATATGCAATTAGTAGGTATTCAGCACCTTCGTGAGTGAGTTCTTGGCGGACTTCTTCCTGCTCCAATCCCACGACGCCTGCATCAGATCCGCTGACAATTTGGTTCCCCCACGCTGGGTCTCGCCCCGACGATCTTCCCACCGGCCTCTGGTGCCCCAGTCTTGGCAGCATCCCTTCCCCCTGAGCAGGATGGTGACGCAACTTTCAGGTCCTCACCCACCAGGGTTGCTGTGGGCTGCCAAACTCTCGCGGGGCTTCGAGGGACGTTGGGGGCTTTCCCCGATCGAAGTATTATTTCTGCACACATCATATTGAAGAACACGGACTGTTTCCTTGACAGCGAGCACCTGAGATGCCAAGGGGCTAATTGGCACGTGAGCGGTTTCTGCTCCAGTCAACGCAACGCAGGGTAGGCAGGCCCCAGAGCAGCCCGTCAATTCAGCCGTCATCGCACCGCCAGTGCGTGCAGCGGCGCTCATCCCGCAACTTTCACCACGGGCAGCGTTATCTCCTCCTTGTTGTCGCGGGATTTCCGAGCTTATCGTTGCACTTTCCCACAGCCAGTTGAATCCCACCTCCTCGCAACCCCTCCGCGTGTCCCCCCGGCTCGAATTACCGCCGCACACCTTCCAGGTTGTTGCCGGCTCAGCCGCCCGTGGGTTCGCCACCCATGCCATCGAAAGTGAGCTTGTTCTGGGTCCCTGCGCTGCGGCCCCAAAGCATCCGGGGGATATTTTGGAACCTGGAAAAGCCGCAGTCTCACCCCGCCTTTTTTATGCCGAATCACCAGCAGATAGTTATCCGATGCTACAAAGCGGTGTAGTGTGCGCTGCCAAACCAGCGGTTCCCGCTCATGCGCCCACCAGGTATATAATGCGAGCAATGGCATTGATGGCTTTTGAATATCGACCTAGGAAGACAGGACCTACACTCCTTACCTCGACAACCGAGTCAGGACCCGTGGACCGCTCTCTCTCCCTCTCGCCATAATCGAAGCATTACTTGGTACTGTGCAATTGATTACCCGCATGCTGCCAAGGCTGTCTCCAAGGCAAACCGCCGAGATAAAAGCGCGATTGGAAACTCTCCTTGTCTGGTTGCTCCCACCATCCGCGCTCGCCTAAACGCGACTCGGTAACAATTACCTACGATATTACCTCTTCAGGCCCAAGAGCGTTGCAAGTGGGCCGCTAGAACGAGGCCGGCGCTCCCCCCGGGCCCCAGCCATTGTTCCTGATTTGGCCCCCGCATTCCCATCAACCGAGAGCAATTGCCTGCAGGCCGTCAGGAGTTGCGCTGGACATTCACTTTCGTCTGAAAAAAGAGCGCGAAGGTGTCAACATACCGAAGGTACGGATACTAGCCAGGAACACCGCCGATTTCCCCACCAACCCCGGATTTCGGATTCGCGGGGCTCCAGTAAATTGCGCCAAACCCGCTGGAAACCCGCCGCCGCCGCCTCGATTGCCGGATGCACTTCCCGCAACTGCAATGCCCGGCCACGACACACCCCCGGTTTCTCTCCACCCGGGCGGGCAAGACGATTACGGCGCCTTCGCCGAGCCCTCCCGGCCGCCGCCGACATCCTCCAAGAAGAAATCACGACGCGCCGCCGATCCCGCCAACCAGAAACGGCGATGTGTCAGCACCGCCTGTATCGCTTGCCGGAAGAGAAAGTCCAAGTGCGATGGCGCGATCCCCAGCTGCGCGGCCTGCGCCAGCGTCTACGGCACCGAGTGCGTCTATGACCCGAACTCGGACCACCGCCGGAAAGGCGTGTACCGCGAAAAGACAGACAGCATGAAAGCCCGGAACTCGACTCTCCAGGTGCTGATCGAGGCCATCCTAAACGCGGCCGAGGACGACGTGCCGACCATCGTGAGAAAGATACGCACATGCGACAGCCTCGATTCCGTGGCAGAATCCATACTCAGAAACGAGGTCGAGGACGGGGACACAGACGGAGCGAGCGGTTATACGGACGACGAATATGCCGCCAACCAACCAGTGGAGGGCGAGAGGGAGCTTGCGCGCAAGATGGGAGAGCTTCGCCTCGAGAATGGCTCCGTACGCTATATCGGCGGCACCTCGCACTTGATTTATCTGGGCGATCAGTCGGATGACCTCGACGAGCCGGAATCCGACAGCTACCTCTCGATTGAAGAGCCGACGACCAGCTGGACCGAAGTCACCAAGGACACTCAACTAATCATTCATTTGATCAACATGTACTTCGGCTGGCATTATCCCTACTTTGCCACCCTATCCAAGTCCCTCTTCTACAGGGATTTCCTCAAAGGCAAACCGCAAGGGCAGCCCAGAACGACCGTGTATTGCACACCCTTGCTCGTCAACGTCATTCTGGCCCTCGGCTGCCACTTCACCAGCGCCGCCGGCGCCTTTGCAGTCCCCGGTGACAGTAGGACCAAGGGCGACCACTTTTTTGCCGAGGCGAAGCGCTTGATCGTCGAGAACGACGAGTACGCGAAACCCAAGCTCGCCACGGTGCAGGCCCTGGCGCTCATGTCGGTTCGCGAGGCAGGGTGCGGGCGAGAGGCCAACGGGTGGGTGTACAGCGGCATGAGCTTCCGCATGGCGCAGGATATTGGGTTGAACCTCAACCTCGGCGGGGCTGCAAAAGATAAGGGCTCGCTCGACGAACAAGAGGTTGATGCGCGCAGAATCACGTTTTGGGGCTGCTTCCTCTTCGACAAGTGCTGGTCCAATTATCTGGGGCGGCTGCCGCAGATCCCCAAGAATACCTACAATGTTCCCAAGTACGACGTATTCCCCGACGAAGATGCCGACTTGTGGTCGCCGTACACGGAGAGCGGGTTCGACCAGTCATCGAAGCAGCCTTCTCGGACGCGGGCGGTCGGGCTGCACTTGAGCCAACTCTGCGAGATCAGCAGCGACCTGTTGCTTTTCTTCTACCACCCCAACCATATCGGACGGTCAACCGGCAGGAACATCGAGGTCAAAAAGCTCAGCGAGCTCCATCGCCGGTTAGAAGAGTGGAAAAAGGAACTGCCAAACGAGTTCGAACCAAAGGATGGCCAGCTACCACACGTCATTCTAATGCAGTAAGTACCTAGGCCCGAACCACTGGGCGAGAGCCGGCCGGTTGACACATCACAGCATGTTTTTCCATCTACAGTACATCCACCTCTTCAAAGCGTTCCTCAAGTACACCCCGGCGACGTCGCCATTGCCGACACACGTCTCCCCGTGGCGGATGTGCGGTGCTAACGCCGGGGCCATCTCCAAGCTCATGCGCCTGTACAAGAAGTTGTACGATCTCAGGCAGATCTGCAATATTGCCGTGTATATGGTGCAGACTGCTTGCACGATACATATCCTGCACCTCCCAGAGAAGACGGCCAAGCGGGACATTATTCACGGCGTGAAGCATTTGGAGGAGATCGCCGAGGACTGGTTGTGCGCGAGGAGGGCACTGAGCACCCTGAGCGTGCTTGCGCGGAAGTGGAAGGTTGAGCTGCCCGAAGAGGCCGCTCTTGTGCTGCAGCGGACCGATGAGAAATACGGGACGGTCAGCATCTCCGACGTCCCTTCGCCAACCGGGTCGGGGCCGTCATCTACACGGTCACCGCCACCAAACCCGGAGACTGTCACGCAGTCGCCAACAACAAACGGCCAAGAACAGTACACGCCTCCGAACCAATATGTCGACCCGGCACCCCAACCGATGGCGCTCGATGTCCCCCCGAGGAGTGTGCCCGCCGACATGATGAGCAGCGTGGCGGGAGCCGGGATGGCCCCGAATCTACAGCGCATGCATAACCGAGACCCGCGGCGAATGACGCAACCACTCGCGGCCACATCCATGCCCATGGGCGATCCCCTATCAGATATCAGTTCGTGGGCCGTCTCACCAGGGACGCGGACCATGCCTAGCTACACGCAAGCCTTTGCCCCCGTCCATGCGCATAGCAACATGGCCCCCCCGCCGACTTCCCGCCCCGGGGGACGCCAAATCTCACCCACCTCCCTGTACGCCATCGACGGACAGGACTGGTACCTAAAAGACGGCGTGAATTGGCAACAAAACTTCCAGACATGGGGGCTCGGCGCTGGCGCCAATCAGCCCCCCGCCCCGGACGGACGTAGCAGGAACCCGGGGATTAGTGATCCGTCCATGTTTGTGTTTCGAGGGGTCAATATGAACGATATGGACTCGGGTTTCGACTCGCTTGGGATGGATAGCCTGGACCATCTCTCCGGGTTAGATTAGGCGTTCCTGAGACAGCGCGCTTTGTATCTGTAGGGGGGGGCATGTGGCGGTTTGGTTATGGTGTTATAGTCACGGAATACATCTGGCGGTATCTGGTTGGGGGGGTAGCATCTCGGTTTGGAATGCGGAAAGGGGCAGGTCGTTTATTTGTTTCAGTCGGGCGATTATACTGCGTATATACCAGACTCTGCTATCAAAAACCTCTATTCTACAGCTTGTCTACTGAACCATGGTCCCGGTTCCAACTGGAGTCCTGTATGCGGGTATCTCAGCCCATAGCCAAGTGCTTCTCTCTTCTCTTCGTACCGAGTTTAAACCACGCGGTCTAACAGAGCCCCCCGCCCCCGCCCCCTAACAGAATCCCCTGCAAAGTAAAGCTACAACCCATCCCTCTCCATCGCCTCCAACACCCCCTTATAAACCGCCGCCTCGGCCTCCATCTCCCGCATCCCCCTCTCCACCCTCGCCGCATCCTCAATACTCGGAAAACTCCCCCCAGGCACCGGCCTCCCCTCCCCATCCACCACCACCCCGTTCACCTCCCTTCCCCTTCCCGGTAATCCCCCCTTCACATCCACATACCCCCCCTTTCCCTCTCCACCCACCACTCCTCCCCCATCCCCCCCTTCCCCCCCATCCCCCCCTTCCCCACGTTCCTCCCGATCCCGATCCCACAGCCCCCCGCCGACGTTCCCCGCCTCGGCCGCCATCTGCTCGTACACGGCGTCGGACGGCGTCGACGCCGGCTTGGCGGTCGCGCCCCGGATGCGCGGGATCACGTGCACGTGCACGTGGGCGACGGTCTGCCCGGCCTCGGCGCCGTCCTGCACGGCGATGTTGAAGGCGCCGTCGGTGGGCGTTGCTGCTAATCCCTTGCTTTCCCTTGAGGGGGTGGGGGTGCCAGTTGGGGTGGTGCTGGTGTTGGTGGGGGTAGGGGCGGTGCTGTTTGGGGGTGGGTTGGTAGGGGACGGGGAGGGGTTAGAGGGGGGGAGGAAGTAGTGGCGGGCGAGCATGCGCTGGACGCGCTGGACGCAGGTGAAGAGGTCGGTGAGTTCCGGCGTGGAAAGGTCGGTTAGGCGGCGGTGGGGTTGGTGCGGGCAGACGAGGACGTGGCCGGGGAGGAGGGGCTTGAGGTTGACGAGGGCGAAGGTGTGGGGGGTGGAGAGGAAGACCTTTGGGGGGGTGGTTAGGAGTAAGCTGTTTTTATTGAGGGACCTAAAGAGGCGGCTTACTTGGTCGGTGACTTCGAATGGGCCAAAATGGATAGGCTTTTGGGGTTGTTTCTGTTGCGCGGGCGGTTGCGCCGTGGATGGGAGGTTGTTGCTGCTCATTCTCGCGATGAAGATTCTTGATGCTTGTAGTGACGGAATTGGGGAGAGTAATGAGCGGGTGATTTGATGCCAGGACCTTCTGAGGGGAATCATGCTCATCAGCTATGAGATGCAGTAGCTTGCGTCGGCTAAATCATTGGCGTGGTACTCTCGAGGTGCGTTGAGACGTTGCTTGATGTATTTGTGTATTTGAGTGGGAAACTGGGAAGTGGCCCGAGGGTGAATTACAAAGCGCCTGGGTTATTGCTAAGTTTGAGACCAGCGCCTAGCTGAGGTTTTATTTTACCGTGGAAGACTAAAAAAGTACAATTTATATATCTAAATCTTATCCTATTGCTATTCTTGACCAAGATCGACTTCCTGTATAAAGAGATTTGTGATAAATAACTAAGCATTGCATGATGATTCCCTGTTACGTACATGTATGGATAGTACGCCGCTTGAGTAAACAACCCGGAAATCAGTTTGAGACAGACCGGCCACCGCTTCTCATTCCCAAAACATCATTGAACCTGAGAATCTCGAGGTATTCAAAAATGAAGACTCAATTCAATGCAGGGTATATATGTAAATCGCCAGTTGAACCGCCGCCCCAGCATCTGCAACACCGCATCTAATGCCACCACCCCGCTGTTGAAAAGCCACAAACCTGCCTCCCCAAACCCATGCAACCCCCTTCCTCTACTATGCAGTGTATCTTACTCATGCAGGTTGAACCTCTACACCCCCCCTTCCATCCGCCAGCCCATATCCACACAGCGTCTACACCTCAAGGCAGAAGGGCATCATCCTCCAGCGCATCCCGCCGCGCCGCGTCCGAGCTGCTACTCGGCCGGGGAGGGAGAGGTGCATCGTCATCTCCCGCCATGAAAACTAAACCCCACAGTCAGTCAATCAGCAAACGCAAATCTCCCTCCCAAAAAGAAGGGGAACATACCATTCGGCTCCAAAAAAAACGACGCCCCCAACGCCAACCCAAACATCACCGCCAACAGCACAAAAAAAGCCTGCGGAAACCCCTCCACCGTCGCCGCATACAACTGATTAAACACGATCGGCGCGACAATACGCGCGAGGGAGTGCAGCAGGCCGATGGCGCCCAGCATCTGGCCGACGCGCTGGGGCGGCACGTGCTTGGTGACGGCGGCCTGGATGGTGGCGGAGCCGAGGCCGCCGAAGGCGGTCAGCACGGCGCAGGCGACGAAGACGGCGCTCGAGCGCGCGAACACGTAGCCCGTGATGCCGACCACGTCCGAGACGAGCGCCACGCGCAGGATCCACAGGTCGACTTGGTCCGCGCCGCGGTTTTTTTCGATGGGTGGTGATGGGTTGTGGTGGTTGTTGTGGTCTGGGTTCTCGCGCCGGCGCCGCCGCGCGGCCGGCCGCGTGCGGAAGAGGTAGTTGATCAGGGGCAGGATGCCGACCAGGATGATGACGCGCACCATGGAGGTCATGGAGATGAACTGGGAGCTCTCGAGGTTGCCCCACTCGAACATGTACTCGACGTACATGACGATGACGGTGCCGGTGCTCATGGCCGTGCCGAGGACGATCATGTCGATGAAGGCGAGGATGAGGAAGTTGCGCCGCAGCCGCCCGGTGCCGGGGCCGGTCGGGAAGAGGATGTCGAGCGGCGCGAGGGGGTTCGTCGTCCGGATCGAGCGTATCAGCCGGCTGATGTGCCGTCCGAACGGGACTCGCGACCGGGAGAGGCCAGTGTAATCGGGGGCTGGCACGAGGGCCTCCTTTGCGCGCGCGTGCTTCTCGCGCGCCAGCAGCTGCTGTTTCCTCGACAGGGATTCGGGGAGGATGAAAGCCATGAAGAGGACGAAGAAGATGTGGCATGCGAGAAGGATATAGAAGATGGACAGCAGGGAACCGGTCCACTCGACGAGGTAACCGGCGATGAGGGGCCCGATGGCGAGACCTGTGAATAGGCACGAGTGGAGGTAGCCGATCGCGACGCCCCGCTTCGACGGCGGAGTGCAGTCGCTCGTATACGCGTGGCTCAGGACGCTGCCTGCGGTGAAGGAGCCCGTGAGCCCGTCGAAAAAGCCGCCGAGCAGCAGCCACTGGTACGGGACCGTCTCGGGGTACTTGGCGGCGATAATGGTGATGATCTCGGACATGATGCCGCCCATGGAACAGATAATCAACATGCGCTTCCGGCCATAGCGATCGGAAAGCGACCCCAACTTCGGCGCCGAGAGGGAGCTGAGCATGCCGATGCCGACGTTGAGCACAAGCGTGAAGATGGCCACGGCCTTTTGCACCTCGGGGATGAAGCACTGCCGGTTGTTACCCCCCGGGATCACCGGGGTGAAGGTGAAGTCCGGGTCGGTAGCTGACCGGTCGGCAAAGTAGTGCTTGCAGACGAGGTCGATAATGCTGAGCGACGTCAGTATGAGCTGGCATCTGAAGTGCGACACAGGAGAGGGGTTGGGGGGGGGGCTTACAGGTTCAGTCTTGGAACGACGGAGCCGCCAAAGGCGAGTGTGAAAATGGCATACGGAGCCAACAGGAACCCGACCTGCATCAAAGTCAACATTTCGACATCTCGCATGACGCCGGCCTAGAGAGTATGAGTTGGACATACGGATGGCGTTTTCCACCACGGTAACCCAGCGAAGTCCTCACGGCCTGCCCACCCACCGTCCTGAGCGGGAGCATGTGTCTCATCGGTGGCCCCATTGCTGCTGTGAACGCCGGCGCCCAGCAGGCTAGTGGTCTCCTCCGCATGGTCGATATGATTATCGGCGAAGTTTCCGTCCCCCGAGCCGTCGGCCCTCCTCCGGACTCCGGGCGAATCAGACTCGTCCCACCCTTCGGTCGACGTCATGTTCCACGCTGCGAGATGATGACCGGGAGATCCCGCACTCTTCAATCCTGACCCAAAACCCTGCCTGGGCTTGAATATAGATGCAAAATGAGGGAAAGCAAGAGGCGGGGGAAAATGTCCGGTGAAAATGATGGGTCAATTGAACACAGAATGGAGCCGGTGCTAACTACCTAATTCGTAGGTAGCGCTTGTTTACTGTGGTACTCAGTATACACACCCGTGGACGGCGAAACCGGGTTTGTAAGCACCGAGGCCGAGGCGAAGGAGTGAGTTGGCTCGAGGTTCAGTTTCGTTCCGACGGGAACAGTGGTTGCTACCCGTGGAAGAATCGAGTGCGTATCGAGGCCATTCCTGGTTTCGACGACGAAGGGGGGCGCATGGGGAGATATGGAAAGATAAAAGGCCCCGGACTGAAGTCGGGGCGTTCGAAGACGTATGGAAAGTGGGCACTTCCGAAGTGTCCAATTAACATGAGGTCGACGTTCCAGCACAATGGTGCCCTTCCTGCAAGGCCCAAAAAACCCCTGTAATTAACCACTAACGGCTGCTCGGCAAGCTGACGCGTGGCTCAGACAAACCCGAAGGGTACACAACGGTTCTTGAGATGCCCGGCCGGCATGGATTATTTATTCCAATCCGAATCCTTTCCAACTTTCGATTGGACTCAACCCTTCGTGATCTCACTGCTTCGCCGCGTCCCAACGCCGAGAATAGGAATTCAGATGCAAGCATCGCCCGGATCACGATGAGATGACTGCGCATCGACAAGCAACAAAATGCAGTCAGGGCAGGCTTGAATCCGGATGATGCTCGGCCAATTTCAACTGCCAGCACACGCTTGGTTCGCTGGTTGGGCCGCCCCCGAGATCGATGCAAGGTGACGCACTGGAATCTCTCCGAGACGTGAGCTGCCGTGTAGGTACCGAGTTATGTAATTATCGGCGATCGGTCTCGCAACCCCCGGATTACAAACCACACCCGACGTAATCAAGGATACCGAACCACGGAAATAAAGGACCGCCGTCTGTTTATTTTCCTGAGTGAGTCGGGTAACCAGAGCTTCAAGCCCGAACACCTTCTATCGAGTTGGACATACCACCATCCATCGATAGATATGTCTGAGCCAGTTCGAGAATACAAAATGCATTGCGGCCTCCAGTCAACAAATACTTGTATTCGAGATGTACATATTTAGATATACAGTGAACAGTGAGTATACAGCGCCATTCTCGCCATCGCCCATCACCCCTCACACCTCTCGCCCGTCCTCCAACTCCCCGCGCCCCGCCCGTTCCATTTTGCGCACGGTATCCATATCGACCTGCATGCCCCTCTTCTGGGCCTCGGCGACGAGCGCAAAGGCCCTCTCATCCTTCTCGCGGAAGCAGCGGCGGAGCACGGTGAGCAGGGTGCGCTCGCTGACCCAGGGGGTGGCGGCGGCGGCCGACGACGACGACGACGAGCGGGCGAAGCGGCTCATCTCGTCGAGGTAGAGCAGCGCGACGTCCAGGCTGCCGTCCTGCGCGAAGCAGCGGATCAGGCTGTCGAGGATCGGCGGCGACGGCCGCACCGAGAACCGGTCCATCTCGGATACCAAGAAGACGGCCGGCCCCGCGCGCCGGCACTGGTTGAGTAGGAGGATGAAGGTCTGCTGGTTGGGGCCCGACTGGCACAGGTCGCACACCTGCCGGTACACGTCGAGCGTCTTGGCCATGTCGCCCGCCGCGGCGACGGCTTCCAGCACCACGTTGACTGCGGCTACTGGGACGCGCCCCAGGCTGCGGAGGATTCTGACTACCTCCTGCGTGAGGTCGGGCGAGTCCTTCAGCGCTGAGAAGATCGCGCGGGTGCTGGGTTGGTCCGGCTGCACGCCCGCGTCGTTCATGATGCCGAGGACGCGGAACGCGACGTCTAGATTCCCGGCGTGGACGTAGCTTTCGAGCAGCGGCTCGTAGTGGTGGAACCCGAGCTTGACTTCGCGGGTCGAGAGAAGCTCGATGACGGCGGTGGCCAGTGCCGTGTCGCCGTGGCGTGCCGCCGTGTTCAGCACATTGAGGGCGATGCCGTCGGCCGGGTTTATCTTCCCTGGCGAAACCATCTCGTCCCATACCAGCTTTGTCCCCTCGTAGTGGAGGGACCGACTGCATTCGTCTAGAATATAGGACCAGAGGGAAAGGGGCACTGGTTTCGAATTGGCCCTCGCCATCTTGAGTACCTGGCGAAATAACTGGACCGCTTCGTCCACAAACCCCCGCAACACCAAGACGGAGACAAAGGTAGCCGACACCCATTCGGGGATCTTGGTCCCGTTACTACGCATGCTGTCCCAATAGTCCAGCGCCATCTCGTTCTGGCCGTCACGCAGGAGTCCCAAAGCGACGCTCGCCTTGCCGTCGTCAGTGAGCTCCATGTCTTGCTCCTCCATCTTCAGCAGGTAAGTCTTCCTGGTGAGGTAATTCGGGTGGATTGCGAGCAGCTGGCGGCCAAGTCAGCGGCGTTCTCCCAACCCAACACTGCCCACCCCAGACATACCCGCAAAGCGCTGTGGTACCACCCCTGCGACGGCTGTATCCCCGCCGTCCGCATCTCCTTGTAGATGTCCACCAGCTCGTCCGCCGAGCCCGTCACCGGGTCCCAGTTCGCCGTGACCAGCGCCTCGTACAGGAAAACGTTGGGCCGCTCGCCGCGGTCCTCCACCAGGTACTTGACGAGGCGCCGTATCTTTTGGGCCTGGCCCTTGCCCGGCCAGCTACGTAGGCTGCGCAGCGCCTCGTAGATAGCCGGCGTCGGCGCGTCGGCCGTTTCCGGCGGGAAGTCCGAGGTTGACCGGCATAACGTGGATGCGCTCACGCGGTCTGTTTCTGAGGGCTTCGAGGCTGGATCTGCTGTCTCCTCGGGCGCCTGGGCCGTGGTGTCATTCTCTTTCTGGGCGGGCGCTTGGTCTGCCGCTTGCGGAGGGTCGGTACTTTTAGGGCTCGCTGTTGACTGGGCGTCTTCTTGAGGAACGACTATAGAGTCCCCTACCGTAGGTATAGGCGCCGCTTCTGTTGTAGACCACTTTGGAAACGGGTCCAATACAGGCGGAGCCGGTGGCTTCTTCTCGGTCACCTGCTTTTGCGGTCGCACTTTGGGAGCCGCTGCCCATTGTGGGAATTTTTCTCGTTTAGGTCTTTGCTCTGCTAGTGGCCTGCTGGTGTGGATGGCTCGCCCCTGGCCGGCTCGACAACCCGAGTGCGACCCGGCGTCATGTTGTTCGTGGGTCACCCCGCCGCGTTTTGCCGATAGTAAGGGCAAGGAGATAGCTCGTGGTAGTAGATTTCCGTCAATTGACGGACATAAAGCCCGCGAGAGCGCGTCGACGGTTACGCGCTTTGCCGACATGAGGCAGACGAGGTGGACGAGCCGGAGACGGGTTCAAATAAGGTCCTGTGGGTGGGGAGCGTTGGCAAATCTAGGCGCGCAGTCTTCAACGGAAAGCCCCGCACTTAGAGTCGCTTCAAAATGGCATGTATGAAATGATGGTTGCTCATTAGCGCTCTGAAATTGGGACCTTCGGACCTGCGTTGAATGTATTTGAGCGGATCATTTGTTCATCAAGAGGTTTGATAGTTCCGTTAAAAGATTCTGCCGGATGAAAATAAGGCGGTGTCGATGAATGGAGCAACCCCTGTCACCGGCTTCGAAAGACACAATTCAGGTCACGTGGATCCCAAGGTAGGTCTCATGATATTCATTTCTCCTTGCTGCTCCTCCAGATACGGAGCACAACCGCTCGCAAGCTGCGCGGGATAGTAGCCTTCTGGACCCAGAAGCGGGCGCTCGCAACCCCCCACATGTCGCCGCATAAACCAATACCCTCGAAGCTGGTGGCTTCCCGTTGAGAGTAACGGCTTCCCCAACCCCTTCAGCTTCCAAACCGACCCCTTATCCTGACTCGGATATGCTGTAGGTGTGGGCTCCTTGTCCACGCTTGTCCATAGAACATCACCATGCTCAAGAGTATACTCATGACCCTCTACCCCGCCCACCCCTTCCACCTCCCCGCCCTCGCCCACCACGCCCCCTATCTCCACCGCGACCACCGTGGTCTCCTCTCCCTTGACCGCCGCGTCCTCCACGGTAGCCACCGCCTTGTTGGCTCTGTTGTTCCCTCACCACATCGAAGATTTCGTCCGGAACGCGCAAGTACTTGATCTGTCCACTCCGTCAGCAACCTGCCCTAGAAGAAGAGGAAAGGGAGAGCCAAAACCCACATTATTCCCCTTGACGTAGACCTCAGGCAACCGCACAAACTTATCGCCCTCCTATCACCGCCACACCCAGTCAGTCAGTCAATCAATCTACCCATCCACCAAAGCACATCGGAGCGGAGGCGAGCCGGAGAAAAGCTAAACGAACGCACCGGACTAGTCTGCACGACCTCGCGCAGGGTGAGGTTCATCCAGGTGTCGCACAGCACGAGGTGACCGTTGAGTGTTTCGCCGTTCTTGAGCTCGACCAGCATGGGGTGGCCCTGCGCCGCGTTGAGAAGCCCGAGGGGCAGCTGCACGAGATGAGTAAAAAGAGAGCAGGTTAGCATTTGGTAAAATACCTAACCAAGGGGCGGCAGAGAATCGTACCATTTTCGAAAGGTTCTGCGTCCCAGCGCCGTCTGTGGGTGGATGGCTTGTCGGGTCGCTGGACGATGGAGCAGAGAGTCGGGTGGGCTGGATTCTTGGGGAGCTCCGAGGCGCGCACAGCGTTCAGTGGATGACCTCAAGCTGCAGGGATTGGGGAGAATTGGCAGGCCCACTTGAAACGAGGCTGGAATGGGGAACAGCCAAGGCGGTAACTTACAAATTGATACGCTGTAACTCGAAAGGAAAATATAATATTGAATTATCCAAAAGAAGACTTTGTCATTTCCATCTCTGCACAAACATTGACAACTCCGCTCAAACCGCCCCTCCGACTTCATTCAAAGCGCAAGAGTCTCTAGAATGAAGAATACAAGCAAAAATGACGCTGGTCATCCGGCAAAAGATTAATCCGTGGACGAGCTGGGAATCGAACCCAGGACCTTTCGCATACACCGAAGTATGCTAAGCGAACGCTCTACCAACTGAGCCACACGCCCGTAATTGAATGAGTAGGCGTTGCGGGGTAGACGCCTATCGCGGCGAGCACGCTGACCCCGCGGCGGCTATCCTAGGAGACATACGCTCACTCGTGCCATCGGAACCATCTTCGATGTGGCATCATACCGAGGATTGAAAAAATGGGATTCTAACAGTTTAGAATGATTCATGGTAAAGCTACGTCGGAAAGAACGCATAGTTTGCAGCATTCAGCCGGCCAAGAATAGTAGGTAAAGTCATCTACAACCATCACCTCGTGAAATCAAGAAAAACAATATAACCAGGCCGAGCCAGGCAAGAACAAAACCAACCACATCGGGACAACCAAACTGCGTATTGATAGATAGAAGAACGATCCCGCGGAGTGATCCCTACACGACAGACAGACCTTTGCGCAAACATGTCCGACCTCGCACATGATGCTTCCCCTCGGCTCGGCATCCAGGCCGGCACTGAACCTCCCGTCTCCCCACATTCCGCCCCGCTTAGGAGGCGCTCTCTCGGCTCTTGCGATAGCTCGCCTGGAGTGAGGAAGCTGGCGTGTCAGCAACATGGCCTCTTCTACTTCTCCCCTTCTTAATGCAACGCGTAGGCCGAAGCGCGACTTGCCTCCTGTTCGACCTGCAGCCCATCGACGATGGGTGCCAACTCGCTCAGAATCTCGTGGGCCTTCTTGTGGAACTCCATTTGCGCCGCGATCAGCTCGGCCAGGTTGCGCAGCGGCTCGGGGGTGTCGAGGACCTGAACAAGCACATGTTAGTCATCGTCAAAGTTGCGTGGCTGGGGAACGGAGCAGGGGAGAAAAAAAAAGGAGAAACCCACATTCTTCATCACCCCCACAGCCTCCTCCGTCTGCGTGACAAACTCGTCCTCAGCCTTCTCAATCTCCTCCTGCGCCTCGGCGCTCAGCTCGTGCTCGTCATGGGGTTCGGCGGAGCGGGGCGAGGCGGGCCCGGCGCCGGCCATCTTCCAGGTGGTGCCCTTGACGCGGGCCTTGACGGCGTCGAGGGTGAGGCGGGCCTTCTCGACGGCGCGGCGGGCGCGGGTGGCGAAGAGGATGTTGGTGTTGAGGGTGGTGTTCCAGCCGGCCAGGAAGCGGCTCTGCACCTGCGCGTCCTGCGTCATGCGCGCCTCGCCCACCCGCTCCATCGCCAGCGCGTACTTCTCCAGCGCCGTCGCCAGCGGGTCCTCGCCCGCCCCCGTGTGCTGCTGGTGCAGCGTCTGGCTGCCCGCCAGCGAGGCCCGTGCCATGGCGTGGTGGAACGTCTTGGGCTGCGGCTTGGCGGTCGGCGGGGCAGTGAGGGCCGCCTGCGCCTCGGCCGGGGACGTGGCGCCGGACAGGAGCGTCACCTTTTCGCTGACGGTGCGGCCTAGGTCCTGGAAGGTTTCCTTGATGTTAGGCGGGTAGTCGTACGCCTCGTTCGAGTACTGCGACCTGTTTCGAAGTGGTTAGCGCAACTTGTGTATGTGTATGCGAAACCGGGCGGAAATCGGCAAACCCACGTCACCGCAAGCATCTTCTGATGGACTGCCTTGAGCGCATCGACCCGCTTCTCGAGGTCGATGTAGTCGGGCGGGAGCTGGGTCTGTGGGTTGTCGTGTTAGCCATTGCCTCCAAACCGGCCAAGACCCTCGAATGTCGCGAACCTTGTCCTCGGCTTGACCCAGCTGCTCCTTTGTGTACTGAAAGGTGCGCGAGGCAAATGGGGTGATCTGCCCGCCCAGCGAGCTGCTTCGATGTCAGTTGTGTTAATGTCCTCGAATCTTGTTTCGATACCCCTCGAATTTTAGGTATTCGTACGTGAGGCTTTTCTGGAATCCCTTGAACGCGTCCATCTTGGCAGTTTGTGGTAAACTTTGCGATCTATTGTTTAAAACGTGCGACGACAAACTGTTGTTGTTGACAGTTGAGGTCGAAGAGAAGCTTTGTGGTGCAGTTTGGGTGTCGCTGCCTTGCTGCAGCCGTTCGGGGCCAAGCTGCAGGGAGCAAAGCCCCACATCTGAGACCTGTCAATCCCTGCTGCATCGAGGCAAAGGCTAACGTGATTGGACTCGTCATACTGCCCGGGGTGACCGCTTTCATCTGTCGTCACTCAGTTGCTCAGCCACATGTGCGCTCCTTGCAACAACAACCCCTTGCTTGGCAACAAACGGTTTAGGTCACGATCTGCTTGATAAAAAGACTCCTGCCCCCGTACGGAATAAACATGGCCTAATTCTAATCCGCCGGCTTCGTATCCTCCCAAGACGGTACCACATTCCTACACACATCCTCATAATCCCTCATGAGTTGCCCGCTCGTCGCTGCCTCCGGCGTCGTCCAGAACATGGCCCAGTTACTCTCCGGCAACTTCCTGACACCACACGATCTCTCAAAATACCACTTATTGACTGGATTGTTTTTCCTGCTCCGCCAGCATACCCCGCCGGGGAAACAATCGCGCACCATGGCGTTGAACACGATATCGGCCACGCCACCTGCGCCCTGGCTCTTCTTAAGCACTGCGAACTTGTCGAGGTAGGGGACCAGCCGGCCAGTGGCGTGAGCCGTTGCCTCGTCCATCCCAAAGGGCCGCTCCCAGGTTAGGATGGCGCCTCCTTCGTACTCGCCCGCGATGATGATGCCGGCGAGGCTATCTTCGACGCGACGTAGGTAGTGTTCGACGTCGAGCTTGCGGTTGAAGGAGTCGTTGATGAGGTGGACGAGCCGCGGTAGGTCGATGCAGGTGTCTGTGAGTTTGAGTCGGCGGGCACCAGGTTCGGGGGCTGTCCAGGGCCCTGTGCGTGTGTAAGGGAAAATCGTAACCGGTAGGCCCTTCTTTGCGAGGGTTGTCATTGGCATTTGGCCCGGCGACGTTTCGTCACTGCGCCTCGTAGGTTTAACCCTGCCAATGGGTAGCGACGCCGAATAAATCGGCCTGTCCGTGATCAAGTTGTGGATGATCGGATTCTGCCACCTCCTCGTCTTCACCTCGCCAGCAATTTGCCCCATGGTGGCCTCGTTCGCCGGGGTGGGTGGGGTTCGTAAGTTTGCTGCCTCGGCCGGAGTGGTTATGACTGCCGAGGCTGTTGAGGGGAGTATCGCCAGTGTTTTCTTGACGAGGTTCAAGTTTTTCGCATGCTTGGTTGTGAGGTCGCCTGACAAGCCCGCAACGCTGGCTTGTGGATCGGCTTGCCCCTTGGAAGCAAGGGCGGCTTGGAGTCTGTCGAACTCTTCTTCCAGGTTGACAAACACCCGGGCGCCGTCTCCATGGCCGCTTGCTGGAATACCCCCCAGAGGGTCAATAACGATGACTCGGTCCACCACGGCGTTCCGCACATGGCCGCTCGAGGTGCTTTCGGCTTTCCCTTCGGTAAGCGTCCGCTTATCGAACTGCAGGCCCGAGAAATAGTGCGCCAGCGCAAAGACAATATCGTCCGCGTCGGCTCTCGTAAATGCGAGTGTCTCTTCGCAGAGAGCACGAGGTGGTACTACCACAATATGGCCGTGCCTTAGGGGCGTGGTGAACCCCGTTCCGAATCCCACAAACAGGTCCGTCGGGCTGACCGGGGAGGCCTTCTGCGACACCCCCTTGGTCTTCCAGATGGCCGAGCTTACCAGTTCTGCCCCTGGAGAGCCGTGCCGGCCGATGGCCTTGATGATGCGGTCCGTTTGTTGAGAAATGGCTTCCTGCTGCTGCTTCCCGTTGCACTCCCCCAGGTCACAGTCGAGAACGATGACGCTACGTAAACCCAAGTCCCGCAGTCGAGTGAGTGTCTTGGCTACGCCATTATGCAGAGCATCGTCCCAAGTCTGTGGGTCCCTCAGCTTCACGATGGCGATATGTGGCACCTCACTCGTGTCTGCCACGGAAGCCCTCACGGGGCCCTGGACAAACCGCGGAACAGAGCTTTGGCCCCGAAGTCCGTCGTGTAAGACGGTAGTAAAAGCTGGCGTCTTCTTCGGCCCCGAGCCTGGGGAAGACCCAAAGGTCTGAAGGTATGCCTTGGCGTCGCGTTTGGTAGCGGATGATTCAAGTACAGAGATCAAAAATTGCTGTCTACGGTCAGTAAAGTTCGAGGTACCCTGTGGGGAAACTGGGACGTCTCTAACCCTATCAGATTCTCTTTTCTGTTTTCCCTCTGTACTAGACGGATGTCGACTATCGGACGCACCAGCGCCTGTCCTTCCAGACTGAGCGCCATTCTCAGCCGTTGATAAGTGACGGCCTTTCTCCCGGCGAATGGAAGCCTGATTAGGGTTAGATTGGACGCAATTGACTCGAACAGAATCACAAATATCTGTCTCACCTGGGCCACTAAAGATGCTTTCTTCCACGAGCCACCGTTTCTGGCGAACATAGCCATGCGAATTTAAAAGCGCGCAGAGGAGTTTCCCGGGGTCCCTTTGCGAGGTGACCCGGCCAGTAAATCAGCTCTCAGATGCAGGTAACACACATTACTTTTTTGGTGAGCAGAATGCTGAATGGGAAGGAGGCGGTGATGATGAGTCAAGGAAAGAGAATTGGAAACCCACCGACTAACAACCCTTGCTCTTTCACCAAGCAAAATTATCAGATCATCAGATAACGGAAAGTGGAACTGACGGCTACAAGAGCTTGGCGGCCACCGAGTCCCGGGGTGGGCCAGCAGGTCCCAGTCCGCTTTGGCTCTTTCGCATTGGGTGATTGGGCAATTAGACCATCAGAGGAAGCATCCGTGATGTTTCCACGCACCCAAGTTGGGGTGACCGGGAACCCCGCAGATGCTTGGAGGAAGCGGGCGGGAGCTGAGGTTTGCTATGCCCCGCACTTGATTCAGGTTCCAAGTTATCCCGCGCTTAAAGATGCCCGCCCATGGAATAACTTTTAGGACGAATAGTCAGCAGGGTCGCACTGTATAATAGAGATGACCCGGCGACGGGATGGGATGGAGACGGCTTCAAGCCAACGACTTCAGTTTGGGCAGGCAAGCCCAATTTCGACTTCAATTTCGTCAAAGGTGATTCCGACCTCGCGTGGGCAACCTAGACTGCGGTTGCCATTTGTAAGCCTTTCCTTCCAAAGTTGTTCCAATTGTTATGGGAAGAGGGGAAAGTGTTTCCCCGCGAGTTGGTCCGATCGGTTACCCGCGACCGACTTATAAGAGATGGAAGGGTCTCGATGGAAATCGGAACTGTCGTACAACGGAGTACCTTGAAACAACAACTCAACGACACCATCTGCCCCATCCGCAACCTCCTGACATCCTGAACATTCAGTAAACACGGGCTTTAGAAACCTACACAATCAAACCCTTCAACATGGCTCCAAAAGTCTTATGGATTGGCCTGGGGAACATGGGCCGAGTAAGTGTATAGCTTGCCGGCCACGCGAAGCGGGGAGTCTAACATGGAACTAGGGGATGTGCAAGAACGTCATAGAAAAGGGACCAGTCGAACACCCCGTCCTCATCTACAACCGCACCAAGCAGCGGTCCGTTGAGTTCAGCGCGAAGTTTGCGGCTGGCCAAACCGAAATCGTAGACTCAGTCGCTGCGGGCGTCGCCAAGGCCGACATCATCTTCACGATCCTCGCCAAGGACGATGTCGTCGAAGCCGTGGCAGCCGATATCCTCCAGTCTGTCGATGTCACGGGCAAGCTCTTCGTGGAGTGCTCCACGATCCACCCAGACACCACAGTACGCGTTGCCAAGCTCTTCCATGACCGTGGTGCCGAGTTCGTCGCGGCGCCTGTGTTCGGAGCGCCTGCTATCGGTGAAATCGGGCAGCTCGTCGCCGTCCTAGCAGGACCTAAGGGCTCGGTCCAGAAAGCTCGGCAGTACTTCAAAGGTGTCATGGCCAAAAGCGAGATCGACATGGGCGACCAGCCCTATGAGAAAGCGCTCCAGTTGAAGCTGATCGGCAACACCTTCATCGCAAACATGGTCGAGCAGCTGTCCGAGGCCTTGGTCCTCTCCGAGAAGTCGGGACTCGGAACACAATGCATGCATGAATTCGTCGAGAGCCTCTTCCCCGGTCCGTTTGCGGCTTATTCGACCCGCATCCTGTCGGGGGCGTATCACCGGATGTCCTATCCGCTCTTCCCCGTTGACCTTGCGAGGAAGGACGCGAGGCATGCCTTTAGTTTGGCCGAGGCCTGTGGCGTGCGGATGAGGAATTTGGAGGTGGCGGATGCGCACCTGGCGCAGGTGAAGGAGCATGATGGGGAGAAGGGAGACATCGCCGGAATTTACGGCGCCGTCAGGCAGGAGTCGGGCCTGAAGTATGAAAATAACTGATCCATCGGATCGGTCAAGTAACGAAGGTCGGGCGCATGAAGTATTGATTAGCCAGAGTCAGGATCCTACGCACCTCTAACACCTCTATTGACTCCTATTTGCTGTTTGTTGAAATTCGCAGGTTGTGAATTGGATTGTACTGTGTAATGTTATGTTGAGGTCGTAATGCTGTACGCTGTGAGGTACCGAAGGTAATCTTACAACGCAGTCCGATGACTAAGTGACGCCGCCAAGGCCCGCAGCTTGCCTTGTTGCTGCGGCGTGAGCTTCCGCCAACCTCCAACGCCGCGCAACCAACCATCGAACACGCAACGCCGCTTCTCTCAGCCGCCAACACACCGTTTCGCCCTCAACAACACTACGTCCACCGAGGCCAATTGCAGCAGTTAAATCGTCTCGCATCATAGTACAGCAAAATGGCCAACGGGTACGCGACGGCCCTGCACACCACCACAAAACCGTCCGCTCCTGGCTAACACCAAGTCTCTGCAGGTGGAGTGTCATCATTGGCCTGGTGGTCGTTGTCGCCATGGCGATCGCAGCATGGTTCTTCTCTCCTAAGGGTGAGAACCAAGTGTATGCCTTCCATATAACCCCACGCCAGCTATTTGATCTTGTACTGACTTCACCTCTCTCCAGGCTCTGGCGCTCCTCCATCATCCTCTCCATTGCCAGCTGCTTCCTCATGTGGGCCATCACATTCCTCGCGCAACTGCACCCTCTCATCGAGCCGCGACGGTCGGATCTGCGCAAGGAGTACATCCACCACTAGGGTGGATTCTCGGGGCGGCAAGACGGGCGCGAGGCGGGACCATGTTCAGCGGCTTGTTGTACGAATACCCACGGGGTTCCATACAGATCCGGGGCGGCGTTTGGGGGCGCGAGGCGGGCATATTACGGGTTTTGATATTTCGCATTTGGGTTGGCTTTGAACTGTACATTCAGCAGACGGCCCCCCTGGCAAAGGCGGGCCAATACACCACAGTTGCATCATATATCAAGCACTCACTCATCCCATGACGGCCTTGGAGAAACACTGGGACAAAACAATTACTAAACGCGCAACGGGAACACTCAGAGCCTGTCGTGCGGCACCTAACCAACAGCCAGCCTCCCCGCCCATTCCCGCGCGTACATCAACATCGCCACAAAGGCGCGCCCGTCCTCGGCGACGCCCGACTCGCCCGCCGAGTCGACGCCCTCGAGCCCGGCCGCCCACAGCACGGCGCGGCCCATGGCCCAGCGGCTGACGGCGCCGGCCATGGCCAGCAGCGCCGCCACGCCGTACCCGCAGTCCAGCAGGATCTTGAGCGCCTCCACGTTGTTGGCCACCACCGCCCACCCGAGCGACCGCGCCGCCGCCGGCACGTCGTACTCCCAGATCACCATCAGGATCGGGAACAGCTTTGTTGATGATGATACTAGCAGCGCTGTTGATACCGAGTTGGGTCGTGAATACCGTGGTAGCACGCCCAGCGCGGCCAGCGGTGAGTAGCGTGAGGAGGTGAGGAAGCGGATCGATGCGTGGAAGGCGATGGTGGAGAGGGTGCAGAGGATTACTGGAGGTGGAAGGAAGCGGTTTTGTTAGTCGGGCTGGTCTGGTATGTGATGTGCTAGGGAGGGGAGACGTACGGAAGAACATGTATTGGAAGACTATGGGTTGCTGGGCGAGCCGGCCAAAGCTGTTGCCATTGTCGGTCGCGTCGGGGGGGTCGGCTGGGGCGGATTGCCGCTCGATACGCGCCCAGGTGAGATAGACGTCGAAGAGCAGGAGGAGGATGCCGAGGCGGATGATGGAGGGCTAAGGAGGTCGTTAGTTGTGCTCTCCGTTCGTGTTTGGTACATAGGGCGCGCATAATAACCTACCGCAAACTTGTCCTCCTCTTTCATCAATGTGTTATGTAGCAAATGCCTATATACCTAACCCCCCACCCTTCTGTGTTAGCCCTCGTTGTCCTGCGTCGTTGTGCATGCCGATTGCTGTCGTACCTGTGGCTTGATCAAGACTAGATCGATAAACAACACCACGAAGTCGTGCTCGACGTATTTGTCGCAGAAACGCCCGCAGTTCTTGCATACTGTCAGGCGGATATTGTGCCCGCCCGACTTGTCGCCGCCGCCCTCGCGCCAGAGGGTCTTGACGGGGTGTCGACACTCTATACAAATCGGCATTGTGGCGGTCGTGGCATTTCGCGGGATGTTCGGTCGGGGTGCGACGAGGTCGGTCGTTCTCGGGACGGAAGGCGTGCGGACGGTCGGTAAGATGGTCGGTGTCTTCGTAAAACGAGGTAGGCGGCGCGAAAGGGATTGTGTTGCGAAGATGTCGCGGTCGCAGCCGGCTTTCAAGTGCGGCGATAAGATCCCTTATCGGCGAAACGTCACAAGCCAAGCTCCGGGATTGGAGGTTGGTTTACAACGATGAAATAAAAGGATATGCACAAGACAAAACACTCTTGGCAAGTTAATAGTTAGGCAAGCGTCTAGTCCATATGTTATATGTTATATATTAGGTTTGTCGTTCAGGGTATAAAGTTCCGCGTCAAAAGTCAAGTGCACAAATGCAACATCCAAGTGTAGAACGAGCTCGACCGAAATAAGGAAATAATTCATGCGAGACAGAACCCAACTTGCCATGCCATGATCTAGTCACCTGCTTCTATATACAAAAAGAAGAAGTCATGGTCAGAGGCCAACATCTCCACCTCCGACAAAGCAATACAATAACGCCTGCACCGCCATGCTAAGATACCCCACGACAACAGACAACATTCCATATCAGTCACTCCCCATACGACCACCACGTGTAGATAAATACCATCCTCCTCCTCTCCCTTCTCCTTCCCCAAACCCCCGTCCTAATCTGCCTTCTTCCCCGGCCCAACCACACCACTACCGCCCTTCCCCCTCCCCCTCACCCCCACCGCCCCCTGGCCCATCCTCCTCCCCGAAGCCGAACCTCCAGCCCCAGCCGCCGCTGCCGCAGGCCCCGACCCCGACCCCTGACCAGGCAGCGAGCTCAACAGCCCGCCCACATCCCACGGCGCGCCATCATGCCTCCCATCGTCGCTCCCCGTATCCGCCAGCTCGATCAGATCACCGCCGCCACCGACTTCGGGCATCGCGGCGCCGCCCGCCGTCGTCCTGCCCCTGGGGCCGAGGACGGGGGTGAGGGGGCCCTGCCTGGCGCGCTCAAAGGCGCCGCGCAGCCAGGTCTCGACGGCGGCGGCGGCCTTGTCCAGGCCCGTGCCCTGCTGCTGTTGGTGCTGCGGGTGGGTGGGCGAGGCGGTGTCGCGGCCGTCCTCGAAGGGGCTCTCGGCGATGGCGACCGAGGGGTTCTCGGCCGTGCGGTTGAAGCCGAAGCGGGCGATCTCTGACCCCATGACCGACATGGATGGGAGCGAGTCGATGTTGAGCCCCGGCAGGTGCTTGTTGGTCCACGTGTTGAAGTAGTCGCGCTCCGGTCCGGGCGCCCGCACGTTCCGCCCGAGGGAGCCGACGCCGCCGGGTCGGCGCATCCAGGCGGGGCGGGGATCGTCGGCGCTGGTGCCGCTGCCGGTGCTGTTGATGCGGCGCCGGTTGGCCGGGGAGGAGGTCATGGTGCTGGACGGGCGTCGGGACGTGAGGAGGCTGGGTCGGCGGGAGGAGCTGCTTGCGGGGCTCTCGACGGCGGATTCGGGGGCTGTGGTGTTGGGGAGGTCCACGGAGGCTCGCGGGGTGGAGAGCGTTGAGATCGAATGTACGCTTTTCTTCCTGCGCGGGGGGAAATACCCGAATGCTTTTCGGGGAACCCGCGCAACCTCGATCGGGTGTGGGTGCGAGTCTATGGACACCCACCTTACGGGGGTCCATGGCTTGTCTTCGTCGATGGCCTGGTTCTGGTCCGAGGACTGTCCATTTGGGGGGTTCGAGAAAAAGTCGCGTTTTTGTTGATCGTCTCGGCCGAAGGGGTCGGTTCCATCTGGAGTTCGGGATAGGAGGTCGACTCGTGATGATGGGTTGGTAGGGGGATCGCAAGGTCGGCCCTTCACCTCACATGCATCCACCGGCATTGCCAACCACTTCCGCACCTGGATATTATCCCGCGACCATAGCCCGTTGGCCTTCCGAAAGGCATCCTCCCGGCACCTGTACTTCAGCACAATACCTGCATATGTGTCTGTGGCCTGTACGTGGTGAATGTAGGCCAAGTACTCTTCCGTCTCCTCATTCTGCGAGGTGTCCCTCAGGTCCTCATCAGAGTTCCGTTTCTTGAATCTTTTTGCGACGTCCAATCCTCCGTTGACACCCTCGTGACTTTCGAGCACACTTGCTGTGCGCAAAGCTTTCAAGGTGGCCTCCCTCTCTGCGCGTGATCCAGCAGCAATGTCGTTGTGGCTCGGCCTTCCCTCGTTTGGCGGTTGCGGGCCCCAGGTCTCGTTCCTGTTTTCCGCCCGGTAGCTAGATTGCCTGGTCGGCTTCCTCGTCCTGCTCCCATCCCTACTGCGTGGGCGGTGTGATTCGCCGCCAACGCCCGGTCCCCCGCCTGTGAGTAGCGACGATGCCAATTCCTGGACGGAGGCCCAGCTTGAGGTCCACGATCCGTCGAGAAGCCCACGGCCAGCACCCGGACTCTTTCCTCGGGCTGTGCCGTGCACAACGTCCGCCCTAGCATTGTTCCTCCCCGTCACGGAGCCAATATGTGCCGGCGGTATGGGCGAGGCGCCCCGGCTTGGAGTTCGGCTGGGGCTCGAGAAGGCCGAAGGAGACCCCGCACCGTCTTGTGTGCTCAGAAGGCGGCGGTTGCGTGGGCGAATAGATGCCGTGTCCGAATCCCGCGAAGTAGGCAGGAGGGTACTCGAGGAGGAACTCCGCGAGGGAATCATTGCCTCGGGCATCCTCCCAAACGGGCCCGGGGCATCGACGCGCGGCGATGGCAGCTATAACGGATGGGCATCAGATCGTGGCCGTTTCGATAATATGCCGGTGCTTTTATTTGGAAATCCGCGCTGCGCGGGTTATATGGGTGCTCGGGTAGTTATTTTAATCCTCGCCAACCTAAAAGAGGTGGAAGGTTCGATGTGGTGGCGGCTTGTGTCCTCGACAGGAGTGTTCGACCGATTTGCACAGCAATCAAAAATGGTGGGCGGTTAAGCGATCCAGATCAGCGGCGGGCGCATACGGGAAGCCGGGCCAGCGCACGCATTGGGCTGAAATCCAGGTAAATCATCAATATCAAGATGCAGTCGAAGGTTCCGTTGTTCTGGAGGGACCAGGCCGACGTACGTCTCCCCTCCGAGTGCCCGGTTCCAGTTGGGGGCAGCGGTCGGGAACCCCTGCCCAGGCCAGTCGTTCTGACAAGGTGGCCAATGACCGCCAAGTAATGCGAACAAGCGCTGCTGATGCAAGTCCAAGCTGCCCCTTTCAGGGTAGTATTTTAGTGCGGAATTCCTCGAGATAACAGACGCAGAAAAGGGCAGGATTTGGGCTCGAACGAGGCTGGTGTCAAGGATATAAAAAATACTGTATTGGAAAAAGAAGAAGAAAAAATCAAAATTGCAAGGGCGGTCCTGGATATTGTAAAACCGAAGAAACGCGGCCCCAACATTAGAGCATTTAAATTCGAGAACGCTCCGAGCCCACCTACCCGGGCATGTTTGGGATTACGATCCTCGGATGAATGCGATTGTCGGGGTGGAGCCAAGTGGTTCACATTCCACAACGAGCCGTAATGTATTAGTACCGTAAATAACGTTACCAACCAAGATAAATTACCATACACGGTGAGGGGCGGGTTTGGGGGTCTGACACCAGCGCACAGGCCCGCGTGCTGCGGGGCGACAGCCAAACAAAGTAAACAAATACCGAAGTTGCAAGGAGGGGTGCCGCGTGTCTTGGGAATCGGATTTGCGACTTTGCGCGACTCCATAACCCCCCTCCCGAGCCAATCTACAACTAGCAAGATAAAGGGGGCTTTTTCGACAACGCCGCCATGAGGGTGACGGAACTAATCATCGACGTAGGCGCTGACCGACTCTTCTTCTTTTTTCCGACAACAGCTAACCCACGCAAACAGGGCTTCAAGTCGTACGCCGTACGCACAGTGATATCAGGATGGTACTGTGGGATGTCTCTGAGAGGTTGGGTAGTCGCTTACAGTCGGTTACAGGGACGAGAGCTTCAACTCCATCACCGGCCTCAACGGCAGTGGCAAGTCCAACATTCTGGACGCCATCTGCTTCGTCCTGGGCATCACCAACATGTCCACAGTCCGCGCCCAGAACCTGCAGGTGAGGCAAAGATTTGAGTGTGTCGACAATCCCCGGCTAACGCTCCCGATTCTGTCCGCAGGACCTCATCTACAAACGCGGCCAAGCGGGCGTCACCAAGGCTAGCGTCACCATCGTGTTCGACAACAGGGACAAGAAGCGCTCTCCCATCGGGTTCGAAGAGTATGCGACAATCAGCGTGACACGCCAGATCGTTCTAGGCGGGACAACAAAATACCTGATTAACGGTCACCGCGCACAACAGCAGACCGTCCAGAACCTGTTCCAATCCGTCCAACTCAACATCAACAACCCAAATTTTCTGATCATGCAGGGTCGCATTACCAAGGTGCTGAACATGAAGGCCGTCGAAATTCTAGCCATGATCGAGGAGGCAGCAGGGACAAGGATGTTCGAGGATAGGAGGGACAAGGCGATCAAGACGATGGGGAAGAAGGAGATGAAGCTTCAGGAAATCACAGAGCTGCTCCGAGACGAAATCGAACCAAAACTCGAGAAACTCCGAACCGAGAAGCGCGCCTTCCTCGACTTTCAACAAACGCAGAACGATCTCGAAAGGTTGACCAGGGTTGTCGTCGCCCACGACTACGTCCGGTGCCAGGAAAAGCTAGAGCAGTCCGCCTCGGATCTTGAAGCGAAGAAGCAGCGTGAGAAGGATTTGGAGGAATCGGCCACACGCCTCAAGAGCGAAATATCCCATCTGGAGGAGGATGTGCAAAGGGTCAAGGCGCAGCGGGACAAGGAGTTGCGGAAGGGTGGCAAGGCGCAGGCCCTTGAGGATGCAGTAAAGAAGCATTCCAATGAACTGGTCCGCCTGGCCACCGTCGCCGATCTCAAACGCAGCAGCATGGCGGAAGAGCAGGAACGGAGGACGGGTTGCGAGAAGACCGTTGCCGAGCTGGAGGCAACCCTGAAAGAGAAGACCAAGGCTTACGAAAAGATCAAGGCCAAGTACGACTCTGCGAAGGAAACGGCGGAGAAGCAGGCTCAGGAGGCAGAGTCGAAGGAGGAACTGCTTCAAACTCTGCAAACCGGTGTCGCATCCAAGGAAGGCCAGGAAAACGGGTACCAGGGACAGCTACAAGACGCGAGGAACCGAGTTACAGCGGCTGTGACAGAGCAGGAGCAAGCCAAAATCAAGATGGCCCATCTCGAAAAACGGATAAAGGAAGAAGAGCCGCGTGCGGTGAGGGCCAAGGACCAGAATGCCGGACTTCTCAAAGACCTCGAAGGGCTCAAGCACCAGGCGCAGAGGCTAGAGAAGGAGCTCGGCAAGCTTGGGTTTCAACCAGGCACGGAACAGGAGATGTATAAGCAAGAAAGCCAACTTCAACAAAGTATCCGGAATCTGCGACAAGAATCCGATTCTCTCAAACGCAGGGTAGCCAACATCGACTTCAACTACGCCGACCCAGTACCCAACTTTGACCGATCAAAGGTCAAAGGTCTAGTAGCTCAGCTGTTCAGCCTCGACAAACAGTTCACGCAAGCAGCTACGGCGCTGGAGATCTGCGCGGGCGGGCGGTTATACAACGTCGTGGTGGACACAGAAGTTACCGGCACGCAGCTCTTGCAGGGAGGAAGACTGCGAAAGCGGGTGACCATCATTCCCCTCAACAAAATCGCCACCTTCAGGGCATCTGCTCAGACCGTCGCTACCGCTCAGAGGGTTGCGCCGGGGAAAGTCGACTTAGCGCTATCCCTTGTAGGATATGACAACGAGGTTTCGGCGGCCATGGAGTATGTCTTCGGCAATACTCTGGTGTGCGCAGATGGCGAGACAGCCAAGCGGGTTACCTTCGACCCCAACGTACGGATGCGGAGTATCACACTGGAAGGCGATGCCTACGATCCCTCGGGTACGCTCTCTGGCGGCAGCGCGCCGAACTCAAGCGGCGTGCTGGTCACGTTGCAGAAACTCAATGAGCTTACAAGGCAGCTAAGGGAGGCCGAAGCATCACTCGGCCAGTTGCAATCCCAAATCGCGCGAGAGAAATCGAGGCTTGACCAGGCCAAGAAGATCAAGCAGGAGCTCGATCTCAAGTCACACGAGATCAAGCTTGCCGAGGAACAAATCGGCGGCAACTCCTCTTCATCTATCCTTCAAGAGGTGCAGAAAATGAAGGAAACGATTGCGGAGCTCAAAGAATCAGTCGTAGAGGCTAAGAAGCGGCAAGCCGAGGCCAGCGCCGACGTCAAGAGGATCGAAAAAGACATGAAGGACTTTGACAATAACAAGGACGCCAAGCTCGTTGAGCTCCAGGCTTCGGTCGATAAGCTCCGTGCCGCTGTTGAGAGGATGACGGCGTCGAACAAGGGTCTTCAGAAGGAGCTCCAGACCGCACAGCTCGACTCGGAGCAGGTCTCTGGGGACCTAGCCTCAGCACGCGAGCAGCTGCAAGAAATCGACCTCGCCCTCAAGGCGCAGAAGGAGGAGGTCGAGGAGCTCATCAAGAAGCAGCAGGAAATCAAGGAGACGCACGACACGGCGCAGGCTCAGCTCGAAGATGAGCGCACCAAACTCCATGTCTTCGACGACGAGCTGCGCGCTCTCGAGCAAGCCATGCGTTCCAAGAACGCACGCATCACCGAGGAGGGGTTGGAGAAGCAAAAGCTCGGCCACCAGGTCGAAAAGTTCAACAAGGAGCAGCAGGCCGCAGCCCAGAGCGTGTCCCGCATGGAGCAAGAGCACGAGTGGATTGCCGAGGCGCGCGACCAGTTCGGACGCACGGGGACGCCGTACGATTTTAAGGGTCAGAACATCGCCGAGTGCAAGGCGACGCACAAGAACCTACTAGAGCGCAGCCAGGGCTTGCGCAAGAAGATCAACCCCAAGGTCATGAACATGATCGACAGCGTGGAGAAGAAGGAGGTCTCGCTCAAGCACATGATGCGCACCGTTATCCGCGACAAGCGCAAGATCGAGGAGACCATCATCAGCCTAGACGACTACAAGAAGAAGGCGCTGCATGAGACATGGGAAAAGGTGAACGGCGATTTCGGTCAGATCTTTGCCGAGCTGCTACCGGGCAGCTTCGCCAAGTTGGACCCGCCCGAGGGCAAGACCATCTCAGATGGCCTGGAGGTGAAGGTATCACTGGGCAAAGTCTGGAAACAATCCCTCACCGAACTGAGCGGCGGTCAACGGTAAGCCACCCCTTCCCCCCCCCACCATCCTTTCCATCTATTCCAACCCCACTAACACCCCACCCCTCCCTTGCTACAGATCCCTAATCGCCCTCTCCCTGATCATGGCGCTGCTGCAGTTCAAGCCGGCGCCCATGTACATCCTCGACGAGGTCGACGCGGCGCTGGACCTGTCGCACACGCAGAACATCGGCCGCCTCATCAAGACCCGCTTCCACGGCTCCCAGTTCATCGTCGTCTCCCTCAAGGACGGCATGTTCCAGAACGCGAACCGCATCTTCCGCACCCGCTTTAGCGAGGGCACTAGCATGGTGCAGGCACTCACGCCGGCTGATTTGAGGTGATTTTCTTTTTGTGCCGTGTCTTTTGTGGGTGGTCTGTAGATGTGAAGGGCGGTTGACTGGTTGGGGGTGGTTTCTGTATGGGAGGAGGGTTGGAGTTGGGTTGGGTTGGTAAAGGGCAGGCAGGTGGAAGGATACATCTGGCTTAGGCTGTTGTTTGTCGGTGTCTCTAGGGCACTTGGTACGGCGGTGCTTGTCGGTGGATGTGTTATGACGTTGTCACGTACACGACTCTAGCTATGACGGTTGCGTTTGGGTAGTGGGCTTGCTGTCTAGTGTATTTGATCTGTTCTCTCGTGTCTATACCGCATCGTACAGTGATGTACACTACATGTGTCTAGCATATGCCCCGTCGTCGTGGCCCCTAGTCTATTGTGGTATGTATACATGTTCACCTCGCTCGAGCACTTCAACCGACATTCCAACCTCGACCCAACTCTCCAGATCCTCAGTGGGAAATAGGGGCGTGACCTGCATGCCCAGACAACCCATGTGTTTCGCGCCTTCGTCAACCTCCCTGAACTTCCTCAGGGCCTTGTCCGGCTGGACTGGGTGTCGAAAGCCAGTCTCCTGGTTGACATTAGGCAGCTTGCAGCTAGGAGGTCGTTAGTGCCAAACATGGAACGACTCGGGACGCAGAGATAACTTACCGGACAGTTCGGCAAGATACATGGAACGTCGAGGCGTCACGCTTGTTGCTGGGCCCCGGGTTAAACCGGACCTTCTTCCACGTCTCTTCGTCATAGGGGTTCTCATCGCCGTCCACTTTCCGAGAGTTAGTTACGGTCGAGTGGTAGACACGGCTATGCCCCGTGGAAAGGGGTTCGCCGTGCTAGATGAAGCGATATACCCCGTTCCACGCCCGGTCAAGATCAACATTATACAGTACTCACCGATGATATTAGCCCGAAACCGCCTGGGGTCTAGCTCCCGGAGCTCCTCGTCCTTTTCGATCTTGGCATCAAAATCCCGAACGCTGGTCAGGTTCAGGAGATGCAGCGGATACTGTGCACACAACGATCCGCAGTCAGCCATCAAACCCATTCCTCCCCACGAATACCACCCAAACCAAATACACCAAGCAAGGGTCATCTCCCGGCACACTACACACACAGAGAGAGAGAGCAAACAAAGAACCAAGCACCGGGGATTCACAACACCAAAAGAAAAAGGAAAGAAAAAAACTACACCCACTCACCGCATCCTGAAACCCCGTAACGGGCTGATACCCCGCCTCGGCCCTCGACGGCGCACACCGCCGCACCGCACGCAAGCACGCCGGATCAACCCGAAACAAACCCAGCGTATTGCTCACCCCGAGATAAAGCGCCAGCTCCGGCGGCAGGTCGGCGCGCATGTTCAGAGCGGGCACAGCATCCCGCCAGACAGCGACCTCCTCGCGGGCATAGCCGCGCGCGGCGATCTCGTCGGGCGACGGGAACGCCACGGGCAGCACAAACTCCCTCTCCGGCCGCGCGCGCCACCCGCGCGCCAGCTTCGCGCCCGCCCAGCCCAGCGCGCCGCGGACCCCGCGCTCCCGCCAGGGGAAGCGTACGAGGAGGTAGGGGGCTGGGGCTGGTGCTGAGGAGTCCCCCACGCTGCCGCGGGTTTTGGCGGGGTCCGGGGTGAAGAGGTCGACGGAGACGGTGGCGAGCAGCGGGAACTGGCGCTGGGTGATGAAGTGCCAGGCGTGGGCTTCTTTTTCGGGGGAGGGGGATTGTAGGCTGACCGGGAAGGGGCTCTTGAGCTGGGCGAAGGTGTACAGGCGGTCGAACTCCAGGCCGGTGGGGAGGACCTTGCTCTGGTGGACTTTGATGCCGCGGCAGGATTTGAGCGGGTAGATCCAGAGGCTGCGGATCTTGGGGGTTGTGGGGTCATTATCGTCTTTGGGGGGGTGGTGAGGTTGATGATGGCTTTTTAGGCCGGATTCTGATGGGCCGAGGCCGACTTGGGTGTGGGTTTCGAGGAGCGCATCGCGCTTGGATGGGGGGTACTGGCGGGAAGTAGAGGAGGATGGGCAGGAAAAAGGCAAAGATGGTGATGAGAAGAATGAAAGCGCTTGATGAGTCGACTGCCGGGCCGCGCTGCGGCACCGTGCTCCCGTCCATTGGTGATTTTCCCGTGTTGCTGCGGCTGCGGCCGCGGTTTTCCTTGTTTGTGTTTGAGTGGTTGCCAGCCAGGAACGGCAGGCGAGTTTGACCTGTAACCAAAGTCCGAATCGCGTGTTCGTGTTTCAGGTTTGTGAAGCATTCAGTGGATCATACGGCTCATACAGCAATTCATGTAAATTTGCAACTGAAAATATGTCAAGTGACACAACAATACCGCCGGATTGTATACATTACGTAACCAGACCACTTACACATCCTGCCTGGCTACCAGGGAGGTACCTATGCAATGTAGGATTCAACGGGTTCGGGGAAGAGTGACGATAAGACCGAGGTAAACAATAGTAGGAAACGCAGGTTATAGAGGAGGAAAGAACGGGTTCTCGATTAATTCGGTGTCGGTGGCGGGGAGGGAAAAAAAAAAAAGACAATATCCATAGGAAGGGAAGGAGCAAACGAAAGACGAGGGGAAACCCGACGATGAGTGCAACAACTCCCTACCTTACCCAATTGAATCCTACAGAGGAGACTTGTCAAATCGATGTCTTGTAAAAACAAGCTTCGGCGTTCCGAAACCACTCATCCGCCGGTACTGGCACGGCAGTGCACTCACCAACCTTGCATCGATGTCACTGAGCCTTTTAAGGTCCATCCATTTTTGGATTTGTCGTCAGACTCGGGCTGACAAGCAAACAAGGTCTTGTGCAGAAGGACATCGATATCACTGAGGAGGTGACCAACAATCGATCAAAGGAACGGCAACCTAGTCCCGGGCCCCAGAGAAACCTCTCGGACTGTCCTCTCCGGAAGTGTTCCGCGGAGGATCCAAACAGCTCTGCCAAGTTGAAATCGCGTGAGCAAATGTGTAAATGGACGTCGATGCCCATGGCACAAACCCGCCACTACTGCAAGAGAACTTCCGGCGGATGTGGCCCCCAATTGATCCGGCAAATTTGGCGTGTTCGTCGGTAGGGCTGCTTCGATTGGCCTTTAGCCCCGCCGACCCGATTTGTTGCCGCGCGCGATCTGCCACAGCAAACGGAGTTGATTGGGGGTTTTCGTGTCTTGGGATTTCCGGACCGGGTCCGAATCAGCGCCCCCAAGCGCCACCCCCCGGGATCCCGTCCCGAACAAGCGGCCGGAGCCGTCAATCACAGCGCGCCGGGGAGGAAGAATGCTTGGGCCGGTGCACGGGCATATGTGATGTGTTAATTAATTCCCGAACACTCTGTATGGGTGGTTCAGGTGGCGTCTCTCTGCACGGGAGTGCGTGACGCAAGCTTCATGTGCTCATCTGCTTCGGGCGCTGTTGGTGGCCCGGCCCACGAGCGAGCGTCTGAAGTGGGAGGGAGAGTGGGACAGCGGTGGAACGACGGCAGGCCGCAGCAGTCATCAGAGAGAGACGGGTGAGCCTGCAACCACATTCCCGATGGGGAGGTAGCGCGCCTAGGTACGGCAGCGACTCGCAGGCTGGCCAAAAACGGGTCGCATCTCCCGTCTCATTGGTACGAGGCAACTGTAGCATTACATGTGAGTGACAGCCGGGATACCACCGTCGTGAGATGATACCCGACGGCACGGAGCACGGGATAATGAGGCTGCCAGGTCAAAGGTGAGATTGTCGCCTCGTCAACCTCCATTCACTCGAGTTGGCGGCAGGGTCTTCGGCTCTATGCCTAGAAGAAGAGGAGCCTCGTTGCTCCTATATTAGTTGTTGTGAGTGTTGGGTGGGCCGGGCAATGTATTATGTAGGCGGATGAGCGCTGGAGGAACAAGCCCTTGGTGGAGACGATGGAGGCTGCTATCCGCCTCAAATTCAGCTTCTGGCCCGAAGTGGGAATCGGTGGAGGTTTGGGCTTCCGTGACCCCCGGGATTTGCCATGGCTGGTTCTGCTCAGGTCATCATGACTGATCGCTCTGGGTATCGGTGAGCGGACGGGGAGCTGGCGATGGACCGCGGCTGTGTCACCCGATTTAGACGTACACGCGTCGTGGCCGAGATGAGGCTATATTAACCAAGCTCGGCCATAGTTACCATATCTTTGGTGAACCTTGCGACGGCCAAGAGCCATTGGTGACGGCCGCGCTGGATGGAGTGTGGTAATATATCCATTGTTCGACGAAGACGGGGCCGTTGGAGGGCGAGCAGCGGGGACACCGTTGGTATCAAAATGGGCCAACGTCCACGAAGAAACCCTTCCGTCGTGGCTCGGCATTACCGACCGCAACCTGCCCGCCCGGTCCTAGTAGTCGAGGGTGACTCAGCCAGTATGGAGGTATGGGTATAACCTGTAATAACCCCGGGTTCATGTCAGGATGAGGGTCGAAGAAAGAGTCGTGGGCGGAGATCTTGACATGTCTGACTTGGTCACCCTGCTAGTTCACGATGAATAATAGGCTCCGGTATGACGTATAGTGGTCTTACAGAGGACGTCTGGAATAGAATCCGATCCACAAAGGCCCCTGGGCAGTGCGAGGTTGAGAATAAAGCTTCATGGAAGAGAGATTGTCGCCGACACGACCCGAGATTGCATTAATGCATCCCGGCGCGTTTTGGAGTCACATGCGTAGGCTGACGTGCCTCCGCAGAGGTGTCGGCGCGCGAGGAGTCCAAGATACTCGTGTCGAGGCTCGAGACAACGTTCGTCGAGAGACCGAGTTTGGTGAGACGGACCTCGAGAGATCCGTGTGCTGCGCATCGAAGGCTGAGCAGTGGGCCCTGCAGATTCATGCGATCCTTGTTTAAGATGCCGCTAGTGAAGCGGCCCCTGAGCCTGGGAACCGGGCCGGCGTGGCACAGCCGCTCCGCTGAACGCCGTTGGAGGAAGTCCGACCGTGAGCGTGGGTGCGTGGGTGCGTGGGTGGTGAGTGGCCCCCGCGGGAGCTTCCACCAACAGAAGATCGTCACTCCGGCTTGGTGTTGCATGAATTTGGCCCATTCCCAACAACCAATATTCATTTCGATCTCTGCATTCTAGAAGTCCCATGGGAATTCACTTTCGTCAAGTCATCCCCGAACAAATGGGCACTGCCTCGGCAGGGGTCAGTGAGACATGCCTGCTTAGCTGGGATGCAAGCAGCATTCTCCCCCGCGTGGGTCTCTCAAATGCGACGATGCTTTCTTATCATTGACGATTGCTTGTGTTGACGCACACACACACACACACACACGCACGCACACACAGCGCGAGTCAAGACGGAAGGAGCTGATTTCGTCTTTTGAATCGACAGGACGTGCACTCACCTTGAACACTGCCAGTGCACTTGAAGGAGATAACTCCCCCCAACTGCACGACGACCTGACTGGAAAGACCGGGGTCTTGGATAACGGATGCCAGTGCCGTGATTGGCAAGGGAAAACAGGTTAAACTGACTTGCACGTGCCAATAATCAATGATTGCCGTTCAAAGTATTGCGCTCATAACATTATCTGCCTGGCTTATAGGCAGGGTTTAGGGGAGCTCTTTCCGCCGATATGGGGCTCCTGCTGCAAAGATGGGAGATTTCCCCCAACGCCGCTTCCCTCCCAATCCTATTCAGTCACGTACCTACCAAGCTCTCGCATTCCTCCTGCCTGTTGATTTCTGCAATGGAACTTCTCTCGGAGTCCGTATTTGCATGCTCCCATGTCGATCCCCGAGAGTTTTACATACGCGCCAATACAATGGTGCAGCGCGGGAGAAAAAGAGAATTTACAGATCTGACTTGGCCGAGATGCAGTGGAGGATCCAGCGATGGCCCGTCTGACGATAACGCCACACCCACCGCAATCCCACTCCCACCGAGGCCAAATGAACGGAAGTACTTCGTACCAAGAACAACAGGAAAGAAAGATGGCTGGAAGCTGGAGACTCGAGGTCACTTCCCTTGCCAATCCCGGCTCACTGCCCCGGCTGACGTTCAAATGAATTTGGCAAGATGATGGGCAATCTGGGCAACTGGGACGTGGATGCAACATCGATCGCCTCGGCCCAGGACTTACGATGGAAGTAGTCACTGAAGTGAGTAAGTCCATTCATCGAATGCGATGTGTGGTATTTTTGACGATGCAGCTTAGGTTCTCAGCTGCGGGCTTGTGTGACACACCCCCGAATCTCCGCGCTGCCTTACTGGTTGATAGCGAGCAATGTCCTCGAGATCGGAGAACAAAATACTGTGAGGCCTGTCCGGCGCCGGCACGACGGTTGGAGCGGCGCCTCCTCCTTCGCTGCATCCTGACATCTTGCACAGTTCGGGATCGGATCGCTCCCACCATTGCCGCGGACCAGCTTCACTTCCCTGGACAAGGACACAGACCCCGGCAGGCCTGGGAGTGCAGGCCCGACGTTCGCGGGCCCTGCATCGGACTGGCTGCTTACGGATTGGCGCGCTTTCCAACTGCATGGGTGCGGTGTCAACCAGCGGCGCTCCAACTTGGCTGGAAGCTGGCGGCGCTTGTCCGCAAGACAACCGTGCGCAACGAAGATACGGCCCCTTCCGGAAAGGAGAGGACACAGATGACATCTTGGCTCCGCGGCGTCCGCTCTAGCATGGAAGCCATGTGTCTCCCGCGCATGTGGCCTGGCGCACCATCGGGGCCATGTCTCAGTCCGGCACAAGGTTCCACCAGAATGGCGCCGAGGTGGAGCACGACGCTGGCAGGGGATCCAGCTCTTGACCCCAGCACGCCCCCAGCACCCAGTAACCAGCACCCATGCCAGGTACCAACGGCCGTTGTGGAACGGTTCTCGCGCCGCGGCACATCAGATGAACCGTCAACCTCAGCCGCCGCGCGCCGATCAAACTCTTGAAGCAGTTCGAGTCCTATGTACCGTTGAACATGTCTCGAATGCTTCTTAGCCAGAGTATGTTCATGCAGCACGCGAAGCTACAGAGAATAGCTACTTACAACTCGAGTCGGGGCCCAGGCACGCGGGCTGGCTTTGTGGGTGCGTTGCATTGCTGCTCTCTTCTGCTCTGCCGTTCCCGCGCAGCGTCCTCGATGAGACTTGGGGTACATCTGGCAACCCCCTTGTCGGGCGAATTACGCTACCGAACTAGCCTTCCATTGCTTCCCACTTGCAGAAACTTCTGCCGCCTTGGACGGAACCCGTTCAGAGGTCCCAACTTTGGAGAAGCTCACTACACAAGCAGCAAGCTGGCAAGATTCGGACCATGTTCGTGTCCGGGCCCTATCCAGGACAGGATGCGGAAAATAAGCCGCGAGAGCCTCAAGCATGAGGACCGACTAGTCCAGCAGCTGCGGCCCTAACATAATTTTGTCGCCGTCCTTGAAACGTAATGACGACAGCTCACCACATCAAGCAGGGCGTAGAATACGCGCACACAAACTCGGCCTATCCATGCTAGGAAACGGTTTGCATACACCCGCTAGGTTCGCACTTTCATGGCTTTGACCCCGAAAAGCCTCCTACGTACCCTAGCTTCGCTGAAGTGCCTCCAAGACCTGAGTAATGAATCCGGGGGAAAACTCGATGCCCTGTGACAGTTAGACGCGCACCAAGTCACGGACTTGGACCAGGGGCCACCTCTGACTGGGCAACCCCCACCAGCACGCCTCTTGGGACGGCCCGGGGTCAAGCTGATCCTGGACGACACGCCCCGGCGTTAACAAGAGTTGGGCCTTTGCTGTCGACTGATCGACTAATAAGATCGAGCTGAATGATCTCTCACCCGCTTTCCTACTCGACTTTCCAACATTTCTGATCAACGATCTGCCTCCAATAGCGGACATCCGTCTCCTCTTCACGACAGGATCCATCTAGTTCGTACATACCACACTCCTTCTCCACGAGGGAGTTGGCCACGGTTACATTCATCAGTTACTGGCCGCAGTCCGGTCACCCCCCTCAGACCATCTTCGGTCTTTCCCGCGCCACACCCTGTGACCCATCGCCCTCACAACCTCCGGTTTCGTGCAGAGCACCCCTATCCCGGTAACCCACCAGCCGTTGTGGTTACCCGCCCGGTCACCAGACAAGAAAGATACTTGTTCGATTACTTGGTTCACAGTACCGTGCGCCAACTCCCTGTTCCTCGTTCCTCAGGGGACGGTAGTATCCCGCATCAGGGTTGATGACTCGTCTTGGCAGCCCGAGGACATCGCCCTCCGCTATTCGCCACCCTTACCCTCGTCCGAAGGACTCCTCACGCACCCAGAGCCACTCGACGCCTATCCGTATTGGTGCCGTTGGGCCGCCCACGGCTGTATCCGCGCCAGTATTGACGCTGTCTCTCTCCTTGAGGGGTGAGCTTCCAGGGTAGGGTAGGGTTATCTTGGCTGGAGCCATCGAGCCAACGATTGTTCAGTCACAGTGGTATCCCGCCTGCATACCCACGTTCGTACCAAGAATCGACCAGCTTCGCAGCAGATCACATCCTGGCGTCCCGCCCGCAAGCATCCTATTTCGACCCAGAAGCGCCGACTCTCTGGCACCCGGAAGATTGACGGAACCGCCAGCGATCCGCCCAGTCCCTCGTTCCACAGAAGGGCCCAGAGAAGCCCCAGTTCCGCGAAGAGGTTGCCACTTGTAGCTGGTTGGCCTTTTCCTACCAACGTTGTGCGGAGATCTCGTACGCTACAATCACCCTCCTCGGCCCCCCTGAGAAGACTTCTTGAACCTGCCGTCCGATCAACGCTGGGGTTCGAGCTGTCGCCTACCCCAGCCGGCTCCTTTTTCACAAGGCACTGGCCTCCACTATTGACCGGGGATACTTCTATAATGGCATTTAATTCAGCACTGAACGCAAGCATCTGACAAGGGTCCGTTTTTCTCAACGCTGCTTGGATTAGACTTGTTATTGTCTCCTTCGAACTCTCTCCGCCTCCCCCAGACCCGAGAGAGCCGCCGGCCTCGGAATTCTGGACCGAGGGCTGCGCAAATCTGAATCGCCTGCCCATAAGGGTCCGTCGGCCTTTCCGATCAGTCTAGGTTGACGTGCTTGGGCATCAGCGCACATATCTGGACCGCCTTCGTGTGACGACGGACGCGCCAGACCCTCGCCACCTCTCCTCCACGAGCCGCTCGATGCCGTGGACAGCCGGCACCGCCTGACACGACGAACACAAAAAGCGAGCGTCGTTAAAAGGACCGCGATGAGCGACTACTACCACCACTTCCTATCCTCCATGGTGGGGGTTGGAGGACAGCCCAACCCTAACCAGCTTGATGGCGTCGGACAGATGTCACAACCCCAGGTTGTCCCGATGGGCGTCTCTTCGGCGCCCAACCCTTATCAAAGCCTAGGCTATTTCACCGGTTTCCCCGAGCCCATCATGTTCAATGCGCCGAAAGCGCAGAGAAGCAGAAGGAAATCGGCGCCGGGCCTGGATCACATCAAGCATCGCCGTACAAGATCTGGCTGCTACACTTGCCGTAGCCGGCGTGTAAAGGTATCACCCCGCAACCCCCCCCGCCAGTAGGCGCTACTCTAACAACATCGTAGTGCGACGAAACACGCCCCGTTTGCGAAAGTACGTCCAGCTATTGCTGGCACCTTAAATACCCCCGGGACCATCGCTAACTGGGTTGCTGTAGGGTGTAGGAAGGGCAAGAGGGAATGTATCTACCCGGAACCACCGCCCCCAAAGGGATCCGGTGCCGCAGGATCCAAAGACTCGGCCGGGGCAAGTCGGCAAGCGAGCCCAAGTTCCTCCCGCGGCGATGACGATGATGAGGCCGAGCAAGATACGAAGCTGGACCCAATCATGGACGAAGACGAAGACGAACCGGAGAGCGCGACATCCCAAACATCAGCGCCGAATTTCCCGCTCCGGAGATCCAGTACCACATCCTCGTTCGGGCGCCAGCGTGTCATGGGAGGCCACCGTCAGGGATCCGAAACCCCGTCCTACGACGACCAGAAGAGCTCGTCCCCCGCCTTATCGTCCGGCGTCACCAGCGCCCACACGCCTGCTGGGCCGCATTTCCCTGATGGGTCAACCATCGCAACGCCCTCCCGTCCCGACTGGACGTTCCTCCCGCACGAACTTCAGTTCTATCTCAGCTATTTCTACGAGAACATTACACACTACCACTATTGCGTGGTGAACGATGCCGATGACTTTTTTCGGACCATCCTGCCGGGGTTGGCGATCCGCAACGAGGCGCTTCTCTACGCGGTAGTGGGCTTCTCCGCATATCACCACTCGATGAAGAACCCGAATGGGAAGATCAATGAGTTTCTCCAGTATTACAGCCGTAGCGTCACGTTGCTTCTGGACTGTCTGAAGAACGAAAAGCACACGGTAGGGACGCTATTGACGATCCTGCAACTTGCCACCATCGAGGTACGTAGCGCACAACTCCGGGATGTAACGGGCGTCTAGACATACTAATACCAGGAAAGGAATACCTGGGCGATTGGGTCAACCTCATGGGCCACCAGAAAGCAGCCTTCGAAGTCCTGACCAAGCTATTTACGCCCCAGACGGTGATGCAATCACCAGTAGGCCGTGTGGCTCTGATGTGGTACGCTCGCTTCGACGTCTTCATTGGCATCATGGGCAGTTTTGGGACCTCGTTGTCTCGAGACTGGTTCGCGGCATCGATGGGATACTACGAGTCAAGGGTAGCGGCAGAACCCCGAAACTTGGCTTGGACAATCGAGGCATTCTCGGCACGAGTGCGACTGATCTCGCAGGAAATGTCGGGGCTTTTCGCCAAGGGCGCAAAGCAGGAGTTTACGGAAGAGGAGTACACTGCCGAACATCGCAGGTTGTCTGCCTCGTGGGAGGAGTGGAAAAACTCCATCGACACTACCCTCAATGATCCGGCGTATCTGGTGAACGACTTCCCCGGCAACCAGACGCCCGACCCCGACGACATTGTCAACCCGTTCGAACCGGGGGTCCTGTTCCGGCCTCCGCTCTTCGCCACGACGTTGATGGCGTGCGAATATCACTCGATTTCACTCATGCACGCCAGCCAGAGCGCGGAAACGCTTACAGACGAGGACAAGGCGAAATTGATGGAGCACGCATACGCGATATGCAGGATCTGCGAAACGGTAGAGCTCTGGCCTCACAGCCCGCCGGGGAGCTTGGTGATCCTGCAATCGTGTCTTGCCCTTGCCGCACTTTATTTGCGACGGGATCCGAAGCACCACATGTGGATCAGGAGGAAGTTCGCGTTACTCGAGACCATGGGGTGAGTCTGTTTTCCAGCACCGCGTTGGACAGGATGCACAAGGGTTGGACGAGCTCGCATGCTTGAATGCAATCTCGCGCGGGGCAACTTGTGCTAACCAAATTATAGGTACATCTCCCCCATAACAATGCGCACACGCATGGCCGAGCTCTTCAATGACGAGAGCTGCATCCGATGGTGGCTCCCAAATGACGAGGGATTTAGCCCCTTGCTCCAAAATATCCGGGCCATTGCGGACGAGCGTAATGCCATGGCGGTGTCGACTCAGAGGGAGAATCTGCAACAGATTCGCCATGTGTTCTCAAGGATGCAGCTTGGACAAGAGCACGACGAGGGCGACGACAGCGCGCATGCAGGGGCAAAGAGGAAGCACCCGGACGCGTGAACAAGGGGCCCGGGCCCATTGAGCTTTGCGCACGTCTGTTTAGCAGCCGAGGATCCGCCAACGCGAACGAGTGCACGAGCAGCAGGATAGATTGCAGGAGGGTGAGGCTTCATGGGGCCCTCGACATCATTCTCGTTCCGAATTCCGACCATCCGAGCGGTTACAAGCCTCATCCCTGGGCTGGGTTCGGAGACCTGGACGGCGTGGGTGTGGAACTGGGACCTCGTGGTACGTGGGCCGTGGAACGTGGGATCCAATAATGGCTGGGAACGGTTGACGTTGGGGTTCCAGGCGGCTCATGATGCGGCTCCCTCTGCCGTGGGTGGCCCATGTGGTCGCATGTGGTTCCTTGGACAATTTCCTGGGACCCGATAATGCGGCCCTGCGACGTCAAAATCTCGATACTAATGCAGGGGCCGACGCTTGGATCGCCCCTTGAACCGTTTTCAAAGATCTGAAACACACTTTCGGCACTCGGGGATCTCACCACCCCACACGATCCCCCCCCAACCACCCGCTAGCAACTTCTGGCGCATCGCCCGGCCAAAACACCCTGGTTATGATCGGACGAACTGGTTTCCCACAAGGCGCCAATTCTCTCGGAAACCGGGCGCCGTCGTCCCAACTCGCCCACTTGGGGCGACACTACGGCGACACCCCCCGAGGACCGGGGAAATCGGCGAGCAAAGCCGCAAGGCCTGCATCTCCCTGCTTCCTCCGCTTCCTCCGCTTCGTATTCGCAACGCGGCTGTTTTCCGGGCTTGGCTAATCGACGATGGCGGCTCAGCTTCACTCCCGCGACGACGACCTCGACCTCGGTATCTCCCCCGCCTCCGGGCCTCATCGTCGTCTTTCACTCACCCGGCACAATAATCCTTCAATTTCGGGGTAGTTTCACTTTCTCTTCATGTATTTACCCGTTTGTTTGTTTGTCTTTTACACCCTTTTGGTCCCATCATCTTCTTCCTTGTCCAATATTTTAGCATCATAACATTTTTGTCTCTTGCGTTGGGGATGCTCGTATCATAGCACTTTCACCTACACCTAATCATTCCCCGTCTTCGTCGTTTTATTCTTTTTATTCACCGAGTTGGCACACACAAAAAGACGCATCGCTGTTAATATGCGGGCAATGCGAGCACCGTCATAGAAGCACAGAGGGATATACACAAAATGCATGCATAGGGGGGCGGGAAACGGCTATATTTGGGCGAAGCGTGATCGTCGGAGGGTATCGAGTGATGTGGGTGACACCGCATGGCGAAGAGATGCAAGAGCGGGAAGAAGCTGTTGGACAAACCATGGTGGGGATGGGGGGAGTCGTTGAACTTTGGGATATACCCAGTCGTGACGGTGTCAAAAGGGCGGGGGTTTGCATCTCACTGAAGAGGAGGAGGCACAAGCATTCGGCGTTCTTACAATGTATTAAGTACTGTACAAAGACAATTTAATGAACCGTTCATATAGCTGACTCCAAGTGTTCCGTCGCCTTCACCGCGCTCGCACTCGATCCGATAAGCGCGGTACTGAACTGACAACACCTGAGTATTGAGTATCGCTCCAAAAGTACTCATATTATTACACACACAGCGTGCAGAATAGAATAGAACCCTAGGGTATTAGCCGGGCGTCGGAATGCCTCAAAAAGAGAGAGAACCTAATCCTGATCACCCTTCTCTTCGACAGGCTTCTTGTCCTCGGTCGGCTCCACCCCAGCCGGCTTCTCCTCGGCGCCCCTCTCGCTTTCTTCCGCTGCGGTGTCCGCTTCTGTTCCTTCGCCATCCTTATCCTTCTCCGCCTCGGTCTTGGCATCGCCAGTCGGTGCTACCTGACCAGCTTCCCCCTCCTCCTCCTCCCCGGCCGTCGTGACCCCCTCTGTAGTGTCCTTCTCCTGAGCGGCACTACTCGCGGCAGTGGTAGCGGCCTGTGGCTCGGCGTCCGGCTCTGGCGCTTGCTCGTCTTTCTTTTCGTCGGTCAGTGGCAGGTATGAAGGTGCCTCCTCCGGTACCGACTTTTCGGCCGGCTCTATCACCGTCTCCGCATCCGACTCTTCCGCGTCGGGCTCGCCGCTCGCCTCCGCAGTGGACGCTGCCTCTTGGGGTTCTGGTTCGGGTTCTTTGCTCTCTGGCGCGGGCTCCTCGGTAGTAGCAGGAGCAGTGTTGGGCTCTTCTGTGGACTGAGCCTCCTCCTCTCCCCCGGGCTTGGGTTCGGGTTCGGGTTCGGGCTGGTGTTCCTGGGTTGGGGCTTCCGGCTCGGCGGCGAATTCGTGTTCTGGCCCCGGTGCTTCAGCGGCTTCTTGCATGGCGACCTCCGGTGCTGGCGCCGGGACCGGTTTCTGTTTTGGCTGGCTCTCATCTGATTCGGCCCCGGGCGGTGGGATTACGCTGGGCGGTCGGACCGGATGTTCCCCCGCGGCCATGGGCTTGTGCTCCACTATCACCGGGATGTTGGCCGATTCCCTTTCCTCCTCGGCCACGGACGGGGGCGCTGAGATGCGCATCCCGCGTAGCCTGTGGGATAGGTCGGATGAGTCGTCTTCGTCTGCCTCGGGCACCGTCGTGACGGCGCTTCCTGTCGAGGGACTGCTCTTAATGTGTCTTCTCGTGTTGTTCCTGTTCATGGAGTAATCCCCGTCCTCGGCATCGCGTTGAGCTGGAGGTTTCGCGATTGAGATAGGGCCGAGCAGTTGCTGTGGCTGCTGCTGCTGCTGGGGCCTCCTGTCGTTTCGGTCCCCGAGATCTCCCGCCCCTGTGTTGCTGTCCAAGCCTTCAGCTTCGGGCGGCAACTTGTAGTTCTCCGCCGGTAGCAGGTCGTAGACATCGCACACGGTTTTGAAGAAGACATAGAGACCACCCTGGCCCTCGACGGACCAGAACACGCCGCGGTGCTGAAACCAGGCGTGCGCGAAGATGCGGTGCAGGCGGCGGAACACGTTGACCAGGTTCTTAAGGGCCGTGTTCTTATCGTGAGCGTCGACGACGAAGCGACTCGGGAAGATCTTGGGGTTCGTCACGACATTGGTGGCCCAATCAAGGGTGTGGCAGCAATAATCGATGGCGCAGCAGCTCTTGGGGGCGTCGTGCACAGCGCATAGGAACTGCCACTCGCCAGCACGCATCTCGGGGCAAGTAGCAGCGCTGCAAGGCGGCGTATCGAACAGAAAGCCGACGATCAGGGTGTTGCACTGGGCGATCAGGAAGCGACAGAGTTCGTACAGCCATAGTGTCTTGTCGATGCCGGGCGGCGGGGTTGCCAACACTTTTGCGGTATCACGACTGATGGGGGTCGTATGGCTCGCCGTATGGTAGTAATGCAGGGCTGCCAGGTGTTCCTGAAGTTGGAAGGCCGAGTCGAGCTGTTCGCGTGCCCGCCGGTCAGCTCGGTCAACGAGTGAAACAGAAGGAACCTAGCCTAGTGTACCTCATGCAACGGAACGAGCGGAGGGCCAGCAGCCATCTCGGCCGACTTTGTGCCCGGGTGGATGCGCCGCTTGGCATTGGTATCAATGGCCGTCTGTTCGATTTGGGCAGTCTGCCGGGCTGCATTGGGGCCCATCAAGGGCGACTTCGGTGTTCGTTGAATCTCGGCGGGAGGCGGCGGGCTAGGCAGCCGAGGCGAACTCGGCGGCAGCGACATGGCGTCTCGGAATTCGAATGAAAACAACTTATGACACGTCCCAGCGAGGAATTAGAGTTGTGCTTCTTGTTGTTGAGTATCGACGCGCCCCGCTGTCGAGTATGGATGGCCTAACCCACGATACCCTTGGTTTGATAGGGGAGAGTTGATCCTTCCGAGCCGTTCGTCCCAATATATGCGCCTGTTTATTTTCGGAAAGACCCCTAATTTCTCGTCGGGAGGGTTATCGAGTAGAATTCGTGTGAAGTCGTAGTGCGGCGAGGAAAAGGAAGGCTGGTTGTTGGTCGGAATCTCTGGGCGCTTAACTCTCAGAACTTGTTGTTCAGGGCTCCCGCTGAAGCTGAGGCTGCAGCTACCCCTGCAATGCTGGGAGCGACCCCTTGTCGGTACTTTACGTAATACTGTAACGACACCGTACCGTGTATTGCCCCTCCATCGCAGCCTGGAATGGACCTCCTTACCTGCATGTAACTCCCAACATCTACATCACGGGAATATACAACCAATATTATTCAAATCCCATAATACCACAGTTCTCGACGCTCAGAGTGTGAAGTCTCGCAAACAAAAATGGACTTGGACGATGATGCACCGCCGGAGCTGGTTGTCACGGGCACCGAGCTGGAGCCCGAGGAGAAACCAGTGAAAGTACCCATCACCTTGATCACCGGTGTGTATATGTTGGTTTTCTTTTATCCTCGTCTTGTTGATCATTCCGTGTTCTGGCCTCGGGTTTGAAGTTCAAGACGTCTAATGAGAAACCTAGGATACCTTGGGGCGGGAAAGACAACACTTTTAAACTACATCCTGACTGCCGAACATGGGAAGAAGATCGCGGTGATCATGAATGGTAAGATTGCACATTGCTCATGCATATGTATATTGGTTTGCTAACCGGGGACATACAGAGTTTGGTGACTGTAAGCTATCTTTGAGCTAGCTAAGCATGCGTTTGGCTAACATGGCAAATAGCCCTGGATATTGAGAAGTCTCTGACCATCAACAAGGATGGTGAGTCGGTCGAAGAGTGGATGGACGTGGGCAATGGGTGCATATGCTGCTCTGTCAAGTGAGCTGAAGCCTTGGGTTACAAACCAACATGCGTGTGCTAACATGAGGGCAGAGATACTGGCGTGAACGCCATCGAGTCGCTGATGGAGAAGAAGGGCAAGTTTGATTACATCCTCCTCGAGACCACGGGCCTCGCAGATCCGGGAAACATTGCGCCCTTGTTCTGGATGGACGACGGACTCGGCAGCACCATCTACCTCGACGGCATCGTGACCCTCGTCGACGCCAAGAACATCCTGCGCAGCCTTGACGACCCCGCCGGCAAGGTCGAAGGCCACGAGGAAAGCGATGACGCCCACGGCCCGGTCATGACAACCGCCCACGTTCAAATTTCGCACGCGGATGTTATCGTCATTAACAAATCGGACCTGGCCAGCGAAGAGGAGCTGCAAGCTGTGAAGGACAGGATTGGGTCCATCAACGGGCTCGCCAAGATCTTCGTCACTAGCCAAAGTGTGGTGCCCAAACTCGAAGGGTTTCTCCTAGATCTGCATGCGTATGACAGGGTCGAGCAGCTTGACCGTGCAGAACTCGGTCACAGTCACCTCGATAAGGTAGGAGCTCGATTCAGTGTGGCTTGGTTGCTAAATCATCGCTGACTTTGCTAGACCATCTCGACGATATCGGTCCCACTGCCTAGGTTAACCAAGAAGCAGCAATCGGGGCTGGATGCCTGGCTACGATCGGTTCTGTGGGAGAATGTTCTCCCGGGTCAAAAGTCAATAGACGGCCCGGCATACGATATCCATCGTTTAAAAGGTCGTTTCTTTGGCTATGAGGGGAACGAAAGGATCATCCAAGGAGTACGAGAAATCTTTGATATCTTCGACAGCCCATCGCAGCAGCAAGATACGAATGGGCCAGAAGCAGGCAAGATGGTGCTGATCGGGCGCCATCTGGAGAGCTTCAATTTTCGAAAAAGTTTAGAGGATGCTCTCGCAAGCGCTGAGCCTTTATAAGACGAGTGGGGAGTGGCTTGAAATACGAATAGACACCGAGTTGTTGAGACGCAACGGTCGATTTGATCTGTGTTTATGTCAGGATATGTGGGCAATGTGCTGTGCTGTACAAGTAAGGCGACGATTGACTTGACGACGAAACGCAGGACAAGTTAGCATGATAAACAAGCGCCACAAATCCAACTCGGGATGAGATTGATGGAATGTTTGTTGACCATGTCCCATGGAAGTCCGAATGCCCTTGGTGTGATGGTAATGAGCACGGGCCTCGCGCTAGCGGCAAGTGGCAACAGGCTTTGGTTCAGTGTTTGCGGCGGCCCACACTGCAGCTGCTCCATCTTGGCCGGAAGGGTCCCACTACCATTCACGTCCAACACCGAAACGAGACAACTGAAGCCATTCGCTTCATACAGCACACCACCAACACACGGCCCGACGAACGAGTAAATAGCGCACGAGCGCAGCCTCAATGATGAACCGACCAGGTATGGTGCCGACGCCCGGTCCTCCTTGCGACCCCAGATCCCGAATCTCTCGTGTCCAGTGCCCCGCTGTTTGCCCTGTCCCGGCCTCGACTTTGACTTTCCACCCCGGTCTCCCCCGCTGCCTCATATGTGCGCGCTCGAGTCTGCCTTGACCCAAATGATGGTCAGGGGGGGTGTTGGTGGCCTGGCGGTGGGGGTGCAGAATTAGGGCCACAGCGCGCCTCCTAGAACCTCAAACTGCGTTGCCGTCTCGAGCATACTTCAGGGTTACGGAGTGGTCCCCCCTAGGCGATACAACGGATCAGGGGCTCGGGCACTGGTATCCGCTCGGTATTCACCTATCGAGCTGGAGTTTATCCCGCGGTGCGGTCGGTCGGTGTGGGCTATCCAAGTTGCCTCCGACTAGCCTCGGGGGCGCCCCTCACTCTCACCCACCCGCCGCTCGCATCCCGTCAAGAACGCCGATTACATGAAGTACATGTGCTAACGCGCCTTCGGGATACCAGGGGCAGTACCACAAACGCTCCGCGGCATGCCCGGGGGCTTTGGGGGCCAGCAGCAGCAGCAGCAACAACAGCAGCAGCAACAACAAGCAGGTCGCGCGGTCTCGAACAGCAGGTTACCGAACGGGAAGATAGGTGAGGCGGCCCGAGTTGCAGTCGCACTCTCGACGTCCAAGACGACCAGGGCTTCCATTGAAGGTTAACACGGGCTGATAGGGCCGGGAGGAAACGCGGCAGGATGGGGGTTCGGCGCCATGCCCATTGGGGGGGGTGGAAGCGCGCCTACGGCGGCGACGGCAAGACAAATGGGTGGGAATATCAGTTTCGCGCAGAGCTTGGCGGGATCGCAGCAGCCGGCAACACCATTGGACCCATCGTAAGTGGTTTTTCCCGTTTCTATGCTGCTTCTGTCGCATGTCGAGCTCTGGAACTCGCATCGCATCCTTCCCCTCCGTCGATTCCTGAGCTTCACCCATCTCGACTATCACAATTCGCCTCTCAACCCCAGTGGTCTCCTTCTTTCTCTACATCTATCCTTTTTAAAGGGTTGCCGATTGCGCAAAGAAGGCGGCGAATTTCTTCGCTTCCACTAGCGTCGATTGAGGCATCTGCATGCAGCTACTCGTCATAGTCGACGATCGAAATGGCGGAGCCTCAACATCACAGGCCCAAGCTCTCTATCAAGTCGAAGGAGACGAGCCCCGCCGGAGAGCCCCAGAGACCGGTTGAAGGGTTTCCCTACGCATCAATCGTGAAGGGGTACTACAGATTTTGTTCCTTGCTTTAGTCGCTTCATCAAACCCTGCTCCATCTTGCGGCGCTTACCTGGTAGGCAAAAACAATGCTGACCGGCGGCTCGATGCAGGGAATTTCCATCCTTATCCAATACATCCCAACTGAACTCGTCGAGTCAATCAAACATGTGGTCGGCGCAAGGACCTCGGAGCCTGAGCGGTGGGGTTCACCGCGGCGGCGGAACTCCAGTCTCGTCGCAACAGAGCCAGCAGGACGACTTGTTTGCCTCGCGTTTACCGTCTGCCCAAGCTGCATTTAGGTTTGGCAACCAAGGGAGCGCTGCCCAACCAGCGCAAGGGCAACAAGGCGTGGCCGAGGAGTTCCCGCCGTTAAACCGAGCTCCGAATGGTGAGATTGGCGGGCAAGAGCGAGGAGGGAACTTGATGTCGACCCTGGGGTTTGGCGCCCAGGGCTCGGCTGGAACTACCATGCATGCGAATCGGACAGGGAACGGCTTGTTGAGCGCGCTGTCCGCCACTTCAAGGACTGGGGATACCCGCTCACCGACGGCGATAGCACGACCTCAGGATCCTCGGAGCCCAGTCGAGGATGAGCCGCATCCGAAGCCAGCAGGGTATCGTGAGGGCTCGGTGGACTCGATGGGTGGGAGAAACCCGCTCGGCGCAATCGGCAATGACCCCCCGGCTGGTAAAGGCAAGGAGGAAGAGAAGACACCTGCCACCCAGGCGCAAGATCCGTTAGAGGGCATGGCGTCCATCGATAAATGGGGTCTAAAGGGTCTCCGGACACTGCTGAACAACTTCCCCGATTACAACGCGCTGGCGTGTGGCATTGACCCGGTAGCGCTGGGTGTAGATATGCGCTCCACAGAGTAAGCGGTTAGCACACATTAAACTCGGATCTAGCTGCTAATTTCTCTCCAGAACCTTGTCCACAAAGGTCTACTCGCTATTTGACGACGTTGCGCCCCGACCGCCAGTGCCGAAATTCCGGCTCCCTGACTGCTACCAGGTCAAGAACGTCCAGCCGATCGAGGCCAAGATCTCGAGCTTCAACGAAGAGACCTTGATGTGGATGTTTTACAGCTGTACGCAGGACATCCAGCAGCAGATGGCCGCCATGGAGCTCAACAACCGCAACTGGAGGTGGCACAAGAAAATGCAGATGTGGTTAACCAAGGACGACGTCATGGTGCCCCAATCACTGAGCCCATCCCACGAACGCGGCTACTATGTCGTCTGGGACGCGGTCCACTGGCGCAAGGAGAGGGTACGTGAGAGCAGAGCCATCGGAGTCATCCAGTGAAACCTAGTACTGACCTCTTTCGCAGCGGGAACTCGTGTTGCATTACGCGGACCTCGATACCACGCCCGCTGCTCAGTTGCAAAACATACCAGCTTGAGCCCATATGTGCTCTTGAGACAACAAGGGGTACGGATTTATGTGCGTATATGTAACTAGGCGGCGAGTCTTCTCCCTAGGTACGGAGGGGGGCTATGGCGGAGGAATTGGCGCAATATGATTTGAGAGCCTTCTCAGGGGCGGCTTTCAGGGGCAGCTGTGGCTTTGGTGTGTTGTGGCAAGTGACAGGTGGCGTAATTATTAGGGCGAGTTGTGTAACGTGGCTCGTGGCACGCGACTGGCCCACTTGCTGCGTAACGGCCAAATGCTTGGCGGCGATCTGCATTCGATTGATTGACCTCAACCGAAGCCCGAACGACGCCATCAACGACACATTTGTCATTGTTCCAACTCCGAACCATCACGGCGAACGCCGGAATCCTTGAGCCTTCTTCTGCGCGCGTGCAGCTACCTTGCGTCTTTTAGAATCCATTTATTCTTGAACGCCGAACTCCTATTTCCCCCGCGCGCGCCCCCAACTTGTCACAAACCCAATACAAAGTGATTTAGCCTCCAACTCGTCCTTATCCGTGCGAAATAGCGAACCCATTGACGTCTCTTCCATCACACGCTGCATCAACACGACCAGATACCCGAGTACCAAGAACCTACCAACGCGCACCGGCGCCCCCCATCCCACACTCCCGAACCTCGACCCCAAACCCCCCCCTCAACGACCAACCAACCCAACCGCGGCCCCGAAAGAGAGAAGGAGAAAGAGAGAGAGACACACACACACAACGCAAAAGAAAAAAAAAAAACCCAAAGAAAACACCATGGCAGACGCCGACGACCAACAAATCAACCTACCCTCCCTCGTCGCCATCCTAGTGGTGTCAGGCCTGATAATACGCTACCTGTTCTTCTCGCCGCCGGCGTCGTCCTCGGGCGGCGGCGTCGGGTCGGGGTTGGGCAGGCGCGGCACCGGCACCGGCGCCGGCGATCCGGCCGCCCTCCTGCGCGCGCGCGAGGCCGCCGTCGAGCGCATCCAGCAGATGTTCCCGCAGGTCGAGCGCCGCGCCGCGCTGTGGGATCTGCAGCGTACGGGGGGGAGTGTGGCGGCGACGACGGAGAGGATTTTGGCGGGGAGGTTGGAGACGGTGAGTTTCTTTTTTTGCTTTTTTTTTGAGGGTTTTCTTTAGGGGGAGGGGGGGGGGTGGGGTTGGAGGTTGTGCCCCTGTTTTCTCGAGTATGCGTTGGATTGAGGGTGTGTGGAGGTTTGGGGTCGGAGTTGAAGTCTCCGTGGGCTGCTAGGTGGTGATGACGGATGACGAGCTAATAAAGTGTTACGGACAGCCACCCATCACATTCCAGCCCCCGCCCCCGCCGGGTAACGGTAGTGGCAATAACAATGCCGCTGCACAGGCCAAGCCTGCCCCTGGGCCGGTCCATCCGGATCTAATCACGCGGTACAATCTGAAGAACAAGCTTGGGGAGCCCGCCAGCGAGTCGGAGGGCACCAGTAGCGGAGCTGAGACGGGTGGAAAGGGTGCTAATGGAAAGGCGTGGAGCACCGATCGCGACGAGAGGCAAACTCTGTTGCAGAAGAGGAGGGATCAGATGATTCTTGAGGCGAGGAGGAAGATGGAGGCCAAAATCGCTGCGGAGAAGGCGGCGAAACGCAGTTGAAGGCAAACGGGAAGGGCTGGGTTCCAGGTTGTTGCATCCGGATGGGGGTGTTGTGGGAGTGAGCAGACGAGGCACATAAGGAAACGTGACGGGTTGTCCATATCAGCTGCTCATCAGTCTGTCACGCAGCGCGTTGTACAGAACAGGACAATAATTATTACTCACGGTCTGGTCCAAGAGCAGAGCCAGGGAATGGTGAGGGTGCTATCTCTGCTAACTCGATTCTTCTGAGCCTCAAGCTGGTAAAACACGAGCATGGTAGCTTGCTGGAATCGCATATTCCAATCTTGATACAGCTTCCCGCACGCATGTATGGGTTTAAACTTTATTATTATGATTTTATCTAATACCATGCCACACACCCTAGTGCGAGGAATCCGCGACGGCTTGCACGGGCAATCTACCTTGCAATGCCAGAGGTACGAGAGCGCCTGCCTCCCCAAGTTCCTGTACAGTAGGAATATTCCCTGCCGTACCTCCCTCCCTAGCGACAGGCGGCTGCCAAACCTCGATAAACGCCCCCAAAACCCCGATGACGACGTACTTCATCATCGCCAACAAAACCTGGCACGGCCAAAACTCACTCCACCAGCGCAGCGTCTGAACAACAGCGCATGCCAGGCCAACACCCTCCAGCAGCAGCCACTGACCATAGGCGTACCGCCGCTCTGCCGCGATCACCTTGACGCCCACAAACTCCAACCACACGGCGAGGGTGCACAGCCAGTACAGCAAGCCGACGACGAGGCTGTGCACCACGTTCTGCTGCCCACGGGGCCTTCTCCACCACCAAGAGGGTGCCGAGTCGGGGCGGAGTACCGAATCCGGCAACCCGCGGCGCAGGGTGGTTGCCTCGGCCGCGCTGAGGTCCCGCGGCAGGCCCTCGAGGACGTGCTGGGCGCCGGTGATGTACGCCGACCGCTCGAAGTGGGCTTCCTGTGAGGCGGTCTGGCGGCTGGCGAATTCGCGGCTGGAGGTGAGCATCAGGTCGATGCCTGGGGAGTGGGTTCAATTAGCTGATCGGTCTTTTTTTTTCATGTTTGTTTTCGTCTTTTCTTTTTCATTCTCTTTCATTTCTTTTATCTCTTCCTTTTCATTTTTCTCCATATTTTTATTCAACCTTCTTTTCATTTTCATTTTTCATTTTCTCTTGTTTCCAAGACTCGTGCCTGTGTAGGAATGTACTCACCTCGAGTGCCAAACCGCCAGTCAACGTTCGAGCTCACGGTGGGCGAGTCCGAGATGGCCGCCCCATAGGCGATCATCGAGATGAACCCTTTTGCCTGGGCCAGCCCAAGGTCAAGAGTGCGTTGGTTGGGTACACCAGGCGCCTCGTCGTCTAGCACAGGGCTGTCCGTCGGTTCTACCCGTATGGAAGCTGGCTCCTTGAGCATTATCTTCGAAGCGACTGTACTGGCCGCTTGCCGGATTCCGTTTAGGACGAAAGCCACGCTGCCGCACACCGTTCTTTCGCAAAGTTTAGACTGACTTCCAGTGCATGTGGCCCACGTATTTTCCATCTTGTCGAGCGGTGTCATAAGTATAGGTTTGGTTAATATGGCGATCTCTTGCCGGTGTAGAATGTGCTCTGGGTGTTGGGGAAAGCTGGGATTATGGGAACGAGGGAAATGGGAGAGACGTGCCGCTTTAACATACCTGGTTACCATGCGGTGGCGATGATTTCCAGGTCTCACATGCTCGTCCGTTCTTGTTGGTGCTTTTGAGCCTCATGTTCGAGGGCTAGAACGCACCTGCAGCGGGAAGCTGTCATCATTGAAGCCGTCATTGTTCCGCAGCCGTTTGCCCCTCTTAACCCCTGACGCTATGAATTGGTGTGTGTCATGGTTTTTTCAAACAAAGATCAACACGAGTTAAAAGAGCGCTAGCATATTTGTAAATACGCCTCAGTACCTATACTATCTACCTAGCTAGGGACGTAGCCAAGGGACTTAATCTGCATGAAGTTTGCCCATACACACAGATGTTTAGGTAGGTAGACCTTAGGTAGCGTAAAATACGTCGTAAAAGCACAGACACACTTTCTGAGCAAGGAAAACCAGACTTTACCGAAGTGTATTCCATACATGTCGACCAAATTTTGATGATAGGAATGGAACACAAGTTATCTATTGAGGAGCCCAAGGAAACTACTATATTCACTCATTAATTATCGCACTCTAATTCCTCGCCTTTGTCGTAAAGATGCTCTGTTGCTTACTGTGACACCCAGTTGTTTTTGTTTTATAGTTAGCTTCAAGTTCTTTTACTCGATTTATTTCATTCGTCTTGTTGCTTGATTTCTTTTCGGCTATGCCTTTTTTTGCTCGACTTTTTGTACATACAAATGACGCTACCAAGAGAACTGGCTCGCCGCCCGTCAGACTGTTAGTGCCATGTTCCTTTTTCTTCCAAGCAGAACCGCGAGAATCCGGAAGGCAGCGAGTCAATTAATTTAATTAGTAAGGTCTTCCTCTTGCTTGGTGATTTCTTGCTTTCCGTTCAAGTTCGGCCTTTCCCGGGCAGAGGGCGAGACCAGACCTACCATGGTGCAAGTTGAAACGGCGGAGTAGTGGGTCCCAACCCACGCTAAAAAATATTGTCCTCGTCCGGGCGCGTTGTGGTGTGATAAGATAAGGGATTGGCCGCCGACCCTGTACAACTGGAAATTTTCTCTCCCACCTTCCTCTGCAGAACCGTGACCCAAATTGTTCAACCGAACACCCTGACAACTCCTCGTCGCCTATCCACGACGACGGCCTCTGTTGTGCATATCAACAATCTTCTGAGGACCAGCGGGATATCGTCGATTTATTGAGCATTGTATCAGCGAGTGCGTGCCAACATGATGAAGACCAGCCTTTTACGGCAAGCGGCCGCAACCCGTGTCGCCCTCGCCGTCCGCCCGGCCCAGGCTGCATTCAGGGTTTCGTCAGCTGCCCTCGCCCTCTCGCGCTCCTCCCGCAATACTGCCGCCGTCTACCGTCCCGCCGCCTCGCTGCTTCGCTTTTACTCGAGCGAGTCCGCAGCCCCGGCGACCTCCGGCGACGCCTCTTCGGGTCCCGTCACTCGATTCGCAGACCTCCCACAACTCGGTGTGCATTCACGGCTTGTCGCTTCCCTCACGCAGGGCATGAAATATGAAACCATGACGGATGTCCAGGCAATGACCATCAATGCTGCTCTTGCTGGGAAAGATGTGTAAGTCTGCCCTTGACCCTTGAATCCTAGAGGTCCAGACGGCTAAGACGCACCGCTACAGCGTTGCCCAAGCGAAAACCGGCACGGGCAAGACCCTGGCTTTTCTCGTTCCCATCGTTCAAAGGATCATCGCCGTCGAGCCGGCACTCGCAATGCCCCGCGGCGGCAGGGCTAGCTCGGATGACATCCGCGCCATCATCGTCTCGCCTACCCGTGAGCTTGCCGAGCAGATTGGCGTTGAGGCAAGGAAGCTTTGCCAAGGAACCGGTGTCATTGTCCAGACCGCCGTTGGCGGAACCCAGAAAAACATGATGCTTCGCAAAACACGCATGGAGGGCTGCCATTTGATGGTAGCCACCCCGGGCCGCTTGTACGATCTCCTCTCGGACCGGTCTAGCGGAATCGATGCCCCCAATCTTGCCGCCCTTGTGCTGGATGAGGCCGACCGCATGTTGGATGTCGGCTTCAAGGAGGAACTCGAGAGCATCATCCAGTATCTGCCGCAGCGCAATGATGTGCCCCGCCAAACCCTCCTCTACTCGGCGACGCTGCCCAAGAACGTGGTTAACATTGCTCGGCAATTTATCAACCCGACCAACTTCGAGTTCGTCCAGACTGTCAAGACAGACGAAGTGCCGACCCACGAGAAAGTGCCGCAGTTTATCGTCCCTTGCCGCGGCTTCGAGAATGTTGGCCCCGCCCTGCTCGAGTTGATTCGCCGCGAAATCCAGAGGGCCATGGACGACCCCGAAAGGCTGCCCTTCAAGGCCATTGTTTTCCTACCCACCACGGCCTCGGTCATAAGCTACTCCTACTTCTTCCGCCGACTCAAGTTTATGGACCGCACGATGCCCAGGATGTACGACATCCATTCCAAACTACACCAAAGCTCACGGACTCGGAGCGCCGATGACTTCAGGGCCACGAAATCGGGTATCCTCTTTTCCTCCGACGTGTCGGCCAGAGGCATGGATTTCCCCAACGTGACCCACGTCATCCAGCTTCATCTCCCTCAGGATCGTGACCTTTATATCCATCGTATTGGGCGTACCGGCCGCGCTGGCAAGCAGGGCCAGGCTTACCTCCTGGCCTCGGATCTTGAGATCCCGGGCGCGAGGCAACGTCTTCCGGGCCTGCCCATCAAGCGATGCACCGACATTGAAAGCGCCTCGTTTGACGTGACCAAGGGTGACACGCCTCCCACCGTCTTCAACGACATCAAAGAGGCCGCCCAAAAGACTCCCTACGACATACTCAAGGAGACCTACACCTCGTTCCTCGGAAACGCCATCAAGGACGTCCACCGCCAGGAGCTTGTCAACGAGGTCAACAACATGGCCAAGCATGCCTGGGGTATGGAGGAGCCCCCGACGGTTACGCCAAGGTTCGCTGCCCAGATGCCCGGTCGGATTAGGGGGCTGCAGATTGCCGACCATGACCCCCGTGCCGGTGACCGTGACCGTGACCGTGGTTTCGGTGGCCGCGGCGGTGGTTACGGTGACCGTGACCGTGGTTTCGGTGGCCGTGGCGGTGGTGGTGGCTTCGGTGGCCGCAGCGGCGGTGGTGGCGGCTTCGGTGGCCGCAGCGGTGGCGGTGGTTTCGGCGGTCGTGGTGGCGGTGGCCGAGGTAATGGCCGTCGCGACAGGCCGCCTCCGCGTGACGGGTTTGAGATGATGGAGCGCCTCGCCAACGAGGATGGCCCGCGTCAGCGGGGCAGGAACCGGCCTTCGTCGTCCTTTTAAGGGCCCCGAGAGCATGAGCAGGGCCCTTGGGGCTCTTGCCGCCTGAACGCCAGCCGCGGCTTTCTCGCGTTGTATCTGTATGGTGGCTATATTCCTAGCCTTGTGTTTTGATTCCCCGTCCACCCGTCATACGAGGGGACGAAATACGGCGTTTTGCAGGCGTGTTGGGACGACAAAAAAAGCCGCCCCCCTGTCCTATCACAGAGGCGCTACGAACGACAAAATGGGGCTGGGGGAAGATGCGAAACGAGGCAAAGGAGATGGGAGGGTTGTATATCATGTATCATGGTCTTGGGAGTTTGCCGGTTTTCGGGGACTAGAGATGGGGCATTCTGCATCGTTTGTCGGTTTCTGCTTTCTGCCGGGCTCCTAGGAAGGCTGCTTATTCTTGCTTGTACTGGGCCGGGCGATCTTGACGGGTGACAGGCTACCCATCTCCCATCTCTCTCCAATTTTGTCTTGTACATATACACCCTTTTGGTATGTCTTTAGTATTACTGCTGTATGATTAGAAGTAATGAAGTCGATGTCTCTAGGTTGATGGTTTCTCCTTCGTCATGTTAATTACTGTCTCCCTTTCGGTAGGGACAGGGAACACACGGTAAGTTTGTCATTCGCTGCTGCTATTTTACATTCTTCTCGAAAACAGGAATCGCCGGTCTTGCTACAACGCCGGTTCTTCTTACATACATAGGTAGTCTCACTCTTTGTCTCTCGACCCATCTATTTTCCCGCTATGACCCGACATCATCCCCGTCATTGCCGCCCCCCCGACCGCCGGCCTGTACTCTGACCCGACGTTTCCAAAGCCCATTGTATCGCCAAGTCTGTCCCTCCTCCTCCTTCTCCAACGGGGTATCATCTCTGTCCTTTCCTCTCTCCACACGCCCAAAAGCCGACATGATCCTCCTCGGTTCCGTTTCCCACAGCCCAACCCAGACCACCCAACCATCAAGACCGTCGAAGACCCGGCGGACGTACACACACAAACGGGCACATGTACACACGGTGAAAAGCGTGAGATAAGTGCAAGATGGAGGCTCAACCGACCAAAATCACCCCCCTCTCAGCAGGGTATGGGCGTCCCACACTAACACGCGCTGGTCCCAACCAGCCGAGGCCAGCCAGCCGCCCGTACCAAACAGACACCAATCAACACCAGTAGCGAACTCGGAGTGGCGGTTCATGACGCCGAGCTGGGTGCCGACGGGGATGGTATTCGGGTGTTGTTGTGCTACACCAGCACCAGCGCCAGCGCCAAACGCCGCCGCCGACCCGTCGGACCACACGCGCACCGTCATGTCGTAGCTGGCGCTGGCGAGCACGTCGCTGGCGTGGGGGCTCCAGGCGAGGCGGCGGACGGCGTACTCGTGGCCCGGCAGCACGGCGGCGGGCCCGCCGCGCGGGTTGCGCAGGTCGAAGGTCCGGATCAGCCGGTCCACGCCCCCCGTCGCCAGCACCGTGTCGCGGTACTTGTTCCAGTCGTGCGTCAGGATCTCGGCCGGCACCGCCCCCGCGAAGGTCTGCCCCGTTGAGAGGAGGGGGAGGGGGGCGGCTGGGTCGCCGCCCTGGGGTGGTGCGTGCGCCGGGATCACGGTGGTCAGGTGGTATTTGGCGGAGACTGGGCTGCGCAGGTCGAAGATGCGGATGTGGGAGTCGGAGGAGACGCACGAGATTATGGAGGGGTTGGTGGGTGAGAAGGCGGCCGAGTAGGTGCAGTTGCCGACGGGGAGGGTTTTGAGTGAGGTTGGGCGTGAGGGGGACCACTAGGTTGCGTTGCGCGGCATGTTAACATTGGGGGTGGAGGTAGTGGGCGGAGTGGGCGGGGGCTTGGTAAGGGGGACTGGCTCACGATCTTGATGGTGCCGTCCCAGGAACTCGAGATGAAGCTGTCCTTTGCGATGGGGTTCCAGCATACGGAAAAGGCCTCGCGGTTATGTTCGCTAAAGTTCATAACAGGGAAATCGCCGGGGGCGGTCAGGTCGAACAGCTTGAGCGAGCCATCGCCGCAAGCTACCACCAACTGGTTCTCGTTGATCTCGGACCAGGCCAGATCGTAGAGGGCATCGTTAGTGTCGAAGCCCTTTTCCAGCTGGATGCCGGCAGGGCCTAGACCGAGGACGAAGAGGCGGCCATTACCGACTATACCGTAGTTGGCAGAGGCAGAAACGGCGAGGCGCGAATCGTAGTAAGGCGAGTACTTGACCGCGTACGGGTTGAAGCCCGGGGTGCGGAATTCGAGCATGGACGCCATGGCCGGTCGCCAGAGGGGTGGGGGACTGCTGCGCAATGCGCGCGCGCGACTGACAGCAACTGGTGATGCCAGCAAGGAGTCCTGGAGGTGTGTATGTACTCTGTCTGTACTCGGTAGTGATTCGTACTTCGGCGCCGCACTTGGTTGCCGGGAAGAGGAGCGATGGTGGGGCCGAGACCTCGGCTCTTTCTTTTTGACCTGTGCCAGAGGGGAATGCCCCTCTTTAGGCAAGTACCTTGATAGCCGGGGTGGGAATCTAACCACATTCAGCTCAGCCCTACCAATTCGGCCATTTCTCTCTTTTCTCGTTTCCCAATGTCATCTCTTTTTCGATTCTTTCCTGAAAATTGAGGCGCACCAGTCGATTGAGTTATTTCGCATGCGGGAACCGCTGGCCACAACTCACTCACCCCTGTTGCTACACCACGTGATACCGTTCCCTTTTCGCACCCCGCGCCCCCATTACCCTGGTGAGGCAGCCACCCCACACTTTCGAGGTTCTTTACACAGCGCGCCCTTCGGTGCTCTTCCAGTGACGTGGCGCGTCAAAACCGCATCTCATCCCATTACCGTCCGGTTTCACAGCAGAGATGCGCATGCAGCGTGGAACGTCACACGATGCCACATCTCAACGACCTTGCCAGACAGAAACGCTGAGACCAACGTGATGGATACCTTCGTGACGAGACAGAAACGGAAATGCAGTGATTCCAATCTCTCTGGTGCAGTGCCAGCAACACAAGTCACAACACAACCAACAACCCAATCCAGCCACGAGGAATCGACTGATGTAAAACTGGCCATATTATCATCTCTCCATCCCACCATCGACCAGGAGACACTCCTGGATATCCTGCTTGCTCACGATGGGGACGTCGAAGCGACCTCACGCACTCTCAAGGCACGTCTACCTAGGAAACCCGGCATGGGAAGTACGGTAGCCGCGCAGTCATCCCTACGATCCTTTGCCGTCAGCTCAGCTAGTCCAGACCCGTTATCCCAATCCAAACGGCCCAAGTTGCTCTCCCGCAAGGGGGCTACGCTGCACCTGTACGACCCCGTCGACATCAGCGAGCACACCCCCTGCACCATCATCCACAACTTCTTGCCCGCTGAGGAAGCCAATTCTCTCCTCGAGGAACTGCTAGAGGAGTCCAAGTCATTCGAGAAGATTACCTTCAAGCTGTTCGACAATGTTGTCTCGAGCCCGCACACTTCGAGCTTTTATGTGGGTAGCTACGAGGAGCTGCAGGAGCAGAAGCACGAGTATGTTTACAACGGTTCAGCATTGACGGTAAGCCCCCCAAGAGGCCCCGGACCTAGAATGTGCGCTAATAAGAATACAGGACGTCAGAACCTTGACACCACAGTTGGAGCGGGTCAAGGCGCGCGTGCAGGAGGCCGTCAACCGGGAGATCCAGGAGCGCATCCAGACTCGTTACGGTGGGAAGAAGCTCAAGTACCAGTCTCCGAAACCGTGGACTCCCAACGCGGCCTTTGTGAACTGCTACAACGGGCCCCAGGAGAGTGTCGGCTGGGTATTCACACCCCTCCCTCCCACACAAGATGTGCCCGTTGCCAACTCCCCAGAACTAACCCTTCACCCAGCACAGCGACCACTTAACCTACCTCGGCCCGCGTGCCGTAATCGGTTCCCTCTCGCTTGGCGTCACCCGCGAGTTCCGCGTCCGCCGCATTGTCCCGCAAGATGATGCCGTCGCCAACGACCCAAACCCCAGCGGCAACAGTGGCAACGGCGGCAGCAACAACAACACCAACCCTGACCTGGCCGGGCAGATCGCCATCCACCTCCCGCACAACTCCCTTCTGGTGATGCATGCTGACATGCAGGAGGAGTGGAAGCACAGCGTCAGCCCGGCCCAGGCTATCGACCCGCACCCCGTCGCGGGCAACCGGCGAATCAACATCACCTACCGCCACTACCGCGACGGCTTCCACCCGCGCAACACCCCACGCTGTCCCTGCGGAGTGCCGGTGATACTGCGAGTGGTGACCAAGAAGCGGGAGAACTGGGGGCGGTATTTCTGGATGTGCCACGCCGGAAACGTGCCGGGGAAGGAGGCCTGTGAGTATTTCCGGTGGGCTGAGTTTGACCAGGACGGGGAGCCGTTGGGGGTAAAGCAGGATAGTGTAAAGCGGGAGGGTCCGGCACGGGAGGATTCAAAGCCCGAGAAGGAAGCAGGGTGAAATAAAAGATGGCTATTTGCCCATGACTCTCTAACTACATATTGGACAGCCAAACCCAAGTGGTATAAAATGCCCAACCTATCCGCTACTACTACCACCAGCTAGTCCATCCCCACCCCTTCTCCTTCTCCTTTCCCTTCCTCGTCTTCACACTCCCGCCGCCCCTTCCAACCATCCCCACCTCCGACCCCTTGCCCTTGCCGTTGCCCTCACCACCCCTTCTCACATCCCCTACAGGCGCCGCATCACCGCCGGCAGCCCACTCCCCCCCGACTCTGCACCGCTTTTCCCTTTCCGTCTCCTTCCCCGCCCGGGAACCGGCACTCACACTCGCACTCCCGACACTCTCACCACCGTACCCCCTCCCAGCTGCTGCTGCCGCCACCACTCCAGCCGGCCGAAACAAATCCGCAGGGGGCTGTGGCCCGCCAGACGACGACGAAGACGACGGAGAAGAAACGAACGAGATCGACGAACCCGGCCGCCGACGGAAAACTGACGCCGCCCGCACAGCCTTGCCCCGGCGGTCGCGGTCGCGGTCTAGGGAGACCTTGCGGCGCCGGACCGTTGCGGTGGGTGATACCGCTTCTTTCTCTGTCTCCATCTCCGCTTCGGCGTTCCGCTGCTGCTGCTGCTGCTGGTTTTGGTGGTGGCTGCGCTCGCGCTCCGGGTCAGCGTCGCGGTATGCCGAAGCCACGCGCCTCAGGCTCGCGTGGCGTCTTGGGACGGGGGGCGCCGCCGCTGCCGCGCTGGATGGAGAGGCGAGGTCAGGCGGGGGGATCTGTTGGCCGGTTCTGGGCTTCGTCCGCTGGGGTTGGGGTTTCTGGCGGTGCTCATTCACCGTGATTTGCCCGTGTGGGGGCACCGTGGGTGCGGGCGCTGGTGGGATGCTGAGAGGGCGGTTTGGGGCGCTGGATGCGGCCGCCCGGGAACGTATGACGCGCTGCATCACGGCATGCGCATTCTCAGCCCCCCAGTGCGAGGCGATGACCTCGAATAGGGGGTTGGGACGCGGCGTGCAGGGTGGTGGCGACCATGGCGAGGTGGAGTTATGCCGCTTGATTGTTGCGGTGGCTGTAGTCTGGATGGTGGTTTGGATACTGGCGATGCCATCCGACGCCGTGGTATTCACCGTCGCCGTGATCTGTTTGTGCCTCTGAGGAAATCCGGAGTGGCAGTATGTCACGCGGACTTGGAGGTATTCCGTCACAGTGCCACCTAACTCGTGCTCGAGGTCTTCGATCAGCTCATCCGACTTCTGCCGGACATGGGTGCGCGGACGATAACGGGCGGCAGGCCCAAGCCGGATATGTGCGATAAATAGCAGCCGGGATCCCGGATAGAGTACCCTACCCCAGGTTAGATATCGTTAAGCGACAAGGGCCTCCAGAAACAGACATACGTTGCACAGGCCTTATCGTCCAGCACCTCCACGATGGTACTTTTGCCGGCGGGCAGCAGTTCCGTCGAGACATTGTAGAGGAACCCATACCGTACTGCATCTTTTTACGCGTTAGAAAGTGCTCTGAATTAGTTGTGCTGGCGCCTCTACTAACCTAGCGAGGACTGGTCGTCCGTAGCCCTCCCGTGTCCTTGATCAAGAGCGAGGGCCCGACATATCCGAGTTGACAACTGCACAGCTACCCACACGGTTACGGTACCCTCGTCGACGGCTCCGTATTCAGGAGTCACAACAATATTGGGGGCGAGAACGCAAGTATCCTGAAAGTGCGGGGGCGAAGGAGGACCGGTGGAACTTCCGGGGTCTGCTCGCACCGGCATATGCAAGGTGCTTGCGTCGTCGCCTGACTCATATGACGGCGGGAGGCGGAGGCCGCTCCTTGGATTCCGGCGCGGCGAGTTGTGATCCTCAAGGTCCTCTGGAGCGATCGGCAGCCCCGGGCCGGCCTCTCCCTGGGCGCTCTCGATGTTGGTACTTCCATCACGGGCTAGCCCCAGCCCTGATAGTGACAGACCCGGCCTATTGGATGATGGGTAGCGGCACGAGGGACGGCTGTTCGACTGACGTGAGCTTGTCGTGCATGATGCGGATCGTCGGTGCTCAAGGGCGGTATCATCATCGGCCAACGGTGTCGCTGCTCTGTCTGGCTGGCGTAAGCGGAACGCATCGGACATGGCCTGATAACGGTGGGATCTAACCGTCTGTGGTCCTGAGGTCCCTGCCCTTGCGCCGGGTGCAGCCAACAGGGTGATACAGGGCCCACGTACCCCGGTCTCCTCTCCTCTTTGGGAGTGTCAGGGGTCGATGCTCGCCGAGCGGTTCCGGTGGGCTGTCCATGTTGGCGCTTGACGTATCACTTCCCGAGACGCAGTCACGATCGCCTTTCCCAAGTGCTGATCGTTTCGCGATATGCAACGGTCTCGGTATATCACGCCATAGAGAGCTGCCGTTGGACTGAGCGTGACTCCTTACCGTGCGGAGTTGCCCGTCGGCACAACCCGCCATTGCCGCCTGGTACTTGTATGTATTCAGGTCACAATATGTCCGTTGTTGATTGCCGTCAAGGATGTTAAAGAGCGGTTGAAACTCTAGATGAAACTTAATGCGTTGTTCGTATGCAGAGCGGAAACGAAACACTCTGTGCTACCGGAGGAAAACCGGGCGATCTGACGGGGAGCGGGATTCGGTATTCAAGGGTATCTATCGCTAACATGTCGACGAAGCGATGGAGTCCACCGTACTCCGGTGTGTAGTACTGAAGGATCAAGACGGAGAGCTGACGGTGAGTTCCATTCAACGTGGGATCAGAGCAGGGCTGCCTTCTACCATGGGAAGCAGCACCCCTGGTTTTGACAAGCTGGTCAGAGTCGCCGGGAAAGAGCTGTCCAACGTTCTGGGCCAGCTTACTATGCAGCAGCGCCAAGGGTCCGGAGCAGGTTGGATTTGGCCCCTTCGACTTCGGCGTCATCCATGCTGAGGAAGTTGATCTGCCCGTAATCGTTAGTACCAGTTGGCAAACACGGGAGAGACCAGCGACCTACCACGTCATCTGTCGTCCCGGCCTGCCCATACAGCACCCCCTCAGACAAGCTACCCGCAATGCCCCTCTTCACTCGGTCTTCCCAGACCCCCTCCCAGTTCCATTCACCAGGGCGCCTCGTTGTAGCAGCCGCACCTACCGCGACCGCAGCCGGCGCCGGCGCCGGAGCCCTTTCCGCTTGAGCCTCGCCCTCGGCTCCGGGTGCCTCACCCCCTCCCGGCACCGGCAACGGCTTCCCCACAGCCTGCCTCCGATGCGTCCGCCAAGCATGCCACGCCCCCGGATTCCCAGCCGCCTCGAGCGGCACCGAGTCCAGCACATCCTCGTCATCAAACGTGCTCCGGATGTACCTCAGCACCTCGTAGGTCGACACCCCCCTCACCCCGCCGGTCCGCGCATGCCCCGGTACGGACGCGGAAGAGGAAACCACCGACGCCGCCGACGCGGGGGTAGTCCCCGTAGCCGTGGCCACGGCTCTCGTAGGCGTCATCAACCCCACCATCTCACCTTGGTCCGTAGTAGCAGGGCCATCCCCCCTTGGCCTCCCCCTTTCCCCGTCATCACCATCTCCACCCCCATTCCCATCCCCACTTTCACCCCCATTCCCATCCCCCTCCCCATCCCCCTCCCCCTCCACAGCCACAGCGACGGCCACCACCGGCGCACCCGCACCCACTGCCCCCACCGCAGCATTAGCCCTACCACCCCCCCTCCCAAACCACCCCGCAAACCCATGACGCAGACTAAACCCGCCAGGGGGCAGCAGGCGGTCGTCGTCGGCGGCGGCGGCAGAAGAAGAGGCGGACCCGCCGCCACCGCCGCCGCCGCCGCCGCCGCTGCCGTCACGCACGTCGGCGGCGGCGGTCGAGTACATGTTGTAGGTGGAGGGCGGGGTGAGCAGCGGGTGGAAGATGTCGGTGGCGAAGGTGACGAGGGGCGGGGAGGAGGGGTAGGTGTCGGGGAAGGAGATTTGGAAGCGCAGGATGGCGGGGGCGTAGGGGCCTGGGTTCTTCTTGTTAGGGTTCTTCTTTTTTTTATTTTTTTTTATTCTTTTGGTGGTTGGGGGGAGGGGGAGGGTGGTGTGGTGGATGGTGGTAGATGGTGGTGGATGGGGATGGATGGGATGGATGGGGTGGATGAGATGAACGTGATGGATGAGATGCGACAACTAGAAGACGACGACGACGCACCCTTTCGCACAAACAGCACGCCGGACCAGAGGGTTGGGTCGCCTGGCGTGAGGCTGACAAAGATCCCCTGCGGGCAGGCCTGCTTGAGACCGGTGCTAGAAGATAGGAGGCATATTAGTTCCTATTTTGAAGATGATATCCCAGGAATGAGAAATACATACAATTCGGCGAGGAGGTGTTGTCGTTTGAAGGCGGGCAAGCCGCCCATTTTAATCGCTGTCGGCGAAGACATGTAAATTATTCTAGAACGCGCAGCCGGTTATGTGGCTGGCACTTTAAGAAGAGAGAGTAAAATATGAGATGAGTTTGTGAAAAGTGAGTTCACAGGTCAATGGGCGAGAGCTTCATGATGCATGTTGTGGTGTTGCAGAGCTGACACGGCCGGGAGCTGAGTGGGTTCATGCACAGTCACACCAGAGAGCGTTCTTGGTTCTGTTCCAGGGTTAGGGTTTTATATCTCGATCTGCGCACCCGACCAGAAGTTGGTTATCAACGTTGGTCCGTGTCTGTTCGTCCCGGAAAGCATGAATAAAAGACCTTGATAACCAACAAGGCTCCGGACGCGGGACACCGGGACACATTGCCAAGCCACAGCCCCAGTCTTAACTGGTCTGGAAAACAGTGCAAAAGATCCCAGGCCCGAAACTCAGATCACACCGGTTCCTTTGCAGCTACCTATGAGCTCCCGACCCTCCCGTCGTCACATACTACTCTGTAGACCGGCCACAACCCCATCACGTGAAACCTCGCAAAAAGGCTCGTCGCCTCGCGCGGGCAACCCATGCATCTTGCCCGAGGCTCCCTTTGACCCACGACTGCCAGACCGAAGATCGTGTCCCGGGTTGGTGCGCCCCACACGTTGGAGGACCACCTCGGAGAGACGCCTTCGCTAACTGACCCTCGCCCCTTCCCGTCCGGGCCAGACGCATGAGACCCCGGCAGAGAGATATCGGCCTTCCCTGTTCGGGTTCTTCCCCCAAAGCGGACCATTGTCTCCGATTTTCAGGGCGACCCGAGGCGGGTCTCGATTTTGGACTTCTCCTGCTCCTTGAGCTCGCGCAGCTCGTCCTTGGAGGCGTCGTAACGTGCCGTGAGCTGATTGAACGGGTTCTCCGGGCTGCGCTCAAACTCCTTCTTGATCCTTTCCTTCTTCTGATTCATGCGGAGACCGGCACCGCTGCCGTCCGCCTCCATCTCGCCGAGCCGCCGCTCCTCGAAGGCGGCGTACGCAGCCTTGTACCGTCTCTCGGGATGCCTGTCGATCTTGGCGTCGGTTTTGGACGTCAGCGACAGCGCGTCGAGCGCGTTGTCAATGCCGGATGCGTTGAGCGCCGACAGGCCCCCGCTGCCGTCGTCGTCGAGCTGCGAGAGGTCCAGGCCCTTGGTCTTCCTGACGGCCGCCTTGGAATTCTTGGGTGCCGATCGTCCCGGCGTGCTCTTCTCCTCCTCGGCGAGCAGGGCTTCACGTTCGGCCTTCTTCCGGGCCTGCTCCGCTTTCTTTTCAGCTTCGGCTTCTCTGGTTATGCGTTGCAGGTTGTCAGCACTCGTCACCCCGGCCATCCCCGCATGTGTACCAAAAACCCATCAAATCTGGTAGGTGACCATCACGGCCATCGTACATAGAAGGGGCCCATGTGAAGCTTGCGCCCAGAGGTTTGGGTGCGAAACGGCTGCGTCGCGGCTGCGGTTGGGATCATGGGTGGGCCTGCAGGCGGCCAAATGCCAACCCATCGTCGTGACAGCACAGCAGGGTGTCACAGACTCAACGCAGCAACAGCAGCAGCAGCAGCAGAAACCCCGGCCACCACCTCTCGAAATCGCTGGTCCAACGGCGCTTCGGGCGGCAGGTCGCAGCAACTCCCCGTCGTGGAGAGCAGTCAACGGGTAGAAAAAGAAAAGAAAAAAAAAGTGAAACTCACTTTTTAGCACTGCTTTTTGCTCCCTTGTCCCACTTGGCCGACTCGAAAACCTCTTTTTCGGCGTCAGCAGCCGCCGCCTTCTTTGCGGCGGTCTCGGCCTTGCGGGCCTGGCCAGCAGCCTTCTTGCTGTTGCCGTCGGCTCCGCCTTTTTTGGCCATGGCTTATCTTGTTCGCTCGGTGAGCCGTGGTAGCGTGAATCTATTTATTGATTCGGCGCTGTCCCCCTACGCGTGCGAGTCTGGTTGGTAGGCTGATCAGCCGGTCGGGTGTACGGCGGCGTGTTTCTGGATGTGGCGGCGATAAAATTGGTAACAAAGATTGAGAATAGGTCGACTCCAATATGGTGGGGAGGAATACCGCAGTATGTCGATTGTGTCACCTTCCAGGGAGCCTGTAGCGGGGTTTGGCTCAGGCAAGCAACCTGGAAGCCCATTGGAAGTGGGGCAAGCCCACCTATACCGGCGAACCCCTCCCGCTTCCGCTCGTCACCGGTGACTGGCAATGCAACCATGGGGTGAGGTTGTTCTTGCCTTATACACTGGGATCTTTTGTTCTGACCTCCAAAAACTTCACCAGCCCAACGCCGGATTTGGGACTACACAGGCACAGCCGTACATACTTATTCCCCTCATGCTTACCGGGCCACGTTATGCCTTGGCGCGTTTTAAACAGTCGACCGGGTCCTTTTGTTATTCGGGGTAACATCTCCGGTCCTTCCTCTCCCGCGCTCCTCCGTTCCTGCAATGAGTCCGTAGGAACACAGCGTCTCGAGACGGAACCGGAATACTTCCTTCCTGGTGTCGCGAGCAAATCGCATCACGTCTGTCCCCTTTTGTGAGCTTCCCGAGTTGACCACGGTACCGAATGTCCCAATCTTCGACATCATGCGAGACGCGCCATTCTTTCAGCCCTTTCATGTTACCCCACAAAATGCACAGGGCCAAAAACCGTTATGTTTCTCGGACGCGAGCGAGAGTAGCATAGTTTTATACCCGGCCTAGACCTGCCTTCTGCGTCCGACCGTAAACAGAGCACTCAAACCCGCTATGCAAGCGTCTAGGTTTTGATCATGGGCGGCCCAGTTTCGGGGCAGGGGAGGCATGGCAGGGTAGTCGATAGGTACATCTCGTTGTTGTTGCACAGAATGGGAAGCGGAGTCATCGTCTGCACGCGAGGCCTCGGTCGCCCTATCGTGACGAGCCATCGTCCCCGAGTTAGCAATGTCCACGTGTGTAGTATCTGCAGTGGTTGGTTATCTTGGCCCAGCAGCAGAGTCATCACGGGGCGTGGGTTTGTGCACCCCTTGAAGGACCGACGGCTACCTCAAAGCGACCTCCCTTCTGACAGACTCCAGCAACACGGCACTCCTGTGTATCTCCTCGGTACCCGGCATGGCTAGCGGATGACGCGGTCGCCCTTCCGCCAAACGCAACCCCGGAATTCCGTTCTAAGACAAGCTGTTAGCGAGAAAAAGTCTGTTATTATATTGTCACCATTTGGGCTTGCGAGGCTGGCACATATTGCAGAAACTTCCACTGAGGCCTTGTTCATACTCGCTGTTCGTGCTCCGTTTCCGTTTCTGCTGCCGTTCAGATGTGTTGTCTCCCGTCCAACGGCCCGTGCTCTGCACCGTGTTAGGGAAAGGGCCTCCTGTAAATTGGTTGACGAACAACCAAGCATGCCCGGGTGAAGCACCCGTCAGCCTCTCGGCGGGAAAGCTGCGAGGAGTTACCCTCGTCTTTTCGGGGCAAGGGGTACCAAATTTCCGTGTAGACGGCCGGTAGGGCAGAGCTTAAGCCGCTGGGATGCGTGTCCCGAACAAATGGCGCAGTTCACGGCTCCCGCGTATGTACCATGATAGCGTCCTATGAGGCGAGAAAGTTTCAGACCCTCCGCCTACATAGTAGCTAAAAGTCTGTAAGGCGGCGTCGGTAATGCCTCCGTGGCTTCGGGCTCCACGGCCCTGGGTACCGCAAGAAGACGGCCTGTGACCAAGCCACTGCAGCAATATGTTGATGATTTAGCCGCCAATTTCCTGACTGTAGTTGGGCCTTCCGGAGGAGGAATTACCGACGAGTATCGGCTCTCGCGAGTTGACGAGGGCTTGGGCGATTGCATTGATCAAACCTTGCCGAGTTGGAACATTGGCCGCCACGGCCCGAGAAGTGAGGTAGATGGTCAACGTGCGTTCGATACCTCCATGCAAGCCAACACGCTTTGGGCCGAGCTGGGAGCGAGTTGGTGAGGAAAGAGGCTGCCGTTTTGCACGACGCACTGGCGGAGCCAGGACGCAATGAGTCATGATAGGCAACCGCAGTCGTCGTCAGAAGCCACCAGAGTCCGCTGAACTGTTGATATCTTGTCATCCAACTGCATGTTCCGTCCCTTCTGGAACAGCTCCGCCGCGCCCGCCCCACGGTCGCAGACCGGTCAAGCTGCGGCCCCGGGGGGACACAGCTGTTTGCAGGGGACAAATACGCCGTGTTTAACAATCGACGAGCGGAGGATCAGTCACGAATAGGTTGCAGTTCTGGGTTGGTGGATGCCCGCGGGTCGTCGTTCCCAAGAAGGCGTCCTGCTTCTCCCGGCCGGGGTCGAGCTGTATGTGCCCCTTCTCTGCATGCTTAGCCGAGCAATTGATAGGGGGGATAGGAGCACGAGACTTGGAAGGCGGCGCACCAAGCCTCCCTCGACATTTTCACCCGCAGTACCCACGCACATGGATGCTCAAGTAATGCCGATCGAAGATACCTTCTCAAGACCTTTGCGGTCCAAAGGAACGAGGGCGTGGACTTTGTCGAGACAAAGCACAGGCACAGCCGCACCCGGCCCGTCGTCGTGCAGGACTAGTCGTTATGGTGTGACGGCTGGGGTTCGCAGGGCTGTTGACGTCGGATTTTGAACGTGACTCGGGGTGGCTCGGTTCTCTTGAACACTGCTCGTCGGGGGACGAGGTCACATACGGGGCCGAGGGCTCGGACCGAGCTCCCGAGACACACGCCGGGTCGAAACCTGCTGTTTTTGGTAAAATCGGCCACCACGACTCGAAGAAAATGCAAATCGGGGTTCCGCCACTAAATTCATCTTTCAAAGCGGCAATCGATGGCGTTAGGGACTCGGGTCAAAATTGGAAAGAAAAAAAAATGGAAGGTGTCAAGAACTGACTCGGGGCTTGGAGTTTGGAAGTTCTGCTGAAGGAAAGAGCGCGACTCGGTGTGCGCGCAGTCCAGTAGACGGAGGCAGGAGCTTCCATTGGCGGCAGCCAGCGTTCATCGGGCCCCCTAACCAGGAAAGAACGGTGCTCGTCCCGCAGATTCCTTCTGCAGCTGCCTGGGAACCAGCGCGCCAAGAGAGCCCGTCGCAGTCGCAGGCGAGAGAGGATCACACCCGGCTCGCCCGGCAGACCTGATCTGAGGTGCAGCATGGGCCGGCGCTTCAAGCGCTCAGCCCAAACCACGATCCCGGGTCAGATCAAAGGCCGCCCGCAGCTGGGAAAATGACGTCTCCGGCCACACCTCTCGCGTGGCACACGAACGGGCCTTCCGCTGGTCCGTTCTGCCGTTTGTACCGTCCCAACGGAGTACCCGTTTGTGCCGTTGTCCCACCTGCAAGTGCAGCCAGCACGTTCGGTGCCTCCCACGAGAGGATACCCCACCCCGGACCATCGACAAGCGGTGTTTCCAGCTTCTTACACGCAGTAACGCTAGGTAGGGAGGTTCGAAGTGCAACCCCGGGTCCTACATTTTTTTTTGATTCCGCCCCCAATGGTCCCAAGAGCGGCATTTCGTCGGGTTCCGATCCTTTTGCGCGGCGTTGCGCCAGCTCACGCTTTGCTGACAAGTAGTGAGCACATTCATTCAACCCCCGTTCCGTCTCGAATGCAGCTCACCCACCACACAAGATCCAGTCGTGGCCCGGCTCGGCGGAACCGAAACCGTCCAGTGTGCGGGGGGTTTCATTGGGACTACCAAGGATTCGACGCCACCCCGCCGCCCGGCATTTTGGGATTTTGTACATACACAGTATATGTACGAAGTACATACAGATGTTTGGGTGCCGAGCCAACGACGGAACATCAGGATGTGTATTGTTCATGGAAGGATGGAAAATGCATACCGGCCGATGGTATTCAGGCTGCCAGGGAACATCGGTTGGTTCTGCCCGCCACGTCGAGCTCACTCAGATTGGTTACTGTGTAGGTGATCTCGGCCGCCTGCACCATCCACAGTACATCCACACAGTTAAAGACAGTCATGTTCGGGTTAAAGTTAGTTCATACTCTAAAACAGGCAGCGTGAGCTAGACAGGGTTCCTGTTGGACTGGATGGCTTGCTCCTTTTGATGAGACGGCCCCCACGCATTTTTGAGCTTCGCCCACGCGCGCTCGGACCACCTGGAATCCGCAGGCGCAAGACGCACACCGCCACGAATCCGCTTCTGTCGGCGGCCAAGGAAACAATGTCAGGAAAAGGAAATTCGATACGAGCCGTGTTTGAAGAATTGTTGTGAGAGACTGTTGGGAATTGCCGATGGACCGCGGTTACGAAGAAGCCTTCACTACCTACCTACTGGGGACACAGTGTTACAAGTACACAATACATACCTGAGGTAGGTCCGCAGCAGAACCCAACGAAATGAGTTGCTTAGTGGGGACTTGTCTGTGAAGTACTGTGTACGGACGGGCACTGGCGGATTACTCACCCACCCTTCGCCATGCTTGGGCAACTCGGCGGATTTATCTCGGCCGTGCTAATATCGGCCGCCACGAGCCCGCTATCGGAGAAGAGCTTTATTCGTCGGAGATGGATGGTGATGAGGGCTGGATGGGTTTCAGTTTCACCCGCGTGGTTGGGACGGTGGCCCCGCCCCGACAACCCCCATTTTACGCGGGGAGGGAGGACGGAGTGGCATTTTCTTATGGAACAAAAAAAGCCTTTCGCCTCCGCCGGCCCACTGCGTGATTAACCTTCCACTCGGCTTTCCTCCATCGGGTGGTGATGTCCACAGCATGGCTTGGGCATCCATGGTCCAGTCACCAACGAACGGCACGCCTCTGCAGACGCCTGCGCAGACGCCTCCGCCTGCTTTTCCTTAGTTATCCGTTGGGCGAATGTGCAGGAAGAATGGCTTGCGCGGTCTGACGAGTACCGTTCTTTCTGTGAACACGGCGCCAGGCTCGTGGGCTGCATGGCATGCAGATGAAAGGAAACTGTGGCTCCCGAGCTCCCCCCAATTCCGAGCTTCTGTCGTCGCACTCAAAGCACATGATTTCAACCGTATGCGTCCCCCGAAGCAAGACGAAACGGATGGCCAATCAACTTGTGGGAACCCTTCAACAACCTGGAAGAAGTTCAGCCGTGTTCCACTTTGCTGGCCTTCCAGCCCGCTCTTCTGGTTTTTTTTTTATGAACCCGGTTGCATTCCGGGACACCACGATATTATCAACGGCAATCTTGAGCGTCGTCTGTGCGGCGACTGGCGTCATTTGTTGGTTTTTTCCCCCTCTGCTAGCCACAGTTGACTAGCGGTGCAGGATCTCATCCGAGGATCTGACAAGACGCACCGTGTTTTGTCATGCTGCCGGCAGTGGTCAGGGACAGGGCACGTTGTGAAGTCGACTGAAACCGGACATCCACCGCTGATTGGTGCGCAGTTGCAGGCCTCGTCAGAGGATCAGCTCTGCTTGCCCCCGGCCCGGCAATCTGGTTGGACTCCCACATGGGGAAAGTCGACTTTCTGGAAGCGAGCTGGCCAACAGGGGTTCGCTCCACGCTGGGCAGTTCACCGATCTCCCGGGGGGTTCGCCGCCCATGACGAGGTTGGGATGCCTGCGAACATCCCGCCCACAATCACCGAAAGCTTGCGGCTGAGATGGAGTCGTTGGTGATACCGAAACCTACAAAACCTCATGCTCAGTCGAACAGGGGGCTCCGACTGCATAGTACATACTTGCTTTTCTCCGTGGCGATTTAGTGTACAAACCGCTTTCCTCGCTTTCAACGGTGAGTCCCAGTTTTCTCTCATTCTGAAACAAGAGCAGTGCTTGTTCAGATTTAGTGTAATTATCTCCAAACCCGATGCGCGCGTGGGCGGCGGGTTTTGGGGCCGCACGCGCGGGTCGCCCTCCATCAAATGTGAGCGGGTCCGCCACATGGTTCTCCATAGCGATGGGATCGGTTCCGGTTGGTTTGCCACTCGTCATCGCACCCACAGGAATTCAGGGGCGGCTGATTTCTTCTCTGCGGTGCCGGATGGGTCTTGGGAGGAAAAAACGGATGGTTCACCGGGTGCCTCCCCGGTTGGATCATGACACGCAGGCACGTGCCGCCCTAGGAAGAGTCTTGCGTCGTACTTTTTGTATGCACGTCAATGAAGCCGGCACTGTGAGCCCTGTGTCAATCCATGATTCCCGAGCGGGCTGCTGCAGACGGGCCATCTGGCGTCGTGCCTCTGCAGCTGCGTCTGCAAGTCTCCCTACCACCAGTGATGGTAAATTGGGACTGCTTCTGATATCTCAATACGGTCGTCACCATCCCTCGAATAACTAACTGACTACGTATTCCCTCGGTACTCAGGGCAACTCAGAGTGAGCACGCCCAGCCATCGGGATCTGAGTTGTAACCAGCGCTGGCAAATGAGGGCGAGAAAAAAGCAAACATCCCCTTGGCCGACTTGTGGCACGGGATAACCTGGAAAGGGTGGGCTGGTGATTCCGAGCTCCGCGATTGCTCAATGGCTTGGCCACGCCGGCCACGCGGGGCACCAACAAGTCGGCTGGTCTCCGGGGCTCCCCGTCTCTCAGCAGTTGCCGCAATTGTCGGCGTTAAATTACCGAAGCGCTCGAATCGAGCTCCCTCCGAGACATCGCGATGTTGCACAACATTGACCGATGGCAAGCGGGTGTCGTGTTGAGGACCCCGTTGGCTCAAGGGGTTGCGTGTTTGTAGCCGCTTCTTTTTGCCGTCCGCCCCCTTGGCTTTTCGCTTTCTTCTTGAACTGAGCTCGTGTTGTGCTGTTTCTCGCTTGATTTCGGTCCGATGCGCTTTTTCCGCAACCGGGCAGAGAAAGTTTGAGGTGTGGCGTCTTTGTCGTTGGCCCCGGGCCCCGGGCCCTGGGTGACCCTGGGTGCCTGGGTTGAAGCTTGGGTTTAGTGCGCAAGAAGCAACGGGGGTTCATCGCCCGCCAATGCCCACGATCTCCATGATCTCGGATGCGAATCTTATCCTTGATGCGTGTGCTTCAGTGTTTCCGCCATGGCTGATGCCCGGTTTCCGGCAGCGCCAATATCGATCGCCTCTTGACTAGGAGCTACGGAGTCGATTCCGGCTCGCGGCTCGAGGTTTGGGTATCCATCCACAGCAGGTCGGATGTACATACAATGTACGAATACTGGCGGTAAAATAATTAAATGTCACCTTTTTGACCTACCTACCATGGAAATATGTAGTGACAGGTTACGGCCGGGTTACGCTGACTGCAACCTTGCCGTGACCGGTCTGGTGATGATGGTGACAAAAGGCCCGGCGCCGCATCTCCCGAATGCCTTCCTCGAACCTGCCAGTGCTGCCCTGGGCTTCACCGGCCACCAGCCCGCTGGTAGGTGCCATCGTGACCTGGTAGCCTGCTCCAGGTTACGCGATGCTGGAGGCCCTATTAGGGAAGGCACGAGGGAGATCGAATTCGTGGCCCTGATGTGGTTTTTGCGCAGCTCGGCTCATCATGCCTACCGCTTTCGATCGTTGTGGCCGTCACCCTCAGGCATCCCTGGCGGTTGTCTCCACACCGGACGACTAGTCCCGCAATTCTCCGGGTTCCGGCATTGTCGACGATTCACCGCCTCTCAACGGGCGGTCCAATCATCGCAGCATTCTCCCAACTCCTCGCCCGGTCCCATCTCCATCGCAACCCGCAACATCATCCGCGGCCCAACGTCCGGGACAAGGCGTGACGAAATTTCCATCAAGAGCCGCCTTCCCCTCCGGCCTGTGAACCCCCCCGCCTCGCGCACAGCCCTTTTCCAGTCTTGAGCAGCAACCTATCACGACAAGGGTTGAAGCAGGATGCGGCATGTGGGTATTCATGCAGCCGTGCCACCTGGTTCGGGGGACTCTGCGCTTCACTTCGTGTTCAGCGGCAGGCCGCTAAATCCGCAACGAGCAAAAATGACGCCGCCTCACTTTTTAATCCCTGGAAGCAATCGACCGCATGCTTTCCAAGAGACCAGATTCGCAGCGCGCTCCGCCGCCTCGGTGCTGCCCGAGGAAAGAAACCGAGCAGTGGCAGCCTCACAAGTGGGGAGCTGGTGCGTGTAGCCGCGTGTTGCGACCAGGCCTTGGTTGGTGGTATCAGACCCGGCGGCCCTGGGCGAGGAGGCGTTTGCTCACTCTCCCCGCCAATTGCCCGCCAACCTCTCTCCGAAGCACCCGCCGGCGGGCTATCACGCTGTCCATCAATCCGGAGCTGACACAGGAGCGTTCTCGGACGACGTTCCCGCGAAGGCGGTCTGTTGCTTGCTGTTGTGCGATGGCCTTGTCGAGACATGCCGTCGTCTTGAACCACTCGAGGGGCGCGCCGCGGGACCGGAAAGCCCCCGGCATGCATCGAGCCTTACCCGGGCGCACTCGCAAGAGGTCGGCGTGATTCTCGCGGTGCAGCCAACCGTCGACGCCTAAGTATTTGCAAGAGGAAGTCTTCCGGGCAAAAGGCCTCGGTTGGCGCGCCTCCGACCTTGCCGCCACCGCCGACAGCACATAACCGGTTGTACACTCAACAAGTACAGTTTACCGCACCGACAACAACTGTAGGTCCCACCCGCGCTTTCGATCGGCGGCCGACCGGGCGACGGCCGCGGGGCAGGGGCGTCCAACGGTGGTGGAGGACCTTCTGTGCTTCTCTGTCAAAGGATCCCACGTCCCAGCGAAACGGTGACGAGCCCACTGACCCATTGGCAAATCCCTGCAAAAGTGCAAAGCATGGGTCGCAGCGACAGGGTACAACCCACCCGAGGAGAATGGGCAGCCGGGGGCGCTCCAGTCATGTCCACCGCATGCCAAGGACCCGGGCCCCTGTCGCGGCCCAGGGTGCAGGATGGCAGTCGACGGTCTCCGCCGCACTCACTTCGTACCTTTTGGTATGTACTACTTGAGCTTACCCTACTGCGGAGTAGTGCTTCCCCCCAGGATCGTCTGTCTCTTCCCCGAGAGCCAGAAAACGGGAGCTTGTCACCGCTGTTTCATTGTTTCCCTCCAGATAATTTTATTCCTGGTTTTCTTGCCCACATCCCACGCAAGGGTCCCCACACAGTCAGATGGATGATCTGGTGACCTCTGTTCTCAGCCCTTCCCGCACCCCGAGCCAGCTTCCATGGGATCCGTCTCATGCGAGCCGGTCTTGGTGGATCGCGTTGTTCCCGTTCCAAGGGAATATATACATCCACTCCCAGTCTTTTGATTCCTGTTCCGGTTCAAATACCTGCTCCCTGGTCTTCACTCTTGCTCTTTGGCTCCGTTTTCTCTCATCGTCATTCTATAACTTACCCAACTACGAAGGGCATCGTCACACCAAGTGGTCACAAACACCTCGGCCTTGACCCTAACTACCACTCCCGTGGTGTTTATACAAGCCCGCCCTCACCCTAAGTTTGTTGTTACCAACTGGTACCAACTCGGCCTCTTAACGGGGACAAACCACCACACCACCACACCATCCCCCCTTCCCCCCCACACTTCCCCCCATCCTTCCTCTGAGTTCCCGCAGGCCTGCGTCTGTATCGGCCGGTAGACTCCAACTCCGAGCGGGCCAGAACTTTTTCGAACCTCGAATTCCATATCACACACACCATAGCCATGAGAACGCGGAGGAACCGTGCCATGGCCGCCGCGGAGCCTCCCCCATATCCCGGGAGACAGCTGCTCATCCTCGGTAAGTCCAACAAAAGGCCACTGGATCTATTGGGGTTTTGACTAACATGGCGTAGCGCTTTGTCGGATATGCGAGCCAATTGCATTCATGTCCATCTTCCCATACATCTATCACATGGTTAAAGACTTCAACTTGACCGATGATGAGAGCCAGATCTCTTTTTACGCCGGAATGGTGACGTCAGCTTTTACCTTTGCCGAGTTCTCGACTAGCGTCTTCTGGGGAAGACTTAGTGATAAGATCGGACGGAAACCCGTGCTACTCATGGGAATGGCTGGGACGGGCATGAGCGTGCTCGCCTTTGGCTTCGCCCCGAATCTGCAGGTCGCCCTGTTTGCTCGTGCACTGGGAGGATTCTTGAACGGGTAAGTTTCATGCGGTATGCTTGGGGTTTCCGGGGCCGTCGGGCTGACGGTAGAAGCAACATCGGGGTACTGCAGACGACGGTTGGAGAACTGATTACTGTCAAGGAACATCAACGTAAGTCACCCTAGCGCCGAGGAGGTAGCGCCCAGAAGAAGAAACTAACATGAATACCAGCTCGGGCGTATTCGGTAATGCCGTTGGTCTGGTGTGTAGGGTAAGTGAGAGCGCATGGCGCAAGAGCCAGAGGCATTTTCGAGCGGTAGTGCTAACGACGAGGGCAGTTCGATTGTTGGTCCCATGATCGGAGGTGCACTTGCGAAGCCAGTCGACACTCTACCTTCGGTCTTCGCGCCGGGCAGCATTTGGGACCGCTTCCCATACCTGCTGCCTAACCTGTTCAGCGCCATCTGCGTCTCGGTCGGCGTCGTCATTGGCCTCCTATTTTTGGAGGAGACGCATGCGGAGAAGAAGAAGGGCCGCGATCGTGGAGTGGAGTTTGGGAACTATCTCCTCACCTACCTGCCGGGGAGAAGCGCGAAGTCCAAGGGCAAGTTGCCAGCCAAGAATTCTGAGGAGCAACCTCTCTTGTTCGAGACGGAGGAGTCATTGCCTGGATATCTCACCAACGGGGACTCGGTTTCCGAACAGGAACCGGTCGGCTTTGAGGAGGCATGCGGCGGCCCGGCACCGAAACAGGACGGCAGGCCTGCGGCGAGAATATTTACCAGGCCGGTAATTACCATCATCGCCTCGTATGGCATCCTCGCATTGTAAGTCTCACCCTGGCTCGTGTACCAATCTCGAATACTGACGCGTTCCACCAGCCACACCATGGTGTTCGACTCCCTGCTTCCGGTATTCCTCAGCACGAACCCGCCCGATCACAAGATGCCGACTTCCCTTCCGTTCAAGTTCGCCGACGGCTTCGGCATGGATACCCGGACGATTGGCGTCATCCTGTCGGTACAAGGCATTTACTCGATGGCGTCGACTCACTTCCTCTTCCCGCTCATTACCCACAGGTTGGGCCCACTCCGACTCTTCAAGCTCATGTCCATCCTCTACCCGCTTTTGTACTTTTTCACGCCGTACATCGTCCTCCTCCCGGAGAACCTCCGCATGGCTAGCGTCTACTTCATCGTGGTGTGGAAGTGCACGTTTTCGACACTGGCGTACCCGAGCAACGCCATCCTCATTACCAACTCGGCACCGACTACGCTGACCCTAGGCACGATCAACGGAGCGGCCGCCTCGACGGCCAGTTTGTGCCGCGCGCTGGGGCCCATCATCTCGGGGCTCTTGTATTCCATGGGGTGGGAAAACGGGTACTCCGGGCTGTCCTGGTGGGTTACCGGCTTGATAACAATTGGCGGCGCCTATGTGGGTCTGAAGATCACGGAACCCCGGGGGAGGATGGACGAGAAGCTCGACATCGAGGCGGCCCCCGCGCCTCAGGGGGTCTGGGATGCGGCGGGGACGAGCGGCAGGCAGGCGCAGGAGAGCTGAACTCGGTGCGTGGGCTTTTTTCACGCCAACGAATTTTCTTCGGACGACGGAATCGACATGGCCACAGATGCCCTCGAGGGCTATCCCGCGCCGCCCAACCCTTAGATGGGCGGCTGTTGCCGACGGCGTTTTGCATGCGGGTTTTTACGAGCGACTACATTTCTCTGGTCATGGTTTTACTGGGATAGACTGGTGTTGGCTCACCGAGCGGGTTCTCGGGAGAGATACACGCAGAGCATACACCTTTTCTTTTGGCGACGGTTGAGTGACGGGGACAGTGGCGTTTTCCATGTCTCAGGGTTTTGGGTTAGGTCACAGCGTGTTTCTTGATTTTCAGAGACATGGGCGGAGGAGAATCGGCGCGATTTGCATCAGAGAAGGGCCATTACCCGAACCGACCGGCCGCCCCAAGCGCCCAGCGCCCCGCGCCCAGCAGCATCTGGACACGATGGGGAGGCGGCGGGGTTCCACGGGTCAATGGACGCGGCAGCTGGTGGAAGTGTTTGTGGCTTCCCTTTGGGTCAGTCTGGGTCTCTCTCTTCGATATACCCCTCCCACTACGACGTATCATCCACCCATGCGCATTGTTATTTGGTTTTAGTTCATCTGTCAACGGGCGAGGGAAGGAGGGACAGGCGTCTTTACATGGCTTGGCAGGCGGGTTTTCGGACATTAGTGGTTTGTAGTTAATGACAGTTTAGGCAATCGATCATCATGAGCGTTGGAGTTGATAACACGTCGGATTCCATCTTTGTGGGATAGGGATACGAACAAGCCGCTCAGTGACTTGCTATAGGGATACCGATGCTGCTGTGTATTACCTGTTTAAAGGGTCAACTGTTAAACACGTACATAATTCACAACGCACAGCAAGGTGTCTTATCTCCTACCTAAGGTGCTAAGCAGATCGTGGTGTAAGTTCCAGGTTCCCGTCTCTCTCAATCGCCAGCACAGAACAGAAAGCCCCACGGCCCCCACCAATCTGGTTTTGGTCGCTCACAGGCTCTTCGCCCACTTATCTCCCTGCTTACCTATCACACGGAAGCATATGCCGCCTGGGCATTCCATTCCGTCAATTGGCGGGGATCCGCCGGTCACCAGGGGTTGGGTGCATCGCTGTTTCCTCTCTAGTTTGCGCGCAAACTTCCGAGCTGCCTGCTCCGTTCGCGAAAGTAATGCACACCCCCGAGACACCGGCAGCGCCGCTTCACGATCCGGACTTCCTAGCTCGACGCCGTTCGATCCGCCATCCCATGTGAGCTCCCGGCTTGTCTTGGCTATTACTGTGTAGACCCCGCATCCAAAGCAGCAAAACACACAACAAATAAGACAGTGCGAACACGGTCCGGGCGACTTTGAGGCAAAATCCCCGAATCCCCCAAAAGCTACCGGAGCTAGAACCATGGGCCCGAAGCATTGCGCCCGCGAAAAAGCCGATTGAAGCATCAGACATATAACAACACCAAGGGGGGGGCGAGAGATCGATCGGGCAGGCAAATCCACCACCACAGCTCCGCGCTCTCTGCGGCGTCGGGAGCGAAACAGGGCGGCCGAGCTCTCTCTCTCTCTCTCGACACAGGCAGCCACCCGCGCCGTGCTGTGCGCCGTGAGCTGCGGGCGCTACTGGAATCTTGGGAAGGGAAGGGGGGGGGCACACCTGACTCGCATCGGGCCGCACCGTAATCGCCGAATCACGGAGCCGCACGTCGTCGTCCTCTGTCTCAGAACCAGCGCTGGCTGCGGGGAAAAGACGATGCCGGCACCCGATCGCAACCCTCCGTCGCCGGACCTCCAGCCCTCCAAGCGCCCCCGCCAATCTTCCCCCGAAAGGGATTCGCCGGCGTCGCTGCTCTCGGCCGGCGCGGCCTCCCCGACGGGCGACCACATCCACAATGGCCTGCTTGGACTCGCGGGCGGGGGAGGGGGAGGGGGAGGGGCAGGAGGAGGAGCAGGAACCGGCGGCAGTGGCGGCAGCGGTAGTGGTGTCGCGGGAAAGGCCGGACAGAGCAGCAGCTTCCGCAACGTGAGTGCGTGCAACCGGTGCCGGCTGCGCAAGAACCGCTGCGACCAGAAGCTGCCGAGCTGCGCGAGCTGCGAGAAGGCCGGCGTCGCCTGCGTCGGATACGACCCCATCACCAAGAGGGAGATACCGCGGAGCTACATCTTCTATCTGGAAAAGCGGGTGGAGCAGCTCGAGGGGCTCCTCGCAACCAACAGCATCACCTTCCCGCCTGCCCAAGACCTCGACTACTGCTCCAAGTCGGGCACCGGGCCGAGCACTGCCCAGTCGCCCGTCGAGACGGGGCAGTCGGTCTACTCGGAAGGAGCCTACGCCCCGAGCAGCGGAAGGGGGGAGAGTAATGGGGATGGCGGCGCCGGTAGGCTGCAGAGGATAGCCTCGAAACCCGGCTCGTCCGCCGGTTCCGCGGGCGGTGCTAATAACCGCTATCTCGGCTCGACGTCGGGCATATCCTTTGCTCGCGTGGTGTTTGCCGCGGTGCAGTCGTCGGTTTCCGACCAGAAGTCGAACTCGGACAAGGGGGGCGTGCGGCCGTACAGACCCACCCCGGGTGGCAACAATGGCGGTGCCGCCGCCGGTCCCGATCCCGCCGGTGCTGGCCCCGGACCCGGCACTTCGATGCGGGATTCCTTTTTCGGCCTGCACACCAAGCCGACCATCCACCCGGCGACGTTCCCCGACAGGGAGCTCGGGTTGCGGCTGGTCAGTCTGTACTTCGAGCACGCCAACCCGCAGATACCGGTCCTGCACAAGGTCGAGTTCAAGGAAATGTTCGAGCGGGCGTATGCCGATGAGGTGCGGGGCCGCGGGCCGCGCGAGCTGTACGTGTTGAACATGGTGTTCGCGATAGGGGCGGGCATCATCGTCGGCGATTCCAAGGGGGAACCGCCGGCCGTCGAATCCGCCGAGTCTTCGCCCGGATCGAGGCAATGCCAGCCGGAGGAGTACCATGCCAGTGCGATTGTCCATCTTGAGGCGTGTCTTGGGAGCGGCGGCGGTCTGGAAGACTTGCAGGCGGTGCTGCTTTTGGCCAATTTTGCGCTGCTGAGGCCCGTTCCTCCTGGGTTGTGGTACATCATTGGCGTGGCGGTTAGATTGGCCGTCGACCTGGGACTGCACTATGAGGATGGCAAGGACCTTGACAGTGGTTTGGCCTCCCCGGCCGCTCAGCAGAAGGAGACGATGGCCAAGGAGAAGGGGAGGCGGGAGTATGTGCGCGATCTGAGACGTCGGCTCTGGTGGTGTACCTACTCGTTTGACCGGCTGGTCAGTCTCTGCGTCGGCCGGCCCTTCGGTATCTCGGACCAGGTCATCACAACCGAGTTTCCGTCGCTACTAGAGGACCGATACATTACAACCAGCGGCATTGTTCAACCACCTCCCGGGTCAGAGCTGCCGAGCTACAAGTTGGTTGCTCATCACTACTTCCGGCTTAGGCTTTTACAGTCTGAGATACTGCAGGTTTTGCAATTTCGGCAAGCCCAAAGCGCCTGGGCCGGCGGGAAAGGTTGTCAAAATCCGTATATGCACACGGAGCTGCCCTCCCCGTTCCTCGCCAAGTTTGACTCGTTCCGGTCGTGGCGAATGGACATCGACAAGAGGCTGTACGAGTGGAATAACTCGGCGCCGAAGAAAGAAGACACCGGCGTGGCCTTCTTGACCGACTTCCTGCATCTCAACTATTGGCAGGCTATCATCATGTTGTACAGGCAGAGCCTGAGCGTGCCGACCGTCTTTGAGGGCGAGTACGACACGGCCAAGGAGGTAAACAGCCCTGTGGTTTACAACGCAGAGCTTAGCGGGGACGAGGACCGGGTGTATCTCAAGGTCGCTGAGGCCGGCCAGAAGATTCTGAGACTGTATCGCCAGCTGCATCTGGTGGGCGTTGTGAACTACACCTACCTGACGACGCACCATCTGTTTGTGGCGGGGATATCGTACCTCTACGCGATTTGGCATTCTCCCATCGTTAGGAGCCGGCTGGTAGGTGGTTTCCGCTCTGTTGGTTGGGCCATTGCTAACGAGTATGTGCAGTCTATGGACGAAGTGGATTTCACTATTCTCGCAGCGACATCCGTCTTTACGGATTTCATGGACAAATGCCCACCAGCCGAGGCGTGCCGAGACGCATTTGACCGGACAGTCAAGGCCACGCTCAAGATGGTCAACGCCTCCGGCGGCTTCGGCCAACAATACCAACCAGCACACAGCAACGTATCTTCCGGCTCAAGAACCATGCTTGACCACAGCCGACTCAACCGGAGTATGAGAAGAGAGAACGCGCCCATGTTGAACAAGCCTCACCACAAACGCCACTTCCGCGGCTCGCCATCGGTCGACCAAACCCCCACCACACTGTCGGACGCATACTCCAACAACCCTTCATTGCTAACCGCCTTCCAAAAGGGGGCACAGTACCGCCTCCCCAGCGGCCCCACCGTGAAAGTCGAGCAAGACACCTACACCCACATGCGCAACCTCTCCGTCCCGCCCCGAATCGGCGCCAGCCCCACCGAAAACACCATCACCACCACCAACCCGCTCACCCCCGAAGCAGCAGCAGCAGCGGCGACCGTCGACCAACAGATGATGCCGTCCCCCGCAGCCATGCAACAACAGCAACAACAACGCCCCACCCCGCCGGCCGCACAACTCAGCCCCCAAATGGCAGAGCTGCTGAACCAAACACCACCACCCCCGCCGGCGGGTTTCCTCTCTCCGCAACCACGACAACAGCAGCCACCGCAGCAGCAGCAGCAGCAGCAGCAGTTCAGCCCGGGGGCGATGTCGTTCAGCGAATTGCAGGGCTTGGAGTTCTTGCAGAATCTCAGCCCTTCTTCTGCTGCCATCAACAACGCTGATAGCAACACCGGTGCGGTTGGAGGTGGTGGTGGTGGTGCTGGCGGTAGTGATAGCATAGGGGGGCTGGATGCGGTTGACTTCAGTGGCCTGGCCGACACGCATATGGATCTGGGGTTTGGGCTCGGCTGGGAGGGGCTGCATCACGATTTTAATGATGGTCAGCAGCTGGATTTGTTTGATGGGTTCTTTTTCGGTGGGGGGCCGCAGCAGGGTGGTGCTGGGGGAGGGGGAGGGGGGCTTTGAGAATGATGTTATGAAATGGGTATGGGATGGGGAATGTGTGTATGAAGGGGTCTAAAGGGGTTCATTTCGTTCTGGGTAGGTGGATTTGTTTGAGATGGAAGGCTGGGGTGGGTTATACCTGTGCAAATATGCATGCAACTGGATGGGTGGGAACGGAGCCAGCTAGGAATTCGGCTTGTTTATAGACGTAATGCTAAGCTCATGATGTAGTTACTGTGTACTTTATGAACGGGTTTCTGTTACCAGACATGAATAATGGGGATACTCTATGCTTCTTTCACTTGATTGTGTAGGCTCATATATAAGGGGCAGGTTTTGCGTGATCTTGACGATATCATTCAGTTTCAGATGGGAATATGGAGGTTTGTCAACCCTTTTCCGCGTTAGCGAGCCTTATTCCCCATTGATGGACAAGTATCCTCCTCTAGGAACCGATAGGTTCGGGTAAGGGTTTGGCCCTCCAACTCCAACCACAACGAATATCATTAGTTTTTATCCTCCCAACTATTTACGACCATATCTAATCTATCTTTAACACATCCCAAGCTAGGAGAGCTACATAAGGAAACTATACAACATCCTTGCCTGATAGGAGATACTATGCCGCTCTCTTCTCTGCCGCGGAAACCAACCCTATTCGATACTGCGAAGTCGCTCGATAACCTCAAGATGTCCGCCCTTACAAGCTACCTATATCGTGGTTTGACGGCCACGGTTAGCAGCTTTGCGGTTGCCGCTGGCTCCAGCTCTGAGGAGCCGATCAGCCACCTCGATGTGGCCACCGGCGGAAGCTGCCTGTAATGCGGTACAGCCGCCGCGCAACGCAGGCCCAGCATTAACGTTAGCTCCGGCTCTGAGGAGCCGCTCAACAACCTCGAGATGGCCGCCCTCAGAAGCTGCCTGTAACGCGGTTCGGCCCCTGTCGGAGAAAATATGATTGGCATTGACGTCAGCTCCAGCTCTAAGGAGCCGCTCGACAACCTCGAGATAGCCGCCCTCGGAAGCTGCCTGTAAGGCGGTTTGGCTGCCGGGGAGCTGCTCAGGATCGGCATTGACGTTGGCTCCAGCTGTGAGGAGCCGCTCAACAACCTTGAGATGGCCACCCTTAGAAGCTGCCTGTAACGCGGTTTGGCTGCCGGGGAGCTGCTCAGGATCGGCATTGACGTTGGCTCCAGCTGTGAGGAGCCGCTCGACAACCTCGAGATGGCCGCTCTTGGAGGATGTGTGAAGAGCTGTGCTGATGATCCGAGGCGAGTAGCCACCTTGGAGAAGAACATCGAGCAATTCGATATTACCCTGAGCTGCTAGACCCCATATACTCTGACGCGTTGCTGGTTCGGATATTCCGCCGCAATCCTCAATGAGGTGTATGAGAGCGTAGTGACGCGATTGTAAGCTCCAAGCCAGTAGGTCCGAGTCTAGAGCGTTGAACTCTTGCTGCTCCGGCCAGGGTCTCTTCGCCAGATCGTGCCCGCAAGTGATCATTCGATGCCACAAGTCCCATGTTGTGGATCTATCCTTCCGAAACCTGCTGGTATGTGAGATCCAGTGTACCGAGGCGTACTTGAGGAAAGCGTGACTCTGCTCTAGCTTTCTTGTAGCCTCCTCTGCGTCTACCCTTTCATAGCTAGACAGAACTCCAACGACATCTAGTTCTACTTTGCTCTTTTCGCGTCTTGAACGAAACCCAAATGCTGGGATAGTACTTGGCACCTTTGACTGGTGTGACAATGCTAATCTTGCCATTGCAACTGGATCGACCGGCTTCATTGGTTGCGGTCGTCGAGCTAGAGTGGTCTTGAAGTCGTTGAAATTGAGGTACGTCACGCATATTTCGCCGGCATGGTGGTCCGCGTCTGGTAAGTTGAAGCAGAAGTTTCCGAGTTGCGGTTCTGCCGGTCCCTCGATGATGAATTTGTGAATTGCCTGGTGAGCAAATTGCACCGTCTTCAGCTCTTCATCAACATGAATTAGATTTTCACACCATGAGGCAAGCTGATCAATGCCGTTGACGAGCCGCTCAGGCATTGAGTACGGTTGACCAATCTCTATGGATATGGCTGCACGGAGCTCATCCAGTGTCAGATGTCGCTTCGCGATAGCGACCCAAGAAAAGGTTTTTACCGCGACCGAATCATGCCGTCGGGAGACTATCCGCAAAAGAGCTCTGCTAAATGTCTCTGTTAAAGTCTTCGGAAGACATCCGATGGCGTTGTAGATGTCGTAGTCACAATGCTGGGCACAAAGTTCGTCGATCAGGAAAGTGACCCAAAGAAACCTTCCTCGTTAGTAAAGGATGCGGAGGAAAGGTGCTGTTAACGTACATTCCGTCTGCATGCTTCGCTAAAGCTTGCTCTATGTCCAAGATGAGAGACTGGTCTCCAACCACGAGGTCTCGGTTCTGTATCCTTTCTTGAAGCGCCTGTTTGACATAGCGCGCAATATCGGGCATTGCTTCCACTGACGCCATCGACAGACGCTCTATGCCGGGAAGTTTATCTTTCAGTTCCGCGCGTAGGCTCTCACGCCCTGCGAGGAATACCCTGGGGCCAGACCCACTCGAGCTAAGGGATGCGAGTAGGTCAAGAAGGGCGCGTCGTTCTCTGGGTTCAAACTCATCCAAGGCGTCGATGAAGATGAAGAACTTTTCCGATTGGGCGAGTCTTTCTCGGAGAAGAACGGTCAATTCACCAAGCCCAGTGGATGGATTCTGGTCCATTTCCGCCAGCCTGGCTTCCATTCTCTCGGAGAGTGTCACTAGGTCAAGTGACTGCCTGATGATGGATCGTATGACGGTTTCCGCGTGTAACGACTGTGGGTCATTGAATTGAGGGAAAAAGAAGGTGATGATTTCACCGGTCCCGCTCCTTTCCGCAAGGACGTAGCTAACGGCGCTCGCACTATAAGTTGGGATATTAGCACAAGTCGATAGTAGCTTTGCGAGCCACCCAATATATATAGGGTGCTCACAGGAGAATCGTCTTGCCAGATCCGACTATGGGGTATTAGCATGGTCACTACACACACACTCTAAACGTGTTTCGAGAGAACCCACTCTTTCCCGAGCACCAGATCCAAGGGGATGCGCCATCCTTCCATCGACGGAATTCGGCCGTGTCAAATACCCACTGTGCTGTATTGCGGTGGCGCTCTTTACAAGCGCGTTTGAATGGAGGGAGGTGGTCGTAGGAAGATAATGAATCGAGCAGCTGGCGCCTTCGTTCTCCTGGAGGCTGTTAGGCATTTATGCCAGAACTGCCACGAAAGAAAGGGAGAAACTTACTTGACCGACGCCCGTCCTGCTGTAGCTGCCATTCTTTTATGGTATCAAGGTTGTTCCCCGTCCGAGACAGCATGTCTCTGAGCTTGCGTCTGTGCCCAGACGCGGCCTCTATTTCCTTCTTCTGGAGCTCTTGGTCTTGGAGATCGGCCTGTGCCTTGGCAAGGACCATTTCCTCTCTTACCTCATCGCCGCACCTCTGAATCGTGCTGATATCCGACTTGAATTCCTGCTCAAAAGATTGCCAGAGAGCGTTCCAAAGCTGTGTCTTCCCTAGGATCGGTTAGCGATGGCAAGCTCTCGTACGGTCAGGATCGGAGCGACAAACAAGGTCGTTGGGCAGCCTCTACTGCGTGCTTGCAGCATCGGATGAGAGAAGCGTGGAAATTACACAAGGCTGCTTGGAGCCGGACCGAGTTCGGATACAGGGCCTGGTACTCGGCAAACCGTGGACAGTGCGACGCAAAACCCATGAAGAGGTTAGAAAATGCTTCATAGTAAGATGTGAAGTTGAGTGCAATCTCGTCCGAGTTAGCGGCTCGCATTTGGGCACCGGATTTCCCGTACAGCGTACACACCTGTATCGTGAGCTTGACGCTTCCCCAGATCAGAGCGGCTATTTCTGGGTTTGATGAGACGAATGTGTCGATAACTGCAGAGAATTCTCGAACAGACTGAAGGACGGAATGCAACCGAGTGGCGATGCTGCGGCCGCGCCTATCTCGAGTCGAGTCAAGTTGCGCGGTGAAGACAAGCACGGCATTGGCGTCTGGGATGGATTTGATTTTTCCGAGCGTGTTCCTTTGGTCCTCTGTCAGAATTTTCTGGAAATCATCAACCGCCTCATTGAGCTGCTTTGCAGGCGACAGTGGCACCCCGGAGGATTGGGACGCTAGAGTCAAAGCCATGGCAGCTGTAGCCTGTTGGGCTGCATGCATGCGAAAACACTGAAGAACAAATTAACAATATATGGATGCGTTGAGGCGATTCAAAGCATTGGCGAGCTGCGTCGAAGGAATCGCCTGTCATCGATCGTAAGCTCTCAAATGAGGGCGCCTTGCGGCCCAACTTGGTCCAGCTTCGTTGAATAAGGTAGGTCTTGAGACAAGCAATCTGTCGGGCTCGTCGTGCGGAAGGGGGCTGATCGAAGCGGGGTCAGGTGCCCGAGGCTGCGCCCGAGAGCATTGCTCGTCGATTTGCTGCCATGCCGAGCTCGCTGCATAAGCCTGAACGGTTCTGTGGCGCAGCCAGCTTCACTGTTCTCTCAAAAGAGACAGTAAGACTAGTAAATTTCTGGTGTTGTATGTTTTTGACTTATTTGCCTCCACCCCCTAGGTCCATCTGAGCCCACTCCCAACACTACCTAATTACGAATACAACCCATCCAAAACGGCGTGATTATAGAGGCCAATCTTTTTGCTTGGGTATAGACTTCCTAGGTTGGTAGACGGTGCTCGAGTAACTTTGTTTGCTTTCCTTCCCCTAGTGCGATATAATATAGACCTAACTTACGCTCACGACTATCACATACGACCATACCTACTTGAAAATACGGGATCCCGTCCGCTCTCCCCTAGTCAAACAAGTAAGGGCTGAACCAGTAGTTGGGTCGGTGACGACCAGCGAATCCTCAGTGTTGTATGTTTTTGACCTTTTTGCCTTTTTCGGAGAGGTTTATCCTAGCCTACTCCTAGTAATACCTATAAGACTATATAGTTTCTTTTCTCAGATATAAATATAGATATACCCTATATAGGTAATACCTAACTAACTCTCTTAGCTTTATATATATATCTGTATCGCCCTTCGTTTTCCAAATTCAATACAATATAGACCCAACTAACCCTCGAAACTATCACATACGACCATATCTACGAGAAAGTACGGGATCCCGTCCGCTCTCCCCTAGTCAAACTCGTGAGAGCCGAACTAGTAGTTGGGTCGGTGACGACCAGCGAATCCTCGGTGTTGTATGTTTTTGACTTTTTGCTGTTTTTGTGACCCACCCGGTGTGGGCCTCTCCTTTTGCTAAGGGGTTCTGTCATTGCACAGCCGGGCGGTGCTCGTTAAGTTAGGGACTGAGAGGGAGGGTTCGTGTGGGAGAAGGTAAACAAAAAAGGGCGAGTAACTGTGTTCACTTCGAAACTGAATTGCACGATGTTGCGGTTCTGTGGAGGTGTGATGGAGTCGTTCGGGGCGGCAGCGGTTTTCGTGATTCAATAATGACTACACCCCAAGTTAATATCGGGACATGGCAATTCCAAGCAAAAGATGACTGCGCTCTTAAGCAGTGGACTCATTGCACGTCATTCATTAACCGCAAGTCTCCTCCTAGTCTTGCTCACGGGGGTATTCTAACATCTCAACCATCCATCTCTACACATATCCGCATTACCTTGGCGCAACATCTCCCCCCTGGTACCTACATCTAAACGAAAAAGAGCAAAGATCAGACGTCCGACTTTATCTACTTCGCCCCCTCACATTGAGGCTTAATCTCATCACCACCCCCATTACCACCCGAAGCAGCAGCACCAGGCGCCCCTTTCGCCCTCTCCGTAACCGTGGACAGGGCCCCCGCGTTCGCGTCCGCACCGGAGCTGACAGCCACCTCATCCGCCTCGTCCTCCTCCCCCGCCAGCTCCTCCAGCGTCTTGCGCTTGGTCTCCTTAATTAAAGCGGTAGAGCCGATACCCAGCAGCATGAACAAAGCATAAATCTCCAGCACATGATCCATCCAGGGATTCGGGTTCCCTGGTGTCGCACCACGGGTACGCAGGGGCGCGATGGCGCCCTGGCCGATGATGCTGCCGATCTTGCCCGAGGCGGCGGAGATGCCGTGGGAGGTGGAGCGGTAGCGGGTGGGGAAGCACTCGCCGGGCACGATGAAGGTGGTGGCGTTGGGGCCGAAGTTGAAGAAGAACTGGGCGAGCACGAAGATGGCGAGCAGGCCGTTGGGCGGGATGTGGAAGTAGGCGAACCCCATCACCACGAAGAGGACGGTGAGGATCGTGAAGCCCATGAACTGGATCGGCTTGCGCCCCAGCGTGTCGACCGTGAAGACCGTTACCCAGTAGCCGGGTACCGCGCCCGCGAGCACGATGATGAGGTTGCCGACGGCGGTGTTGTATAGGATTTCGTAGGTGTTGCTGGCGTTCTTGGTCGAGTAGCCGATCACCTCGAGGATGACGGCGTTGTTGAGCGAGACGCCGTAGTAGGCGATATCGAGGAAGCACCATGAGAGGGCGGTTCTACAGGGAAGGTTGTTAGTTGGTGGTCCCGAGGAGAGGGAGAGATTCCCGGGGAGGCGAATGCTTACCCAGCCAAGAGCATAGCATGCTTGGGCTTGGAATAATGGCGGAAGAAGTCGGCCCAGCTGGCCTTCTGCGCCTTCATCTCCTCATTGGCTTGCTTCTGGGTCGTGGCGCGAGTGAGGTCGTCTGGAGTAGCACCCGACTTGCCCTTCAGGTAGGCCTCAGCGTCGCCCTCGGCCTTTTCGACGTCCATCTTGACGTCAAAGGTGTATCGTGGCGTCTCGGGGATGGTGAGGCGGTAGTAGAGGGCAATGCAGCCGGGTACAGCACCGAATCCGATCAGGACACGCCACATCTTGTCGACGGCCTGGGCGCAACCATCGGTGCAGTCAGCAAGCTTGGGGGATGTCTCGAGCGACGACTTGAAGCCGAGCGTGAGGAACAGCATAACAAAAGCGGCGGCGAGTTGGCCGAGCCCCTGCATGGCAAAAACGGCGCCCATCATGGCACCTCTCCACTTGGTGGTGGCGAACTCGGAGGTAATGATACTCGAAAGAGGATAGTCACCGCCAATGCCGATGCCCTTGGGTCGTTCAGTCAGCCTCAGTTGAGTTCCTTCTAGAGCAAGGAGCAAGTGGGATACTCACCATGAGAACACGCCAGAAGATGATGACGCCAATAATGTCCATCGAGGGAGACGAGGACGACAGAGCCTGAGCGAGCGTGGCGAAGATGATCATGATCAGCTCGAGGCCGTACATGCGCTTCCGGCCAACGATATCAGCCAGGGCGCCGAAGCCGAGCTGACCGATGACAGTGCCGGCCGAGGTTGCGAGCTTGATGGCCGTGTCGGAGGTAGTGGGCATTTGGCCGACGCCCGGGTAGTACACAATACCGAGCATGAGGGTGAGGAGGGATACGGTGAAGATATCGTAGGAATCGGTAAAGAAACCGACACCCGCGACGACGATGGCGCGGACGTGGTACCAACCGAACGGGGCCCTGTCGACTTCGGCGAGGGCGAGCCGCCTCCGCTCATTCACGTCCTTGATGTGAGCAAAGTCATTGTCTAGCCATAATGGTGAGATAAGTCATTCCTCTACGGGTTTCAGGGGTAACGAACGGAAGTTATGGTACGCATTGTTGCCACCGCTGGTTTTTGTCGTCGTCGCCATGGCGAGAGCGTGTACTCGGCGTGTGCAAGCCGAAGTGTTGGAAGGCAGGTGGCAATGGAGAGATACGCGGGAGGAAAGGAGTTGGCCGCAAGTATCTCTACAAGGCCAGCCAGCCGAGTTGGAGGGTGCTAAAGGGAGTCAGGAAAATGGATGGAGGAAAAGGCCGGTTCGCGAGAGGGAGGCAAGCCGGGGAGGATATAGATTTCCCAAAGGCGCGCGGTTGCCGCTGGCTTCCATGAGAAGCTCCGCCGAGCTCTGGCCACGGCTTTTGGGTGTGCTCGCGTGCGTTTCCCGCTGGTCCGTCCGCTTGGGCAGCGGGCCCAGACCACAGGCTAGCTAGGGAGATAGTTGCGTACTGTGTATGTAGTTTGCAAATCCCCTCACTCCTCCTACCCATGCCCATGCTCGTCATCGCTGACGGTTGAGGCCTGCCCACCCCACCTCTCGGTGGCTGCTTCTGTCCCAATTCCCCGACCCGTTCGGATTGCGCGGCTGTTGCACGTGGGGGAGCTTGGAACTACACTACAATGGCTCCGAGCGTATTCACACGCATCCAGACGGAATCTCCGGGGCGACCAATATTTCCCTCATCAGTTTGACTTTTGCCCCCCTGGGCTACGAGCCCTCCAAACGACAAGTTTCCTCGTTCGACATACAAGCTTTTGCCCCTGCTCTCGATCTCTGGGGCATCTCTCGGCATTGCTGGGCGTCGCGCTTGGCGGCCGGCAGAGGCTTTCTCGAGTGCTTCAAGACCACAAAGCCCTCCGTCATTGCCGCTTGCAGGCGCCATTTCCCAAACGGTGCGTCGGTCAACCAGTCAGGCAACCGACTCGTCTCAGCCCGAATGACGTTGTTCGTCGGAGACCGGAAAGCGCACCGGAAATAACATCGAGCCAATCGCTCGCGGATAGAAATCCAGAAGCGGAAAGTCGTACTGGGAGAAGAAAGCCTGGACCGTTATCCGCAGCAGCGGGGCAATGAGCTCTGCCGGGCATGGGTCTTCCCCACGAATGACAAGCTTGAGAGAGCACCACGTTTCGGATTCTCGGGCGTTGGTTCGTCGGGTGTTCCCGTTCTTCTCTGGGACATGGGGGCTCCACGCAAACGAAGCTCCAGACCTTCGGTCAAGGACGGGGCCCGATGATAGCTTTGCTCCCCGCCGCTGAACTCGGGTCTTTTTTCTTCAGTCAAAGGTATGATCGATTAGAGCCTCGGTTGGAAGCTCTTCTGGACTCACAGGAGCATGAGCTTTGCTCAGTCTGCTTGGCGCTGCGCATCTTGCCGAATCCGAAGACAAAGCTCCCGACATTATACTTGATGATGTTAGAATGCGTTCAAATACGCCGTCTCCCGGACCTCGCGTATCAATTTGCAAGACAAATAACTCATCGATCGGCCACCGCCGCAGTCTGCTCACCGAGGCCGTGGGGCGCCGGCCAATCGAAGATTGCAACCCAGGCACGAGCCGTCTGAGGGGTGATCACTCGATACCATGACGACAGCTCACCGCACCGGACACAACTGCGGTTGGCTCGCTCGAGTTTCAATGTCCTGCTGCTTTTGGGAATGAGGTTAAGCGCGGTGTATCGATGATTTGCTCTCAATCCTTCGCGCTGGAATGTCTCGTAGATATCCCCGTGGGCGCTCTCCCGTTGTTGAACGTCACCTCGCCGAGATATTGAAAACGGCGATGCACTGCCGTGCTAAGCTTTCTTGCTGCTCGTCCCAATGCTTGTTTTTGCTTGGCTCACGTAGCGTTCCGCTGTGGCGGTCTTGGGTAAGTCTTGGACTCTTGGCTGCCAGCGCAGGAATGAGAGCACGCGACCCCTTGCCCTAACCGTCCGGGCTGGGTAGCAGGGGTATGAGGTGGCGTTTTGCTTGGTGTCTTGGTGGCATCTGTGATTCGAATCGACTCCCGTCTGCATTTGAACAGTCTTAAACTTCAACTATCCTGTCGTCCTCGCCGTCGTCTTCGGCTTCCTCTTCTGCCCCCGGCTCAGCCTCGTCCCTCATTAGTACCTGGACCAACCGCTCACATGCCTCGCGGACATCCTCGTCGTTGACCTTGAGATGTGTCTCCCGGATGATCGGGTACACGTTGACCCTCCGCATTAGCTCCCTTCCTTCTCTCGTAGTTGTCAGAAGGGTCAGTGTTTCGACGTGGGCCTGAACAATTTTGGGGTCTGAATCTCGCTGCTTATCGGGTGGTAGTAACTGCAGATCCGGCAGCATCCCCATCGTCTCTTCATCATCATATTCCTCGCCTCCCATGATAGGCAGCAAGAGATAAGGGAGGATGTCAATTTGGTCCTCGTCGAGGAACGCAGGGTGTGCCGGCACATCGAACGCCGCGTTCTTGATGGTGCTTGCCACACCTTTCCTCCGAATATCCGACTTGTGCTCCGTAAAGACCTTGATCTTGTTGATGGGGACGACGCCGTCGTACTCTTGTTTAGTGACAAAGAACTGCCGTATCTCGGGGTGCTTGGAGAGATCGGCGATGACGTAGGCGAGGTAGTCGAAATCGGCCTTTTTGTTGTACGTGCCGTCAGCCCCCTTGACGAAGAGATCAAGAAGCTGATTAAGCACGAGCTCATTGGATTGCAGAGCGCTGGGAGGGTCTTGCTTGCGAGTCGCGAGGCTCTTCAGATCATCCCACTTAACCATGTTGGCGAGCAGCATGGCGAGCAGATTGGCATTAGGTTCTGCCGGGTCCTGCCAACGGCGAAGTTCCTTCGGTCAGCGCTGTTCAGAAAAGTATCGGGTGGATTCTGGCCGCGGTATGGCCAAAATACATACAACCAAATTTCCGAGGAGGATACCGAGAAATTTATCGTCGGTGGCTACATATTCTAGAACACTTCGGTCTGCCGTCAAATTGATCAAGATAGTGAGAGCATGCTCTGCAATTTCCTGCACGGCTGCTTTAGCAGGGGCGTATTTACGAGGCAACGATGAGTTCTCACTGGATGATCCCGGATCAAAAACTTGAGATGCTTCACGGGGAGGAGCTCCTCGGTCTTGAAAATCGAAGGTTGTTCCGCGGAATATGGCACGAGATTCTCAGTGGCCAATTTGCGGATTTGAGGGTTTGGGTGGGCAATAAACCCCACGAGCTGCGCCCGTCGTGTCAGCTACCGTTAAATTACATATTTAATTCAAGGCGTGATGTTACCTCTTCGAGTTCTGTCGGCATGGTTGATTTTGGTAAATGAATACAGTAATTTGTTTTGAGGTCCAGTCACGATGCTTTCATGCTTCCGCTCTCGCTTCTCGCTGCAGCCAGCCCGCAAATTTCAATAATTCCAGAGGTATGACGCGGGGCACCGCGGGGCTCCGGCGTTATCGATAAAGTTTTTCACCGAGCGAAAAGCTTGCCGGTGTATTGTATTTCCGCACCTCGAGCAATTTTGACCAATCACTGTAGCAGCACAACCCAACGGGCGCTCCACAGTGGTATCTTTTTGCGAAGGTGCACGAAAAATTACCCAGCCAAAGTTCAAGTCTGAGCGGCCTGCTGTGCTCGCTCGTAAGCCATTCCACAGCGAACTTACTCGCATCGCCAGGCGCCAATTCCACAACGAAACTCGCATCGCCAGACGCCATATTGCACATCTCACAAAATGCCCAAATCAACAACAGCGTCGCTGTCCAGCAAGAGACGGCATAACCCCCTCGAGAATGACCTACTCGCGACGGGAGTCCTCAAGAACCGAGAGGGGAGACCTTCGAAGAGGGCCGACAGGAAACAGGCCGAGGAGCAGGCCTTTGTCGACGCCAAATCTTCCCGCAAGATCTTGGCTTTGAGCCGCGACCTCATCGACGAGGAGGATCTTGAATCCAACGCCAACAACCAGGATGCATCCGCGCCATCAGGTTTCGACTTTGACCCCTCCCGGTTGGAGGGCGGCAGCGACCAGGAGGAGGAGGGATACGCCAACGAAGAGGCGTGGGGTGATGAGGAGGAAATTGTCGAGGAAGTCGAGGTCGATGCAGCCGATCTCGACACGTTCAATCGGTTCATCACGCCAACAATGAACGACGACCCTCTTCTCACACACGGCTGGGACCGGACGCCAGGCGACGGAGCGGAAGAGCAGGGGGCGGGGACGAACCTGGCGGATTTGATCCTGGCCAAGATTGCCGAGAAGGAAGCGATGCAGGGCGGGCAGCAGCAGGACTTCCACCCGATTGAGGAGGACTACGAGATGCCGCCCAAGGTTGTCGAGGTCTTTACCAAGTACGTTTGGTCGGGTTGGGGTAGGCGATGGATGAGAATGAGAGTGCTAACGAGTCGCTAGGATCGGGCTCATTCTCGCTCGTTACAAGTCCGGGCCCTTGCCGAAACCGTTCAAGATCCTGCCACAAATTCCCCACTGGGAAGACATTCTTCAAATCACGCGCCCAGAGAAATGGTAGGTACATTTCGAGCATGGAACCCCTTAGAAAGATGAGCTGATTTGAGATTTTAGGACCCCGAATGCGTGCTTTGCCGCGACGAGGATCTTCGTATCAGCGAAACCGCTGGTCGTTCAACGGTTTATGGAGATGGTCGTCTTGGAGCGCGTCCGCGAGGACATTTACGAGAACAAGAAGCTCAACGTTCATCTCTTCAACTGCCTCAAGCGGGGCCTCTACAAGCCTGCGGGCTTCTTCAAGGGTTTGCTCAAGCCCATCCACCCTAGAGTATCCTCAAGGCTAACTCATCGATCTAGGTTTCCTGTTTCCGTTGGCCGCATCTGGTAAGCTGTCCGGTCTTCCCGCGGATGGGAACTTGCTTATGCTAACTGTTGGAAAGGCACCTGCACATTACGCGAGGCACAGATCATCTCTGCTGTGTTGGCTCGCGTGTCGATTCCAGTCCTCCACTCGGCAGCGGCCATCAAGACACTGTGCGACATCGCCGCAGAGCAAGCCTCTCAGCAATCCGAGTGTGTCAGCGCGACCAACTTCATGCTCAAGGTTCTTCTAGAAAAGAAATATGCCTTGCGTAAGTTATCAGCAGCCGTTTTCCCGGCCTTCTTGTAATCTTTACTAACTCATCGCGATAGCATGGCAATGCGTGGACTCCCTCGTCTTCCACTTCCTCCGGTACGCTGCGGCGGCTAGAGATGGAGATGGGCCCAGGTCGCTGCCTGTCATTTTCCACCAGTGCATGCTCGTGTTTGCGCAACGATATCGCAATGATAGTGAGTGTCTTTCCCTTGGAGCCTTTAAATATGCCCACAGTGCTCACAGGATCCTGCATTTAGTCACCGAAGACCAACGCGAGGCCCTCTTGGACCTTCTTTTGAGCCATGGTCATGACAAGATTGCCCCCGAAATCAGGAGGGAGTTGCTCGCTGGGCGAGGGCGAGGTGTCGCAGTTGAGCAAGCTGGGCCAGCATTTGATGGCGATGACACGATGCTCATTGACTCATGAGATTACGTATTGGGTGTACTACCTGCTTCGTGATTTGCGACCAAATGAAGCCCCGCCTGGTTTCACCAGCAGCTCCTGAGCACCCATCAGCCGGTCCCAACACCCCTACCATGCGAGGCCTCGCGTGCTACCACCGAAAATTATTCGGCGCCGGCCTACATAGTGCGGCCATATCAGAGGACATGGGCTGATTCCAACCGGACGACATCGGATGGATTCGCTGTCTCAAAACGTTCGGCATGGCGGGACATTGTTCGTCCCGCTGGCCAAGACGGCCCACCCCGTAACTACGAGCTGGGCTGGAGGATACCATTTGGCCATTTTATGTGGCCTTGATGATGATTTTTATATGCGATCATGACACCTTTCGAGCACGACTTGGCGATCTAGTTATCCTCAAGTTCCTCGGCTTGATGAAGCAACCGGATCTGTTTGCAATGACTCCGGTAGAGTATGGGGGAAGCGGGACAATATGGGGCAGGAATGAAAGTTTCTTTCCCACTCACACGTCCATAGTAGGAGAATATCTGAGAATACCGTGACCATATTGTATAGAATGGCAAGAGCTCGAAATTGGAACATCCCTTATTGTCATCCCCTGACTGTCCCAGCGTGCAAGGGTTGTGCGGGTAGGATGGTCCGAGCTCACCCTTTTTCAGCCTTTCGAGTAAAAGAGTGGGGATTTTTCTGATCCCTGACCTCTGCGCTCGCAGCCTCGTCTCGCAACAAACGCGACTTCTTCCAAGCAGCATCGCCAGCCACACCTCCGCCATTCCTTGGCCATCGAACCTAACCCCAATTCGAAAGCCCACGAGGTTTGGAAACTCGACAAAGCAACGAGATGGCGCCAATCGAAGATCCGCTGCTGCTGTTGCGGCAATCAATTGCTTCGGGTAGCAAGATCACGCCAACCGCATCCGCCGACTCGTCAGAAGAAGTACCGCTCTCCAAGGCAACCCACCTCGTATTCACCGACCCGGTCCGGGTCGCCGTGCCCATCGACGCGCCGACGCGATTCACATCAACCGAGGGCAAGGCCGTCGACGTGCGCTCCATCTACTTCGCCTGGCTGAACACCGACTATGCCATTCCGGAATACAATGCCGTGGCGACCAAGCTGAACGAGGAGATGGCTGGCTCCGCAGCCGTGCACATGTTTGCGTTTGTCGAGCGTCTTGTGTTGTTTACGTTCTTGGAAGGCGCGCAAGAGGAGAGCGAGTTTATCAAGCCTCTGCCCGGGGACAAGGATGCCGCAACAGGGGCCGGCGCTGCGGCGACGGGCGCGGCGTTGAAGGCTGCTCCGGCCACATCGGGTCGCGCAGGTCGAGGCACGATGGATCCGCGTCTGGCGCAAATCTACGACGGGGAGCGGCGCATGGGCGACCGGAATACCATCCTCAGGGGTATCAAGCCAACCGTGAGTGACTACAGTCCGATTCCTCAAATGTGCTCGTGCGATCCTAACCAATCGACACCACAGGATTTCTCCCATGTGCGCAAACTGGCCGCACCCTTCATGACGCGCAAACCAGGCGGGACCCCCGCAGCAACCGGTGTCGGCGCCAACCCGTCGCTCGCGCTCAACCAAAAACCGACGCGGCGGCCCGACCCCATCATCCTCCTCTCGCCGTCGGCGTCGGCGCTCCTGCGCATGTCCAACGCCAAATCGTTCCTCGAGGGCGGGCGCTACACGCCGCCGGACAGCAACTCGACGTCGACGATGCTGCACATCTCGCGGCTCATCAAGGACATCGACGCGACGCGGCCGATGCGCTTCATCCTGGTGGAGGGCCCGGAGCAGTTCAAGCCCGAGTACTGGAACCGCGTGGTGGCCGTGTTCACGACGGGCCAGGCCTGGCAGTTTAAGAACTACCGCTGGAGCAACCCGACGGAGCTGTTCAAGCACGTGCTCGGCGTCTACCTGGGCTGGCGCGGCGACGAGCCGCCCGAGACTGTGCGTGTCTTTGGCCACAAGGTCCTCTCGTGCTCGGTTGAGAAGTGGCGCGACCCGGGCCAGCCCGGCGCCGAGACCAGCCGCTGGCGGGACCGTGAGGTTGTGGAGGCCATTTGGAAGGGCATCGAGGCGAACATGCGCGCTAAGGGGTGGCGGAAGGATGCGGCGCCTAGTTCTATCTGAGGGGGGAGTCTCCGCGGGAGGGGTGTGGAGGCCGGTGAAAACTTAGATTGTATTATCTACTTCTACAAGGGCATTAGCTGGGCGTTCAGGCGGCGTTTTCGAAGGGTTTACATATAGGGGGATTCTGGAGTTGGGCCTGGCGGAGATGAGCAACTTGATATCCGGAACCGTGTTTCCTGTGAAATCTGTCCCTGCCGTCTGGCCGGCGCGGGTGTCGAGTCTCGGTCGTTGGCATTGAATACTGTGTGTACTCCCCAACCGGACAACGCCATTCAAGTCATGACTAGGAATAGCTCATTGCTGAGATGAGTGTCGCGTCGCGCGCACATTCTACCTCTATCCCACCAAACCCATCGGAAGCGCAATCCGCACCCGCCAACGCCAACGCCATGCCAATCATCAACCCCACGACGAAAGAAAGACCACCACCCCAAACTCCGCCCCTCTCCCAACCCCAAACCCAAACCACCTCGATCCGTATCCCCACCCCCCGCTCCTCAATCAGAACACAACACAATCCCCGCCACAAGCACCACCGCCGCAATCAAAAACCCCTTCGCCTCCTCCCGCGACCGCGACCGCGTCCGCCGCAACCTCCTCCCCCCACTACCCCCATACTCATACTCGTCATCATAACCATCCCGATACCCGCCACCATCCCGATAACCCTTTTCTTTCCCCCCACTGCGCCGCGGCCGCCGGTGCTCGCGGATCCGCCCGTCCGGGTAGACCGTGTACTCCTCGGGAGCGCTGTCATCATCATCGTCATCTGAGAAAGAGCCATGGCGGTGGCGGCGCTGCTGCTGCGGGGCGTGGGGGTAGGGGATGAGGGCTTTGCGGTTGTTGTGGCTACTACTATGGGTGGTTCTGCTGTTGGTTGTGGGGCCGCTCGTGGTGGTTGTTGTTGTTGTTGTCGCTGTCGAGCAGGAGCAGGTGGATGTGGCCGAGGTGGAGGCGGCGGGCGAGGGGGACCGGGCCCGGGGTCGCGGACGCGGCCGGTGGTGGCGATCCCGATCGCGGTCCCGATCGCGCGAGTCCCGGGGCACCCCGCGCGAGGTTCGGGGGGGTTGTTGCTCGTGTTGGTTCATGTTGCTGCTGCTGCTGCTGCTGCTGCTGTGGTGGGGTCGGCGGTGGTGGCGGGCCGGTCGGCGGTGGCCGTGGGAGAGGTCGGCCGAGTCGAGTGACTCCGGCATGGTTGGTTTTGTTTTGTTTGGTTTGGTTTCAAGGGATGGGGTTGGTTTGGTGATGCATGCGGATTGCTTGACTCGTGCGGGTGGTGTTTGGTGACTACCAACTAAAGCAGCAGGGTTTGGCGAGTTCGCGGGTTTGGTAACCCAGAACGAAAACCGCCATGGTGGCGAGACTGCCTTGTTGCCTACCACCAGTGGTCCATTTATTTTTCAAGCAGAGGAGCAATGAGGGAGCTTGGTGGCCGAGCCGCACGAGATGAAACCAACCAAACGATGAGGCCGTACCCGCCGCTGAGGGGCTGCTCTGGGGACTGCCGGCCTCGGCGCTGCCATTGGTTGGCCCGCGTCTTACACGAACGAACCAAGTAACCTTCTCGCAGCAAGTTGCGAGCAGTGCTCTTCCCAAGCTTAACTGAATTGTTGTTTTTGATCTCTGGGACAAAAACTGGTTACACACTACGATCCACACTTAATTCAGCTAAAGGCTCGGAGTATATACCTATAACCACCCCAGATGTTCCATCTCCTCCAGCCAGTGTGCCTCTTATGCCACTCACAATCATCTCGTTTCTTGCTGATTTGTCTCGATTCCTTTCCACCAATATCGGATTTAAAGACAAAGGTGGCCGTATCTGGTTGACGGAGTTAACAGAGAAGGAAAACAGCCGGCATCGTCTCAGCAGAGAGGACTTCGGAAGCGATAAATGACAGGTCACATCTTCCGCACGTACGCTCATTATGCATGGGCTGGTTTCTTCATATATCACATCCATACACACCCACGAACGTTCCAATAAACCGGCTACGGCCTATACTAGCTAATATGAGTCGGTGATTGACCCCTGAGAGCCTTGCTGCTGGCATGTGGCTTCTCGAGAGTGAGATCTTGCTTCCGAAGAACCCAACAAAGAAGTAGCTTGTTACATCGCATTTAACCCATCCAACCGCGGGAGATACCAGGTACGAAGCAGATGCAAGAAGAGGCGGCGGTTGTCTCGGTGGGCCCAGGGTGGTGAAAGATCGCGAGCCTTTGTTTGCTTCTTTTTTCGGGCCTCAAAGGACTTGCTTCAATGCCCACGCCTGACACTTCAAGGCCGCTGTTCTTTGTGTGTATGGATGACTTACCTTGCCCTCCTCGTACATATGCCCTACCTCTTGTAAACCCCTGGCCAAACCTACTAACCACCTTCCCCATATCTCGTCTGTCATCATCCCATCTTACTCCCTCACTACCCTGAAGTTATAGAACCGCACCATGGTTGTTGAAAAGCGCCCAAATACCGCGGACGAGGCCGACTTAAAGGTCTCGAAGCGCCTAAAGACCACTGAAGAGGCGGACATAACCGTCGGGAAGCGCCCGGAGATCAGGAACGAAGCGGACCTGACGATCTGGATGTGCATGGACACAGTCACAGGCGTTCAGCATACCCAATGGTATCATTTCACGCCAGAAAACGAAACCTATTATGGATATTCGGACAAGCGTAGGTTTGACATTACCTTCGACGAGTTCGTTGCCGGGCTCGAGCGTATCAGCGACGACGCCATCTTCCCCGAGGTCCCGACCGATACACAAATCACTATCGCGCCGAAGAGCCTGGATGCCGACACCGTTCACATTAAACGCTCGGGTCTAAGGCGGTACGAAAACGCCGAAAAGGGGAGCACGTGCGGCGCCAAAGACCAGCTGCTTGCCGAGGTCCTCGTCATGGAGAAGCTTTCCAAGACACCCCATCCGTACATAGTTGAGTATTACGGGTGTACGGTCCACCGCGGGCGCATCACGTCCATTGCGACGGAGAAACTCGGGCAGCCGTTAAGCGTTTACGCCTACGACGACCCGCACAGGTTCAACCAGATCGACAAGGCCGCCTTCCTCGCGGGAGTCGAGTCGGCCGTCAAGTTCCTGCACTCGCTCGGCCTCGCCCACAACGACATTAGCCCCCTCAACATCATGGTCCGGGAGCCGAGCAACGGCGTCGGCGCATGCACGCCCGTGCTCATCGACTTCGATTCGTGCGGGCCGTTCGGCACTCAGCCTCTGTCCCTCGGCAGTCCCGGGTTTTGTGACGAGGAGGATGAGGACTTCACCTCGCAGAAGAGACACGACGAGTTCGCCCTCAAGCGTCTGGCCGAGTGGTGGGATGAGGAACATGACCCGAAGAAGCTTCTCTGTTTTGGGTGCGGCGGGAAGAAGGACTAGATGGGGAGGCGAGGGAGGGCACCAGCCGGCCGCCTGTGCTTGGCTCTGCTTCTCCTTCTCTCCTCTTCAGACTGGCCGAATCGCCCTAGAGGGGCGTCCCCGAAGAGGGCAGATTACACACAGAACTGCGATGGGCCGACACGGCCACTTTGGGGATACATACAACAAAAAATGGAATATAAGAGCGGTGCAGTTGGGTTTTCTTAGGGCATTATAGACAGGCATGCGAGAGGATAGAATAAATTCGATTTGGAACTCTCCCACAGCTCGAGTCCGAGACTTTTCACTCCCTTAACATGCCGGCTGTGACTCGCGGCCAAGGACGGAACGAAAGAAGAGGCCTCGATGAAAACCAGAGCTTGCCCCTGAACTCGATGAGCCTCAACAAAACACCCGGGCTTTGGCGACCCACGAAGAGACGGCGTTCGCCGGCACCAGTGGAGCTTCTGATGTTCAGTGAAGAATATCATCTCCATCCCGTTGTCTTTACCAGGTTATGCCCTCAAATGAGATCACCCACCATGAAACAGCCGAGCCTTCTAGAAGGGTTCGCCGGTTATCCACGTCGCTCACCTTAATTTTGGACTCCAGCCTGAAAGCACGATCGGCCGCTTGGGGGTATCACGGGAGAAGAAAGGAAGAAGGACCGGCGGTGGGCCGTCTGGGCCGTCTCGTGGCCAAGTCACCAGGATGATGCTGGTCGCAATGGACTCGTCGCTTTTGAGATGTTGAACAAATCCCTGGCTAAACTAAAACCGAGATGACAGATGACGGATGGCAGATGACAGACGGGATAAAACCAGGTCTGTTTGTGACATTGCGCGTTTGGTGGGGTGAGGTGCTCCGCCGTTGTGTCCGAGATAGTGACGAACTGTTGAGCGGCTGATGGCGGCGTTTCGGCTTGGTGTTCCACCACTTTGGGTCCGAGCTGCGCAACTTTCCATTTCGGATGAACCGCATCGTCTCCGGGAAACTTGAGTGGCTGGCACGGCTGGTTGGCGCACTTGGCCATGTGTCTGGCCCTTTCAAGCATCCCCGCGTGGAACTGCATCTCGGAAGCACTGGGCGAGATCATGTATTGTTATATTTGTACGTACTGGTCAAATAAAAGAATAATCTGACCACAAATCGAATATATACGCAGTTCTTATGCTCTCTGTGCAAAGGATCGCTCACCTCGAAACAATTGGTGCATGATAAAAGAAGCCCACGTTGTTTTGGCCGTTCGGCCAGCAAGTCGTGATGGCACCATGGTTACCGGGACCAAGAAGGCGCCGTTTCATCCCATATCGGGCTCATTTATGCAAAGCAGGAACGAAAGCCCAAACACCCTCCTCTCACAATTTGTGCGCGCCTCCTCCCCGGTCCTTCCTTTCCGAGGGGGCTTTCGTGCGACACGCGGCAGGCGTTTACCACGTGGCCTTCCCCACCCCACACCCAAGCTTTTTTCCCGCCCTTTCGCTCTTTTTCCGTCAGAGGATGCAAGCTGGCTCACGTGGCGGCAATCCCGCCTTCCAAGGGGGGATGCATGCATGTACCGGTACAATACGACTTCCCAAAGCAGCCGAAACACTCTTTACCTTTCGGGCAGTAGCGCCAAAAAATAAAAAAGTGTTGAAGATCGCCTCGGCCCCTCCCCTTCGACCCGTTGCATCATCTCACACCTTTTTATTTTCCCTTCCCTTGCTGCCCACGAGGCACGCCCAGCAAACGCCCAGGGACGATATCCTCCGGCCCGCCTCCGGAGGGTCTTCACCGGTCCGGCTAATGCCGGCGCCGGGCGGCGCGGAAGCACGCGTGCGACTCCGAGCGTAGGGCAGCGGCAAGACCCGACGCTTTCTCTTGCTTTCTCTCTCTCCGGCGACCCCCCCCCCCGGTGGGTTTGGTCCGGTTATCTGGTTCCCGCGCCCTGCACGGCCCAAAGCTCCTCAGCCTCACCCCGATCGCCGTTATGTCTGAGCTGTGATGGGATCTGTGGGCGCGCGCTGCGTCGGAACGGGGGAAGATCGCCCTCTGCTCTGGAAGCCGTGGGCGGCAGGCGTGGGAGGCACGGCTGGGCCTTTTTGTTTGTCAGGGAGGAGCCTAGAACTGGCGGTAAAGTGCCCAGCATCAGGGTTTGGGGGGGAGGTGGGGGAGCTGCCTGCTGCTTTCGGGATGACGAAAGGTGCTGATGAGTAACGCTTGTGAATAACGATGGTGTTGCTTCCGTAACCTGCCTGCACAGGGTAATCGGTCGATCCTGCAGTTCTCTCGATGAAACGGTCGTGACGTGCATGTCGCATGCAGCAGCAATTGTCACCGCAATGTGGTACTCCATCGTGAAAAGAGAGCCATCGTTTCCCCTCACTCCTCCTTCATTATCGAGCGTCGTTATCATAAAACCTGCGTTTTCGTGTTTTAACTATGTGGTGTTGTGTCTGGCCAGATCCACAGTTCTTGCACCGATGCCCCTGTCACACAGCGTTCGCCAGTAACGTTAACCTATAATTTCTCGAACATGACGGCTGGGCTCCGCACCGCACCCGGTCTTCGGCTTTTGCCAGCCCGGCACTTCTGTTTTGGGCACATGCGCGCTGCGATCTTTTGATTCTCTTTTCCGGACGAAGTCGTCGGATCCGATGTCCAGCTGCCCCCCAAACTCCAACCCCCACACCGACACAGTGACTTGCTGCAGACGGCAGCAAAACGTCAAACGTCCAGTAACCCGGATCTGAGCAAAATATACTATAACAGATAGTCTCTCATTGGCCTGTGAATGAGGGCGAGAGGTGCCGGTGTTCCTACTTTACCCAACCATTTATCATTATTGTGGTATGCGCACTAATCAGCGTAGGCTCGTTTGGGATCGGGTTTCAATGCGTTTCTTCAATTTGAGATCCCGAATTTGCGGCCAACCTCCGTTCCCACTGCCCGCAACCCGCTGTTGAGAAATTCGAGTTTCGAGTTTCGACATCGTCTCGATCACACGCTGGCTTTTTTTTGTCACGGTGTGACGACGGAACCGCCCCGCTCCATGTTTCGGTGTGCAGGCCCACAAGACAAATCACTTTGTCCGCTTTCGTGATAACGACCCCACAGACTTGACCAGCGGATCCATCCCCACCACCAAGCGGGAAAGATATCATGGCAGCCAGATCCGACCATCGGACTCTGTGCAGGTACGGTTGCCCGCATGCAGAGAGGCATAAATATTCTGTCGCCCCTAAGACCGGCGGCTCACCCTGCTCCTCGCCTTCGCTTGCTGTTTCATATCTCAAATTCAGAGGGCCCTCTTCGTATCGATTAGTTAGTCAACACTGGTTGGCGGATTGCGTTTCGTCATTCGGAGTTCTGGCGCGGCAGGCGGTGAGGAGGAGGCGGTGGGCAAAACATGGCGGCGGACCAGGAACCCCGCCTCATAAGAGTCAAGCAGGCTCCAGAATCAGCAGCGCCATGAGCCATGATTTTGCGCCTGTGGGTCTCGCCTGCCGAAAGCATGACGAGAGGATTTTTTGAAGATTGGGACGCCAAGGACCCACTCCATTTTTCAGACAGAAACGCGAGCCCCTCACAGGCTGCAGGTCGTGGACGAGACAGCGTGGCTGCAGGGGCCCCCGCTCACAGCCGACGGGGCCCTCGTGGGAGAGATCCCTGGAGCCACGCGCAGATCTTGATGTGCGAGACTGCTGTTTGGCTGCAGCGCGAGTGCGCGTCGCGAACAACTGCCATCACGCCCGCCAAACCGTTCTCGCAAGCTCTTCCTCGCCAATCAGTGCCATGGGCCGCTCCACCACATGGCACCGCCTTGACCGCCTTTCTTTTTTCGCCCACTTGAGTCGAACCGCTTTCGGGAGCTCATTGCGACGCCGGCTTGATGCACCACGGGTTTCGCAGCCCACCGCCCATCGTCGGTTGTTCCGGGCGGCAATGGAACTCTGAGGTGCCGCGAGTTACCACCTCACCGCATCGGGCGGCTGCTTGGTCGCTCGCGCGGGTGCGTGCTGTGGTAAGAAAAAAAAATTGACGAGTGTCTCGCAAAGCTGCAGCTCGCTGCTTTGTCCCCCCATGCCTGTCGAGCTGCCGCGCCGTTTTATATTACCTTTGCATGGCGCTGACAGCCAGCCCTAACTCATCCCCCCTTGCTTTTGTCTGTCCAGGGGCAAGCGGAATGCCTTGCGCAGGGCTTGCAAGTGCTGACTGCGCGGAACGCCAGCCGCCATGTGTTGCCTATTGATTATCGCCGATAGGCAAGACAGCCGTGGGTTTAACTGCTTTGCTGTTAACTCCGGCTAAGCCTGCCATCCCGGAAGCAATCGCGAGGAGTGAAGAATCTCGCGCCTCGTCGAGGATGCTGGCATGATGAAATTGTTGACCGCCCACGTGTGGACTGCGAACCGCTCTATCCCTGTTTTCTTGTCGGAAAGGGGACCCTGATGATGGGGCCGTTTTGTATTTTCTCACATTTGATTTTCACACTCCGAAAGGGTCCACGGGACGGGAGGCGGAAGAATGAGCTTTGCGGCTTGGTAGGACCATCGTCCGCTCCACGGGCATGCGGAGGGGTTCCATGTGCGGCGGTCTGAGAATGGAGGGGCGGGGGAGCCTGGGCTCGCTTGGTTCCAGAACTCGGGAGGTGGTGTGGTTGTCACTTTCTTCATCACTTCTTCCAGGTTCGTTGTTTTGGGTTTGGTTCTGAGATCCGAGACACTGCCGCTCAGATAATTCCAAAAAACCCGAAGCCCTGGTACTGTCATATTCAATCTTGACAAAAACCGACTTTTGCTTTTTGTCAGTTTTCAACCGAACCGAATGGCTTGAGAAGGCGCGCAAACTTGAGCATCGCCAGACGGCAAGCGGCAGTGGGCAGTCCCCACCACGATCCACAGCCTGCCACTGACCCATTCAGAAGTGCTGAGGTACCTGTACCTGTACCATCCAGGGACCCCTGGCTCCCACACACCACGCAGCGGGACCCCTGGTCCTTCCCTGGCGTGCAGTTCATTGTCTCCCCCTCGCAGCCATCCGGGCCCGCTCCACGTTTTTTGCTCGCCCTCTGCCGGGCGTCCCTCTTTTATTTGAACCGAAACCTGCCCAGTCCCGGCGCTGCCCACCGCACAACCACCCCCCCCCCCCTCGCTCACATAATATTCCGCCAACTCCCCATATTTTTTTGTGTCGGTGTTAGATGGCCGCGACGTCTAAATCGTCTCGCTCATCGCCATTGCCTGAATCCCCAGCGAGCCCGGTCCCCGTTCGCGAGCGCATCGAAACCTCCCACCACCGATCTCCGTCGAGCCCGTCTTCTTCGGCTGCTTCTCGACCCGAACCCTCCTCCTCCGTCACCGGCTCCACCACCACAAATCGGCCGCATCACTCGAGCCATCAGTCCATCAGTTCGCAACGATCGAACGGGTTTCTCGCCTTTTTCGACCGGACCATCGCTGGTATCACCGAGCCTCGGGTTCGACCCCGCCAATCGCTCAGCCGCCTCTCGACTGGTCCCGACTCGTTTGGCAGTGGCCAGTCCAGCCCGGAGAGGGGACCTCGCAGCGCTCGCCCAACGTCCAACTACGCCATCCCGGTGGGGTTGATATCCGTTGACGGCAAGCGGCCGAGCAGCCCGACTCTCGTCCTCGGTGACCCCCCTTCTCAGCCTTATAGCGAGACGGATCCCTCGCTCCCCGAGCCGACCCACCTCCCCCGATTCGACAACAAGATGCACCAAACATCGTCGCGGTTACTCCGCATGACGGACGATGACCGTCCTTACACCAAAGTAAGTGTTCAAGAAGACCGAGCGGCCCGCCGCCGCGCACCCTCCCCCCCACGTGCCGCGGTTGGTTTTGTCGTCGCGGGCAACTTGGCGGCTGACCGGGAACCCGCGACCAGGATTTCAAAGACCTCTTTTCTACATTAATAGTCAGCCTTCTGCCGCTCTCGGCACATCGGGTGAGATTGACCAAGGTGGAACACACGTTCCTCTCCGAAGATGCCATCAACAACCTCGGCTCCCTCAAGTTCTCCCAGTCCAATCGGATGCCAGATCCGAAAGATCCATCGAGGATCGTGACCACCACCACGACCACGACCTTCTCGATGGCGAAGGATATGGCCCGCTCCATCTGCCAGCGGTTTCTGGAGGCGAGATTCATCGAATCAGCAGACGGGAGGTACCAGTCCGTGTACACGATGAAGGGCGTGGTCTGGCAGTTGACCCCCAAGGGCATCTCCATCCTGGACCGCTTTTGCTCTCGGAATGGCATCCAACAGAAGCAGGTCGCGGAGCTTATTGGCGCATCTCTACCGCAGCTGGTCAGCCTCGAGCGCGATGGGCAGTCGGATAAGCTGCTTACGGATCGCGGCACGGTTGAGGTCATCTTCCGGAGGTTTATCGGAGCCAATGGCTTCAACATCAAGTCGACCGTGAGCTCGGCCGACTCGGACTCGTTGAACGACTACAAGGACGGTCTCACCGGCGTTAAGATGGCCGCGGATCGCAAAGTAGGCGGCAAGACGTTCAAGGATACCTTCACCGGGAAGGCCGCATCTGATTGGTTGCTGGATTGCTCGACGACTGTCGACAAGAGGGAAACCTTCGAGATCGCCGCGCTCTTCGTGGAATATGATCTCATGGAAGCCGTGCAGCAAGATCGGTCTTACGTGCTCCAGCACCCGGCCCACAGCCTTTTTCAGCCGACCAAACACGCCATCTACCAGGTCACGGCCAAGGGCAAGGATCTCGCCAACGGCGCCGCCGCGAGAGGGCGAGCATCCGAGAGCGAGGGGCAATCGGCTACGCGGTCCGGCGGGATCGCCCGCGACTCCAACACGCAGCGCCTCGACAAGATCCTCAACGACCCCGCCCTGCGGCTGCTGTTCCGCGAGAACCTCCGCGAGACCCACTGCGAGGAGAACCTGTCCTTCTATCTGGACGTCGACGACTTCGTCCGGCAGTGCAGGCAAGCCATCCGCGTCGCGCAAAAGAGCCCCAACAACGCCGCGTCGCTGGACGGGATCAAGGAGATCATGGCCCAGGCGTACGGCATCTACAACGCCTTCCTGGCCCCCGGCTCGCCCTGCGAGTTGAACATCGACCATCAGCTGCGAAACAACCTCGCGACCCGCATGACGAAGGCGGTGGGGCAGGACGTCGCCATGATCGACACCCTCCACGAGGTCACCGCTCTGTTCGAGGACGCCCAGAACGCCGTCTTCAAGCTGATGGCTAGCGTAAGTACCGGCTCGCGGATTTGTCGGAGAAAGAAGGAACCAAACGGCTAACGCGCAAGACAGGATTCGGTCCCCAAGTTCCTGCGCAGCCCCAAGTACGAACAGACGCTCAAGAACTACGACTTCGACGCCATCCCCGGCAGCCACTCCCAGCCCCGCGTCCCCGAGCGCAGCCAGAGCAGGTCGAACCGGAATTGACTGGCCCGCATGCCCTCGCTCAGACGGCTGCGATCCTACCAGGAAGTGCGTGCTGCCCAGCAGCAGTCGAGGCGCCGCGCCGCGTCTTGACGGGCGCTTTCCGCCTTGATTTTGAGAAGGTTGCCGCCGCGTTTTATTTTCTTTGTTGCCTCTCGTGCTTGCTTGCATGAGGAAGCGCTTGCTGCTTGCCTCCCTGCGTTATATCCCCTTTTTTAGTTAATTTTCCGTTTTCTTTTGCTATCTTTTGTTACGTGTTCGTTGATATACCGGCGTTTACGGCGGGGGGGTTGGTGACGGCATAGATGGGAGAGCAGATCATTTGGCATACACCTGGTAAACATTTTTCCCAACTCTTTGTCATGCTGGTGGGCCGGGAGGCCCTTCACGCCATTGGGGGGAGGAGAGGCGTTTCTGCGAGGCGGGAAGGGAAACGGGGACGGAAGGCCCAAACAGGTTTGGAGCTGCTTCAAAAGCATGGATGGGGCGTTGGCTGCCGGCGTGTTGTACGGGAAGGTCGAACGAGGGTGAATCAAAATGAGCGCGCGCGTGGTTGATGTTGGCTTATGATGATCCCATGAGATCCGCATCCACACGAATGACGAAGACACACAATACCACCCGAATTGGATTTAGTTGGCGGGCGTCAACAACAGGCCGTGACGTATGGGGAATGTGATGACTCGACGTGCCTTGGAAGAGTGAGACGGGGCCTCGTTATCGGTGCGATGGTTGGAATGCGGTCTGCCGTCCACCCAACCAAGCATTCTTGGATGCTGTGGGTTGTTTGGGTAAGGGGGCCGCTCGCACATGGCATTCCGGCAGCGTTTCAGGATTGGATGGGCATGGGAATCTTGTTTACAGCTTATGAGAATACCTGAGAGTGGTTGATGAATATGGGCATAAAATGGGAGCGCCCCTGGGCTGCCATCCGGGAACTTGGACGAGTCCTCTTGGCCTTTTTCACTCCAACATTTCCTCCATCTGTTTTCTGCCTCGCCTGAAGCCATCAGTGTATTGTGTGTTCTCGTCCCTTCAAACCTGGCCTGCTTCTCCACGGCCCTGCCACAACAGCATCACACGGCAAACACACAAACAGCAGCTGCATCACGGTATAGTTTTCTTGACAATGCAGCTCGTCACCAACGCCCTCCTCCTCCTCGCGGCCTCCGTGACGGCTACGGCATTCACAAACCAGCATGACCACCAACAGCCTCACCTCTATCGCCATCTCGGCCGCGCCAACACCACTAGCGTGAACCCCAACCTCGGCGTATCTGACGTACGTTTGACCCTGTGCCGTGCCATGAATCTCTAGAATAGATAGGCTGATTGCCATAGCAGGACAAACCAGCCCACGCCGACTACGCAGGTTGCGACAGCGTGAACGCCGTGAATAATCCTAGCGTGAGTTCACCTCGCCCCCCTAGTCACGTCCCATACCGATCTACCTCCCTCATACTAGTAGTATACTGGCAATCCTCTCCCAATCATTCACTAAACCCACCCTCTCCCCCATCTCCCACCCCCACTCCATCCATCCCACACCTCTCCGCGCATCAACCCCCCCCCCCCCCCCCCCCCCCCCCCAACACCCACCAGCACCAGCACCAGCACCAGCACTCGCACTAGCACGAGTTAGCACCACCAAGCGCCCCCTAATAAGCAACACCCCCCTGCCACCACCCTAATACATACAAGTATATCCATCCATACATACACTAACTAACAACTCAACCCCAAAAACAGCCACCCCCACCCCCACCTCCGCACCCGCCGCTAGCGGTAGCCCCTGGGCCCGGGCCCGGGGTGCGCGTGCTGCCGACAGGGACGGGGACGGGCGTGGTGCCGACGGGCGTGGTGCCGACTGGCGGTGTGAAGCCGACTCCGTTTGTGTTTGTCTCGGGTGCGGTGGGGGGGTATGCGGCGGCTGCGGCGGCTGCGGCTGCTGCTGGGTGTTTGGGGGGTGTTGGGGTTGTTGTTGCGGTTTTGTTGTGAGGGTGTGTGTGTGTGTGTGTGTGTTTCTGGGTTGGGCTTGTTTTGGTACTTTCTTTGTTGTTTGTCGTTGTTTTAAGGTTGTTTTGGTTTTGGTGTGTTGGTCGGGTGTTATACTGGGGTGATACCGCGCGTCGAAGTGGAATTCGGGACTTCTTACTGTGAGCTGATAAAAAGGGATACACATCTCACGCTCGAGGACTAATTAACCGATGGAGTCACTTGGGATATGTCGTGTCGATGCATACTGCAACGTTCTTCACATCGACCAACTCCCGTCACTCAATGAACAATGAAACTGCCAAACGATGCCTTGAAACACCACAACTTTTAGTTATATAACCCGGGTATCGAACGCCGTTCTGCTCTACTAAAACAAAATTTCCATCCAGAAACAAAATACTCCATCACTCAACACCCGTCATAAAACATCTAAGACAGCTAGCCATCTCTCAATCCAAGTTCGCAACAAACGGCCCATTCAGCGTGGCCTTCTGGCCCGCCGTCCCCGGCACCGGCACCCTTTTGGGCGGCGGCGGCATGCTCACGCGCCTCACCCCCCCATCCGCAGCTACAGGGCTCGCCGCACTCTCCCCATCATACGGACTCAACTGCGGATAATCCGGATGCCCCGAGCTATACACACGCCCGTTGCCATGCCCGTACACAGGCCCAGACCCATACCCATTCCCAACTCCATACGCAGCGCCATACCCAGTCGCACACGCCGGCGGCTGCCCATAGCTCCGCGCACGAGCATGCTGGTACTGCGGCCGATGGTAGTAGTGGTGGTTACCGCCATTACCGACCCCAAGTCCAACCCCGACCCCCACCCCAACTCCAACTCCAACTCCAACCCCAGCCCCAACTCCAACCCCGACTCCGACTCCAGCCCCCACCCCACCCCCACCCGAACCCGCATCCGCACCAGCACCAGCACCAGCACCCTTCGCCACACCGACCCGTCCGCCGCCCAGAGCCTGCCACAGCGCATCCCCCGACAGCCCCGACTCAGCGCCGATGCTAGAAGCGGGCGAGTGCGCGGCCGACCCCGCCGGCGGCTGGGGCGGGCGGTACGGCTGGATGAAGAGGTGCGTCTGGGGCCGGGGGCGGGGGCGGGGACGGGATTGTTCCTGTGGTTGTTGTTGTTGCTGGCACGGGGCCGCCGCGGGTTTCAGCGGCCAGTTGTTGCTGCCGTCGTCGTCGTTGGGCGGGGCGAGCGGCCAGTTGGGTTTGGTGTTGCGCAGGAAGGGGGTTTCTGGCTCGAGGGTGGTGGTGCGCGCGGGGGTGGCGGGTTTGGCGTTGCGCAGGAAGGGGGTGTCGGGGTCGATGGTGCGCGAGGGGGTGGCGGGTTTGGCGTTGCGGAGGAAGGGGGTGTCGGGGTCGATGGTGCGCGAGGGGGTGGCGGGTTTGGCGTTGCGCAGGAAGGGGGTGTCGGGGTCGGAGTGGGTGGGCGGTTCGGAGAGGGTGATGGATATCGGTTCGAAGGTGAACTCGGGGATGGATGTGGGTGCCGGTGGCGGCGGTGGCGGCCGTGATGGTGGTGCTAGTGCCGCGGGTTGCTGCTTGGATTGCTCTGCGCAAAGTTCGCTTGCGGGAAGTTCGCCTGGTAGTTCGCCTGGCTGTTGGGGGTTGCCGCCGTGAGTTGGTGGTGGGCTCGAGGCGGACAGCGCGGGGCTTGTTCCGAGGGTGCTTGCTGGTGGTGACCACATTGGACTGCTCTGCACGCTATAGCAGGACACAGAAGATGCGGCGGAGGAGGGGCGGCTGGTCGGTACGCAGTCGGCTACATGGGGGTATTGGCTGCTGATGCTGCTGATGCTACTTGGCGCGGTGCTTCCCATGGTCGACATCATGCTCGGCTCGGGAGAAACCACGGCGCTTCTGCTGTCCCTACTGCTCCTGCGCCTGCTGGAGGTGCTCGCAATCTCGGCTTTGATCCTCAAACGGTCGACCAGAGCGGAGTGTGCCTTCTTGAGCGTCTTCTTCACAAAGCTCGTCATGATTACATTGCAGCGCATATCGACATCTTCACGGAGATATAGTCCCGTCGAAGGCGCCTTAAGACCTAGCTCGAGAGGTTGCGGGGGTTCCCCTGGGAGAGAACCGCCGACCGTCCATTTATCACGGATTGCTGGAAACTATTAATTGCCGCTCTCCGAGCTAGGGAGGATCGATGGAGGGATGGAACATACTCAGCCCTGCCGGTGCGTAGCAGTGTGTCTGGAGACCGGTTGGTAGATCATTGAAGGCGCATGTGTAAGTGACGTCGCCGCTCACCCCGGGGAAGTATGAGATCTTGTCGGTCAGAGAGTACCACTGGCAGTGGAGTTCGTCTGCTGGGGCGTGTGACGGAGGTGGAATAGGGTGGCGCTCTTTGACTAAGGGGTTCAAGTCGATCATCTCCTCGTAGTCATGGAGAAAGTCGAGGACGACTTGGCGGGTGACGACCGCCGGAAGGGGCGTCACGGTGGTGAATACAGTTCGCTTCGACATGGCTGGGTCTGTGTAAGTGAAGAATTGGGATTATGTGAGGCCAGACGAGCCTTCTGAGAAGGCAGAAGTGAGAGGGTAATAATCACAACACAAACAAACACAGCACGACCAAAACCAGTCTAGAAAAAAACAAGCGCAACCCTTCGTCCGAGGCCAAGGCTGTATGTATACACAACAATCCCATTGTTTTGCGCGGTCCCAGGAACACAGCAATGTCCAGCGGCTCGACCGCATGCGCCCGGGATGCTGCACCCCGGTTATTGTTAGGTGTGGCGCACTTCCTGCATTGTTCTTCCGTCGGGCTGCCGCGATGTGACCCGAGCACGTGGAAATGGCGTCAAGGAGGGCGGTCAAGGTGGGCGGTGCAACCGAAAATAGCACCCCTGACCACCGGATCCCGGTCTCCCGTCTCCCGCGTCGCGCATCAAGCACCACCGACCAACCCGAATGCGTCGGAATCCGGGGCAAAGAGACGTGTGATTGGGGGCCAGTCAAGATGACCGCATGCCCACTCACCCACTCACGCCGAAGCTTCGAAAGATCGCCTGGTCGTTCCACTTCATAAGCGCAGGCAGCCGCGCCGCAAAATTGGGAACCATAAAAGGACAGGGAGAAAGGACGAGGACTCGCATCCTACCGCCAGCTGGCCGTATCCTGTTGGTTCGTTCGTTTGTTGCCCCGGGCAAGTTGGATTCGGTCGCTGGGCCATCCATGCCCGACCGGGCCGATCAAATCTCCCTGCACCACCGCGACAAAACCGCATTCAGTTTCACCGCCGGCGGAATCTCTTCGAGCGCAACATCAACCTTCCACATCTTGGCGTCCAGCCCACCGAGACCGGCTGTTCCTCTGCCCCCCGCCGCCGCCGGAACGAGCAGGCCGAGTGCGACGAGGCGCTCCCACGCGATTCCTGCGGTGCCGCGGCCCCACACCCTTGCTCCGCCTCCGAGGGCTAGCATGCCCGAACTCGCCGTCTGAACTCGCTGCCTGCTCATGAGCGACGTGTACTCGTCGTAGGCCATGGCGAAGTTGACCGTGTCGGTGTGCGCCACAATATCTAACCGCGCCGCCGAAATGAGCATCGACAGATCCAGGTCGGAGAGGGATCCGAGGAGATGCAGCTTGGAGTCCGGCGGCTCTAGGGAGGGAACAAGTCCTCCGGCTGCAGGTACACGTAACGATGGCGCTGCGGGAGAGAGCGCTGCGAGCGGGAGGATGCATGTCGTCAGAAACGCAGACACCGATTTCGTGCCGAAAAAGTGTGATTCCAAATGATCTGTGAACCCCTGCGTTTTGTAGACGGACTGCGATGGGTCAGCAAACCGAGATGAGAGCGAGACGCTGAGTCGAGGGCCAGCTTACATCAATTTTCCCATTCCACCAAACCCAAAAGGCGTCGTGACCCTTCAATTTCGGATCAATGCCCTCTCGGGCCATGTCCTCGTCGTCAATGCTGAGTCCCTGCTTGCAGATATCCCAGTACACGGGGAGGCTTTTTGGCAGTGAAAGATAGACATATCGGTGACTGAACCGGCTCTTCACTCGCTTTTCGAGGCTTTCAACCACATCAATCCTCGTTGTCAGCCCTAGCACAGCGATCGGCGCCTTGCGGGCCTGCGCAATATCGAAGAGGTTATAGAGAAGGGTTTGCCGCGCGTGTGTCGCGAAGAGGTCGAACTCGTCAATGACGAAAACGATGGACCTGGACGTCATGCCGTCCTGCGTTTCTGCTATCTCAGACGGGTGCGACAAAAGCGCGAGAAGAGAAGCCATGGTGTCCGCATAGTTGGTGGTCTATTTGGATTAGCAAAATGGTCTAGGTTTTAACGCCAGGCGAATTACCTTGTTCACGAGCTCGTCCTCAACCTCCATCTCCTTGCCAAGCTGCCGCCATATTTCCCTCAGAGCCAGCTTGTCATCGGTATGGATAAATCCACTAAGCCGGACAACGTGAAATTGATTTTCATGCTGTCTCGACAGATCGGTGATGATGGATTCAACCAGCTGTGCCCGTGATTAGCTTAATAACTCTCACGAAAGTAAACCGCACAACTTACGGTAGTCTTGCCACACCCCCTCGCCCCGATCACCATCATGGAGTTGCCCTCGCCTGCTACAACAGTCTGTTCCACAAGCTGATAGGCCTTCTCATAAGCTTCACCCTGTCCGCGGAGCTTGATCCGGCGCTTGCCGACACAGCGGTCCAACAGCACCCGCTGTGCCGAGCGGAGGTGTTGGTCGAAGTTCGGAATGTCCGGACGCTGTTCCTCCCGTGCAACCACAGATGACATTCCATGGTTAACCCCACCCAGGTTAGCCGAGGTCGCGTCCTCCTGCGAGCAGTTGCGGCAGATCCAGTCACCCTCGGGAACTTCGGCAAGCCCATAGCACTGTTGATGTACGGGCATGTCGCAGTTGTCGCAGAATACGATCTCGTTGGGCGCTTTTGAGTCCGGCTTGGAGCAGATAGCGCAGACTTCGTCGTCCTCTTCCTCCGATTCGTCTCCTGAAGGCGCCTCCTCTCCGTCCTGCTGGCTGCCGACCTGCATTTCGTCCACGGCTTCTGCCGCCTCGCGGCGTTTCCTGGCAGACTTTGACGGCGATGCAGCAGCTAAGCTATCCAGAACGTCTTCACTGGGGCCGCTGTCAAAGGCCACGCTTTTGTGTAGCCGACGAACGCCGCTCTTGCGCCCCCGAGGCGTCAAGATACCTTTCGGTACCACAGGATCTTCTCTCAGCTTCCCCTTTGCCGTGGCTTTTGGTCGAGACTTCTCCCCATCGCCATCGGGGTCCTGTTCTCCTTCTTGGCGTGAATCAAGAGATGGGCTCTCACGACCCGCTGGCCGACGTGATCGTGGAGCTGGCTTTGTGCTGGCCGGAACTGCTACAACAGAAGGTCCCTCACTCTGCTCCTTGGCCTTGGCTTCACGATCCCGCTTACTGGGCCGGCCGCGTTTCTTCTTCTCGGGCTCCTCTCTCTTCGCGGCCGGAGCGGTTGCTGCGACGGTTGCCTTCGGGGACGATGCCACGGTAGTGGTGATGAGTTCATCCTCACCCGAGTCCGGAACATCGTAAACGCTGCTTTTTTGGCTGCTTTTTGAAGGCTGCGCTTTCTTTGGTTGAGACTTGCCCTTGGTCTGCCGGGCGGCCTGCTTTGGTTGTTTTGGCTGTTTTGGCTGCTCTGGAGGTGCGTCGACCGGCGAGTCCTTGGCGTGTGTGTTTCTCAGACTGCGGCCACGCCTTAAAGTCCCGTTGGCGGTTGATGCTGGTTTATTATCCTTTTGATCGTCATTAGGCTCATCAGCAGACGACTCTTCCGATGCCTTTGTTCGGCGTTTCTTTGCTGTTGATGAAGGGTCCTCTTCGTTCTGTTGCCTCGTCCGTTTCCTGGTCGCAGGGGCGCTTGTCCGGCCACCCATAGCTGATTGTTGGAAGTGAGCAAGATGGAATAGTTTTTGGTAATTGGGGTGGTAAAATGATGAATGGATGGATCAAGAGATAATTTTGCAGACTTCGACGATGAAGGCGCGTCTCACTGAAGAAGCGCGCCGTTGATTCACCGACCTCCAGGGGTTGGCATTGAAAAGTGGGACAATAAACAAGTTTAACCAATCAGCTCCCAGGAACCCTGCCTCAGACCTTCCCAGCGACTGCACCTCATCTCTCGTTCTTTCTTCCTCTCTCCCGTCACCTAAGATTCGAGTCCTCGACATGAGGCAAAGGGTGATAAATATTAAAATTCGCATTTAAGCTCATACATTGAGCTCTGACTTATAACTACATCATGAATTTCCGTGGTTAAAGGGAGTTATTGCACCCAACCGCTACCCATCTCCGAACCTCGAATCCTCGAATTCTCCGTATCGTGTCTTGAGTTAAGTTAATCGTATCATGATTTTTGACCGTCACAGCCTAGTTGCCTTGTCCTGTGCCTTGTCCACCAGCATTGCTTCACTCTCCGCCATGATGGTTCCTGCGTACCTATCTGTCAGCCATGTTGTTGGTAGACGTTGTAGCACCCGTTGAACTCACCCTCGCCATCCTCAACCGTACCCCGAACATAGATCTTGCGCCTTTCCCTCCGAATAACTCTTGACCTGACTATCACCGGCCCCGGCAACATGACAGGCTTCAAGAAGCTGGTGTGCATGGTCGCCGTAAATGCATAATCTGCTCACACCCCGTCGAGTTAACGTCCCCGCGAACCAAATAAATAGAAGGGAAGGGAAGGGAACCCACCACTCTGGTTATTTGCCGCGGCACCCATCGTCTCATCCAGCAGCACCATCAGCGCCCCGCCATGCAGCGTGCCCTTGTGGCCACACAGATCCTCACCCAGATCCAGGAGCGCATTGAACAGCAAGAACGGCCTCTCCGGATCCTCACCATCCTGCGCACCCCCACCCCGCAGCAGCGCCCTACTCTTCGGCACCATCCCCCCAGCAGCAGCAGCAGCAGCAGCACCAACCCCCACCCCAGACACCTTAGACACCCTTACCCCCGGCCCCGCCACCTGGGTCACCGATGACGGCAGCCGCACAAAAAAGGTCACGCACGCGCGCACCGTCGTCGCGCTGCTCAGGACGCAGCGCACAAACTGCTTGTCGCCCGACGCCAGCGGGCGCCGGTCCGAGACCACGATGCCGAACGCCGCGGGGTCGGTCAGCAGGCGCGCGGCCCACGGGATGGCGAGGAAGTGCGCGAGCGGGTCGGCGACGGCTTGGTTGTGGTGTTTTTGCGGGACGGGCGGGGGGAGTGGGTTTGGTGTGGGAGTGGTTGTGGTTGTGGTTGTGTTTGGGTTGGGGGTGGTGGTGGTGGTGGTGGTAGCGGTGTCCGGGTTGGGTTGGGTTTCGGGTTGGGCTTTGGGGCTTCGGGGGTTGTTTGGTGTGCTCATGGTGACTAATGATGCGCTTGGGATGTTCTTTCTTGGGTTACGGGTGTGTTGTTGATGAGTCGTGAACTGCTTGTGCTGAGTGCTTACGTTGAGGATGCCCGTTGTTGTCGAGAGATGTGGCGAGCGGACTGGGACGGTAGATGACACTCTCTGGTACGTAGATCGCCAGGCAGGACTGAGCTGGTTCTTCGGTCCTCGTTACATCTCGTAGTTGTTGCGTGCTTCCGCATTGGTTCGAAGGAGTAGGCGGCGCGCTTTCCCTAGAATGCCAACCTAGTTGAGAAATCGCGCTTTGTGTCGAGGTAGGCGGTTCCCTGGTTACCTACGGTCGAACCTGCCGGTTAGTGCTTTCCAAGGGCACTCCTCAGCTTCCGTAGGAGAGATATCAAGTACATCGCGCTAACAATGCCCCGTGGCTTCGTATCACAACGCGATGGCTGACGACCACCATGAGTCAAAATAAAGGATCTATTGTCTTGAATGATGCTAGAGCCAAGCGGCCTTCGATACACAACAACCGCCCAAACGCCGCTCATGTGCTTCGGAGAAATAAAGAAAGAAAAAAACCCTATATTCTAAATGCCAAACAACATCTTTAGCCGCTCGTACGTGTAGAAAGCCGCAGCTGCCATGGGTATCACTTTGGCATAGCCAATCGTCAACCCCACAAAGAAGCCCCGGAAGCCGCGCTCCCGCATGATCAGCCGGGCCGTCTCGCCGATGCGCATCCGGTGGCCGTCGCCGACGGCACCGCCGACCTGCATCCGCCTCCTGATCACCTCCAGCGGGTATGACGCCGTCTGCGACACCATTCCCGCAACGCCGCCCGCAAGCAGCTCGGCCCAGTAACGGAGCGGTGCAGGTTTGCCTGCCGGGTGGTTTGCCGGCTTGGGCAGTGTCGTGTACTGAGCGATCTCGGGGAGGCGGAGCAAGTCGCCCGCGGTATCGTGGGTGAGGAAGGACATGCCGGCGTACGGGAGCATGCCCAGGAGCGTCGGGGAGAAGCCACGGTAGAAGTTGACGAGCCCGGACTTTTGCGCTACTGCCGGCGCTACCGCTGCGACGGTGGCGGCCGCACCGCGAACCGTTGAGACAGACGCACCAGCCGAATCGACTGCGGGCGCTGCCGATTTCCGTAATTGCCCCTCGTGGTATATTTGTTTGCATATTGACCGCAGTGACGACCGGCCCTCCTTTTTTGTTTCGAACGCAAGCCGTACTCGGACGACTTCTAGGGGGTAGGTGAAGAAAACCGATGTCACCCCCGCCATGGCACCACTGATAAGCCGTCGGAATGGCGTCTCATTGTCCTTTCGGGGGATGACAACGGCGCGGATCTGCTCGTACGCGACGAACTTGATCGCCGCATAGGGAAATATCCTCAACAAGGTAGCCGAGTGTCCTCTGAATAACCCCACCGGTCCATCTTGGAGATAAATCTCCTTCATCGCCCCCCCAACGCCATACCACGACCCCGTGTATTTTACAAAGTGTGGATTGTGGGACTGGAACAGAATCTTGACTCGGTCGAGCGGCGCGACAATCGTTTTGGCCTACACGCATATTAGCAGCTCGAACGGAGCAAATGCGCCCAACAAGCGAAACCACCTACCGCGCATCCCGCCATGCCTCCTGCAACACCGGACTTCCAGACATAGTCGAAGCTTCGCTTATCCTTGGCCGTTTTGCGCGGGACTTGCGCCTCGTCGTCTGTTGGACAGACGGCGGGCTCCTTCCCCGAGGCTACCGGTGTCCGGGGTACACCAGCGGCATCTTTCGGTCGGTGTGAGGGCAGAACCCCCGGCATGGAGGCATGAGCACTCATAAGTGCCGGGGGAATTCCCTCTCCGGGAGGTGTGCGATCCGTCGTGGGGAGTGAGGGACGTTCTGGCGAGTCGAAACGGTTGGACCGGCACGCTATGGGCGCATCACGCAGGGATGAAGTCGATTTGTCGATCTTGTCGATATCGGGAAACAAAACTCAAGAGTTGAATGCGCGGTTCAGATCGTTGTCGTCTTGAGATGCGTAAAAACCGCTGGCGCAAGTTGCGAAAGGGATGGAGATAAGAGAGCCAAAATTCCGGAAACGCAACCCCGAAACGTCATTTCTGGCCGCTCGAAAGCGAGCTTTTAGCGGTCGCCCGGTCCCCGCCTCCACAAGCCGAGGATTACCGATTGTCCGGCTGGCTCCTGCAGGCCCGGAGTGCCGAGTGTGACTGCGAACAAGTCGCCCTCACAGTTTCGTCGCACTTGGGTGTATTATTTGTGATTATTTGTGATTATTTTTGTGTCGATGACAGCTCTTTCTGCCGCTTCTCACGTCCCCCCCATCCTCATTTACAGCGAAGACTTTTTTGTACATTTATTTTTCCTTTTCTCTTTTCCACGTCAGTACCAATCGCAAAGAAGGGATCTTTGTGGACGAGAGCCAAGCTTTCGGCTCGAGTAAAAAGAGCGGCCAACCAAGGCTCACGCGACTCTCCGGGACCCATATTTTCTCCCGTCAGCCAGGGCCCCTGACATGCTTGTTCCTGTTCCTGTCCCCAGATTCCGTGCCATTCCATCCATCTGCACCGGGCGGGTCGTTCCAGGTCGAAACAGCCCGACCCGACTCAACCCAGAGTGCCGCCGATCAGATGGCTCCATCCAGTATCCTCTGGCAAAACGACCGCAAAACGGTGGTCCTACTCGACCTCCCACGGTCAATTGAGGAAGCTCAAGTCCCTTCGAGTCAGCTGACTGCCGGTAATGGTGAAGCCCCAATCAAGCTGCGCAGGCTAGTCTCGGCATTGCCCCCGGCATGCCCTTTCCCGACCCCGGAGCCCCGGAAGGCGGGCGGATCCGAACCGCCGACCGCGTCGCCCTCAGCGCAAGTGGCTGAGCTGATGACCCAAGCGGCGGTGGAATCCGCCCTGGAAGAGATCAAGGCGTCGTCATATGACGGACCCTGGTGCCTCCCACGCATCTTGACAAACCCAACCCAGCCCCAGAAGCCGCCCCCAACAAGCTCACGTGCCACTCCCCCGGCAGCAGCAGCAGCAGCAACAGACAACAACCCCCCTCACAACAACAACCACCATCCCTCCCCATCAAACCCTCCCCTCCCCTCCCCCTTAGACTACCACCTCCCCCCCAACGCGCACCCCATCCCCGCCACCATCCCCCCAACATCCCCCACCACACAGCAACCCTGCCCCCTCACAACCGCCACCCCCCCGCACTTCTTCCACCTCCTCCTCCTCGACCCGCCCTGGCCGAACCGCTCCGCCAAGCGCAAGCGCACCGGCGCGGGGGCCTACACGCCGGCACCCAACACAACCGCCATCCGCACTCTCCTCAACAACATCCCCGTGGCGACGCGCCTGGCGCCGGGCGGGCTGGTGGGCGTGTGGGTGACCAACGCCGGGCGGTTCGCGTCGCTGCTGACGGGGCCGAGGGGGGTGATGGAGGCGGGGTGGGGGGTGGATGTGGTCGGGGAGTGGACGTGGTTGAAGGTGACGAGTAAAGGGGAGATGGTGGTGGGGGTGGATTCGGTGTGGAGGCGGCCGTGGGAGAGGTTGGTTATTGGGAGGAGGAGGGGTGGGGATGGGAGTGGGAATGGGGGTGGGAATGGGGGTGGGAATGTGGGTGGAATGGGGAGTGGGATGGGGAGTGGGAGTGGTGCGGTGGCGGGGAAGGTGATTGTTGCGGTGCCGGATGTGCATTCGCGGAAGCCGAATCTGAGAGGGCTTTTCGAGGAACTGTTGCCGGAGCGGTATGAGGCGCTGGAGGTGTTTGCGAGGAATCTGACGGCGGGCTGGTGGGCTTGGGGGGACGAGGTTCTCTTATTTCAGAAAAGGGAGTGTTGGGTTGAGGCAGGGGAGGGGGAGGGGGGTGGTGAAGAGAGTGATGGTGAGGGTGAGGGCGTGGCAGACGGCGAGGGTGCTGGGACGTGATCATAATTGTACATACATTGTAAGCTACCTTACGTCGTGTGGTATATTACATGCCACCGCCGGCTCGTTTTCCACGCCGCGGTCTATCGTGACAGCACCGAGCCGCAAGTCCCCGTCTCCTTCTACTCCCCAATTCCTCAATTCTGATTTCATACCTTGACGTCGGTCTCTACCTCGGTCCACTCATCATCGTTGTTCTTTTCGTTGCTCCATTCCCCGCGCTTCGCCATATCGGCCGCCGACTCCTTCAACTTCACCCGATATTCGGGCAACGGGGACCTCGACAGCAAGGGGACCTTCGTTGGGTCTATTCGCTTTTTCGTCTCGGATCCCCTCTGATCGCTTATCTTCTTGTACGTAGCGTAGTCGAACGCGTCCAGGTCCGACTTGGCGGGCGGCTCCGGCCAAACGAACGGCTTTAGGAGCTCGACGATCATCATTTTTTGTGGGCGCGGTAGGTAAATCCTGCCGTGGTGTGCGAACTTTCGCTTCGGGAACTGCCGGTTGATGAAGGAGCGTACTGAGGTCACCTGGACATTGTAGCCGTGGTAGAGGTAGTCGCGGAGGTCGAACTTGTTGAATTTTAGCGGCACGACGAAGGTCGCCAGATTTGGCGGCTGCTTGTCCTTGGGGCGGATGAAGGCAACGACATGGTTCGGTCTATATTTGAGAGTTGGAATCAGTATACGACAGCACATGGTTGAACCAAGAGACTCCTCCCGTACAAGAAAACCTGCTTATTGCCGAATTTTCGAGGGAGCTGCTTGGTAGCCGCCTCAGCGGCCGCTGCTATCGGGGTCGTCATGATTATAATCTGCGGGTGCCGTTGGGAAATACGGGATGTCGGCGCCGGGCGAGCGTCATAAAGCTGTATCTTCGGCGCCGTCACGATTTGGCAGCCAAGACGCAGTCGAGATATTTTCAGCGGTCGGCCAGGTCTATCGGGCCGTTGCAGGTGGCAGCGCTGGCAAGGGAGCGCCAAGAATGCGGGTCCCGCTCTGTAGTTTGGCCCCTGCTCTACTGTGGAGATTCGTTTGGAGTTTCATCGTCGACCACTCGCGCTTTTACACCACTGGGTAGAATGTCACATGAGCAGAATTCCCAATGACAGGCACCTCAAGTTATGACCGTTGACCGTCAATGTTCCTGATTTCTAACCGAATCGCTGCCAATTTCAACCGCTACACGACACCTTGTCGCGAGCTTAACGCCACGCTAAAATTTACACATCAAGACCGTCCACAACGACGCCCTTGGTCCAGGTCAGCTGCATGACACGGGCGACCTCGTTCGCGGAATCCTCCGACACCAGGATGCTAGCCAGATACAGAGTCGCATCCATTCCGGCCGCCACGCCGCCGCTCGTGATGACACGGAGGCCACCTAGGCGCATCGCGGCGCGGCGGGCAATCGACTCCCTACGCGACGCGCCCTTGAATGACATCGAGCCCTTCCTGGAGTAAGCGTTAGCTAGTTGCACGTGCGAGGGTTCGACTTCTCGTGGACACGTACCGAGCGTTAGACGGACGCCTACCACTGTCCGACTTGCGCCGGATGTAAGGGTTCTCATCCTCGTCTCCGAGCTCGAAGCGCAGGTTGTTCACGACATAGCGGGCCTCCTCCATGACGTCAGTATGCTCGCCTAGGAGGCGGACAACTGCATGGCTGCACAAGTTCTCAAACTTGGTGATCTCGTCCGGGTGAGTGGTGGCACCGAGGCCAGAGAGGATGCCCTGATAAGCCAGGAAATGGGATCCCGTGCAGATGGAAAGCAGTGTGCGCTCGCGGCTCGGGTCATTTTTCTGGAGCTCCGCATAAGCAGCGATGAGGTCGAGGGGCTCAGCCTTCTCCTTTATAACCTCGTCCGTGTTGCCGCCGATAACGACGAGGACATCGAAGTCGTTGAGGCGCTCGTGAGCTTCCTTCCAGGTGGCCTGGGAGCCAATGATGACGCCCTGCTGGGAGAGCACCTGGGGCTCGCCGGCAGCAATGGTGACTTCGAAGGCCTTGGAGGCTGTTGGGCAAAGACGTGTCAGTACACAGCAAGCATCTCGGGGCTCAATGCCTTAAAGGTAGGGGCTCTGTGGTCTCAGTGCCGAGCTTGGCCGGAACAGAGGGGCAGGTGCGGGGTTGGCAACAAAGACGCGTGCGTTGTGGTCACTCACTAGGATCCTTCGAATCGTGCAGGCAGGAAGTCAGGACTTCGACGGGCCCTGCAAAGTCCATGAGGTTGAACTTGGGATGCAGGGCAAAGAGCACCTCAATTGGCTCATCTGCCACTGCGGACGTCTTACTAGCCATCTTTGGCAACCTGTATTGTGATTTCGAGGGGGACGGTGGTCTGGTGACGTCTTGTCCTCGAGATGATGCGAGGTGTAAGTGAAGTGCAAATTGGTCTTTACTGTGTTGGTTCAGTAGAAAAACGGACTGAAGTTGTTTGAATGTAGACAAAAAGAACCGAGCTTGGGATAGGTACGATGGAAGAGTGAGAAATTGGGAATGTGTGCCCAACGTTTCTCGAAGGGATACAAGCCGTTTTGTGTCTCGAACGCTCACTGGAGGAGGGGGGCACCTCGATCAGGTCGGTCACGAGAGAGCTGTCAAGGAAGCCCCGCCAAAGAGGGGCAGCCATCGAGCCATCGAGCCATCCCGGATATGGCGCCCAGAACTTGCCCTCTCGGACCATGCATCAGACGATCCCGGGCCCACCTCATATCTGGGGTTGACCCCACCTACTTTCCTAGTGCGGGGTTTTTGGGCATTGACCATGCAAACTGGGCTGAAGCTGGGTCACATGGTGGGGCAGATTGATTTAGCGTGGTCAGGACCGGCAGGAATCCAAACAGGGCAGTGGAGTTTGACATTTGCTTTCTTGTTGCTTGCGTGCTTGCTTTGCCTGCCCCTGATGAAGAAATCGAACGTGTCGAGACAACTTGAACATACAGCTACGAGTCCAAGATCTTGACCGAATGTTACACGCCGCCCGGGCGTAAAGAGGGACCGGTGTCCCGTAACTATTCCAAACCGCTCTCAAGTTCTGACCGTCAATCGCCAATTCAACGGAACACGAAGCTCCTCGAGCGCAGTCCCCCGCCCTCCTGCCAGGTATATCCAATGATACGCGCTCCGTGCCGATCAGGATGACTTCATCCGGGTGAGTCGCCCCGCCAGAACGCCCCTTTGGACGAGCCGCCTGCTTTTCAAATGCAACTTTGCTTCTGCTTTCGTGGCCCTCCTGACCGCTTATCATGCACATAGGTCTTCAAAGGACCTTGCCAAAGCCCTCAATGGCTTCTTTCAAGCACCGACGCTGCCCCTCCCCGCCGAGATAAACGGTATCATTGCCAGCTACCTCGAGAAGCACGAAAAGCCCGACGAAGGATCCGGCGAGCGGTTGGGCGACGAGTTGTTGGCTATCTGGGAGAAGGCGGTGCAGGACCATCCTGAAAAATACGTCGCTTTCCTCACAATCCTACGGCAGCTCCGCTCAGGTCTCGGGACACCGGCGAGGGTTTTTAAATGGTGGGACAAACTGCTTGACCCAGTCCTGGACCATGTCGGACGGGAGAAGGGCTTAGCGAGAGAGGCTATGGACCACACGCTCGACCTCCTCTCGACGGATGATTACGATGACCCGGCTACCTGGAGCGAGGAAGGTTTGGCACCGCTCGTCCACCGGCTCCTCACGAGGTGGATGGAGGCGCGCGAGTCGCAGTCGGGCGTTCGTCAGTCGAACGATCTCAAGGAGCAGATGATCAACGATGCCCTGATGGCGTTCGGCAAGAGAGACCCAAAGGGCTTCATGACGGCCCTGAACGCCTTCGTGGTCAGGAGAGAGCATAGGAACTCGGCCCTGAGTCTTCTCTGCGCCTTCGTCTCGAGCGGCCCGCCGCATCTGCACCTCATCCTGCAAACCCCCCTCTTCGGGAACATCCTGCATTCCCTTCAGAAAGATGAATCCACCGCGACGGTTAATCTAGCTCTCGTGGCTTTGGTCATGATCCTACCCTTCATACCCAGCTCTCTCGTTCCATTCCTTCCTACCCTGTTCAATATCTACGCCCGGTTGCTGTTTTGGGACCGAGGCTCGTACTTCGCCCAGAAACACACAGAAATGGGGGCGGAAAACCGCGAGGCCGGCAGTGGAATGCCTTGGGACACTTCCCTACTGGACCCCGACTACGACGGCCACTCCCTTTCCTACCTACCGGAATATTTTACCCTCTTATACGGCCTGTACCCCATCAACTTCCTCGATTACGTGCGGAAGCCCCAGAGGTACCTGAGGCATGCGAACAATGCCGACGATATTGACGTCCAGGCCACGGAGATCAGAGACCGGTCGGATCGGTTCAGAAAGCAGCATCTACTGCATCCAAACTTTTACAACCTCACTATCGAATCCGAGAAGACGGACCTCAGTCGGTGGGTCGAGAGCGAGGCCGATGGAGTCCTCGCAGATTGTCTAGCCCTAGTCATAGACCAGACACCTACCAATGCGCACGTTCGCCCGGCCACACCGCTCCCGAGCGGGCCTGGCTCCGCCATGGGCGACGGTCTCGAACAAGAAGGGTTCGACTCTGCTCTTCTGACCAACCCGGCCCGTACCGATCCCTCACACCCAGCATTGTCGATAAGCTCCATGTCTATCCGTCGGGCTAATACCCCATCGCTTCGCCGGGGCTCGCAGTCGAGCCAACCATCAATATACGACTTCTACGAGGCGCAGGCCCGTGGACGAGACGATGACAGCCCGACACTGCCATCAGGCCTTGCTCAGTCGACGTCGTATGGCCACGCACAAGACACAAGTCGCTCCAGTGATTTCGTGAGAACAGGGCTCCACCAGTCGCTTCCCAACGACAGCGTACCATCTATAGCACTCAACCCCCAAGAGCAAGGCGGTGAAAAGAGCCCGCTGCAGCAACCGGCTGCGCACGGGTCGGGCCGCAAGGGGTCCAGCCTGGAGGTAGACGACCAAATAGCTCTGTTGCAGCACCACAGGCTTCGCTTGATCAACGATCTTCAGTACGAGAGGTTTATAAAGGAGCAGCACATGATACACATGGGGGGGCTACGCCGGCGGCAAATCGAGGTGTCGGCCACAGAAGCCGAAACGCAGAACCTGGTGATGGCAAACCGCAGTCTGAAACAGCGGCTGGACGAAGCCAAGAGGGGCGAAGCGCAGGTTAGGAAAGAGTTCGATCACCGGCGAAACATGACCAAGAAGTGGGAGAGCGACCTGTCAAACAAACTGCGCGGCCTACGCGACGAACAAAAGAAGTGGAACGTGGAGGGTAACGACCTGGGCCAGCAGCTGAAGAAAGCGCAAGCGGAATGCGAAAATCTGCGCCGGCTCGTCGAGGAAGCAGAGCACAAGAGGCTGCAGTCGGAACAAAACCTCGAAGCGGTTGATATCAGCACAGCCATGGTCGATAAGCTCAAGAGTGAGATCACGCGACTCTCGGCCTCGGAGCGGGAGCTACAGGGTAAGGAGACGAAAATGGAAATCGCAATGCAAGAGGCGGCTATCGCGGAGGCTAGGGCGCAACAGGTAGAGCAGGAGACCGCCGCCTTGAAGCAACAGCTCCGCGAGGTAGATGGCCATTACCAGGCGCAAATCAATGATCTGAAAGCGCAGCTGGCCAAGGCGCACCAGGAAAGCACGAAGAAGCCGTCGAGCGACGCGGCCGCGGCGTTCCAGAGCGCCCTCTCGTCAGCCCGAGCGAAGAACACGGCACTACAACGGCAATACGATGTCCTCACGAAGAAATACACGACCCTCGAGTCGACATTGTTGGATATGCGGTGCAACGCCGAGCAGAGGGCGGGGAGGCCCGAACGAGGCGCATTACCCGACGGCGACAGCGAGTCGTCGCTGATGGGGAAAAGCCCGCTAGGGATCCGAAGCCGGCAGCGGGGCTCCTCGGACCCGGAAGCCGCCGAGCGGTCGCCCCAGAGCACGGTGTCGCCGCCGGTCGAATCGGCATCATCAACGCCTCTCGGGTCGGGATCGCATGGCCCGCTGAGCCCGCTAGCAGCACAACAGGCCCAGCCTGCGACAAGCCCGCAGGCCGATAGAAGTTTCCCTCGAGGTTAGTTAGTCGGATTTTTTTCTTGGAAGAAGACTTGGAGAGAGGCAGCTGCTGACGGCGTCGTAAGGGGGAGCGCAAAACGCGGCACGGAAAGAGCGCAAGGATAAAAAAGAAGACAAGGGGGACAAAAAGGATAAGAAGCCGATGACTATGAGGGCGATCCGGGGGTTTGTGTGATTTGAGCAAGCGCATACCGCGGGATGGCGTTGGTGTTTAGATGATGTGATGGATTATGGTGATGAAATACATGAGAATCTGGGTATATTATTGCTGCCCTCTGCCCGTCGATATTCATCCATTCTTGGGATTGTGTGTTGTATGTATAGGTAGGTAGGTAATCTGTAGGTAGGTAGGGAGTGAGATCTGTGTTCGCCCTCCGTGAGACTCTTGGCAACCGCCGACAGGGGTTCAAGCTCGATCCAATCCCGTGCCAAGCCCTCCAGAATCCTCGTTGTGTTTATTCTGAGTGGAGCGCCTCCCCAGCCTCCCCCTCGATGTCGTGCCGCGCGCAGGTCGGCACACATTGGGTTGCGCTTGCTGCTGAGGATTGTTCCTTGAAACCAACCGACCAGAGGCACGGCTCATCGCTCAGTTTCCGAATTTGCAGCTTGGCCGCATGCGCGAACCTTGAGCCACTCTTTTAACCAATTATTTGTGCTCCCGCGATATCCATCAGGAATTATCTGGAACCGCCATTGGCCCATTGCCCGCCGTCGCAACAGGTACTTTTGTGGTGCGCTCGCAACGGCCGTCTCTGCTGTTGCCTGCTTAGAGTTCCGGCGCATTTGAGAACCAACCGGGAGCGCATTGCTGCTTTTTATCAAGAACCTATCCCTTTTTTTGACGGCCGCGACGAAGGCCATCTCATCTAAGACGTCCATACACCCGATCGTCTAGACGCCGCCGTCGCACAAAACCCCTCCTCGAGACCTGTTAGCGCGGCCACTCACTCACTCACCTCACTCGTTCGCTCGGCCCTCTTTGCGACCCAAATCACGACCACTCTGTGGAAGACGCGCATCATCGTCAACGCGCGCAGCAGTCGCCCGCTCCGAATCCCAAATCCAAAATACCACAGCAACCCACCTAACTCACCGACCTCACCAACTCACCTGCGACTCAGCCAACCCCCCCAAAACCGGCGCCATGCCGCCCGCCACCCGAAACCAACCGCGCGCGCCCGCGCCCGCGTCCGCACCGGCGATGGACCCCAACCACGTCGCGCACGTCCTCGTAATCCCGCGGCAGCAGCAACAAGACCCGCCGCCGCCGCCCACCCACACGACCACCATCCCGGCCTACTACGGCTCCCTCACGGGCGGGCCCGACCCGGGCGCGGTCGCGGGCATCACGATCGGCGCCGTCGCGGGCTTCGTGCTGCTGCTCTGGCTGGTGTACACGTGCGTCAACATGCGCAACCCGGGCGCGGCCGGCGGGGACGGCACGTCCACGGTGGTCACCGAGGGGTCCGGGTCCGTCTACACGCGCCGCCGCCAGCAGCAGCGCAGCCGCAGCCGGCGCAGGCACTCGCACTCGCGGCATCATAATAAGGAGACGGTGGAGGTGCGGCGCGGGAGTGCCACGGTGCGTGGTGGACCCGTGGTGGTCGAGGAGGTGGTGGCGGCGTCGTCGATGGCGCCGAGCGAGTTTGATCGCGTGGTGGTGCAGGAGGAGAGAAGGAGGCGGAGTGTCAGCCGCGCGCGCATGGCGCACCCGCCGAGGAGGGTGGTCTCGAGTAGTGGGGAGTCGGATGACGATGATGATGACGAGGATGAGGTGGTGGTGATTGAGGAGCATAGCCCGTCGCGGCGGCGCAGGAGCAGGGTGCGGAGTGTGGAGAGACGGTCGAGCGGGTTTCGCGAGGTTGATCCGGACCGGTTTGGTGGTGGCGATGCCTCGTTTGTGGAGGTGCGCCGGCAGGGGAGTCGGAGGTGATGCGGGTTAGTTGTGGTTTGTTGGGAGGGGGAGCTTGCCTGGGTAGGTGTGGTTGATTTTGGATGGGTTGAGGTCTTGGGGAAGTCAGTGTTATGAATACGGGTTGCGGGAGGTTTGGGTGTCTTTTTCTCGGCGCTGGGATGTAAATGATGGACGAGGTGGGTACGGTACGGTACTGTGGATGGGTGGCAGGAATTGTGTGTTAATAGATAAACGAATGGTTTGGATGAATCGGTTGTTCTTTCTGAAAGATATAGGGAATTACGATACATTGCGATACATATCCTCTTTACACTTCTAATCGAGCTGCGATTTTAACTGTTACCAACGTCCATTTTTTATCCACTTTACACCCATCATTTTTTTCCTACCCGCTACCTAGGCACGCTAGGTAATTCGAATATCACCCGCGTCGAATCCCTTCCTTGCTTCACTCATATGCGCCAAGCTTGCCCAATGTAAGGGACGACTTGGGTGCTGTGGTAGTGCTGGGTTGGGGGCTATCACATGCTGTGGGGTTGCGTGCCTTTAGCCTGCCTTCCTTAAAATGCATCAATGACATCACCAGCTGGCAGATAGGGGAGGAGGGACAGGCACATAAAACAAATATTCGTACCACCCTCCCATCCGCTCTTGCCCTCCCACGTTCAAGAGGTCAGGTAAAACCAATTGAGCTGACAATAGAAAATAAACGCCGTCGTTTGTTTCTACTTTGACAATTCCCATTCCATCTCCATTGACCACCAAGACCAAGCAAGCACCTCCCAATCAAGTCGATCGAATCCATCGCCCAACCACAATGGAGAACCCAGGTACGTGTAGAACAAATAAACACTCCCAATTCCTCTCAACCCGAAGACATGTGACGATGGGCTAACCACCTTTGACACCAACTCTGCAGCACAGGACATCAAACACGTCCTTCGCACCCTGACCCAGGGGAGCCCGGACGCCCAACACGACGTCATCTATCGCTACTTCGCTCCCGGTGCCGTTTTCGAGCACCCATTCTGCTGGGTCCCGTCCTTCAAGAACGTGAATGTGCCACGTGTCGGCAAGATCGACTCCCGTGTACTTATCGCTGCCATTTACAGGTGGTGTACGTACCCAGCCATGTTGACGAGAACAGCAAGAAAACACTGGTTAACCCGTTCGACTAGACAAAATACTGAGTCCCAAGATTGAGTTTGAACTCGAATCATGCGGTATGTTGTTCCGCCGTCATCCAACCCCAAATCAATCCACTAACCACTCTCCCTTCCACAGTCTACGATGAGCGCTGCAGCCTCCTCTACCTCACCATCTTCCAGGTCTTCTCCCTCTGGTTCATCCCCTTCCACCGCGCCCCGGTCCGCCTGGTCACAGTCCTGCACCTAACCCCCGCCCCCACGACCGGAGACGGCACCCCGCCTCCCCCATACGATGCCGCTCAGGAAAAGCGTCAAGCCGTCCTGGAAGGCACCGAGCCGAGCTACGCAGCCGTTATTTCCGGCGGAGCCTCTGCCACGCCAGCCCACCAGCCGCCGCAGCAGCAAAAGAAGGGAGAAGACAACACATCCCCGCCGGGCTCCAGCGCGGGCGGCAAGCCCAGCGCTTCCCGCCCTAGCTCCAGCTCCGGTTCCTCCTCCAGCCCCCGTCCGAAGCGGTACGTGATCGCGAAGCAGCAGGACCTGTATCAGGTGAACGAGTGTGTCAAGTTCGTCACCCTGACGTCCGTGGTTCCCATCATCGTCGGCTTCCTGCAGTTGCTAGCCACCGTGACCTGCTTAATTGGTGCCACCACACTAGGCCCGGTGATGAAAGCTGTCAGGCCGGCCGGGGGAAAGGAGAAGGCCTAGGGTGTTGGATACCGTGATTGCAGTGGGAGACCGAAAAAAAGGAACGGGGCGGGTAAAGGGCGTTTATGGCATGGTTTAAGGTCGGACTGGCGCTCTGTGGGGGTTTGTCTTCAGTATTATATCGACTTATGGTTGCTGCGGGCGCATCCTTAGATTGTTTGCGAAAACGAAATCTCATCACCAGAGGGATGCATAGCTAGCTAGGGACATGGAGAGCGAATACCGAGTCTTGCTCCCACATGAACTTCAAGCGTGAAAGTGAGGTTGGGTGTTATATGCAATGCTATTCCTGAGCTGGTGCTGGTATGCGTATGCTATCTATGTACATCCACCACGCCCAATGCCGATGCGATGCGATGCTTATCCCCGTCTGAGATGCACTGAATCCGATGCTTGCTCTCCAAACTAAATTAAACAAAACCAAACCAATCAACCCAAGCCAACCCCAAGACGCCATGGGTATTTTTTACCTCTCCCAATGTATGTATGTATGCATGCACCTAGCTCTTCCCTCTATCTCATCCATCCACCCCCGCCTTCAACTCCCCTCCCCCACCAGGACCATTGTCACTCACCGACCACCACCACCTCAAAGATTAATCAGATCCACCTCCGAAAAATCCGGCGGATTCCGCCCATACAGCACACGCACCCGACTATCCAGCGCCGTCCCCTCGTTCGTAATCGAAATATACCCGCTAAACTGATTCGTCCTCCTGATCTCATCATCGCTGACCCCGATATCGTCGCGCGGGATCCACACCACGGGCCGGCGCGCCCGCAGCGCCGAGTGCTGGAAGGCCTTGCGCACGAGCACGTCGCGCTCGCGCGGCGTCAGGTCCTCGATGACGTCGCAGTAGCCGCCGTAGAGCGCGTCGCCCATGGCGCGCTGGGACTCGAGGTCCCGCTGCCGCCGCGTCTTGCGGTACTGCGCCGCCGTGCGCAGGCCCTCTTCGGCTTTGCCGAAGGTGGCCGCGCGGATCTGTTTGCCGCCGCGCGCGGCCCACGTGCTGGCGTGTGCGATGCCCTTGTTGACCGGGGCGAGGCGGTTGAGGACGGAGCCCGTTCGTGCGTGGTGGCGTGGGTTGGTGCTGTGGCCGCGGCCGGCGCCGGCCATTTTTTCGAGCTCGATGTCGTCTGCTGCGTGCTGCTGTTGCTGCTGGTTGTTGTCGGTGTCGGCGGTGCCCGGGCGGTGGAGGGAGGTGGCCTCGTCGTCGTCGTCGCCGAGCAGGCCGAGGCGGCGGGCCTGGGCGCGCTGGAAGGCTTCGTCGCGGAGGACGGCCTCGTCCTCGAAGGTGATGGGGAGGTAGCGGAAGAGCGGGCCGAAGGAGGAGTTGAGCACGTATTGGAAGAGGATGGTGAGGATGAGGGCGATCACCATGACGATGCCCTGCGGGAAGCACACGTTCTTGCCCGTCTCGTCCTCGGCGATGAAGAAGAGGCCGATGAGGCACAGCTCCATCACATACAAACCCGTGAAGGTCTGGTTGATGGCCCGCGGGTACAGGACGCCGCCGGTGTCGGTCTTGAACCGCGTGACGTAGAGCATGTTGTAGCGGTGCGCCACCCAGAGCAGGCTGAAGGTGATGATGGCGAAGAGGGAGATGAGGGGCGCGACGATGGAGTAGATGAGCGCGATGCACGCAAAGTTGGTGTACACCGGGAAGAAGGAACCCCACTGGACGGTCGGCAGCTGGGTGTTGCGCGTCCATTTAGCCCGCGCCGTGTTGTCCACTATCCTGGCCCAGAAGTACCAGACGAGGAGCGTTCCGATCTGTAACAGCGTTCCCGAGCTCGTCGAGAGCGCTTGCAGAATCATGTACGCGAAGAAGTAGTTGGCCGCCTTGGGGAGGTTCTCGGCTAGGACGTTCGGCGTGGTCGTGAAGTCCTTGGAGATGTTGGCGAGCGTCTGGAAGGTACCGGAGGCGATGGAGACGACCAGGAAGACCTGGACGAAGAGGAAGACAAAGTAGTAGATCTGGACCGTCTCGGTCTTCCGCGAGCCGGTCTTGGATCCTTGGAACTCGGCCAACAAATTCAGAAAGACGGGCACCAGCGCCAGGATGATGGACAGGACCAGGGCGGGCAGGACACCGGCAACCGCCTTGATGGCGTTGTTGATGACCTCGTTTTCGACCAGGAACGAGAGCCAGTTGTACTTTCGAACCAGAGCGTCGATCTGGGAGAGCGAGGCAGTCCAGGCGACCGGGAAGGCCCAGAGAACAACCATGGCGGACACCAGGGCGAAGACGATGGCGCTCCTCAGCCACTCGCCCCACCACGAGATGGCCATGTTGTCCCAGAGGACGTCGCCCGGCGAGATTTCGACCATGCGGGGCGCCATCTGCTTCGGGACGTGGTGGGTAACCGACTGGCAGGCCATGTGGGCGGCGACCTGGTGGTTGAACTGGATGAAGGCCGAGTTCATGACAGGGTAGCGCTCGGGTCGCTGCTGGTCCTCTTCGATCTCCAAGTTCAGCCGGGCGAGCTCGGCGCGGCACCAGTAGATGGTGTCCACCTTCTTGTTGATCAGGGGTAGGGCGGGCAACCACGCGGGGGTCCACTTGAAGTTGGCAATCCGGTGGTGCGGGCGCTCCCTTGGCTCGAGCCATTTCCTCCATTCCGCGTCGTCCTCTGGCTGCTTTTTGTAATCGTGCGTATACGCGGGTGGGTAGTCGATCGGCGGGATATCGGCGCCCACGAAGGGAATCGCGTCTTTGACAAGTTCCCAGAACGACTTCTTCTTCTTCCACGGGTATTCGCCTTGCTCAGCGCCCTGGGGGATCGGGGATGCGTAGCTTCCGCTGGGCGGCTTCCAGAACTCGTACCACCGCGTCTTGTCGGTAACGATCATCTCCTCCATGTTAGTAGCACGGCGGACTGTGTTGCCGAAAAGTTTAGGTTCGGGACCTTCCTTGTTAGGGTCTGAGGCGTCGGACGAGGTGTGGGCATGGCGGGCGTTGTTGGTCAACGGGGCTTGCGATGTAAACGACATCTTGGGTCTCTCCTCGTCGTCCGCACCGTAGTCCCGCTTAGGAGAGTCCGGGTCGAGCGTCGTCATGGAAGGCGGTCCCTGAGGGCCTCCCGTGACCGCAAAATCGAAACCAGCAGTCCGGTCCAGCTCCTGATTGACGCCTTTTCGGACGGCTTTCGCCCCCCCAAGGATGCCTAGGCCGGCCCCCGTGGCGAGAGCAGCGCCCTTGCCGGCCCCTCTGCCCAGGCCCTCCCCAATCTTAGCGAGCGGGTTCCCGCGCCCCCGGCGCTTCTCTTCCTCAGGTTCTCCTTGGGTATCGGTATCGCTGTCGCTCCTGCTGTCCGTGTCGGCAATCGCCTCGTGCACGCCCTGGGGGACGTGTGGCGTGTTGGCACTCAGACCACCGGCACCTTCGGCGCGTCTCCGAGCCTCGTCGTCCTCGGCCTTTGAGCGCTGCGCTCTGTCGGCCCTGTTCTCCGTGGTGACGGCCTTGATCCTGTGCATGATGCCATTTTCCCCCTCCTTTTTGAGCTGAGACCTCTTCGCGCTGCGGATCAGTTCGCTCGCGGCCGACTCCAGCTGCTTGTGGATGGCGTCGCGCTCGTGGACCTTGGCGAGGAGCGGCGTGAAGTCCCGGGTAAGCCAGACATTTCTAATGCCTCCGGGAAACACGTCAAACAGGCCTCTCAAGGCTTCCTCGCTGAGCCACTTTTCGGGGATGGAGCTCACGAGCACCGTGTTCGCCGAGGCGCGCAGGCGGTGCTCGGCGCTGGTTAGATAATCCTGGCGGATCTTGACGTAAACCCTCAGCTCGGCGAAGAAGACGCCGCAGACCCACAAGATGACGATGAGGGCGAGAGCAAGGTGAGCCCAGCGCCGGTTTTGCCTGTTTGGAGCGACGTTTCCCCATGCTAGCGTATCCAATCCCGTGGGGATGCTGGCGTCGGCTTCTTCGCCTTCGGTGCTATTGTTGACGACGACTTCGCGCCCCAGGCCGCCAATGTAGTTGAGAGGAACAAGGACCGGGATTACCACTACGGCGATGGGGATGAAGATGATGAGGAGGGTTTGTAGGTAGCGCAGGAAGAAGTAGGCGTCGAGACCGCATTTCTTGATGATTTCGCGATCCTCGAAGCTCATGAGCTTGTACGCCAGGGCCAGATGGTTGGCGGGGGGTGAATCGGTACGTTCTCGTTCGGGTACTAGGTATGTTTTTGGTTTGCTGTGGTCCGGTCTGTCAGTTTCTGCACAGTAGGAGAGCGAGAAGAAGAGAGAGAGGGAGGGAGGGAGGCAGCAACGCACAATATCCTGACCAACTTGTTCCGTAATAATAAGAAAAAGCCCGTCTGGATGCCGAAGACAACCAACGAAGCGGCCAAAGCAGTCACAAAAGCAACGAGGCTAATACCAGTCGCTTCCTGGGCTGAACCCGGTCCTTCTTCGATCGTACTACTCGTCGCCGCCGCCGCGGCCGATGTCAAGGTCGACGACGCCAATGATGATAATGATGGCGACGCCGACGTCGGCACCTCTGCGGGCGCCGTCGTGGTTATGTCACTCATCGGTATGAATGTCGCATGCGATGGCTGTAATCTGTAGAAAGTGGCTTTTGTAATATTAGAGCTCGCTAGCGCGAGTGCGAAATAAGGCTACCGCAATAACGGGCCATGCGTGTGTATCCCCGCGAAGTTGAGGACGGGAGATGGGGGGCGTTTTGCGGCGTAGTTAGGTGAGGGGTTAAGAGTTGAGTTATTGGTTTTGGTTAAGAACACAGAGGGTGACAGAGCAGAGAGGCAGCACGAAAAGGAGAGAGCACAAGAGATGGGATCAGAATCTAGTGGAGGATTTGGGACCACCACATGGCCATCTTGGCACAATGAATGAACCTGGAGAAAATCGGAAAAGCGGCAAAGGCGACCGAGGTGTGAATTTCCATAGTTCCATACCTCGCTTTGCGAGAGTTAACTAACAGGGGGGGCATGGCGTTGCGGTCTCCCCGACCATTTGGTCGATTGGCCTATGACATCGGGCCTGAAACTTGAATGTCAAAGTCGCTAATTTTATTGACCCTGAACAAAGACCCAGTTCGTCTGAAACATTTGGCAGACGCGGGCAGGGCAAGGAATTGATTGGCTGCCAATTGTCGATTGGCAGTGACGTCGGCGGCTGTCTCTCGCACCTGCATCCTCCGCTGGCCTTGTTTTCCCGCCGACTTCTGTGGACCTTTTTGTTGGCTGTTTGTCTGACCCGAGCCCGCCGAGCTCGCCAATTTCTTGGCTTGCGGGAACCAATGATTCCATTATCGAATTCAAGCTTAAACGCGCGCTTTGTCGAAGTTATTTTTTATGATTCTTATTTTTATTTTTGGCCTTCAATGTACCTTTTTATCCCCTGGCGGCTATACCCGTCAATGCTCTTTGTCCTTTGTTAGGTAACTAACTAGGTAATCTGGGTCCTCTGTCTGAAGAAGTTCAAAGGAGAGGATGGCCGAAAGGGGCACTTCTTTCAAGGCACGTGAGTGAGCCTTTCCCTGGCCACGTTCCAGGCTGTCGGTTTGCCGCCGGTCTGCCGCTCGAAACATGTCTCACCCATCGCGCGGACCGACCTGCAGAAGTGGCCACGCTCGCCGTTGGCGGGGGAAGGCAACGGCTGGAAAATACGGCGTTGTTGGTAATTGCTAAAAACAAAAATGTTAGAAAGCGTGCCGAAGTTATGGCCACAAGATCCTGTTGCCCCGATGATTTCTCGTGAGGCAACGCAGTTTTCCATCGTTGAACAAAATCCCTGCCTTCCTGGGTTGCGGCGGGCCGCGATCCCTGATCGACTTCAATGACCGGGTTTTTGGGCTCGCAGTCCGATCTCCCGTTTTCGCCGTTTCCAGGTTGGTTTGAGAATGCTGAGGGAAAACCGATAGTTATACTTTAACTACCAAATACGCACAATGTATTGGGCAAACTGCCTTTCGACGTTGGAGTTGGAGCCGGATCCCCCAATCGGGTTACGGTAATTTTTCAAGCTCCGACACCACGCAACAACATACAGCAGTTCACAGCATCGAGGCTGAGTCGTTCTTTTCGTAGAACCTGTTAGACAATAAAACAGTGGTGCTTCGCACGGGGCCAAAAAACGGCTGATGACTTCGCCGAATTTGTCCAACAATCGTCAGGGCGCAAGGGTCAGCGGGTTGGCCCATGGCTGCGGGCCGGCCTCGGGTCAAAATCACCGGCAAATACATTTTCCCAACAGCGATATGATTCCCGGCCTGGGCAATCCGCGGCGGTTCCAGAATGTCCCGGCGCTGGAGTCTTCCCCGCACCGCCTCACCCGCACCCCCACACTCGGCCGCAAGCAACCCTTTCAGTACCGAAGAAACAGTGCTTTTGGAGTGCATCCTCCCGCAGCAGTGGGATGGATATCCCATGGGGATATATGCTACCTACCATGAGGACGGGGAGAATAATTGAGCGAAAATGTGATGTCCGATGAGCACCCGGCGAAACAACAGCAAGGCCCACTTCGATCCGGCGCCGCCTGCCACACGAATCACGAAACGGGATGGGGGATGGTCAGATAGTCCCGCGGGTTGTGTCCGCGGGAGCAGGTGCCGAGGACTGGATCCAGGCTGTCGCCGCCGGTGTATATATGAATACTTAGTGAAGAAGGGACAGCCTCCTTTAACCGCACCATTCATACCCTCTCTCTTCTGCCTTACTTCAAACTTGGAACTACTTGGATTTTCTCTCAAGTCACCCATACACCCCCTTTATACCCACATACACACACACACTTAGTCAGACCAAGGCATCTTTAGATATTACAGTCGAGTCCTAGCATGGCGGACGTACGCGATCTGCGCATCGCCATCATCGGCGCGGGTGCGCTTCCCTTAGTTTCACACAGGCCATACCGGAGAAATGGATGCTAACGCTTTGCAGGCATGGGCGGGTTGGGGACCGCCCTCGCCTTCGCCAAAAAGGGGTTCAAGAACATCGATGTCTTCGAGACGGCGTCGAATCTGGGCTTCGTCGGCGCTGGCATCCAGATACCGCCCAACGTTGTTCGCGTGCTTGACCGTCTAGGTTGCTGGAAAGAGATCTACGCCGAGGCAACAAACGTCCAGGGGACCAGCATCAGGCGTAAGACGACTACTCCGAGTCGACCCTAAACTAGCTCGAGGGGGGCTAATCGTATGAGCAGAGGGAAGCACGAATATCGAGCTCTCACACGTGCGGATGCCGGACATCGAAGAGAAATACGGGTTCCCCCACTGCACGGGGCACCGGTCGTCGCTCGCGGGCGGCCTGTACGAGGGGTGTAAGAAGGAAAGCGCCATCAAGTTCCACTTCTCGACGGCGCTGGTGCGGGTGAACTCGTTCGCGGGCAAGCCGACCATCACGCTCAAGCCGCGGGGCGGGGACGAGTACGCGCTGGAGGCGGACATGGTGCTGGCGTCGGACGGGGTCAAGTCGGTGACGCGCACGCAGATGCTGGCGGAGCTGGGCACGGAGTCGGAGGAGGAGGACACGGGCCAGGCGGCGTACCGCATCATGCTGGAGCGGGCGCAGATGGAGCACGACCCGGAGATGCTGGCGCTCATCGAGAGCGACACGGTGGTGCGGTGGGTCGGGGAGCGCCGCCACATCATCGCCTACCCCGTCAGCAACAAGCAGATCTACAACCTGTCGTCGGCGCAGCCCGACACCAACTTCGCGGCCGCCACCAACGCCACCTACACGACCAAGGGGTCCAAGGCGGCCATGCTCGACGTGTACGGCGACTTCTGCCCGCTGGTGCACCGCATGCTCGACCTGGTGCCGGACGGCGAGGTGTGCGAGTGGAAGCTGCGCGTGCACAAGCCGCTGCCGACGTGGGTGCACGGGTCGGTGGCGCTGCTGGGCGACGCGTGCCACCCGACGCTGCCGCACCTTAGCCAGGGCGCGGCCATGGCGATCGAGGACGGCGCCGTGCTGGCCGAGGTCGTCAGCAGGATCCCCGCGGACAAGACGCACGACCCCGAGGCGGTATCCAGGACGCTCAAGGTGTACGAGCTGCTGCGCAAGCCGCACTGCAGCGCGCTGGTCGACATGGCCGCGCACTCGGGCCGCATCCTGCATCTCGGGGAGGGCAAGGCCAAGGAGGCGCGGGATCGCGAGTTCCGCCAGAACGGCAAGTCCGGCTCCGTGCCCGACAAGTGGGCGAGCCCGGACGTCCAGAAGATGATCTACTCCAACGACTGCGTCCAGGAGGCCATTGGCAACTACGACCGGCTGTTTGCCACGTTGTGAGGGCGTTGGAGGGCGGCGGGAGGGTTGGGACGGCGCATTGTTTAGGGAAGTACGGTATTCTCCAGTAGTGGCCACTGTCGGTGGTGATCCTATAACGCATACCCTAGAAGAAGCAGCCACCTAGATATTACAAGGTTTACCGAAAGAAAAGAAAAAACAAACGTGAACCACACGAGCCATGACATAAGAGACCATCGTGAAAGTCATGCATGCCGTGTGCTTGACCAGAATCCCCCCTGAGATACGCCCGCCCACTCCATCACAGGCCACCCACGGGTCGTCAATCAGTCAACCCTGCGCCCCCATCCCGCGGTCCCTGCCCGGCGCCCATTGCTATTCGCGAACCCATCGTATCGCTCATCGCGCAGTCAGCCGTTTGCTTTTCCAAGCTGCCCCGGCCGGAATTCGCGATACCGCACGACGCGCATAGCCACCCCCTCCCGCCCCCACGTCGTCTTTCGTTTGTCCAAGAAACCAGCCCCGGCGACCACCCGCAACCAACAAAACCCGCTTAACACAACATGTCCAAGCAGCAACAGCACGCCAAACCGGCAAGACACGCCGAAAGGAATCCCTGCCATCATTCGTTAGCAAACCCCTTTTTCAACCGCGCAACATCACCATCCCAGGCCAGACAACAAAAACTAGGTAATGAAAAAGTCACATACCGGCCCACTGCTCTTCTGCTCCTGCTGCTGGTAATGCATCGGCTGCTGCTGCTGGCCATAGGGCCCCTGCTGGTAGTACCCGCCCGGCGGCGGCGCGCCCTGCTGGGGGTGCCCGCCGTTGTAGCCCATCGGCGCCTGCTGCTGGTAGTAACCGCCGGCCGCGCCGGGCTGTTGCTGCTGCGGCGGCGGTGCGCCGCCTCCTTGGTAGTAGGCCGGCTGCGGGTAGGAGGGGTTGTTGCCGTAGGCGGGGGGTTCGTCGTGTTTTTGCATTTTTGGAGTTGGGGGTTTGGATTTGGATTTGGTTTGGGGGTTGGTGGTGTTTGGGTGGGTTTTTTTTGATGGGATGGTGATGCGCGACGTGGAGCGATTGACCGGGAGGTTGTGGTTGTTTGCGGAATGGAAAGGAGTGGATATTTTTGTCGGTGAGTGGGCGGTCGTTTGCAGAGGGATTGATCGTTGGGAATGCGCCAAAAGAAAAGGTGCAAGGCTGAAAGCTGCGTCGGTGGTTGGCAGTTGGTTTTGAAGATGGTTTCCCCCTGCGTGGCAAGCGTGGCTGTGTCGCAGATTATGTCGGTACCTTACGTGTCGCTGGACCCGAGACCCAGTGCCCGGTGATGATGTGCAGCAGTGGCGGGGGCGGTTACTCCGCACTGTCCGAACTGTGCCAGCGCCTCTGAATGCGACGCGGCCTCGGTTGGTAGGGAGGTAGTCAGTTACACAGTAGTCGCTCGAAGAAGCGGGAGACTCGCTCAACAAAAGCTGTAAACGGCCATGAATGAGACTCGACAAAGACGAGCAGAAACAGACGATACACGGCAGACTATCTAAACGCGCGACGGCTAATTATCGAACAAAGAATGGATGGCCCCCTCAATGCCGAGTTTGGCCTTCGCGGAGTTTCGGCGTGGGCCAATGCGTCTTGCTCGCTGCCGTGTCACTCGCTCCTTCAGACCTCGGGCGTCTCACATGGGCGGTTCACAGGTTCACAGGGTCCCCTTCGAAGACCATCCATGTGTGGCACTCAAACGCTCCGCCACAGCCCTGCGTGCGGCTCGGAGTAAACCGGAGCCAAAGAGACCGAGTCCGCAGCAAGAATGGAAACGGGGTTGTTCTGTCCGATTATTGAGATGGATGTGATTTGCGGGACGAGTTTACATTACTGTACAGTCACTCGGGATACGTGCAGTTAAAGTGCTGACGCGATCGCCATTACAGCGATCCTCATAACTAAACTACTTTTCGAAGCAGGTATCCGATCCTTTGTATTCCGCTGACACAACAGCCAAGGATGACAGCGGAAGTGCAGCATACAAGTACATGCATGGATTGTTACACTGTTGAGGTCCGAAGTACGAATATTCGTACCAATATTTGTAACAATGCTGTCGTGTATCGCCGAGTTCTGGGCACTGTTGTTACAGATGACCCCAGTCTTGGCAGGGTCTGCACGCCGGACTTTGTCTGCGGTTCAACACCGATCCCATCATTGTACATCTATCCACACAATAAACCCGACCTCAACGCCAAAAAGCCATCTCACATCACCCATCATGGCATCCCTCAACCCCCAACCCACCCCTCCCAAAGAACAAACCTTAACCTTCCCCGCCGCCCACGCAGCCCTCATCTCCCCGTACCTCCCGCAACCCCAACCCCAACCCTCACCCACCCCCTCATCATCAACCACCACCAACCCCAAGGACACCACCACCACCACCACAACCACCAAAGAAAAAGAAACCCGCCCGCACGTAACCCTAACCTACGCCCACTCCCTCGACGCCTCCCTGGCCCTCGCCCCCGGCGTGCGCACCGCCCTGTCCGGCCCGGCCTCCAAGGCCATGACCCACTACCTGCGCGCGCGCCACGCCGCCATCCTCGTCGGTGCGGGCACCGCGGTGGCGGATGATCCGGGGCTGAACTCACGGCTTCTTTCGCTGGAGGGTCCGTTTCCTGAAGCTGGGGTGGTGGGTGGTGGTGGTGAGCGGGAGGGGGGTGGTGGTGGTGGTGGTGGTGGTGGTGGTGGTGGTGGTGTGAAAGGTGGGGAGGTGGTGGGACAGCCTCAGCAGCCCCGGCCGGTGGTGCTGGATCCGCGGGCGCGGTGGGCGGTGGATGGGGGGAGTCGGGTTGTGGGGGTGGCGAGGGAGGGGAAGGGGCTGGCGCCGTGGGTGTTTGTTGCGCAGGGGGTGGTTGTGGACGAGGGGAGGAGGAGGGTTTTGGAGGCGGTGGGCGGGCGGTATGTGCCGCTGGAGGCGAGGGGGGAGAAGGGGCGGTTTGCGTGGGAGGACGTGCTGCGGGTGCTGGCGCGGGAGGGTGTGGCGAGTGTCATGATCGAGGGCGGTGGCGAGGTGATCAACTCGCTGCTCGAGCCTGCGGGGAATGCGTTTGTCGACTCGGTCATTGTGACTATCGCGCCGACGTGGCTCGGGCAGGGTGGCGTGGTGGTCTCGCCGCCGCGCACGGCCGGGGAGGATGGACGGCCGGCCGAACCGGTGCGGTTGACGGATGTGACGTGGTGTCCGCTTGGGGAGGATGTGGTCTTGTGCGGGAGGATCAAGAGGTGAGAGGGGAAAGGGGTTTATTGCGGTCGCCATAAAAGTTTACCTCGGGAGACAAACAACCTACAAATGCCCCCTCCATCTAATCTCCAACCACCGAAATGGAACATAGCTGATGGCCGTCACAACGAACGCCATCTCGAACCCAATGTCTCCCGTCGTCTTTGCAATCGGGCCCGTATACCACGGCGCCGCCATGCCCGGCACGACCAACCCCAAACTCACCACCGACGCCCCAATGGCCGCAACCCCCGGCGGCAGCCTCCGCCCGACATTCCAAATCGCATGATCAAACGTCGAGTAGTCCATCCGCCGAAACACAACCAGCTCCACGATCAACACCGCATCAAAACACCCCGCCCAGTAGCCAATCACTGCCAAAAAGTTGGTCAAACTCTCCTCCCACTCCTCAGCAGCACGAATAGCCATAGGGATCATAATCGCCATAGTAACCAAAATAAAAACAAACCGATGCACGCGCGCAAAGAAGGGCAGCAGCATCTGCAGGTTCAGCGCGATGCTGTACATGGAAACGGCAATGTTGCCGATGACGCTCAGCGCCAGCATCACGAGCACGAACCGGCCGAACCCGCCCGCGGGCGCCAGCATCTCGCTCATGACGCCGCCGATGCCTGTGGCCAGGTAGGCTGCGTGCCAGCTGGGCACGTTGGGCACGGCCCCGCCGATGGCGGCGCCGAGGACGAGGAGGGGGATGGAGGGGAGGAGGAGGCCCGTGTAGATGTAGAGGAAGATTTTGAGGCTGGGTTGAGAGGGGGGGCGGAGGGGGGGGGGCGGGGGTTAGTTTGGTTGGTTTTTGTTTTGGGAGTGGAGGGGGGGTTGATAGGTACATACCGGGATGTACGCCGCGGGTCGTGGTAGATGGAATAATCCGAGACGGTGCCGCCGAAGGTGATGAAGTAGCCGGCAATCAGGCAGCCAAAGGTCATGACTTGCGACGGCGTTGCCGGGTCGGTGTCAGTTTGGAGGTGGAGGTACTTGCCGCCGCAGCCTACGGCGATGACGATGGCGATCAAATTGGGAATCCAGGTCCAGCGCTCCCAAAAATGGAGGGCCTTGAAGCCCATTAGGGAGACCAAGAAGGAGACGATACAGGCGATCACAATGCCCACGTCGACACCGATCTTGTCCGGGTTCAAGGAGGCAAGTGTCTGGCCGCCGACGATAGACGAGAGGAGAGAGAAGCCTGTCACTGTGGCGGCGTTTAGGAGGAGCGGTATGGTGACGAGGTAGCGACTTGTGGCATGTTAGAAAGGGTGAAATTGGTTCACGTAGAGTCGGTTTCGACGCACCCAAACGAATACCGAGCCTGTACGAGCTGCCTCAGCCCCGTCTCCATACCGCCTATGCCCATGAAGGCGGGCGGGATGCATGTGAGCATGGCGAAGAACAGGATGGTGAGCGAGGCGTCTCTCAGGCTCAGACCCATGCCGAGTGTGGCCAGCATTCCGGTTGGGATTCTGTGGGTAGGGAGTTAGTTTCATGTCCCACGGGCTGGTAGCTTGGTTACCTACGGGAGCAAACACAACAGGCAGGTGAAGAAGACGGTGAAGAGGTTGCTGTACTGAGTTGAAGTACGTTGATCGACGGGCACCGGCTTGATCCCATTCTCTTCCACGCCAGCGTCCAGCAATCTCTGGTACCATTTTGGGTTCTTGTCGGGATTGGCCTCGTAGACTTCACCATCCTTTACGGCCAGGAATGATATGAGCTTTGCCCATCGCCTGGGCTCGCCCTGGCCCTGATTCTCGAGGTCCCGAGGAACATCCTTGCCCGCTTCAGAAACGGTAATAGGTGAAGAAGACATGGCAGGTCAGGGAGGAGAGATGCTACCAAGGCTGGGGCATACGGCTCAAGGTGGATATGAGGAACATAGAGACACACGGTATTTATGATGCAACCATGGGACACTAGAAAGAGGGGCCTGTACAGTTTCCGAGCGGCCATTCTATTTCGGTGGTGGCCCACGCGGAGATGCGACGATCATCGGCATCAGGTCCAACAACAGCCCCGGAGTGGAATATCATCCCGCGGGCCTTTGTTCTAGCATGTATTGGGGTCCCAGTATGCCGGATGACTTCCTGATAAGACAGGAGCTGCAGAGACCATGTCGACGCCAGCAGCCTCGATTGGAGGGAAGTGTCCGGGGTTAAAGCCACGCTGCGGGTGTGACTGGCATGACGACGGAATATCACGTCGTGATGTGGGACATGCAGCCATGCTGGAAGAACTGGCTTGAGGGCGAAAGAGGGGAGATCCCAAGGGGGGGGAGGGGGGAGGGAAGAATAAGGTGGGCAAATCGGGGTGCAGGTGATATTCCCCGCTCTCAAGAGGTGTGTTGCACAGGAAGGTACTAAGGTAGGTAGTGATGGCTTGATGCAAGCTGCGCCTGCGTTGTAGCTTCGCTGCACTTAGCTACTCCAATCCCATCGTGACGCCCTCGTTCTGGTGTCAACAATGGGCACAATAACCCTTAACGTTCGGCCCAAGGTTCGGATGGATGCTATTAGCGGGTAACACTCCATGCGGCTTGGCGACCCAAATGATCGGAAGCCGAGATGAAAGAGAAAGAGGAACAAAAGCAATTGGCGGTGCCACGGTAGTTGTCGGCAGGCACGGCGGGGGTTCTCGTCCATGCGCAAGTTGGTCCTTCAGGGTTCTTACCCCGCGGACCGTAGGTGGGGCGGTTCATGCAGACCGACGTTGCGGGGTTAGGGTTGATGGTCGTTCATGTCGTTGGAGCATCACGAGGCTGTGGTCAACGACAAACTGCCCCAATATCATGTCGATTCGCAAAGGTGACGAGCACATACGACCATAAGCAGTAGAAAGCTCGGGATCCCGTCCGCTCTCCCCTCGATAAACTACTGACTGCTGGACTAGTACTCAGGTCGGTGACGACTGGGGAATCCCCGGTGTTGTATGTTTTGTTTTTTCCCTTTTGTACCCAAAGATACCTGAGGATCCACGTTTATGAACGACACCTCCTCGCCCGACTATCACATACGACCATATCCACGAGAAAGTACGGGATCCCGTCCGCTCTCCCCTAGTCAAACTCGTGAGAGCTGAACTAGTAGTTGGGTCGGTGACGACCAGCGAATCCTCGGTGTTGTATGTTTTTGTTCTTTTTGGAAGCTCGAATGGAAATGGTTGAAGTCAAATCTCAGTGGAGTGGAGATGAAGCAATTCAACACGAGATGAAGGTGTTTAAGGGTTAGGGCTTTATAAGCTTCATGCGCCCAGAGCTGTTGGGCGGCACCCCACCATGCATTGCGATCCACATGCGACAAGGCGACAAGCGACAAGCGGCAAGCGGCAAGCGACAAGCTGCCAACTCCGTGTTTCGAAGCAGAAACGGCGGGGATCCGAGCATTCATTATTCGCTACCTGGGTATCTTGGGATTTTGCAGTAACTAGAAACTGATCTCTCGCTTAAGAAACAACAATTCTTCCCACATCCAAACCATCTCCCTCTCTCGCTTCCTTCCTCCCTCCCTCTCCCTCCCTCCCTCGACGCCCCCTTCGGTTCCCCGGGCTGTGGCCTCACCGCGTACCACCGCCGCCGCCATGGACGGGCCCTCCATTATCAAGGAGCACGGCAAGGGTATGCATACCACCCGTTTTTGAGAAAAGGAGCCACCACATAATAACCGTTGCTGACCGCTGCCCTACCACTTAGCCATCATCAACGCCATCCAGAGAACTACCCAGAACGATGTAAGCCGACCTCGCCTCATTCCATACCCCGACCCCGTCACGAGAGAGCTCCGCGCTGACCCTGTCGCGTGTCTGTTAGTGGAAAGTTCTGGTTTTAGACGAAGGCACCAAGAAAATCATCGACAGCTCCGTCAACGAAGATGACATCCTCAACCACAACATCGCCAGTATGCCTCCGTATCCCCACCCGACCGTCCGTCAGCAGCACTAAACCGGACACTCAGATATCGAGCGCATCGAGGAGCGGAGGGAGCTGAACCCGGACATGGATGCCGTGTACCTCCTCTCTCCCCTGCCACACATCGTCGACTGTCTCCTCGCCGACTTCGAGCGCCGCCGCTACAGGAGGGGGTTTATCATATGGGCTGGCTCCTTGCCCGACCACCTGCACCGCCGCCTAGATGGGGCCCGGGGGCAAATGGGAGGTATGCCGTTTCCGTGTTCCGTGGCTCCGTGGCTCCGAGGCTCTTGGGCTCACCGTATTATTGATAGGGCCCCCTGACCGTCTGCTCGTCGACTTCTACCCCCGGGAGTCGCATCTCATCACCTTTCAGGACCCGTCCAGCTTCCTCGTCTTGTACAATCCCACCTGCAACAACCTCGTGGCACCACATTTACGCGCCCTGGCATCAAAGGTACGAACACGCCGTCCGTTCTATTAGTGCTATTTAGCTAACCAAACTTGTAGATTGCCGCCGTCTGCATCACCTTGCAAGAAGTCCCCAAGATTCGGTACTACCAACCCCCGGCACACACCACCCACGACGCGAAAGTCTTGTGCATGCACCTGGCCCGCTTCGTCCAGGAAGAGCTAGATGGCTATCAGCGCTTCGACCGTAATTTCCCACCGCAATCTCAGCGGCCACAGTCGGTGCTGCTCATAACGGACAGATCGATGGACTTGATGGCCCCCCTGGTACACGAGTTCACCTACCAAGCCATGGCCCACGATCTGCTTCCGATAAAGGATCAAGAAAACGGCAAGGTCACTTTTCGCATGACCGTCAACGAGAACACGGCCAATGCCGAGGAGAAGGACATGGAACTCATGGATAAGGATACCGTCTGGGTCAACAACAGGCACCGCCACATGAAGGATACCATCGACAAGCTCATGAGCGACTTCCAGAAGTTCCTCGACCAAAACCCACACTTCGCCAAGGCGGATGCCGGGAAGACCACCGTGAACGACATTCGGGACATGATGGCTGGCCTGCCGCAGTTCCAGGAGACGAAGCAGGCCTACTCTCTCCACCTCACCATGGCCCAGGAGGCCATGAATATCTTCAAAAAATACAAGCTCGTAGACATTGCTGCGGTAGAGCAGACCTTGGCCACCGGCCTCGACGAAGACTACAAGAAGCCCAAGAACGTCCTCGACGAGGTTGTCCGTCTCTTGGACGACCCAGACGTGGCACCGGCAGACAGACTCCGCCTCATCACCCTGTACGTCTTGTACCGTGACGGCGTTATTGAGAAGGACATCAGCCGGCTACTATGGCATGCCTCTCTACAGCGATCGCGCGACAGCCAAGACCAAACCATCATCGAAAACCTGCACCTCCTCGGCGCCCGCCCCCTGAAAGAACTCAAAGAACCGCGCCAGCCGCCGCCCCCCTTATTCCCGCCCCGCAACCCTCAAGGCGCCATCCCAGACGACGAATACGCCCTCTCCCGCTTCGAACCCGCCCTCAAGCAAATGCTAGAGCACGTCTGCGCGGGCGACCTCGACCCGGCCCTCTTCCCCTACGTCGTGCCCCCGCTCGAGGCGGCCTCGGAAACCCACGGCTCGCAGGGCTCGCTCCGCTCCGCCGCCCCCCGCTGGGCGTCGGCCAACCGGCGGCAGGCCGAAAACCGGCAGCGCGTCATCGTCTTCGTCGCCGGCGGCGCCACCTACTCGGAGGCGCGCGCCTGCTACGAGATCTCGGACAAGCACAACCGCGACGTCTTCCTCGCCTCCAGCCACATGGCCTCCCCGGGCAAATACATCGCCGACCTCCGCGCCCTCAAGCTCGACCGCCGCCGCCTCGACCTGCCCGTCGACCGGCCCCCGCCCCGCGCCCCCGCCCACCTGTTCGAGCGCCCCGCGCCCGTCCCTGCCCCCGCGCCCGCGCCCCAACAGCAGGCTGCCATGGGCATGGGCATGGGACACCAGATGCCCCCCGGTGGTGGTGGTGGTGGTGGTGGGCTGCGGCCGCCGACCAAGGGCATGGCTGGTATGACCCTGAACAACAACGGTCCGTCGGCGTCGGCTTCGTCGCTGGGCGTGGGCGGTGCGGGGGACTTGCGGCCGGGGACGAGCGGGTCGGATGGGGGTGGCGGGAAGAAGAAGGATAAGGAGAAGAAGAAGCGGAATATCTTTGGGATTAAGAAGTGAAGAAGGGCGGGGGTCGGGGGGGGGCTGTATTGGGGTTTGCTGTGGTTGATTGGTTTGGTTTGGTTTGGTTTGGTTCTTGGCTTCGGCTCGGTCTGATCAAGCATGGAGTTCCGGTTCCGTTATGGGGGTTGGTTTGGTTGAGGGGCTGACCTGACATTCGTTGGTTGGGGAGAGAAAGAAGGCGTGCATGTGTGCGTTGATGGGCGGGTGTATCTAGCGGTACGTGTCTAATCTGTATCTACGCTACATATTCCAAGTATGTAGATGGATGTAGATGGGTGTGGGTGCTTCCGCTTTTGTTGTATCTACGTCCGTCGATGCAAGAGATGGATACCCTAGATCTGTCGACGCGAACCTGGTCAAGTTACATAAACAAGAAGTAGTAATTTCGACGTCACCAATGGCATGACTCCCAGGTCCATAAATCATGATGGTTCCGCTGTATACCCATTTTAGGAACACGAAGTCGTCGGGCTGCCACTACAGCTAGCCTGCCGTTCCGGTTGATGAACCTGCGCAACGCATTTACTGTAATGTACACATACATCATCACCGTATCCCTGTCTACGAGAAGCTGTCTCTTGCGCTTCGTAGTCGCATGCCCCCACCCAAGTTTGGCAAACCCGTTTATTTACCACCCTCCCACTCCGGGTTCTGCATTAACATGATCAATTAGTATTGGTTCGCACATAGCGAAAGGGGGAATTAGGGACGTACCTTGCGTAGGATGACTAGACCCTCGAGCGTGCCGTTCAAGCTGATGTACTCCTCGTCCTCGAGCTCGGCGCGCTCGCCATACGCCAGCAGCACCGGTGTGCTCTGCGTCTGCCAGCCGGTGATGGTCTTGGGGCGACCGGCCTGGCCGACAACGTCGACCGCCTGACCAACCCGCACGTTGACCGTCAGCGGCTTGAGGTTCTCGTCCAGCGTGACCAGGAAGCGCGGGTGCATGGCCGTGACGAGGAAGTAGAGCAGGTAGTGCGAGTTCGACGTGATGAACTGCTTCGAATCGATCATCGCCACGAGGACAGCAAGGATACCGGCCGCGGAGACGCGCGACAGGATTTGGCGGTCGGTGTGGAAGGGGTTGATGGAGAGCGTTCCCTTGCCCATGTGCAGCAGGCCCTGAGCGATGCGTACCATGAACAGGGATTCCTGATCCCGATGGTAGTAGCTCGCGAGCTGCCGGAGAAGTTGCGCCAACCTCGCGTTGTTGGTACCGGCACCCACGAGACCCATGGCGAAAATGGCGTTGATGGCGACGTCATTATCATTGTCGTGGCTATACCGCGACAAGGTGTCGTAAATCTTCATTTGCGGGTTGCTAGGGCTGACGAGACCCATGGCTAGAGGCACTGCCCTTCGGATGTTTGCCTCGCCGTAGTGCATGAGATGGCCGAAATGGCGGAGCACCATGTCTTGACCGACGTCCTCGCCCATGGCGATCAGGCCGATGCCGAGCACAGCATAAGCCTGCAGCAGCTCGTCACCCTTCTTCTCCTCCGACTCCTCCATGTGCTCGTTGCACAGGTGCAAAAGCTCCTGGATCTTGAGAACAGCACCGGTTCCAGCCCAAGCACAGATTGACGCGAGAACCGATGTCGGCTTCGCCATGGGGTGCTCAACAACCTTTAGCGTCTCCAGAACGACATCGACCTCCTCTTGACGACCGAAGTAGAGGAGACCCAGACCGAGAGCGAGGAAGCGTGTCCACTTATCCGTGAGCTGGCTCTTACGCTCGTCATCCATCAAAGTCATGATGATAGCCTCCCCGGCCTCGGCGTGTGAAGACCCAACGAAAACCAACCCACAAGCCAGCGCAGCCATTGCCGACACCCGCATCTCCTGGCTTGTGTCGGAAATGATGGGCAGGAGGTAGGCGAGAAGCTCCTCCTTGTTGGAGCCGGCGTACGACAGACCAAGACCCATGATGGCGGCTACCCGGATCAGGGGGTTCTTGTGGTTGAGCTTGTCGTGGTCGGCGAGTAGGGCCATGGCAGGCTCCGAATCCAACCGAACGCCCGAGTTCATGATGCCTATTGCGAGATAGGCGCCGGCCTGAATCTGCTCCTCCTCGAGGTAGGTGTACTTATCGACTTGGTCCAAACCACTCTCGATATCCCACATAAGCAGCGTCCCCAGAGAGGCGACGGTCGACATCATGCCCTCCTCCTTGGTCTTCCACACCCAGCTCTCCTTGTCCTTCTCAACCAGCATCATCTTGTCGTTTCCGAAGCCCGCATTCACAAAAGCGTTCACGAAAGCGGCCGCCAGGTTGTTACGGGCAGAGTCGAAGTTCGTCAGGCCAGCCACGCGGCTGCTTTCCAGGTGGCTCTTGTAGATATCCTCGGTTGTCTTGGGCTCCAGAATGTTGAGCTCCTTGCCAAGGGATTTAAAATGCTCGGGCAGCTTCACGTTGCCGATGCACTCAACAATCTCCTCGTCGTCGGGCGTATCCCGGTCGTGGTCCAGACATATCCTCTGGCGGGCGACGAGGAAGGCAAGCTGCTTCTTCAGCGCCGGATCCGGGGCATCGTCGAAATCGGCATCGATGAGGGCGAGGTCGTTAATCCGGATGGCAAGCACCATGGCTTGGGTGTACTGCTTGTAATTTTTGTAAATGCCGTGCGCGACCCGGAGGAACTGCTCGTTGTCCGGGTAGGTGAGCAAGTTGACCATCGAGACCATGTACAAGCAAACCCTCCCATAGGTGTTTTCGTCGACAAATTTGGGCAGCTCCTCAATAATCTCCAGCTCGCTCATCAGGTCGACGGCATCGGCCTCCTGATTGCTCTTAAGGAAGAGGGGCACGAGAGTCAGTGCGAGGTCGACCAAGTCCGCAGTTGACTCGTCGGCGGCAATGCGCTTCCCGTAGACCTCGCCGATCTCGAGCGCGAGGTGGCGGACGTACTCGTGACCCCACGAGCCGATGTCTTGGGTGGGTGCGAGGAGACGGTACTTCAGGGTATCCTGGCGCTCTTCGTCCGAGTAGGTCATGCCGATCACGGACAAAACATCGGCCAAGGAGTTCTTGTCGTCGCCTACCGGCCATTCATCGTAGAGCTTTGTCATGGTCTCATAGTGTGGCCGTAGAAACTTCAGAGGCTTGGGGACGGCTGTCATGGAGGAGGTTGATGTCTTGATAAAGTTCTTCATGGTCTCGAGGGCTGGTTTGTAGAGCGATGCATTGGATTCCTGCGACACTAGAGTAAGCAAGTGATGGACGGATCGACTATGGAAGTGAGGCTACGCACAGTCAACCGCTCAACAAGCATGTCGAGCTCATTCTTCAAAGTCTGGTCCTCTTCGCTGAGCTCTTCCGAAGCTGGTGATAGTGGTAGTCAGCGAAACCGAATCGACAGAGATCCCGAGTCCCGAGTCTCGGCGGGGTGGCGCAGGAGAGGATAACAAACACTCGGCCTTGTCGTCCTCGTCTTTCTTTCCGGTCGGCACCGGCTCCCCGGCCTTGTCCTTTTGTGTCTCATCATCCACGGCCTTCCCCTTGCCCTTGTCGGCCGTCTTAGACAAGTCGCTCTCTTGCGCCATGGTCGGGTCTTGGGATGGCGGGGATGGCCCAAAGCTCAGTTAAAGTGGGCGGCGAAAGAGCTAGCGAGTGAGGGGTGTCGCAGAAACGGCAGCAGTCGCTCGCCTTATTAAAATTGGGATGTTGGGTCTCCGAGATCTGATCCCGGCGCGGGGGATAACGGGCGGCTTGGGGTGATTCGGGTTGTTTGGTGGGTTTGGTGGGCTTGGTTGGAAGGGAGTGGAAGCTTAATAGATCCGTGCGGGCAAGGCAGGCAGCTTGGTTACGCGATGCTGCTTGCCGCCTGAGGCGAGGCGCCCAACCAGCGGTCAGCTCCACTGAGCTTGGTAGCCGCCCCATGCTGGGGAGCTGGGACCAACAGCCGCCGCCGGCCCGGCACATACAAAATCCGGTCCATTTCCCGCCCCCCGGTCCAGCCATGACGGTGCGCAGAGGCCCGTCCTTATCAGCTGGGCGTTGGCTTATCGCCCCTCGCAGCCATGAATTTTTGGTGGACACACTGCCCGAGCTTTGGAGGGGCTCACCAGGACAGGCGAATATCAACTGACTGCCTCTCAATTCTGCTCTCAATCAAAACCAAAACCACCAACCCGCACAGCACACTCGTGGTTTTTCATCGAAATTCGCAACCATGAAGCTAGACACGAGAGCTATGCGCTACCTGACAGCGGAGGACTGGAGGGTTCTCACAGCCGTGAGTTCCCAGTTCATTTTCCTCGTCATTATCACCCCACTAACACGGCATTCCGCTCCAACAGGTTGAGATGGGTAGCAAGAACCATGAGCTCGTTCCAACAACATTAATCGAGAAGATTGCCCGCCTCAAAGGCGGCGCCAGCGGCGTGCACAAGTCCATCTCGAACCTCGCCAAGGTCGGCCTGATTGCGCGCATGAAGGAAGCCAAGTACGATGGCTACCGGCTCTCGTACGGCGGGCTCGACTATCTCGCCCTGCACACCCACGCCTCGCGCAAGAACGTCTACAGCGTCGGCAGCCGCATCGGCGTCGGCAAGGAGAGCGACATCATGATCGTGGCCGACGACAAGGGCACGCAAAAAGTCCTCAAGATCCACCGTCTCGGGCGCATCTCATTCCGCACCGTCAAGACCAACCGCGACTACCTCAAGAACCGCCAGTCCGGCTCGTGGATGTACCTTTCCCGGCTCGCCGCCATCAAGGAATACGCCTTCATGCAGGCGCTGCGGGAAGAGGGCTTCCCCGTGCCCGAGCCGATCGCCCAGTCGCGGCACACCATCCTCATGACGCTCATCGACGCGCCCCCGATGCGGCAGATCTCGTCGGTCCCCGACCCGGCCGCCCTCTACGCCGAGCTGATATCCCTGATCCTGCGCCTCGCCAAGCACGGCCTCATCCACGGCGACTTCAACGAATTCAACATCCTCATCCGCGAGGACAAGATCGAGCCCGAGACCGAAAACGACGACACCGACCCCGACACAGACCCCAACACCAACGAACAACAACAAGAAGACGACGACTCCACCACCCCGTCCACCACCCTAACCCCCATCCTAATCGACTTCCCCCAGATGGTATCCATGGACCACCAAAACGCCGAGATGTACTTCGACCGCGACGTCGAGTGCGTCAAGCGCTTCTTCTCGCGGCGCTTCCACTTCACCAGCACCGAGCCGGGGCCCTTCTTCAAGGACGCCAAGAAGACGGTCGGCCGCGACGGCGTGCGGCGGCTCGACGCCGTCGTCGAGGCGTCCGGCTTCACCAAGAAGATGGCCAAGGACCTGGAGGCCGCCCTCCGGGAGCAGCAAGCCAACGCCAAGAATGAGGCCAGCGACTCGGATGACGCGGAGGATGAGTCTGAGGAAGAGGAGGAGGACGAGGACGAGGATGCGGATGAGGGGCATCAAGTCATCGGGGATCAAATTGTAACAGCTGGAGAAGGGTTAGAGAAACTAGCAATCAATGATGGGACATGAATAAACATCATTGTCAATGATACCTGTCTCTTGACGCACTATTTGTCACGTTTAATTCCCCTGAATGACCCCGAGCGTGTCAGAGCCTAAATTGTCACCCGCCGACTCGTAACGGCTTGTTCCAGCACTCATCGAGCACGCACAACACAAAGTCGCGCGATTCCCTCCATTCGATCGATACTACTATGCTGGGATTTCATCATCGAAGTCCAAGCCCCCATAAAAGAAATGGAAAAGAGTATTTTGTTGTGGCTGCCCGTCCCACGCCCTCCACTACCGACTAAGAGTCCGTCCCTAAGATTATTCTATCCCAGTTCGACATAGTAGAGAAGTTCATTATGTGAGCTGACAACCACTTTGCCCCGAACCCGAGTCGCGCCCGTCCGAGGCCATTGTGACCATAGCAAAAAAAGCGAGATGACGATAGTGAAGTATCCGATATCGTTGCGACAAACCTTTGAGATAAGGAAAGTCTGGTGGCCCAACAAAAGTCCTACACTGCCCCAACAACTCCTCAACATAAGGTTAGGGCGAAGCATCAACGGCCATCTAGGCCTTCTCCGCCTTGACGGTGGGTGATGACTGAGTGCTGCCCTTGTTGGCAGTTGGGGAGTCAACAACGGTGGCACCGTCGCCACCCAAGCCGTCATCAGAGGATACCGTTCCGGGCACCGAGATGCTCTGCCTGAAAGGATATTAGTAGGGATGCTCGGAAAGCTGCCCATCACACTGGTGCTGATCATACTTGGGGGTGTGTCCCATGCTCTGGCCCATCATTGAGCCTGCACTCGCGCTGCTTCCCAGGTTGGTACGGATGGAAGGCACGCGGGGCGCGAAGAGGCTGGTCACAAGTCAGTTTCAAACTCAATCTTCCATGGCACGGAAACGACTTACCCGTTAGCTCCCAAGTCGGGACGGCGGTTCCAAGGGGCAGGGCTGTATATGCTTGGATGGATTCCAACATCAGCTGTGCCATAAGCACCAATGTTGTACTCATTGGTGCGGAACTGGCGCCGTTCGGCAGTGATGCGCTTGAGCTCCTTCTGGGCCGGCGTATCCGCATAGCGAACCTGCATCAACATCCCCTCTTCTCCAATGGAAGCTCCGTGGTACTTCTTTATGATGTCCTCACATTCATCGCGCGTCTCGAAACTGTTCCGCGTGTTAGTTTGCTATGGTCAAGCTTGAAGCACGGGTCCCCTACTCACCGAGCGAAACCGACACCACGACTGTTGCCCATGCTGTCACGGAGAATTTTGCTGGAGACTACATGATAGCCGGCAAAGATCGCATTCAGCTCCTGGCACAAATATTAGTCGACAGTAACTCCAAGTCTCGTCCGAAACAACTCACCGATTCGTTCAGGCGCTTAGGCAGGTTGGACAAGTACAGGTTGGTAGACAACTCGTCACCCTCGGCCTTGAGCCTCGCGTTGAAGCTCTCCTGTCTCAAAGTCAGTACTAAATACATGGACGGGGCATAGAGGGATAAATCTTACCCGAGCGAAGCCAACCTCATACCCAAGATGATAAAAGCCTCGGATGCACTTCTCGGAGTCACGGACGTCTGCGAACTTGGCAAAGCCAAATCTAAAATAATGTCAGCCGGTTTCACGCGGAATTCAGAACAAGACATACCCTTTGCAAGCCCCAGTCGAAGTGTCGATGATGGCCTTGCTCTGCTCGACCTTACCGAAGCGAGACGCATATCTATGCAGGAGCTCGTCGTCGGTGGTGGGATGGAGCCCGCGAATGTAGACATTGCGGTTTCCATGAATCCTATTCTCTAGGCACTGCTCTATCGACTTGGTGTGGCTGGGTGGCGTGAATACGGCGGGTACGGCCTCCGGAATGGGCGGGTTCTGCTTGAGGAGCTCCAGGAGACTCTCATCGATGGGCTGAGGAGCTTTGGGTGCGACGACCTGCTCTGGGGAAGGGGTCGTGTAGCTCGAGCGGAAAACCGCGATCCTCGAAGCGTTGCCGCGCTCCGACGCACTGCCGAAGAAGGGAGTCGCCGGGGTCGACTCAGTGGTAGAATACGAGCCACGGCGATTATCCAGACCAGGAACCTCGCTGCTGCGGTCAGCGTAAGATGCTACTCGGCCTGGTGTGTAAGGCATGGCATGGTATGGAACGGGCAGTGGAGCAAATCCGCTCTGGGCCGGATATTGGCCAGAGACTCCAAATGAATAAGCCGCCTCGTGCGGCATGCCGACATGGACCGGAACCGGATAGCCCTGGTAGGCGACAGGCTGCTCCTGAGGGCCACAATAAGCATGGTGAGCCTGGATCTGCGACATAGTTGAAGCGGTGGGCATGCCAGGACCGGCCGGGAGAGCCAGCGTCCTAAACTGGTTAACCACAGCGCCGATGGCATCCGAGTGGTGACCCATATGCTGTCCATGGGAAGCCTGATTGTCATGATGGGGCCCGTGGCCCATTTGAGCGCTCAGGTATGCAGGATAAGATGCGTGGCGATGGTTTCCAGTGTCCGAAGACATGGCAGCGCCGGCGCGATAGTGAGTCATGGTACAAGCTATAATCAGCGATTAGCCTCGGTGTTATGGTGATGCTATTCAACGGAAGTAGAAAATAAGGACGGCCGACTCAAATCGCCGGCAGATAAAACACATCGAGGTCGGAGGGGCGGTTGCAGTGGGAGTGCTGGAAAGAGGGTGCTTGCGGTACACACCTTTTCGGTTGCTCGTTTCTTGACAAATGAGTACTTCTGTAGAACGGTTTGTCAATACAAAAAGCCAAGTGATAATGGGGGCAGGCTGTTGATGGGTGGGTGAAGCTAGAAGAGATAGAGGAGCGGAGAAGAATGGGAGAGGAGGATAAACGTAGAAAGACCCGATCAAGGAAGGGTTTTCAAGACCTTCGGGCAAGGAAAAAAAAGACCGTGATTTGGAAGTAAGGGGAACCGTGTTTTGACGCGTTGACTTACCTCCAAAATCGACCCTGACCGATTGTCGTAGGATCACAGAGATGTAAGTATCGACAACAAGAAACCGAGGCACTCGATGACGGCGATGTTAGTACCAAAGAGTCGAATGCAAGCGAGTGATGGTGGAGGTAAGAAGATAGATCGAGCTATCAGCAAGATGAATGGAAGAGACTGCGGTGGTTGATTTGGGACGGGGAGGGAGTGTTGATGCTGTAATGATCGGAAGCAGAATCCACGACAGTCCAAAATGATGGGGTTTGGGTGTGCAGAGGAGAGAGGATTTTAAAGCACAGTGGCTCAAGTGCAAGCGCTCTTGCCACCTTCCAGCGGGGACCAGACGAGCAGCCCGGTGAGGAGGGGAATTTGGAAGGCGCGCTGGTTGATGCTGCCCGGACCTGCCCACCTAGACAGTGCTGCCCAAACCGGTTACTCGAGGTTACCCACTGCTGCCGCAGTAAACCTGCCCAACTTTGAAGACCAGATTGTGGAGATTCTCACGGTAGGCAGGGTGAAACTTGTGCACTTGATGAATGCTAACAGGGAGGGAAGGCAAGAAACCATACAGTCGAAAGAAATGCTGCCGAACTTACCTGCTGAGCTCGAGCTGACAACCCAAATGAACGATCGGGGTACGATGATGGCCCCTTCTACAATATGCTTGGCCGGTAAATTGCAAGTAGAGGCTTCCAAAAGTCGTTAGAGTGCAGTGGTTCTACACAGTAAGTTGATCCCGGCGATTTGGTAAGGTAATGGATCAGAAGAAAGTCAAGAAGGAACGACGGCACAAGGCCAAGTCGGTGCTCCTCGTTATCGGCGAACCTACCCTAGAACTGTTCGGCCGGAGGAAGGAGCGGGTTCCTAGGTGGGCAGTAAATGATGCAAGTTCGAGTGACTCTGCCCAGCCTCGAACGCCCAAGGTACCGTGGGTGACGTGCTCTTGACTGCCCGGGATACCATGGAACTGCCGGAACCTATCCTGCCCGATGGCCTTTCCCCTGCACCTGTGGGAACAGGCAGAAACTTCAAGCTGACGGCCACTTATTTTCCGCAATGGGTTCTCACCGCGGTTGAAATGGATCTCGTCCGTTTTGTTGCTTGCCCGGGTTGCTAGAAGCCAGTTGCGTCCCGTGTCCTCCGCTTGCCCAGTTTATGGAGCTCCTGCCTGCTTCACCGCTGGAAATGATGTAGAGGTTCGTAAAAAAACTGAACTGATACGAGATCAGACAAAACCAGGACGTTATCCTAGTTCTCACTGTGCGGGACGGTCAAGCTCATCCAATACAGGCCGACTTCCAGACTTGATGTGGGAATAAGGTTGTTGAGAGATGCCGTCAAGGGGCACCAATGATCACGAAAGTGCGTTTTGCATTAACCCGGCCTTGTGACGGTGTGGTGGTGTCGGATAAGTGATCTGTGCAGCCTCAGTCAGCATGCTGCTGGTTGATGTTTTCTGGTGGGAATAACCTCGCCGTTCCCACCCGCAAAGACCCCTTGCTCCTTGTCCTTCAGTGACTCGCGATTGAAGTGGTCGATGGAATGGCAAAGGTAAAGGTCCACGTCAAGAGGCGCTTTATGCTAGGTATGTTCACGATCCTAAAGCTTATGGCTAAGCGAATACTTGATAACAATGCTGGGATAGAGATACTTGGAGTGGAAGAAGAAGAACCTAGCACCGAAGGACGACGAACCGCCCTTCGCCAACACGGACATCAAGCCCCTTTAATATCCAAGATGGGCGAATGCCACCCGCAACCTCAAAAGCCGCACATCCCAAAAGGCGCGGGCCGACGGGAGAAGCTGCAACTAAGCGCCTCACGCCAGAGACAAGTTCGTCTTTTGTTGGGCGGGGGCTGGTACCGTATCCGAAGAAGAGGCGAGACACCTTCAGCCCACGATCGCCACGGGAGGCTTTCCGACCGGGCGGTTACATAACGAACCACGGAATGGGAGCACGGAAAGCGGGATGAGAAGGTGAACAGCCAGCTCGATCCAAGACACGGGCATGATCGCCATGCCGTCCCCCCTCGAGCTTTCTACATATGTACACCATCGGTAATGTGCTGATTGGCGTGAAGGGGAAGAAGAAGGAA